ACTTGAGAGTATTCAAGTCAATTCTGAAGGTTTTCTTTGGCCAGAAGAAGAGAAACTTTTTAACCATATTTTAAAAATGAATGATCATATTCTTGCTTTTGAAGAATCAGATAGAGGTACTTTCAGAGAAGATTATTTCACTTCATATATTATGCCAGTTATTCCACATATACCTTGGGCTCATGCCAATATTCTCATTCCTCCTGGAATAAAAAAAAAAGTCATAGAATTATTAAAAGGAAGAATAGAGGCTGAAGTGTATGAACAAAGTCAGTCATCATACAGATCTAAATGGTTTTGTGTGCTGAAAAAGAATGGCAATCTGAGAATTGTACATGACCTTCAGCCACTCAATGCTATCAGTATTAGAGATGCAGGGTTACCTCCTATTTTAGATGATTTTATAGAACCATTTGCAGGAAGAAAGTGCTACTCAGTGTTTGATTTGTTTTGGAAATTTGATGCAAGAATAGTAGATGAAAAGAGTAGGGATATAACTTCATTTCTTACTCCCTTAGGCTTATTAAGAATCACATCTATGCCTATGGGATATACAAATTCTTCAGCAGAATTTCAGGCTTCAATGACATTTATTCTGCAGGATGAGATTCCAGAAGTTGCAAATATCTTTATAGATGATCTACCTATCAAAGGTCCTAAGACAGACTATCCTGATGAAAATGAGATTCCTGAAACTATAAGGAAAACCCAGGAATTAGAAGGTTTATATGGGAGCATGCCAAAGATGTTCACAGAATAATGCATAGAGTTGGTCATGCTGGTGCAAAGTTTTCTCCAAAGAAATGTCAAATATGTAGACCATCAGTATTAATTGTAGGACAAAAGTGTACACCAGAAGGAAGAATGCCAGATGATGATAAAGTTGCTAAGATCCTCAAATGGCCTCCTTTAAAGATACCCAAAGATGTCTGAGAATTTTTAGGTCTTTGTGGTACAGTTCGAATATGGATTAAAAACTATTCAGAACTGGCAAGACCTTTAACTGAACTAGTGCATAAAAATACAGAGTTTGATTGGAATGAGAGAAGGCAGAAAGCATTTGAGAAGCTTAAAGAGGTAGTCTTCTCTGCACCTGCACTTCAACCTATTGATTATACATCAGAGAATTCAGTAATTCTTTCTGTCGATTCAAGTAAATATGCAGTAGGGTTTATTTTGTCTCAGATTGATGATCAAGGAAGAAGAAGATCTGCACGATATGGTTCATTACCCATAAACTCATGAGAAGCCAATTATAGTCAACCAAAGCTAGAACTATATGGATTATATAGAGCCTTGCATCATTACCGATTATACCTAGTTGGAGTTAAGACTCTTCATATTGAGGTAGATGCTAAATACATTAAAGGCATGCTGAATGATCCAGACCTACAACCCAATGCTACAATCAATAGATGGATTCAAGAAATTCTCATATTTGATTTTAGACTAATTCATATTCCAGCTGATAGGCATCGAGGACCAGATGCTTTGTCTCGAAGAAGTTTAGCTGAAGGAGAAGATGTTGAAGAAGATGAAGACTCATGGCTTGCGTAGAAAGTATAAATGGCAGCAGAAACATGCTAAAGAAGTCTTATATAATCCTCTTGCTCATACCTTTCTAACTTCCAACACAGCTCAGGATGAGAAACTTCAGCAGATATTACAGTTTCTCCAAGGGACATATGAACCAAAGTTCAAGTCTTTATCATCAGCAAAAAGGTTTATTAAGAAAGCTGAGCATTTCTTTGTAAAAGATAACAGACTATTTTGACAATATGCTGATCGAATGCCAGTAAAAGTAATTTTTGATGTTAAAGAATGTAAGGAAATCATGAGACAAGCACATAATGAATTTGGTCATAAAGGCAGACAAGCCACATTTGAGACAATCAAACAAAGGTTCTTTTGGTCATACTTTCATACTGATATAAGCCGGCATGTCCGTACATGTCATAAATATCAAAGACAAAGTATTAGAAAGATAGAAGTCCCTATTACAATATCTATTCCAGCTACAATCTTTTCCAAAGTCTATTTAGATATTATGTGCATGCCACAAGTCCATCATTTTCAGTACATAGTAGCAGCTCGAGATGATCTCTCTGGAGCATGTGAAGCTAGAGCTTTAACTTCAGCTTCAGCAGAGACAGTAGCTGCATTCTTATGGGAAGAGATATTCTGTCGATATAAATTTATGGCAGAGGTTATCTCAGATAATGGCAGAGGTTATCACAGATAATGGCAGTGAGACAAAAGGGGCTTTCAGAAGTCTAATGCAAAATTATGGCATTACACATATTAGAATTTCACCATATAATTCTAAAGCAAATGGAGTAGTAGAAAGAGGTCATTTTATTCTAAGAGAAGCCCTAGTCAAGACATATGCAGGAAGTATTTCTAAATGGCCTGAAGTTTTACCAAAAGCACTGTTTGCAGATAGAATCACTGTTAGAAAGAATACAGGATTTAGTGCTTATTATTTACTTCATAGAGTACATCCTGTTCTTCCTTTTGACTTGACAGAAGCAACATTTATGACAGAAGGTTTCTATTCAGGCATGAGTTCAATTGATCTTTTAGCTTTATGCATATGACAATTGGATAGATGGCCTGAAGATATAGATAGAGCTGCAGCTGCATTAAAAGCATCTCATCTCAAGTCCAAAACTCAATTTGAAGCACAATTTACACATTGTCTTAAACAAAAAGAGTTCAAAGCTGGAGACCTCGTACTTGTGCGAAATACAAGAATTGAGAAAGACCTCAATCGTAAGACCAAGCCTCAATATTTAGGACCCTTTGAAGTGGTACGCAGAACTAAGGAAGGATCCTATATTGTCAAAGAAGTAGATGGCACTATATCTCAAGCAGGTATAGCAGCATTTAGACTATTACAATATCATCCTGCTACAGATGACCTATCTCAGCTAGTTGCTGATGAAATACAAGGCATTGATGATAGAGAAGATATTGATAATGAAGATCTCAATAATTTAGTAGATTCAGATGATGATTTGACAGAAGAAAATGATGAGTCTGAGAAAGATAGTAATAGAAGTGAAGATGAGATAGATAGTGTTGATGAGGATGAATAAAATAGAGAAAATATTAAATAAGTCCTAGAGAACAACCAGGGATGGTTATCATTTGTGTTCGCCGTGGATGTCCTGCACCAAATTGGTTTGGTACATAGACAGGACAGATTCCTGTAACTTTGTATTTGAAGAAGACTCACAATACGAGTAATAATATTCAATAAAAGAAAATATATAATAGGATAATACTTAGATATGACACTAAAGATGTAATCATTTTTATTCAAAAATACACGTGTTCGGCAATATCTGAAAGAACCCACTTACACCGTCACAGCCATGTCCATCGAAGAAGTCATAAACCCATATACAGTCTCATTTATCCCTGTCATAATTTGATCAGGATCACACATCTTCTTGATTGCTGAAAACATGATCAATGGACTAATGGTAATATCAACACATGGCTACGTTATGTTAGCAAGTGCAAATGTGGAGTTCTTGGGGTGCATTTCAAGAGTTGTGTATTAGAGGAACAGAGCAGTGTTGATGATTGAGAGTCAAGATAGAGCACACAAGATCCTGGTGGTCGCACATTACTAGCAGCTGATGTTGTCATTTTGGAGAGTACTATGGTGGATATTGTTGATCCTTATGGAATGGATCGATCACTCGAGACCTGAAGCCTTCATTACAAGCAAGCCATCATCATTCTATACTACTCCTCAGTTCTTATGACAGACTCTGTGACTAGAATGTACAATTGAGCCTACATTTCAGCTCATTCAAGTCCCCATGCACGATTGCTTTATATACAAGCATCCACATTCAGGACATAGCTTTGTTGGTCAATTCTATAAAAGCAGATAGTGGGAATAAATGTGTATTTGGATTAAATCTGAGTCTACTGTCTGGATGAATATTTGAGATATTTCACTAAGTAAAGAAGCACAAATAAGTAGTCTCCTAAGAAATAAGGCCCATTTATGCAATATGCAAGGAATAAAGATGAAATCATATATAGTCAGAAGAGAAAGAAGGCTATGCAGAATTATAGAACAGTTTGGAACCTCATAGATTAGTTTAGAACCTTGTAGAATGCTTATAAAGCTTGTAGAACATTCTGGAAGCTATTTGAAAGGACTAGAATAGAGTAGAATGTGATAGAATGATCTGGAAGGTTGTAGAACCTTCTGGAGACTTATAGCACTTTGAAGAAGGTACCAGAAGATGCTAGAATATTCTTAGACTTTCTACTTGCTTATTAATCTCTCTGTAAATTTAATAGAAATTTGTATTATAATTTAGTATATAAGCTGTCCACTAGAGGGCAGAAGGAGAACAGACATCTCTTTCTGAGATCACCACAGTCTCAGTATACAGTCTCACCCCAGTAATACAGTTCAGAGTTTATATCTTATACTTATATCTGAAAGTCAAGCAGGACTTTCACTTGTGTGCATCAACAAGGTCAACAGTGATCTTACTAGCAGCTCGGTAGACTGCAAGTCAAGCAGGACTTTCACTCTACAACTTTTCAGAAGTCTATGACTCTTTGGAGAAAGTATCTTCCAATATCAGAGAGTCATTATCAGTGTTCACATCATCATTGGTTGCATAGTCAGTCAGCACCCACTCAGAAGTTACAGAAGCCATTAGAGCATTCAGAGATACCCACAGACACAGAGTCACCAGAGTCTATTAGAGAGAGTTTAGCACAGAGTTCTTTAAGTAGAAGACATCATTTTCAGTTTAAGTTCAAGTTCGGACATTTGAGTAGCAAGGCAGAGTCTTCTGAATATTCAGTGGAGTTTACCATTGATTTGAACAACTGAGCCTCCAGTCTGACTAACATTCATCCACTGTGCCCAGTATAATTTCAGGTTAGAAAGAGTTACTAATATTTCCTTACCAATAGGACTAGATACCACCCTTCACTTTTGATTTTGATTTTATTTCTTTACTTGCTACAAATATAGAATTATTGTAGCTTAGTTTTTGCTAAGTCTCAACTTTTTTACACCTTTTCAACTCTTTCCCATTTGTACCAAGTCACCGCGTGCAATCACGCACTTGATCTACCATGGTGCAGACCAATACCTCTATGACTCCTCCCGAAACCCACCACATTACTGCCTTTTTACTGGCATGGCAATACGCCTTCGAATCCCAGAGGTACGACAAATCCGTAGACACCTCACCCCACCCCCGCCCAACACCTCCAACCACCTGACAGCCGGGGACGGCAATCTGCACGGGTGGATCACTGGAGTTCATTGTTTTGAGCAGGAACATATTGAATTTTGGGTAGTAGGGACACCAGCCAGCAGTGTCGACTGTGCATACCTCCTCGTTCCATACCAGGCAGTTCTCTTAAGCTTCAGTGAGCGCATCCGATGCACCTTCTCCCAAATGTGGGCCTTAAACACTGTCGACATCCCTGCCTGGAATAGCCTGTCCTGTCACACCATCGAGGAAGAAGGTGTAGCACCTACCCCATTCGCCCCCATCCTCGCCGACCCGACTTCCCAGAACAGTGAAACTGAGCCCGTCTCGGCCTTAATACTTTCTTCCGATCCCGACCCCACCGACCCCGTCCTACCTGCGTGCCAGTCTGTGCAAGTCATGACCATCCGCATCCAGTAGGTCGCGCGAATCCACCACCCTCCTCCTCTCACCACCGCCACCTCCCTCTCTCTCTTGGATGTGAAGCCCGCCAACCCAAACCACCCCCCGCCTTCATACATACCCTTCATTTGTTTTTCTTTGCCCACCCACCACTCCCTTTGTGTCCCATCCCTCCCTCGCTAGCTCATTCATGCTTCCCTGGTTTAGGTTTTGGTTTTGGTTCTCTTCGCTTCACGTCGGAAGGCTTGTGCCACAGGCTTTCGCCCATTTTGCTTCCTTTCCTATTCTTCCGAATTCGGACTTAGGCTCAGTCTCCACTCTCAGCGCCAGATCTTAGTCACTCGCTTTCTCTGTAATATACTTTCCTACCCGTGCTCACAGTATACAACTCCCTATCTTGATAGCTGTCTAGCTGACACATAGACTTCAATACATACTTACATTGCGAATAGCCGCCCGGGCTGCCCGGCCACTCAGCCTTAATTCTACTGCACTAATACAAGTTGGAGCAAGACAAAGTGTATATAAAATATACACTGAGACTTCGACAAATATTTCAGTAATGATCCACGGACACGAATAATTTTAATGCCCGAAGAGAGCGAGTCTTTCAAGTTTGCTGACAACTGGTATTCCGCCTTCTGGTCCATACACTTGACGCTGCAGATTTAATATATAGTCATTGTACAACAGATAGGTTGTATTATAATAACATCGCTACTCAATGCACGTCACCGAACAGAGTCGATATAAGGTTTGGAACAATCATTCCAAGGATAGTCAATATCAGACGATGTCTGTGACTGAGCTCGTCTGAAGTAGATTTCCCTGGTTGCAATACTGTAGCAACATACAGGAACGTACCACCCTAGATTTAGTGCATCAATATATTGATATCCATGTCGCCTCTTAGCTGCATTGGGGGGAAATGGCTTACAGAGAATAGAAGGGCAAGCCCTGGCCAGGTGTCATGCTGGCCAAAGTCCAGGAACTTCATTACGGCGAATGAAGCGAGTGCACCAAATGGTGTCGATATACTGAAAGCAGCCAGATGCTTCCGACAATCGGAACGCGATAGAGACGTCGACAGTAGCGACGTTGACAAGGCGAGCGCAACGGGGGCTTTAGATGGAGTTTTAGACTCAACATAACTGCAACCGCTAAAATTCACTTACCTTTATGTACAATCAACGCCAGGAAAATGATGAACGATAGACCAGGATGTGCAGCCGAATCACTACTAAAAGCAGAAGATCCCAAAGCCAATCCATCGGCCAAAGCATGTACAATGAGACCCAAAGTCACGGGGTACGCTTTTTTCTTCCCTTCAATATCACTCGGAGGTTCATAATGAGCATGTCGGTGTGCATGATCTTCAGTGTCCGCTGGCATGCCTTCGGATTCTTCTAGTGCACCTAGCTCGACGTCAAACTCTATCTGTCCATTCTCTCCTGCGGACATTCGAGCAGATCTTGGAGGTTCAGTGGAGGGATTATATGTGGGTAGCGGTGAATGCGCAGTAGGGTGGGCGTGAGAGGTGCGTGCGTCGAGGATACGCTCGAAGATGAGCATGAACTTGAATCCGAAGAGAAGGGGAGCTGCGATTGCTCGTTTTGGGAAGCCAATTGTTGAGTCACTGGAGAGCACTACTGCTTCAACGCCTCTTTTGTATCCAACAGTTTAGTGTCTGCAATGTGAGGTATGTTTGAATGTCACTTACTCTGGTATAATTACACCGAGGGCTGTTCCAAGGAGCAACCCTGTACCAAACGTAGACAATTTGGCCAGTGTTGTTCCTGTATCTTAATAAGTATAAAACATGGAATATTATTTGGAGGACCGCAAACATACGAGAGAAAGTGAAGAACAACGGTAGTGAGCCAATTCCAAACGATGCAATGGCCAGCACCGCTGACATTGCCAATAATCCCAGAAATTCCGACATCTTTGGTGACTTGGGTAGTTGTCTATCTTTGATCTCGTTTTGGCAAGATATGTACAGAATAATATTAATTCAAGGAGGGTATTGGATGGCCGAGAAGGAGAGCATTGCTAGAATTGTATTCGACATCGTTGCGACCTGATGCGAGAGGCGTTGCTTCGCCACGTGCGCCGTGTACCGATCATCGATCAGCGACCTGCTGGCCTCGATCAACTTCAGGAATACCAAAGAACTTGAAACATGTCACTACTATTGAACGCCGCGTTCGTTCGTTCTTGCAAAGGCGGACCATCAGAGAACTGATGCTTTCCCCATGGCTTCAAAATGCTTTTTATGGCTGATAATTGGCTGCAGGCGCTTGGCGCACTTTTTCCTCGCCCCGCTTTTGCTCTGTATCTGGAACATCGCATCACAATACCGACATTCTCAGATTTGTCCAGCGTTACAATGTCAGCAATAACAATATTATGGACAACAGACCATTCATGGCTGACTGACAACAGAGACCGAGAGCTACTCGTTCCAACCTTCCATCTCTTCAAGGATGTCAATCATATCCACCAGTAGACAAGGACGGAGGTAGGGAGTCTGCACCTTCCCCACACGTCATGTTGATATCGTCTGTCAACTCAAGATCGATCGTTGAACCATGTATGAAGGCATCCCATTCGATGAAGCAGTTGGACTTCCAAAGTTCACCATCAATCTTGACACTCTATCGTACCCAAACCCTCAGCAATCAATTAATCTTCCGACAGCGCAGACGATCTTACCCTGACGAACACGGTACCACCCGTCCCATCCTTTGGGTTCCCATTGAAGTTCTTGGCTCTGATCGTCGTCGTCGTTCCAAAGATGGGGTTGAAGAATGAGATTTCGGGGAAGTAAGGGGAGGAAAGGAGGAACTGCCGGGTTGCTGGTAAGGGGTATAGCCCGGCCAGGTAAAATGCAACATAACTCCCCATGGCACCAGAGTCTAGCAACAATTCAGAGACAGACCCATAGTAGAAGAGGGAAATAACATACCATCGTTTCCAGGCAAGCCATTTGTGGAGGTATTGTAGAATTGGGCTATGACCTGGCGAGACGTTTGGGTACTCAATCCTGGACGATTGGCATAATGATACATGAACGGAATCTGCTGGGAAGGTTCGTCCGTCGAATCGAAGTAGTTCTTAGGCGCATTATATGAGAATCCGATGTCTCTGAAGCACTTGACTTGTCCTTGCTTACCTCTTCAAAGATGAAGTTTAACCTGTCAATGAATTTCTGATTGCCGCCTTGCAGCAAGATGAGCTTAGCCGTATCTTGCGGAACATACTACAACAAATGATTGTTAGTTTCTTTCATGTTGCCCCGTGGTCGTGCAAGACGTACCTGAGAATACTGCAAATACTAAGTCAGTACATCTTACAAGCAAGCAAGTCCTGAAAGACCTTACCACAATAGGCGAACTCTCATAGAAACCGTCATGGTTATTGCTATCCAAGAAGCACGTGGAATGCGTCGGGTCGTTCACACTGCAGTGTCGAGGGTCTGTAAAAGCGAAGGAGCCGTTCGATAGCCTGAGTTGCATCATGCCCACGATATTTTCTCGTCCTGGAACGACTGTAGTAGCATTCCAGTTGTTGATATAGTTCCCCGCACGACGGGCATACTGAAGAAAGATCAGCATGCAGACTCGGAGAATTGCGATGAAGAATAAAGGTATTTTTACCTTGGCCGCATCGTCTGTTTTGTTTAGGATCTTAGCGACTTGTGAAATAGCAAAATCGTCGAATGCATACTGCACTCCATCTCGGTGAGCAACCACTCAGGATAACACGTTCTCATATAACGTACCTCTAGCGCACGAGAGACGTGTCTGGTGTTCGACCCTCCACCAGTAGACCTGTCGAAAGGTAGGAAACCTGGACCGAGTAACAAGTTGAGTAACTTGTAAACCCATGCAAACTCTCGAGGACTAACCAAACGTCTTCCAATCATTGGCTTGACGACCTTGCAAGTCCCAGTCTTGTGGTTGCTCTTCAGCATCCCTGAGCAAGGCCGTGTATAGGGCGTCCCCGGAAACATTCAAAGCGGCTGCATGTTCGTGGAATCTAAAGATCGTGTCAGAGCAGTGCCAGGCGAAAGCAAAGAGTTTGAAGTACTTCACGAAGAATTCTCCTAGGATTGGGTCGCCATCTATTGACGGGCTTCAGTACTTGATATGCAAACTGAATGTCCTTGTACGGTACATACTGCTACCGCCCTGAACCCATTGTTGATCAGTAGCACCGCGACACTCAGGAAGCCAACCTATCGTCGATAATCATTAGCATTATTCGTGACACAATACGAGCTGGGGGGACGTACCTTCATGCTGCTGTATATTAATCATACCCCGGACAATCCTCGCAAAGTTGACGGGGTCGTGCAATGCCATGAAGGAATACAGAGTACGGTACGTGTCCCACTGTATAGAGTTCAAGAAGGATCGTTTGCAAGTCCCCGAACGAGGGTTTGGATGGACATACATTACAGTAAAGGGAATCGTAGTATGGCTCAGTCGAATCCCATCTCGGGTTCTCACCTGAATCTGCACGTTATTCTTGTCAGCTGTCATATGTTTTGGTGACAGGCACCTCGAGTGCAAACTCACAATCAGCAGGAGATATATGCGTCCTGTACACCGAGCTATAGAACAAGCTGACAATTTCAGGGTCCACGTCGTCTGTCTTCACTTGAATTCGACCAAGCAGATCATTCCATTCAGCGCGAGCAGCTGAACGCACGTGGTTGAAGTCGAAGGTAGATATCTCTTGTTCAGCGTTAGAGCAGGCTTGATCGGCAGAGATGAAGGACACGCCGACGCGAGCCAGGATTGAGGTAGGTCCTAACATGAAATGAATGAGTCAAAGAAAGGCTTTACGGATATCGTAATGTACCGATTCTCCTGGGTGTGAAGGTCAGCATGGCTCCAACTTGAGAGCCAGAGACTGTAGAAATGTATCAGTTCCTTCAGTACATACACGACAAAAGGTAAGCTGACTGCATACAGAATTGCAATTGGTTCGCATTCGTCACATTCTTTACTGGAGAGTCGTCAACCCAGCCACCGAACTCTTTAGGTGCGCCCTACAATTCATCAGTATTTATAACGGACATAGTAGTAAGACAACAAGGGGTTTCCGAAGACGTACCAACTGGAAACCATCTCCCTTGAAGTCGACGCACGCATATGCGTTATATCCACCAACTCCGAAAGAGGCCGCAAAGGATGCATCACCTAAACTAGACGATGACTGTGAAGCTTACGGAAGACGCGGAGTGAAACAAACCCTTGATTCTTCCCGTAGCTGGGTCGAGTTCCATGACAGGATTCCGCCCGCTCCGCTGACCATCGTCAGTAAGGTCCAGAAGAATCCTAGGGTTTTGAGTCCCTGCTGGGAAAGTGTACCTGATACCAAACTCAGCCATGCGGGCTGGGGAAGTGCGGACGGCGTCTACGTACTTGTGTAGTGCGACCTTTCGTGTTGCAGTTAACTCAACCCGGATACTGGTCGACTATAATGTATGGTAACCATCGGTCGTGGTGTCGGTATTTATGAAAATTACGCACCAAATTGGTCGAGAAATATCCAGGCTCGGCGGTGTCATCAGGTAAACCTATGTATAGGATGCAGAGTAACGTAATAATGGATAACATGAAATCATACCATTAGAAAGAACCTTTCTTGGGACGCTTCTGGTGCTAAGAGACGTGGTGCATTGCTCAAACTCGTCAGATTGCCCGCAAGACTGGAATGGCCAGAGTTTGAAGTTTGAAAGAGGAGGGCTCTGGCGTAAGTGTGAGTACCACGACCTGAGGATAATGCAGAAGCATGGACACATACTCCGCCGGTTCCTATATTGATCATATTGTCAAGGAGTCGATACATACTGCCTGAATGAAACATTTTGTGGAACTTACCATCATCATGCATTTGCGAAAATCCAACAAAATTCCATATGGGGTTTGCATCGTACCCTGCATGCTGCAAAGCAAACCATCAGGTCAATTATCATGTCTAACTGTAGAGAAAGCTAGGGCAAACATTATCTGGCGAGTTTGTGTCGGGGCCAACCTTCAGCATCCCATGTGGAAGTGTTGCACCTGAAGCAAGCTCAATCATGCTAAGGATGGATTGGTGAACGACTTATTACCGGGAAACGTATGACCGCCTTTTGTCGTCCCAATGAATAGGTTGACGAGATTAGCGGGGTCACGTATTGAAGTAGTGGACGAGTCGACTGCCGCCCCACCGGCATACCGCGCTACACAGCTAGACAATATCAGAAATGAGAAGATATGCCAGGCCATATTGGATCACGTTGCAGCGAGGTGCTGGTTAGTATAAAGCGCCCCTATTGGGACTGCGATTTTATATGAGCTTGGACTCGGGTTGCGAGGACTTAGGTGTGCTACTGTCTCCTCCGATGTCAATATTGTGGCGCATGACTGATTTCGTCTTCACGCCGATACGTCGGGAGGACTGAGGCTGACAAATTTGATAGAGCAAAACGGCATGTGAGTATATTCTGGAATTTGGAATGGAAGATGGCCACATTCATAAGTGATCGTCGATAGGTAAGCGAATGCGACGTACGTGGCAGTGTTCGGACGGATGGATGGAAGACGCATGGACCAATGAGTCTGGCCGTGGCCTACCACCGAAAGGGCAGTCGACCCTCTCAAACGTTGTACATCCCGTGAGACCAAAATATTCTAGATTGAACGTGATTGAACGCGAGATAGGCATATTCTCAGTGCCAAGCAAATGCGAAAGAACACCAGACATGCAAGTTCAATTCTATTGGATACAACTGAGATTCTTTCAGGTACTCAGTTATATCCACCGGTGGACAACGACGGAGGCAACGCATCCGAGCCTTTGCCGCAAGTCACGTTGATATCATCCGTCAGCTCGAGTTCTATCGTTGAGCCCTGTTGAAATGCTTCCCATTCGATGAAACAATTGGATTTCCACGCCTTTCCATCAATCTTCACACCCTGGTGAAACGGAGAGTCAGCCATGGAATAGGCTAGATTATGACAGCGATGTCCTGACCTTGACAAATACCGTACCGCCGGTTCCGTCAATAGGATTACCCTTGAAGTTGTTAGCCTTAATAGTGGTGGTCTTACCGAAGATAGGGTTAAAGAACGATATTTGCGGAAAGTATGGCGACGAAAGCAAGAACTGTCGCGTGGCAGGCAGAGGGTAAAGACCTGCGAGATAAAAAGCGACAAAGCTTCCCATTGCACCTGGAAGGATGTTAGTGGTTTTAAATTGTACTGAGAAATTCCGAGGTACCGGAATCTAAAACAGTGTCTCTTCAGTTAAGATCTCATATAGAAATCAGTGAAATATCACGGACCGTCATTGCCAGGCAAACCATTCGTGGATGTATTGTAAAACTGCGCGATCACTTGACGCGACCTCTGGGTGCTCAGTCCTGGGCGATTCGCATAATGGTACATGAAGGGTATTTGCTGCGAGGGTTCGTCGGTTGAATCGAAGTAATTCTATGGTGTCAATTCTATCAGGCTATTTGTATTCTGAGGTCGAGACTTGGAGAGACTCACTTGCTCAAATATGAAGTTGAGTCGATCGATGAATTTCTGATTTCCACCCTGCAATTGAATCAGCTTCGCAGTGTCTTGTAGGACATACTGATTTCGCGCCCGGCCGTTACGTCAGTTCTCCAAAACAAACCATATCTTAGCCCACCTGAGTGTACTGCCAATAGCTTCAGATATTCGCATTGTATTGTAGGATTCTGCTGATAACTTACAACGATAGGGGAACCCTCATAAAAACCATCCTTGTTAGCCGCATTCAAGAAACAAGTGGCCTGTGTCGGGTCGTTCACGCTGCAATGTCGAGGATCTGTGAAATTGAATGTCCCATCCGCGAACCTAGGCTAATGAATCAAGTTATGAACACGCAACAACGCTCCTGATCAATACAGGCTTGGGGTAGAGCCATACCTGCATCATCCCGACGATACTATCATTGCCAGGGACGGTTGTGTTTGGATTCCAAACATTGATAAAGTTACCTGCTCGCTTCGAGTACTAGTGGACCATGATTAGCATCGATTGATGGTGATAATGGGGATAATACTAACTTTTGCGCCGTCCTGTTTCTTTCCTAAGATCTTGGCGACTTGTGAGATGGCGAAGTCATCGAAAGCATACTAGAAATAGGTTTGGATCGGCACCATTCGCAACGGGACGAGAAACAACTCACCTCCAGAGTGCGAGACACTTGTTTTGTATTCGTTCCACCCACTTCCCACACGTCCGAGGGGATATAGCCTAATTGGTAGGGTATCAGAGAGGGCATTCGGACAATCGAATCAGAGGTCACACCTAGCTTCTTCCAGATATTGACCTGACGTCCTTGCAGATCCCAGTTGGGCGGTTGCTTTTCGGCATCAGCAAGGAGCGCCGTATACAAGGCGGATGAGGAAACATTGAGAGCGGCGGCGTGTTCATGGAACCTGTGTCGTCCAAGGTTAATAAACGAGATTCGATCATTGCACATGAAAATGTCGTTACTTTACGAAGAACTCTCCGAGGATAGGATCCCCATCTGAAAGCAGTTTACATGTGGCTCTCTCTCTCAAAATAAAGGAGGATAAAAAAATACATACTGCTGCCACCTTGGATAAAGTGCTGAGCCGTTGCACCACGACATTCAGGCAACCACCCTACGCAGATTAGATATCTAAAAATGTCGTGATCATCTTAAAACCCACCTTCATGCTGCTGAATGTTTATCATTCCCCGGATAATCCGCGCAAAATCATCGGGGTCGTGCAAAGCCATCCACGAGTACAGAGTACGATAGGTGTCCCACTACAATCACTGAGATAAGTTACGAAATCGATGTTATGAGAGCAAACGCACGTTGCAGTAGAAGGAATCGTAGTAGGGCTCGGTAGAGTTCCACTTCGGGTTTTCTCCTGTGTCTGCAAAGCGTGATTGTCAAACATTATGGGTGTTGGCGGTCTAAGATAAACTCACAGTCCGCCGGCGAGATATGGGTTCTATAAGCAGAGCTATAGAGCAAACTGACAATCTCTGGATCAACGTTGTCAGTCTTTACTTGGATGCGGCCGAGCAATTCATTCCACTGAGCGCGCGCAGAGCTCCGAACGCGGTCCAAATTGAAGTCTGGGATTTCTTCTTCTGCGTTGGCGCAGGCTTGGTCAGGAGAAATGAAAGAAACCCCGACGCGTGCTAAGATTGACGTCGTGCCTATGACAATGTTACGATTGACCAATGAAGTAAACTGATAAAAAGATACCATTTCCGTTTGGTGTGAATGTCAGAAGGGCACCAAGCTCATCTCGGAAACCTAGAATGAGGGCAGTATCAGTGTCACAACGTGTCCAGGAACAGTGAGAACAGTACCGAAGTAAAGTTGGTTAATGTTAGTACTCTGTTTCACTGGAAAGTTGCCAAGCCAGGCTCCGAATTCCTTGGGTTGTCCCTAAGCGAAAGCATACTCAACAAGATGAAGTGTGAATCAATGAAAATAGTTGATACCAAATCAAAACCATCTCCTTGAAAGTCCACACAAGAGAAAGCGCGGAATCGATCAGGACCAAAGGAAGCAGCGAATGACGCTCCACCTGCAAACGTTCGGACGTGTTGATACCGCAAAGAAGCATCAACAACTGACCTGCGACTTTCCCAGTCTCAGAGTCAAGTTCCATTATCGGATCAGTGCTGCTTTGTTGACCATCGTTAGTAATGTCGACAACCATTCGAGGATTTCGAGTTCCAGCCGGGAAAGTGTATCTAGAGAGTATCGTTTCAGAGGAGAAGGTCGACGTATTAAGCTCGTGCCTTTACTTGTGCAAGGCGGCTCTGCGAGTCGCTGTCAATTCTACACGTATGCCTGTCGACTATCTGGTAGTTCGTAACAAAGCAGCTGAATTGTAAGCAAATTTGCATACCAAGTTGGACGAGAAGTAGCCAGGTTCGGCGAAGTCATCAGGCAAGCCTGCGTGCACGTTAGCTCCAGTTCGTTGCAGAGCAAGGGAATGTCGTGCCGGTACTCAAATTCTTTCTTGGTGCATTTCTACTTGCAATAGAAGTTGGACACTCCTCGAACGTGTCAAATTGACCACACGATTTGAAAGCCCAGAGTTTGAAAAGTGAAAGGGGTACGGCCTTGACAATAAAGTATTAGGACTTTCAGATACATGAAGATGATCTAAGATCTTCGTCACATACACCACCGGTGCCTAACCACACATCAGCATGAAATCCAAAGAATCGGAATTGTTGAAAATACCATCGTCATGCAGCTGTGAGAAACCAGTCGCATTAAATTGAGGATCACCGTCGTATCCTGCATGCTATGTAAGGGTGCCTCAGTATCTCCCAGGAACACAGAACATCGCCAACTCACGTTTCCAGGAGAGTTCGTATCCATTCCGACTTTGACCATTCCATGCGGCAATGTTGCACCTGAGCAGCATTATTTGAGTTCAAAACGGCCATTAATAGACAAGACATACATACCAGGGAATGTATGACCCCCATTCCGCGTTCCAATGAAAAGGTTCACGAGACTAGCTGGGTCCTGGATACTCGTTGCTAACGGCGACCCCGCACTGGTTATGATAGACGGGGATACAGACGACGGAGCTACACTTTCGGAGCTCTGAACGTTAGTACTCGCGCCAAACACAATCCGAGTTGCCCATAGAGGCAAAAACAATAATCTCAACATGCCCCAATAGTGAAGAAGGTTGATCTCGGCACTTTCAATGTACAATAGGTGGCCGACTCTGAGTCAGTCGGAAACTCTCTCGTTGAACGCTATATATGCCGGTCACCGAGCATCGCTTATACTCTGTCCTTCTTTCACGTCATGGGCGAGATACGTTCTACGCCGCATGTACACAAAATTGAGCATGTGATCAGCCTGAAAAGTAGCAGGGAACTCATGAGACTCAAGTTGTATAAACAAAAGAGCATGTGGACAGACCTCGCAGTCAGTATTCAGGGTGTGTCACAAGGAATTTAGACGAATTTAGCAAAAAGAAGCAAAAGGCGACGTTTGAGTGGAGGGGAGAAGTTGATGTTCTGATCCATCATGAGCGTGTTTGACAATCCTGGCCATTAGCGGCCCGACTGGGTAGATCGGCTCCTTCCTTCGGTAAAGTCAGTCTATGTGCACATCTTATCGACCTAGAAATTCCAGACACAGAAGTCACGATATCATATAATCCACATGAATCATAGAGCATTGATCCCCTGGCGTATCAGGACCAGCAGCGCAAGTTAGTAAGAGACGTATAAAGGTAATTCTGGAGCATACCTCGTTAGCTTACACTGCTATGATGTGTCTCACAGGTGGAGCCCTTTGCAAGCTCATGGTCGCAGTAGCTGTTGTCTGTACCTGAGCAGCAAGGTCCGCCAGCCTCTTCTTCTCGTCTTCCAACATCTTATTCTGCAACTCCACTCTCTTTGGCAAGACGTTCCTCCTCTCAGTCGTAGACTTGAAATCTAATTTGTCCACTCCTAAGGCCTGCAACGTCTTCCGCTCAACTATACTAAACTCCTCGGGGTTCTCGCGGTTGAAGTTAAATGGCTCGCGAAGGGAGACCGGAGGGTTGGTGATGACACGAGGAATACGGAGATGGTTCTTGGAGGCAGAATGAAGCATCAAGGGATGCATGAGTATCACGTCCCCAATCTCGCCTGTCAGTTCTACAAAGTTGTTGCATTTCTTTGCCGCCTCTAGATGACTCCAGTAGCCAGGGTCATTCTTCGGGTCAGCAGTGGTGGAGTTGGAAGGCACGAATGACAACGAGATGGGAAGAACACCTTCGGGATGGGCAGCCAAATAATTCGCGATATAATCTATGCCATCCGTAGCGATGAAGGTGCCCCCACCTCGAGGCTTGATGTCAGAGTAGAGGGGTATAACGAGCAGTGCTTGTTCAGGAGAGTCCAAAAAATGTACCAAGAAATCACCATCGACGTGCCAGTTGCCCAGATCCTGAGGAACAACGTCGCTACCTTCTTGTTCAAGCTCAGGTGTGCCGAGGTTGACTATGAAGCTATCGCCCCAAGACGAGCTCTTCTCATCGATACGCTCTTCACCCCCGAGAAGATCCTTTATGGCCTCCCAAGCCTGCCATCCGAGCACGCCAAACTAATGTTAGAAGGATTGACGACCGGGTTAAGGACTAAGACCTGCCTTGGGTGCAAAGGACGCAACAGTCTCACGATGGTGCCATGGCATATGGATCCTCTCTCGATCCCAGGTTGATTTGTCATTTGGATTAAGGCCCAATCGTATCCACATCGTCTTTGTCCATTCTGCAGCTTGTTCCTTGGTGAACGCTTGCTTGATGACTGCATAACCATTCTCAAGGAAGAAGTCCACTTGTTCGGCTACAGTACCGAAGGCATCAGCGAAGATCGCGTTGAAAGATCCATGAATCCGACGACATACGGGTCAATGCTTTGGGTTCTTGCGCCATGCTGCTAGTAACTAGACAATCACAGAATAACTGATGACCTTGTAACGAAGGTCCTTGTCGATGGACTAACCGGAATTTAAATGAATTCGGAGTTACTTCGGATTGAGATGTCCTAAGTCAGTCGTGGACTTTCTCCATATAGTTTACAAAGCGTCGAGGACAAGATGGAGCACGCACCAGAGAGAAAGAAATTGGCCAGAAATAAACACACCTTTCAGGCACCGATGGTTCGTTGATATCTGAGCATGCTCATATACAGATACAGCGCTAGGCATACGGAGAGCCGAGGATCCAAGAATCCAAAGAGAGGCAGTGGCTCTAAGTATAGTCAGGGTATCGAAACAGCGCCATATTTCATTTCCGAAGAGGTCGAGACTCGACTAAACAATTCTTGAACCAGAATCAATGGATACTATACACGATATTGCTGTAATCAGGAAAACAAATACAGAACAAGCGAAGGATCATGGAAAATGAGGTCCCTGCAGTGAATATCGAATATTAAATCGCACAATTGACTTAAGCACAGACATAATTGAACGCACCTGGGGGACAAGCATGAATGAGGAAAATCAACTGGCTTCCTTAAGAGCGCGATCGTCAAAGGGATCTCCAAATCCTGAGAGCAAATATATGACATTATAGCATAACACACGGAAGAGAATCAACATACTGTTACGTAGGTGCTCTACAAGGCCAACATCGATGAGCTCCTCCTTCTTGCCCATTGCCTGAAGATTACTATAGCCTTCCCACTGTCCACCTTGCTTCCTTGAGCCAGGTTCTTCCCGTCTCCTGCTCTTTGCATCTCGAGCATTCGACGAAGCACCATGCGATCCGCCTCCATATCGACGCTTTGCGCCACTCATTCGTGCTGCATTAAGAGCGTCAGCTGCACTAGTAGATCGAACGGCAGATGTGAGAGCATCTTGGGTCTCCTCCAAGGGTGGGGAGTCAGACGAAGAATCAGAGACGGGTGAGCCTGGTTCAACTGGAGAGTCCATAACGAAATATTAGACGAGAGTGTGGTCAAGGACGTGAGCGCTAGTCAGTGCCCTACTGAATGATCGGTTAGCGCCTGCGAGCAGTTACGTAATAACATATCCCTTTTGGTCGTACCATGCGTCGTCTCCAAGTACTCCTAGCCGGTCTGTTAGTATTTGTACTAACCTATAGTACATTCCTTTCGTCCTTTACTACGTGCATCAACCCTACCAGGCCATAACTGTACATGTCAATATGGGTGTCCCTGCGGCTGCAAAGCGCTCCATGCGCATCATTGCTTTACCCCTCACAAGAGCAACGCGAGCACCCAACGGGACACATACTCATCTCACGTACTACCATTTCGTGACGCCGAAACCAAAGGATGAGAAACGTCAAGGATGGGCGAATTGGGCGACTAGCAAGGCCACCGATCTCTGGGCAGGCTTTGGGAAAGCTCCGGAAGGAAGCTGGAAGGTATACGGGACTAATGTCTCTTCACAAACCAGTTTTGACGCGTCTTTTTCTATGGATATAATAGAGAAAGACGTTTCTGTACGGAGAACGTATTGTCGACCGTATAGACTTCGAAGAACTCGCGCTCAAGTCAATAAACCCTTCACTCGCCCCTAGAATATTCCGACAATCCGAAGCCAAGTCTTCAAAAGAACCCGTCATGCCCACGGTATGTCCGCGTCCATCATGCTCTACTTGTGTCTGCCAATCTGTTGACCAGCACTGTTCTTCCTTCTCTACATGATTATGTCATTCTCGTATTGCGTCATTTTAGATTCCGTTGATTTATCCTGGTACGGTATGTTCGTCTCCAATGGCACACTTCCGAAGTCTGTTGGAGAAGAGGACACCGAGACATAGAAAAGGATTCTTCATGTGGATGTTTATTGCACCACTGACGGCACCGTTTATGCTAATTCGTGAGTTAATATGTATCCGTCCAGGTTCGTATCACTGGTTGCTTATGCGTCCGTCCTTAGCCGTGATACCCAACTTGCCGTTCTTTTTCTGTGTCTGGAGGTCGTGGTCGCATTACAGAGGTATTGATAATTATATGAAGCCAATCCACGAAATCTCTTGACCAGAGCATCCAACTTTAACAGCGTACAAGGCCTCTGCATATCTAGAAGGGTTCCTCGATCGTAACTGTATCATTCCAGAGGAAAATGCAGAATTAGACAAAATCTACGCGAAATATGCACCTCCCATCACACCATCGACTTCATCTTCATCCTTTGCACCCTCACCCCCTCCTTACGCGTCGCATCCACCATCATCTGCTACGACACCTTCGGCATATAATGACAAGCCATTTTCCGATCTAGATACTGATTCTACCTCAAAGCCTCCGAACATCCCTCCAGTCTCAGATTCAGAAAAATTCGACCTCAAGTCAGAGAAGGCCGCAGAAGCACCTAGTCGACTGTTGTTGACGAGAGAAGCGATTCCGGAACTCGTGAAGTTGTTCCAGTTGAGACCGGATTCGAGCTTTGCGGCGGATGTCTATAGGGCTCTTGAACAGGCGAGATTGAGGATGGAGAGAAAGAAAAACGATGCATAAGGGTAATATGGGAGGTGGGGGATGGACTGGGCGGTTGTATTATAGTTGGATGCGTGATGCATTTATCTCGCATACTGTGCAAGGAAGGGTGTTGTAAATATTGTAACCGCACTAATCACAAAACAGACATTGCATGGACATCATGGCATAATTTCTATTAAAATGCTTGCAATTAGATTCATATTACTCGCTACATATATGCACTGCTGGATATCCAAGTAGGATGACTATTGAAGCCTCTTTGCGCGCTTAAGATAAATGAACGTTATGATGATCCGAAGAGTTGAACTTAAAAGGTTTGGGTTTCCTGCTACCTTACACATCTACTTCGCCACCCTAGACCTCGAATTGATACTTACAGTCCAAATACAGGTCCAATACAAGTCCATACCATGGGAGCCGATTCCCATGCCATTCTTGAAGAGAACCCGAGGCGATGTAGCCTAGCATGCTCGTATATCAATTACCAGTGCACCAGTAAGCCAGGATATGATGCAGTGCACTGTTGTGCTATTTTTGTAGATCAGTGATAGTCCCGTCCTGTTGGGCTGGTCACTGCGAGTGGCATGTCCAAGCCACTTCGATGATTGATGTCTTCACAGGTAGGATGTCTTCACAGGTAGGGTTCACGGGTTCCGTCGAAGGCCACCGTGGTGGAAGAGCTCCAAAGCTTCGTGCTTTTTCTGAAGCCCAACGCTCATTTCTGGCCACTTCTTGAGCCCTTCAAGTTGGTAGACGACGGGCTGATGATACTGAATGTTGCAGGCGAGCCAGTGCTTCAGCACCGGCGGTACTTGTGAAATCAAACGTCGTGGGCGACATTGAAGTCGAGTGCATGCTCCAAGACGTGATGCTCCTCGTTCTGATGAGATAGAAGAGTCCTGTTTCCACCACGCCACTGAATTAAAAACGTCCGTGTCTTTGGTACTTCAGCCGCTCTTCAACTTCTGCTAACGTTCACCCACGCCTCCCTCAGACTCCCGTTACGATCGTGTACCATTGTCATGGCGTCCATTCCGGCATTGGAGGGGGGACTTATTGAATGTTACGGACTAGGCTGCATGTGAGTGACAATGTGTTCTCTCGCTTATACGTGCTGAGGTTTTACCGCTTTCCAGCCTGTACGGCATAGCTGTCACGCAAGCTTACGTTTACTTTCTCAGTTGCAAGAATGATCCTCAGTGGATCAAATGGATGGCTGGTACAGTGATGTATGTCCTCGTATCATTATTTGTTCATCCCTACCTTTCTAACGTTACACCTCCAAGATCTCTGGAGACAGTGCACACTGCATTCTTCTTGCGACAGTTGTACTTCTATTCAGTTGGTGTAATTGCGGACTCCGGCAATCTATCTAATGTTGACTGGTATGAGTTTGCATACTGAGACATACATCAAACACTAACAGGTCCCATTTCTACAGGAGTGTCCCGGTACATTTTTCTTATCTTTATACTATGGTGAATACATTTATGCTAACACTATTCTGTGAAATTTGTAGGTCTGTCTGCTAGTGGAGGTGTGTATTGATACAATCAGTCAGTTCTCAGTAATGCAAAGCTATGGTGCCTTTTTAGATCATCATTGAGTTCATTGCAGAAGGGTGAGTTGAATTTATTCATATCTTTGCTTATGTTGCTCAATCACATATGTCAGATTCTATATTCATAGACTGTGGATATGTTTGTGTTCTTTCATAGTGAAGAAATACTCATAGTCTAATGACTTTTGGTATGATATAGTCAGCAAGAATGCCTATCTAATCTTTGTAATGGTATAACAACTTCTTTTGTATGCTTGAGGCAACTGATGTAAAACATCTATCTCTTTCTAGGTGCTGATTCTTCTTGGTCGGCATGGCACCTTCCTGTGTATGTTCCTTTCCAATACCATCATCTCACATGATTGTAACACTTCACATTCATTCTACAGTCCTAGCCTTTCACACGTATGTTATATTTTATATTGTGTACTCTGTTTTCAGTGGCTGATTTCAAAATAGCCTTCTGCTACCAACATTCATGCAGGCTATAGTACCAGCAATGAAGGTTTGATTGGTTTCTCACTTAAGATGGAAAGAATATTTAACCAGATTATTTAGGCAAACTTTATTGCTACTTTGTGTTTGCTTGTGGCACTGGAGGGGATTCTAGCAAGTGCAATGGTGTATTACTTGCATCAGAATAGAGGAAGATTCAAAAGGTACAATATCTACATTTTCATGATTCATCATAGATGCTAATGTTGTATTAGGACACACAGTGTTGTCAACTGGTTGATTAGATACTATGTGAATACTGGTGCAATCCTTGTGTAAGTCATATTCTATTCTGGCAAAGTAGACAATGTTCTGATCTTAATATGACAGAGTTTTGGCTATCATTCTGTTGATCATTGTAAGCTTTCTCTTGTTAGTTGAATGATTTGTGTTTTGATATAAGTCACAGTATCTTGTGCTCTCCAACAGCCTTCTATATGTTGGTATTACCAATATCTTTGCTAAATGTTTGTCTCTCTTTTTGTGTATGTAGTCTAAGTGAGAACTCACTCTATTAATCTTTTAGCTATTGCCAATTCCTTACTTGGAGCGTAAGTACAGCCAGCAGAAGTTCTCATCCTATATGCTGATAATATACTACAGATTGAATGGAAGACACCTACTTCGCTCCAAAATGCATGAACCAGTCATCATTGGCACAAGTGTTTTTGCAAGTAACACTGAGACCAGAGGATATGAAATGCATGATGTATGTTTCATGCTTCTTATGTCATTTATAATGTACTCAACAATTTTTCTTATAGCTACAGGTTGAAGTGACACAGGAAATCTCAAAAAGAAGTGATCATATGGTATGTGTTTCAAGTTTTTATTCAACTCACTTAAACTAATTATCAGAGCCAGGTGGCTGATACCACAAAGTCAGATGTGCCCAGTGCCACACTGAGTGTTGATGATGAAGCTTACAAGAATACTTCCATTGTGTAAAATTTTTTGAAAGAACTGTCAATCTTGAGATGTATTCATATGTTTCAGTAGTGATGATTCTGATGTGGCATGTACAGTAAAACAGCTCTGCCTTGAGAAATTATGATTTATTTGTTCTTTGTGATTGTGTTCATATGAAGTGTATTGATATCGAGTACTCAGTCAATAGCTTGAAATCCAGATTCGAGTTACACCTTGTGCAGAGCACATTCTGTACGAAACTGTTGAATGGGCGAGAAGCAATGACGGTTTCTCTCTCGCGGTTTTCCCGACTTCCTGGTTACGAACGCCGCGAAGCAAAGACCCTACATTGTACAGGAAGCGCTAGACGAAAGACATTCTCGACCTTGGACATGTTCAACAGTACAGTGTTTCGGAGATCCACCCGGAGTATACGTGATAACGGAATATGTGAAGGATAGAAAAAAAAAATGCAAGAATGAATGAAAATCGTGATATACTGCCATAAAGATGATTGTTGCGTATTCAGGTTACGCGCCCGAGCCAATGCGAAGTGATGATATATGGCGGATAGGAATGGGGGTTGTATGTGAAAACGAAGAAACTGTATGCAAGAAAGAAAAAGTAAAACACAAAAGTAAAAAAACGCACGAGGGACCCAAAAGAAACATCGGCGAACACCCTCAGCAACGAAGACCTAACTGTCCTCCTCGCCTTCTTCGTCCTCCTGTTCCTCTTCTTCAGTATACTCCTCCTCTTCGCCCTCACCTTCCACGATTTCCTCCTCCTCACCAAGTTCCTCATCTTCATCATCCCTAAACCACTCCACCCTCTCCTTCTCCTCGTCCCCATCCCACTCTACCGCTCCAGACCCTCTCTGCGAGGTCGAGGTCGAGGTACTCGAAAGCGGCGGCGGGTTAACCTCCATCAACCCGTTTTCCCTCATCCACATCAACATCCCCTCATCCCTCAACCGTTCTTCCAAGATCCACTTTCTCATCCTGCTCACATGCCCCGCATTCCTCAACGAGGTTATTAGTGATCGGCGGAAACGAATGTATTCACAGACTCGATCTGCATCTAGACCCGTGAATCGGACGGTCTGGAGGTTGGGTAAGAGGCAAGAGCAGTTCGAAGCGTTGTCATTCGTCTGGAGGGTGACGTCATGTTGGTCCGAGGAATGTGCGACAAGCCGTTGATGGCGAAGGGATACACTTGAACCGTTTGACTGGGAATGGGAAGGCGACGATGAAACCGATGATGATGTCGAAGCAGAAGAAGAAGCAGTAGGAGGCATGTGAGAAGGATACCCATCCAAAGCCCGCTCTTTTCCCTTCCCCTTCGTATGACTCGTTCCATTCGTTCCATTCACGCCAACTCCAGAAGTCTCTGAGAACAATGCGTCAAACAAGCTCTTGTGCATCCTGGACAGGTCTAGGTCCAGTCGTTCCAGCTTGTGAGAACGTTGTAGGAATGTGTGCCATGACCTTGGTGAACACTCGAGCGCACCGATTGTCAGAGACTCGAGCAAGGGAAAAACTGGGCCTGGTTTTCTTTGAGTTGAACGAGAAGGGGGAAAGGGAGAGGATGGGGAGGAAACGCTTGAAGGGGATTCAAACGTGGGTGATCGGTAGGTATCATCGACGTCTGAGGTGGTAGACAGAGGCTCGGGTGATTGTGGATGCGAGGATTCACTCTCATCCGAAGGGGGGTCGGCAAGGTACTCGAGAAAAGGTGTGAAATCCTGGTCTACTGGAGCCTCCAACCTGAGCACCCTAACATCTGGTGCACTCATGAGTCTGAACAACTTCATGACATACTCTGGATTATCCATATCGGTCAAGCTCAATTCCTTCAAGCTTGGCAAATGGATCTTTTCTTCTGACCAATCAACGCCACCACTTGGGCCAAGCCTGGGACCAGAATAATGGAGCGACAGTTTGAGGAGGTGTGGAGATTGTGCGAGCATTCTGTACCAAAGATCATATGGGATCCGAACTTCGTCGGAGTGGAGTGCCAGTTCGATCGAAGTAAGGTTTTGCAAGAAGGGTGAATTAATCCAAGGGAGGTTAACGCCTATGAGGGAGATTGAACGGAGGGAGGGAAGCTTGCCATCGAAGACTACGACGGGAGGAGGACCAATTGCTGTATAGAGACGTTCGGCCGTACCCCAATCTTCGATATGCCATAGCTGCAAGTGTTGAAGATGCGGAGCGGGTCCGCAAGTGTTTAAGACGCGTCGAGCTCCAGCTTTGCATTCCAGGTCGCGTACTTTGAGAGACAGGGACAGCCAGCGGTCGATGTGAGGTACGACTATGTTAAACACCTTGTCGAACTCTTCTCGGAAGAGGGTGTAGCCTGGTTGGTGCTCCTCTTCGGATGTTGTATCCACGTCGATGTTGAGGAGATGATGGTGGCTACGCACAAGATATTCTTTTGCGCGAGTCATGTGCGCGATGGTACGGAAGTGAATATTCGTCCATAGTCCTGGCGTATGAAGTGCAACGTCTCGCCAATGGCGGCAGACGTGGGAGACGAGGACTTCGAATGTATGTGTTGCAGGAGGCAACTTTTCGGGTTCAGGCTGTTCTTCGACCCCGATGGTGAAGATACGGGAGATGAGCTCGACGGGAAGCGTGAATATCGCGGCCATAGGGTAGGAGCCTCGGAACTTGTCCGACTTTCTGCTAGTGGATTGAAGCTGCAGAAGGCAACAGGGTGAGCATACAAGTTGGAAGGTGTAAGTAGAAGGGCGCATGTCTAGCAGACCTGGAGAAGAGGATGGTAGAAACTCGAAAACAAGTTGTCTTCTATTTGAGGGCGTCCAGGATTGGAAGGACCTGTCAAAGCGAAAGTCGCGCTAGAAGGGATATTGATAGCACTGATATCAGGCGTCCTCGACCGGTCTGCGTCTGGACTGGACGGGGCGTCGTTGGAGGCAGACCCGCTTAGACCTGTGTGAAGCTGGTGGTGTTTCGCGGGAGAGCTCTGCTGAGCTGGCAAGGGAACATGCTGCGAAAGGAGATGAGCGAGCAGGAAGACGAATTGGGCAAGTGAGGACACAGAGAATCCCAGGCACTGTAATCCTGGCTTCTCTGCCCACCGTCGACACCACCATCAGTCAGTGTGTCACTCACCATTACTGGCGATCCTTGTCCGCCTGGGACGAGTGGGAAGAAAGAGAAAGTGCTGAGGATGCAGTCGCCCTTAGGGTTTCTCTTAAGCCAGCCTCAGAGGTCCTCCCTCTTCCCCTCCTTCAGCTAATATAGATTGCTTCCGCGGCCCTGGCTCTACCACGCTAAATCGGGTTGATCTAGATCTATATGCCGTCACCAATACCGCTGGCAGTGAGCGCACGTACTTGCACACTGAAAGCCTCAGTGTTCAAAGTATTTTGGGTGAGCTGATTCGCTTAGCTTGAGACACATTGAATCCTCCCGATCAGGCCACAGAGGTCTTTATCAACGCCGTCGCTCAATGAGCGTATCTCCCAGCGGTTCAACGAGAATCAAGTACTGGGGTTCGTCGGGCGATATCCTGGCCCAATCATCCTGGAGTTCACAGCGGCCATGGAATCAATTTAATAGCAACAAACCGCTAGACGGTCTTCCGTTCTCCTTGAACACTGACCGCAGTTCGTGTGCTTACACAGTGCATGTCATGTTTTCCTTCTAAATTCTAGGTCATCAGGCACTCCTTCTTGAAGCTCGTTATGATCGTATCACGCATCATAGATCTTTTTCTATCTCTATGCATATGCCTCAAGGTACTAACTCCAACTCATCTCATTGGCTGGACGTTCTTTATCACTCTCTGTCTCCGCCCGCAGTCGGATTCCATAAGACGGCACAATGCCTGCCAGCAGCTGTCGCTTGGTTTGCTTGAATACTTGAGCAGGTTTGCCACTCGTATAGCGCCTTCATGAAGCTACGTGTTCCCTCCGAGTCTGCGACATATGCTCATCAAGGCAACGAACTAGAAGCTCAAGGCGACCATTATGCGGATCTCCGCGGGCTCATGGAGGACACTAGCTGGGGACCTTAGATCTCGTATGACAATTCATAGCAGTCTCTAAAGAGTCTGACGCGCATCCGGGATAATCCACAACTCGACCATTCAGTAACATCAACCCCAATTGAGGTTGATACACCACTATCCGGCACCCGATCATGCTTGGGGCACCCGAAGTACGCGCGATACGCCCATTATCCAAAGAATTTCTATACTTCTTAACCATGACTTTGGACCCTTGGACCCTGAACGTTCGATCGCGTCGATGTCCGATACACGATTTGTCTTGACACTGACAGGTTCACCTTGTCATTAATCACTGGGTCACTGGGCCACTTGAGGACGCTGGCCTTGACTCTCGGATAGAAGTATTGATCCTCGAGTCGCACCTATCCGAGACTTCAACTTCGAAGCATTTGTCAATATCCGCCCCTCTCGCAGACCGGGTGCAGACCATCATCGATGTTATCTCTTCCCGAGTCTACATGAACTTGCGGAGATTCGCGTTTAGTGCAAGCCGTTCGGTCCTTTCTGATATCAGCGACTCTTTGGCACATTGGTTGCTCGCATTGGCAAGTATGTGGCAAGTATGTCCATGAAAACGTAGCTTTGCGTGTACCTTTTTACATACACCGGCCCTGTCAGCACTACGTCAAGTCTCCACCTCGTAAGTATATTTAGGCTCCAGTCATGAACTCATGAAATGACGTGACATTTTCCAGGCCTTATGCTCCGTCTCTTGTCTTATTTTCGGGTCCTCCCACTCTCTATCGTCCTCGATCTCTACTAAAATATCTCTGAACCTACTTACAGTTAGATTGCAAGCCCGCTCTCCTGTGTCTGAAACTTGGATATCACTACGTCAAGATCATCTCGTACTCAAGCTTACGCGTTCCGGTATCGGGGTTCATAACCGCAATAACTATACTGTATCTCTTCATCTTCTCAACACCCATCCTAAGCCCTCCACGTCCGGACCTATAGGACACCTGCCAGTCACAACCTTACCTCATTACTCAACCGGGTTGCTAGCGTTCTTATCAGTCACGTCCTTGTCCTGCCCTCCCAATGCACTGGTTTGCAGCGTTCCGCTTTGGGGTCCTCCCTTGTAGTCTTACCCTTTACCTGGTCTGCAGGATCTACACATGCATATATCACCTTTTGGTCACCTTTACCCGTATATCTGGCCTTGTGACTCTCGACTAGCCGCCAGCATCTCAACATACTCGGATATGACTGGCCAGGTGCTATTGAAGAGCCTAAAGACGAGTATCACCCTTAGATTGTTCTGTTTTCCTCCTTCTGGCGACTGTTCTGATACTTTCGAAGAGGCGAATTTGCAAAACTACGGAGCTATGCATGATTAACGACGAGCTTTGGTCTATGTCCAGACAGTAATCGGTACCGTTATGATGGTCCAGGTGTGTTGGTCTAACATACTAATGTACCTAGTCCTGGTCAAGCTCAAGCTTAAACCCGTATATCCTACCAGTAGTTCGTCAGAAGCTCATACACTCGAGTTCGAAATTGGTAGTTTACGTGGAATTCACATCTTCATTTTTGAAGCAAAACACGCTCCTTTACACATGTAATTGTATTTCACATAAATTTCCGATAAACGAATTCCGAACATCATCTGCTTTGCACATTACTATAACAAAAGGGTGGGCGTGGAACATCGACGAGTTGATTGTATGAAGTCAATAGGAATAAGTCATACAAAAGCACAGAAAACTAAGATCGCACGGCTACAGTAAAACGGAACGCCTCCTACCATTCGCCCACCCGCACTACATACTTACGAAAATTACTGCCACCCCTCTCCGGCATTTCGTACCAATATCCTTGCATTATTAACGAACGCCCTAATCAGTTCATCAAAGGCAGATTGTTCTATCTCGCTTGCATTAGGGTCGCGACGTTTCATAGCGGTGTAGAGGAGGTAGTCTGGTCGCGCGAGTTCGACTTCTAGTTCATGTAGGACTTCAGGCTGCGTGCGAAAGCAAACGTAATGAGTGGACAAGAGTCTTGGAGAGACCAGTAAACTTTTGCAAGAGACGTACTTTGGTGTTGGGACCTCCAGAGGAAGTGACCTGTGTGAGGTCAATGACGAACTCCTCGTGCGAGTAACTTAGGCGGTCCTTTTTACGCGAATGGGTAGAAGACCCTATTGGTGGTGGAACTACAAGTGAAAGACGTTCGTAAACCTTCCTCGTGATGCGCCACAACCGTCCACATACCTGGAACTTCCAGATTCACGCTTATACGCCAATCGGCCGCTCGTTTGGGACTGTATATGTCCAAACTGCCGAGCCGAATTTTCTTCAAGCATTCCTTGACTTCTCCCGTCCTTTCGTCTCTCGTTACACGAATCTTCTCTCTGTCGCGTGGGTTGTCCGAGGGGTAGAACGTGTCGATAAGATGATGGTGTTGGTATTCAACCGGACTGGATGATTGACCTGGTGTCGTTTTCAGTTTGTTGAGGAGCTGGTTAAAATGTTTGTGTTGCATCTAGGTAAAAGGGAATAGATGACAGGGACGAGCAAGGATCTGTGTTGTTTGAGAGTGGCGATAACATGAAGAGATGAATAACTCACTGGTGACATGTTGGACTCGAATCGGCTTTCGGTATAATTGGGTGAAAGTACTGCAGCGACAATTCTTCATCGATACCGCGAAAGACAGTGGATAACCATGACACTTACTGGTCTCCACGAGTATCGGAAGTTGTAATCTTTGTCCAGTACCCTTGTCTCGCAAGACACCCACTTTCGCCTCAACCTCTACTAGTCCAGGACCTTCCGGCTTAGTCCTGATCATATGGTGTATGAAGTCAGCAACTTCTACGATGAACTCGTCTAATGGTTCTACGCCCAAGATACTGAGGGAAAGCGGAGGCAAGGCCGAGGAATTTGGAGGCATAGTGCTAGGGTGTCCGTTGGATGATGAAGGTGAGGGTGTACGTCTCGCACGTTTAAGAGGTCTGTTTTCGGAGTCTGAGTAGTGTCCGTTGTCCATTGTCCAAGTCAGTCGGAGAACAGTTTCGCGGTGGTTCACTTTCAGAACGATCACAATGAGCTCAGGGCAAGGCCGCAGGGGGTGGTCTCGTTCCGGGCAAGCTTAGACGCGTTTGGAAAAAGGATTTCGATAAGATGTTAGATCAACGCTCTTCCCGTTATCAGATTAGATAATTTTACCCCGCATTTCAAGTTCACACTCTTTCTCCTCCTCTCTCACCTTCAAACATGCTCCGTACAGCCCGCCGCTCATTTTTACCTTATAGAAGTCTTCAGAGGCATAGAGGCCTTGCAACTGCAACGCCCATTATACCCGCTAATACACATGGCCATCTGCCCACCTCTCAGTCACCCATAACACCGAAGTTGCACTTCTTTAACTCGGTTACACCGGATGGAACGCAGATACCCACTTATCGCGTTTTAGACGGTGTTGGGAACGTCTTAGAGGGTGCTGATTTTCCTGAGGTATACGCTATTTTTTGTATAACGCGACCATACGAGCTCAACTCGATTAATACCTGAAGATCGACCGAGCACTCGCTCGCAGAATGTGAGTCTTGCTTCCTAGATTTCTGGGGAGCATTTGAATCCTTTACACTGTCTGGTTGCAATGCTCATAATGCAACGGGTATGCTCCGAATCCCATTGAATGCATAGCTTCGGATCTCGAGCTCTCCCGTGCGCCGGATACAAAGTTAGAATAGATGTTGACGCCTCGTCTTAGGTACGAACAAATGTTACAACTTCCTGTAATTGACAACTTGCTTTACAATGTGCAACGGCAAGGAAAAATATCTTTCTATGTGAGTATTATATTCAATGAGGCGTAGTCGCTTTGCTAATGCCGTCTTTGTGTAGATGACTGCGGTATGTACATAGTTTGTTGGCTGTCTGTGACATTTTCTCACAATTGTCTATCTAGCATGGTGAAGAAGCAACACTTATAGGTTCGGCGGCTGCTCTTGCGGATGATGATGAGTGAGTTTGATCATATTATTGTACGCACCGAGAGCTCACAAATCAAAGCGACTAGGATATTAAGTACGTTCACCTGTAGATTGATTTAACATCAGCCCATGAACGTCAAACAGGTCAATATCGAGAGATGGCTGTTTTATTGTGGCGAGGTTTCGGGTTCGACGAAATCATGGCCCAATGTTTCGGGAATCATGAAGATACCTGTACGAAGGGAAAGCAGATGCCTATCGTCAGTTCATTCATCTATGTCTAACGGATACGCGCAACGGGCTGATTTCTATCATTTGCCTGTTGGTAGCACTTCGGATCGCGAGCACACCATTTTCATACCATTTCTTCAACGTTGGCAACACAAATCCCGCAAGCTGCGGGAGTCGCCTTTGCGCTGACACGCGATCCTCTAAGGCGGGGGAAGAACTGCGCCGCTGTCTATTTCGGTGAAGGCGCAGCATCAGAAGGCGATTTCCATGCAGGAATGCTGTTAGGTATGCGTCCAAAAAGTTTTTTGAGTCTCATCATGTCCCGCCTCTCGCGATTTCCTGACCCCACTTGATGTTTACAGCTTCAACGATTCCGTCGCCGACGCTGTTCATTGCTCGGAACAACGGGTTTGCCATCTCCACTCCTGCATCAGAGCAGTTTCACGGTGATGGTATCGCAGCCCGGGGTCCCGGATATGGCGTTCATACTATACGAGTGGATGGCAATGATGTCCTTGCTGTCTACAGCGCCGTCAAAGAGGCTAGGCGACTTTGTCTTCAAGAGGGTCGTGGCGTCCTTGTGGAGGCTATGACTTATCGGTCAGTTCTCTTCCTCACTTTCGGTTTTAGTTTCGATATGGAAGGCTGTTACTGACAGGCAATGTTAACCAGTGTGGGACATCATTCTACATCAGATGATTCCTTTGCGTACCGCCCTCGTCAGGAAGTCGAAGATCGGAAGCGGATTGACAACCCCATCGCTCGGTTCCGCAAGTTCCTCGACGCGAGAGGTTGGTGGAGTGATGCGGAAGAAGACGCGTACAAAGATCGGGTGAAGAAGGAGATCATGAAAGCATTCAGGCGGGGAGAGACTATGCAACACCACCCGGTCTCGGAGATGTTTAATGATGTCTATGGCGGTCAGGAGCCATGGAATATCGTAAGTATTATCCATATTTTTTGACCTTCGTTTAAAGTCTTAATCGACTTTTTTTTCATGCAGAAGGAGCAAAGGGAAGAATTGAAGGCGCTCCTGAAGAAGTACGGGAAGGACTGGGAACCATGGAGAAACGAGTTGAAGAAGTTCAAAGGCGAGGGAAAGGAGCTTTCCGAGTGAACTGACTGATGCTGAGGCTGTGCTGACACGCATTGTATGCCTACATGTAAACCACTAAACACCCTCAAAAAGTATCAACTGACGCGTAAACACAAAACGCGACGCCATCACGTGGCTGCAAATTGCGATCACTGGGTGCGTCTAGATCGCTCATGTCGCCAGGACAACTGTTCAGCTCGAACACATGTAAAACGCAACTCTAACCTTGGGATGAAAAGTTGCTTCAAAAGTTCCGCAACGCGTTTGACATGACAATTGCATTCTCCTAAGTATTGTTCCGTAGGCACTTTCTGTCGGCTTCAATTGCAGGTTTTGATTGAATCCTAGTGTCTGTTCCGTTCACCTTGACGACGCGCCCCGTCTCGCTTGGGAAGCGGACGGAATCGAGGATGATGTATCTAATCATCAAAGCTGACAGGCACCTTTTAGGATTGGGTGGAATCATTTCGTGATACCGATCCAGTTGAAATGTTATATCATATCCCTCGGCCCAGATTGCTTCACCAGCTCAAGCTGCTCTCTTTCACCCACGACAAGGACAAGGCTTGCTGGCCCCCTCCTCTACTTTCGTTCTTCGTCTAATGTCTTGCTAGACTCGACTTTGCGACACTCACTCGTGCTGTGTTCAGCCCAAACTTACTTGCTCTTCACAGACACCGCACTCTAAGCCATGCTCTCAGTCATCGCCCTGGTTGTCGTCGTCGCATTTGGTCCGCGCTCTGCCTTTTCCCGGTTCAACTCGGTTTTGTTTTCTCCTGTCCAGCAGTGCGGCTCTTTCAATATTCTCTTTTCAGGAGGCAAGCCTCCTGCGTCCCTTCCTTTAACGTTGACCGTCGTTCCTTTCAATTCCACTCCCATTCTCATCACCATTCCTCGCTCCAGTTGGGACTCTGCCACTGCGACGGGAGCTGCGGTGACGTTCCTACCGTTTGCTGCGGAAACAGAATTCGTCGCGTCGTTGGACGATACTTATGGGAATCCCACGGGTGCTACGTCGGATATCATGAGGGTTTCGCCGTCAAGCAACACCTCCTGTCTCCCTGATGCATCTACTACTCCACCTCCAAGATATACTGTAGCAGACCCAGCTGATTTACAGGAATGTCAGCCATTCAATGTGCTGTACGACCCGACAGTTGTGGATGTTCCACCACTTGTTCGAGCGTTCATTCCTAAGGGCAATTCAACCTATCTGAACCGCACTGAGACATTCACAGCAGGAGATACCGCATATATCATGGCCGTACCTGGGAATTCACAAGTACTCCTAATGTTCAGTGATGACACCGGGTACAAGCAGAGCACTGATTTGCTCGCGGTGGGTGCTTCGTCGAATATGACCACATGTCGTCCTCTTCCCGACTACCAAGCGGGTGATGTTGCGCCTCAGCAATTGTCATCGAAACAAGGTGGCCTCTCCAGGTACTTACGTCTTTTGTGTCAAGATGTTTTATTTTACTCAATTCCTGTTCCTGTGTCGTCCTGGTAGGACTGCTATCATAGCGATTGGTGTTGCCTCTGGCTCAGTCGTGGGAGGGATCGCTTTGACAATGGCGGTTTGGGTCTATCTGCAACGGCGCAGGGCGGACAGCGACAAAGCCAGCAGTCTCGAAGAAGCTTCACACGATCCGGATACATTCCACGGGGGATTGAAGGGGAAGACAAACTTTCTTTCCCCATCCTGGCCAGATCCGGGTCCCACAGTCATTGAGAAGAAGTCTAATGTCAAGACACCTTCACAACCTAGGCTTGACGACGATGTCACACAATATGTCAAAAATCCGCCTTACGCAGATAAGACACTTGGACTCATTTCTCCGACATCCCCACAATATCGTCGTGATGTCGTCCCATCTCCCGATCCTGCATTGGACTTGCCTATCTCATCTATTCCTATCCCCACTGTAACTCCCATTCCGTTTGCAACACCCACACCGCCGGATTTACGGCCCGCTCCTTCAAGTATTCCTTCCGTTGTCAACTCACCTCCAGGCAGTATCTCGCGACCAGATTCGCTTTGCTCAGACGACATTGAACAGATATTAGAGATGGCAACGATATACAGTCCCGTGGAACAAAGTAGACGTTCCGTCGAACGCATGGAAACCGTGACACTGGCTTCTACCGTACATTCCACTGCTGCCAGCAGTAGATATGAGTCGCATGTGCCAGAAATGCCCATGCCATCGAGTCGACCGGATGCAAGAGGTGCAGATGTGCCGAGTGCGTCCCAATGGGTTACGAGGCCGACGTCTGCTTCTGAAGATGGAGTAGCAGGTCCTTCTTCTCTCCCGTCACCCGCGTCTTCAGGGCAATGGGCGACTCAGAGAACGCTAACTCCTGATTCCTATGCATTCCGGAGTCCACCGCAGGCACCCATGCCTACGACGCCATTGTCGGAGTTCATGTCTCCGCCGACATTCCCAAGGGGAATGTCTGATGACGTTAGTAGCCTAAGGCTGAGTGGGAGGCCATTTGAGGGGAGACGCAAGGCTTCACGAGTCCTACCTCTCGAGATACACTCGAGGCGAAACACGGAGGATTCGGTCGTGTCCATCCTTCCGAACATGGACAAGGGACCTCGTAGATGATTACTGTATACGATCTGTATACAGGGAAATGTCAGGATTCTTCATATCTGCTAATCGCACACTGCTAGTTTTTCAAGTTCCCATCGGTCATTATATTGAGTTTCTGAGCTCCCCATTTTACCTGTATAGACTGTCCATGCTTTCGCCTCCATTTTGTTGTTTAAACTGATGTTTCCAACCTTAAGCAGAACATTCAGGTGCCTTTTTGCTCAGATCTGTATCAATAGTTGTGTTATAGTCGGCTGTACAGTAGTGTAGTCATGTTGTGCATGAGTCGACACACTGATTAACAATGCGTTAGAGATACCAACCTCTCGATCCTTCGAATGCACTTCTGCTCGGCATGCCTTCCTGGACTTGATGTTCGGCTGATAGAAGTCTAGAGAAGTGTGTGAAAGAGAGGACAAGCCAGCAATCATGAAGCGCGACGAAGCACTAGTCGAGGCTGAATGCAGAATGCCCTGATGCAGTCGACGAACCGGTCGGTACACCCTTGTGGTTAGGTATCTGAGCAATTGTTTTCAAATTTGTATCCGTGAACTTTTCATCACTTGAGGACGTACCAAGCACTAAAGCAAGATTCTTCAAAGCTAAGTGCCTGCTCAGGCGTTCAAGTCATCCTTGGGCAGTTTGGCAGCTTCTTCTCGAGCCTTTCGGCGAGAGCCCGTCAGAAGTTCTACATAGTCTGCACCACCGAGAACATGGCCATCGCCCTCCTTCCGCTTTGTCGCCTTAGATTTCAGGTTGGTACGCTTCTTCTGCTCCTGAGGAGCTGCTGAAGCAGATGGCTTATTGTGCTGTTGAGTCCCTGCTAGAAGCGTGCTCTTCTTGTACTGAGGTGACCCCGGGATAAGACACTGACGACATACTACGAATATACCACGTACTTTCTTAGCGACTTTTGCACTGCGGCCCATGCTAAAGGAACGATACAGACTTGAATTCGGTCGGAAATTGGAATTGCCTAAGCTTTAAAATGATCAAGACATTACACTATTGATGACATTTCTCAGTAAAAATGATAGCGCCGATGGGGTAGTGGTAACCTGGGTCGTTGCCATTCGAGAATATGATCTCGACCCGCCGGGGGTTCAATTCCCTCTCGGCGCATTTGGATTATCTGTTTTTTCTATGAGCATTATGGATCAAGCGTCTTCAAGACGGCGCTCAAATAACCGCAGATGCAACTTTTTTTTTTTTGCAAACGTTCAACGTTCTTCAACGTCCACAGATCAGCCTCTGTGACAAGATGTCAATTCATTGCCTTTCATTCCTTTCATGAGCACCGTTCTTATTTACAGTAGTGTGAAGGGCTCTAATGATAGCAAAGCAGTCACAAGAGTCGTAATTGTGCAGCTGTTATTGCACCATGAAACTTCACTGCGGTAATCAGTCAGCATTGCCATTGATACAAACATTGATGCAGGTATTCTTCGTGGATCAACAACGTTGTTTGATAGTTATTGAAGTCCCGAGAGCTGCACATTTGTGCAAAACCCCCCAGTGGAAACTTCACCTCCTGTTTCCACTGCTATTCGCTCTCGCAAATTGATACGAAGCATCCTGACCCCTCTAACTCACCACTTTTGGTGTTTGCGTTAAGAGGTGGCTCGTTCCGCTGTCGGATATCTAGTAGATTCATAAATACAGTCGTTGAATCCAATACTCTACAATTTTGTCTCCCAGACTGTTACAGTACATAATTGACAACAGCAAAACCTATACGACACGACTACGAAGAGGATACAAAGGTATTAGATAGATATTAATCTTCCGAAATTCGTTCGAAGAATTGCTTCAGAGTTCCAGCCAGGACATCAGGTAGTGCTTCCACATCTCGGACCACCACATAATACTCGAAGGGGAAAGTGTCAAGATAACGGGACACTGTAAGATCCATCCGACCTTCAACTTCCTTATACGCGACCTGATTCATTGAAAGAATCGAGTTCTGTCCCTGATTGGATACCTCGCCCATCGGATTTCCGGAATGCCCAGTATGTAACGAGTCAAGGATGATAAACACGACCATGACCCGCTGCTCTTCTGCCTTCCGTAGGATCGTACGCAAACGGTCGTGATCCTGACAAATGCCATCAGATATGATGATCTCCATCTGCCATAGATCTCCCGCAGAAGCAGAGGATGTTGACCGACGCTCACGAGCCTCCTCGAGCAAAGACAAACTCCTTTCTACGAGAGACAGCACTTGGGTAGCCTTCTGGTTGAAATGGAATGCATCCATGATTGTAGTCCCCGCCTGATCAGTGAAAGGTCCCTGATCGAAACCATGGAGCACTTCGACGGATTCGCCAAACTTTGCAATCGCAATGTCACCTACTTCGAGACGACTCAGGGCTTTGGATACAAGCGCCAACGTTTGATACGCAAGGTGGACGGAATGAGACTCAGACATAGAGCGAGAATCATCGAGAGCAACCAGGACTTGATATTCTCTTTGACTGGGCCTTGTGCGACGGAGCCAAATTTTGTCCTTGGTGTACTCGCTGGCAATGTACGGAATGATCTTCTTCATGTTGAGTCTCTTGCCCGTACGATAGTCTCCCTTCAGTCGGGTGGCCATCGTAGGTTCAAGAATCAAACGCAGTTGCTCGCAAAGGGCATAAGATAGATCGTGGGTCAGCGATTCGTAAAGACGCCAGATGTGTTCGGCCTCGGTGGATGGTTGGCCTTGAGCTTGCCATTGGCGAAGCTGCCGTTCCACCAGGTCCTGCGCGTCTTCTCCAGTTTCGCTCGAGGGTACAGGGGGTCCAACAGCATCAACACCCGAGGAAGCCAATTGTGAACGAACGTCAGATGGGATGAGTGCGCCATCGACATCTTCTCTAGGAGCATTGGGACCTTCCCGTGCTTGCTCCTGAAGTCTCTTGGACGGATAATCGACATACTCCGGTTCAAGGGAGGGTTGATCTTCCGCCATGGCGATGTTGGAGTCATCTTGCATTTCCTCATCGGCAATTGTCAGCTCGTTCAACTTCGCTATTTCGTCGCGGCCTGCAGGTCCAAGAGCATGCATCTCAGATTCGGTTTCATCCGGTTGCAGATACTCCAACTGGCCAGCCGTAGTGGCATCCATCTGTTTGTCTTTGTGATCGCATGATCCCTCGCTCTCGAGGATCTCATCGAAGCGTTGAGTGATTTCCCGCAAGGCATCGCCGAGGCTGCGTAATGGATTGCTAGATAGGCGTGGAACTTCCGCTTGAGACGATATTCCTGCAGAACTCCTTTGAGTGCCCGTCGCCGTAGCATCGGCAGACTGCTCAATCAATGCGTTTTCAGTTTGGAGTTCCTGCTCAGAAGAACCGGTGGCACTGCGAAGATTTAGTAAATAGAGAAAGAGGCTGAGGTAAAGAGGAACTTACTCTTTGTTTTGCTCTTGACTGTCGGTCTCTTTCTCAGAGGGGCCCGCAGCCTGTCCGCCTCGAGCTTGTGGTGCACCGTCTGATTCTTTAGATTCGACGGCATCGGCAGTTGTATCGGCAGTCGTGATGTTGCTATCTCCAGTTCCATCACCACTGTGGACGTCGGCCTGTGCAACAGCTGCGTCTGGTTGGTTATCCTCAGAGCTCTCTTGTTCTGGTCTGTCGTCGTTCAGATCGTTGGTATCCTCGTATTTTCCCGTTTCCTCCTGACCAGAATCTACATCCATCTCGTCATCTTGATGGTCAGCAGATTCAGGAGGCTCAGCATCCTCTCCCAAGTCTTCCGCACCGCTCATATCCTCGTCTTCATTACCAATCTTTATATCTTGCCCGTCTTTGTCCATATCCATATCCAAGTCGTCTGGTAAGTCGAGGATCTCAGTGCTCTTGAGGTGTTCGTCGATTGGTGCACCTTCGGCCCCAGCTTCTTCCGGTACTTCCTCCTCGCCAACCTCCTCCGCTTCTGCTTCTTCAGCAGGAGCTTCTTGTTTGTCTTGACCTTCTTGTGCATCGGAGGGCTGGTTCTGACTGTCTTGTTTGGCTGCTATCTGCGAGTCACCACTCTGCTTGCCATCGTCTTTACTTGGCTCCTTTGACGTATCGTCTTCGTCCTTGGGGCCAGGCTCGTCGCCCCAGAGTTTCTCGTCAATAGTGTTCTCATCAGAAGCGTCAAGATCTCCCAGCTGTTCATCTAAATCCTGTTCACTTCCTTCCTCCTCGTCACCTTCGCCATCTTCGGAGGCGGCGTCGGGAACATCCTGCATCTTGCCACCAATATCCTCACTCATCTCTACTGCATTACCTTCCTCCGCTCGCTCCACATCCTCATCTTCATTGGTCTCATCTTCACCCTGCAATCCTTCGACCTGACTTTCGTCTTGAATTTCCTTGCTGACGTTCTCCTTGCCCGTGCCCTCACCTAGACCAGTCCCCTCGACGGCTTCCCCTCCTTCATCTCCGGTTTCACCTTCCTCAGTCTCCTTTGGTTGACAAAACCCTTCCCGAGAGACCGTGCGTACGATGGACGCTAGTACAAGATTGAGTTTGAAAAGCGATCGAGTCCATCCAGCATGCATTTGGGCTTGTGCCTCAACCAAGATCATAAATTCATCTAAGAAGGGTGCGAATCGTCCGACACATGGTTGTACATCACTCTGAGGCAGAGTAGATAGCGTTTCGATGGCGGCATCGACTTCGTCGGCAACAGAATCCAGATTGAGCTTAGAAGTCAAGCTGATAGCCAATGCCACTCCATCGCGGATGAAACCGTCAGGAGCCTCCGCATCTTGAGAATGGTCGGGAGTATTACTAGCAATTCGCACAAGCGACTGTATGGAAAGCAGCAGTGGTTCGATCAAGAAGTCCTGGTTGGTTTGGGTCATTTTAGGGCCAGCTGAAGGCTCGGGCTGAATCTTCGACGCAAGCCACGAGTGGATGGGCTCAAAGTACTGTCGAAGTTGCGGCGTTGATACTGTCCAATCATTGAGTTTTCGCAGTATCTCGGAAAATGATTGCGTAGCCGCCGCTATCGCAACCACCTCATCTAGTTTTTCGTTAGTAAGAATGCCATGATATGAACCATAGAGTACCTACCACGCAACAACACTGGGTGCCGAGATTGAGTTACTTTAGACCACACTTCTTGCAACGCCTGTGCGTGTCCTTGAAGGCTCGTAGCGAGGTTCTCCAACTCGTTCTTCGTTGGGGAAGAGATGTCGATCTCTGCTCGAAGGTGATCTAGATGATCACGGAGTTCTCTCATTGCGTCAGCCGCTTTACCAGCTGTATCTTTTGCGTGTAGAACAAGCGGTAGCACCCCAGGACCAGACAAAAAGACGCCGCCAGCAGACGCAATGGCATGAATACGGGAACGGAGACCATGGAGGCGCCTCAATGTGGTAAAGGTATCCGCGAGCCTGTGGTGAGGAGCAATAAGATTGAAATTCACAATCAGCCAGAGGGGTTCCTTACCTGGATCTGCTCCGCAAAGCAAAGGTAAAACTAGACTCCACAAACATAAGACTACGTTGAAGGTCTCGGGTGGATAGGTCGTCATGATGGTTGGACAAGGCTGCCCTGATATCCGGGAGCGCACTAAGCACTCTGTAGAAATAATCTTCGATATCCTCCGTGACCTCAGCAAAGTTCGGCGTGGCAACGAGAAGTGGCTGCTCTCGAAGCCATCTCATGCTCTGCTGGTGGGCCAGTATGTCAGGCTTGACGTTGGCGGAAAGACCTGCTCGTTTCAGTTCCTTCATGAAATCGCTCCACGCCTTCCGTTTACGAGAAAGCAGGTTTTTGAAAAATTTACCACGTTTCGCAGGCTCGAGATTGGTCGGTATGCTCGATTTGGACAAGGTCTCCACGGTAGAGAGTACGTCTTCCGCAAGTTCATTCACTGGGGCCGCCGAGCGAGAAGTTACGAAAGGCACCATCCGAGCCTCGATATGATTCCTAAAGTTCCTAAATGTCTTCGGTAAATCAACAAGATGTGGCGGGCAATCAGGGTGTGCATGTCGCTCTGGGAAGTACGGGTCTGCAACCCTGTTCGTAGGCTGAATCATTGCGACAGCTGTGCACCCATGCTTTTGAGATAGCTTGCGTGCGTTATCTTCAGCAAAAGACTGCAAGATATCAGCGACCGGCTGTCGGAGAATGTCCCGGAATTTGCGAATGTTCTTGTACAGCAGACGATGCGTCTTCTGAGCGCTTTGCTTGAGGGCTTGTACGTTGACGTCGCGCCAGCTGGCGAGTTTGATGAACCCTCTGATTTCCTTCTCCAATGCTGCTCGTTGCTCGGAGAGCCGAGTGGAAATCTTTGATTGATGTTGAGCGAAATGACGACGCGACGAGCACAAGATGACATGAACACGGGAGAGAGCAGATTTGTGTGGATCGGAGTGAAGAGCTGCCAAGCGGCTGACGAAAACCTCCATGGATTGAAGAAGTCCTAAACGTGCGGAATAGTGGCCTATCGGGCTAGTTGTCATGAAGTCATTCAACAGCGGAAGCAGGCTATCCAGGTATGCCGTAGTGCTCTCTCCGGTATCTCTGGATTCTTCAGCCGCGTTCAAAGTCCCGCTGACAAGAACTTCGTACAGGCGGAACCACCATTCTGAGAGCCCGGATGTGAATGCCTTCGCTTGTGTTTCCAGAATGCCTTGCCAAGATGAGAGTTCCAAGCGTCTCCAATCCACGATCTGAGTGATCAGGATTTGTCTCTGATTTTTCAGGGAATTGTCACGATTCGCAAATTGCTCCCAATCCTCACTATGAAGAAGCAATTGCTCCAATGCGGACAGAATCTTGGCGACCGGACTGGACAAGGAAAGATCCGTGATAGCCTCACATCTGGATTTTAGATGATGGAGCACCATTTGCTCTGGCCAATCCGAGATGAGTGATTCCAGACGCTCCAGGAAGGCCTGAATGACAAGATGACCTTTCCTCGTTTCGGGTATATTCGCATCTAAGTAGAAATCATATCGCTTGTCAGAATCTTGAGAAGGTGTGAGCAGACTTTGGATTCTTCGGTTCAAAAGGTTAAGGCGGAATGGTAGACTATGCGAATCGAGGCCCTCCGATAAGGTGGCGATATAGGGAACAACTAGCTCTTGCGATAAGCGAATCCGTGAGTGACTGAAGAGTGGGGAGAGTCCGCTGCTCGACTGGTGGCTGTTGTGACCCGGCAAAAAGAGCATTTGATGAACGTCGTAGAGTACCTTCGCATCTTCCAGTTCAATCAGCTGGGGACTCCTCTTGGATGACTTCGGTACTTGAGAATCATCTAAAACGTCTTCGAACTCCGGAAACAAGTCACGGAATTCCTCTTCTTCAAGCTCTGCTTCGTTTGAGGCATCATATTCTGATTTCTTTTGGCGATAGAGGGACTGTGCTTCACGTTCCCTCTCCTCTGTTCGAGCTCGATCAAGCATCCAGAGACCAAACGCCCGCTCATAGACAGATTTGATCTCTTGGATATGGGCATCCGTAACGTCTCCAAGAGCCGCCTGATAAAATATGGCAGACAATCGAGCGATGAGCGATGTGAAGGTTAAGGGCATCGCGCCTTCTAAGCCGCCCACGGAGATCTGCTCTGCGCTGCTGATGGTAGGAAACGCTGCAACGGAGAGGGCGAGGGCATCCTTAGCTGAATCAGTCGGATTCATCGACGTGTGACAGACAATACGGAGACCAAACTTGAGGAAATGAAAAGCAAGCTGAAGCGGCTTGTTCATGTCCTCAAAATCACCATAAAGAATGGTCAGACGTTGAGAGAAAGCTACGAGGCTCTCTTGCACAATACGTTCCCGCGAGAAAGCTGATGCGTCAGGAACCTCGAAGCTAGACAGTAATGCTTGAAGCTTGGTAGGCGACAGAACGTGTTGCAACAATTGGTCTACTTCGGCCCAGTATGAATGGAGGCGGGATAGGTCTTTGCGCGAGTCGACCAGAGTTGAGTGTTCCGAGCCAAGGCGTTTGCATATGTCTTCAAGTAACAATTGAAGGAAGCGAATCGTATCATTCGAGTCTGTCCCACTGACGCGCCTTTCTAGTTGAATGTGCAAATCGAGTTGCGCAGAAGCTGTAGCTTCTTCCTCGCTGTGGAACTGGTGAGCACAATTACGCAAAGCTGCAGGATCGATTGGAGCACTGGGTACGAAGAGCTCCAAGACGAGTTGTCCGAGAGCTATCCAACTGCGCCCGAGTTGATTTAGCACGCTTCGGCTTGTTTGGGTCGGCTCCAGAAGTTGCTGCAACGGTGGCTTCAAAATCAGATTGAAGGCATTGGATATGGGTCCAGACTTGGTATGGCTGAGTATCGCAAGCACCTCAGGCAGAACCGTTTGCCACGACGAGCCGCGGTTCACCGCATTCGCGATGAGCTCAAGAGATTCGCTGACAGAAGGTGATCGGAAAGGCACAGCGACCTTCGAAATATGGTCTGTCACTACAAGTGCTCCAGTGAGCTAGACAAGAACACCTACCAAGAGGACACTTTGAACGAGCATGCTGGCAAGTTCATCAGTTCGTTTTTCTTGTCCAAGCCGTAGCAAAGCTAGACTTCTGTGTTGTTGCAATGATACGTCGTATGAGGCGAGAGATCCTAGGGTTTGGTCCTTCCAGTCACTGTCAAAGTTTGTCAGGCGACTATACTATATTTTGAGGCAATGCAGAGGACTCACCAGAGGGTCATCGTACGAATGAATTCAAGAGGAATGCAAAGCAATGCAGGACCCTCGATCTGTATATCATCATTAGCAACGACACACAGTAGATCATATCAAAGAATATACGTACAGAATTCACACCTGGGGTTGACCACAGCGTCTCGAACCACTCTCGGTGCAGATTAGCCACCGAAGGCAGCTTTGCTATTAAGAAGCGTGAAGAAGCGTCAGTTCATCTAAGTTTCCAACGTGAAGCCAAACTCACAGATGCCAGCTTCATCCGCCCATGTTAAACAGACATATGACACAAGACGATGGAGCGAAGAGCTTGAATCTTCATAACTCAGTTTCAGTCGCTTGCGCATGGTGGATAACACAGTCTACATGGTTGTCAGCATGCAATGGGTAAACAATTCGTGTTAATCATACCTCGGGAATGGAAACGGTGTTCACAGGTAAGAGTCGGGAAAGAATTGCGAGTTCCACGATAAGGACGAGAACATCATCCGGTTTACGTGGAACATCGTCTACTGATGCGATGCCAGGCTCCTAAATGTGTTAATTCAGAAGCACATGTAAATTCGAACCATGAGTACTTACAGATCTCAATTGTTCCGTCAAAATGGCCATGCTGTGTTGTTCTTCATCGCGATCTATAGCTATGGTGTGCATGGCCATAAGTTCGTGTATACTGGATCGCAACGCTAGGATGGATGAGTAGGGCGCATGTATGTAAGCTGACAATATCTCTTACCTGGAGACCCTTTATGCGCAGCACGCTCCAAAGTAGCGCACTTGGGATGTGCGTCTGAACGGTTTACGGAATGCATTGCATCCCATAGCTCCAAAATCCCGTGTCCAGACGAGAGTGACATCGTCTCTACGAAGGCACGAGCTCTGACCTCGATTTCATAGAATTCCTGGGGCTCCCCTCGGAAACAGTCAATGAACCACCCGGCAGCAACATGAAGTGCAGAGAAATCCATAGGGTCAGCTGTCAATGCTCGCAGCAAGTATTGTGAAAAAGCCACAAGTTTCAGCAAAAGCTTCACTTTGCTCTACAACCATGGTATGATCAGCGGAGGAAAGTGTAAGTAGGCGAAGAAGCACTCACGGCTTCATCTAAACTATCGGCACTGACAGAGTCTGCGTGATACTGACTCGTGCCGGCAACGATTTGCACCAAAGCATTCGCATCGCTCTTGACATGCTGTGATAGCATGTTCGGCTTGTTCGAATGCCAGTTTGGGCGTGACTCTGAAGAAGAAGCAGCAGTAGCAGCAGCAACCACAGCATCCTTTAACGCCTTCGACGCCACAAATAGACGCAAAAGGAGCAGGTTCAAAGTCGATAGATCGTCGACAGGTATGGAAACCATGGACTTCAGTGATAAACGCGACAACTTGAGATCATTGGGCTAACGGAACAAGCTTTGTGTTAGCCTTGAGATGAGGCATAGGCTAAGGGAGAAATAATCACCTGGGCAGCAAGGACATCGTGAGCAATTTGGTAAGTAACGCTCCACTGCTTTCTCATGGACTGCGAAAGCGAAAAGAGATGCGACGCTGAGAAGTCGCGCAATACGCTCGACAGCACATGCAGATTGGCCCCACGGAGGAATCGATTTAGCTGGGGAATATAGGCTTGTAATGCACTTTGCACAACGAAGTATGAAAGCGCTAGAGGATGTTGAACTTGCGTATATAGTGGAGGGTGTAATTCGAGAGCGGAAACTAGCGGAGAATCTTCGCCTAGCAATGCCATTGTTGGAATGCGAGTATCGGGAATTGTCCCGAATATTGATGACCCCCTTCGGATGAAAGCATAACGTGCATGCAGAGCGAGACCCTCACCAACCAAATCTACATATGCGCTAGGGAGACGAAGATGGTCAACCAACATCCTGTGATCCTCGCGGCTTCGATGTGGCAAAAGTGCGATCTCTACCCCTCGATTTCTCATAGCGCGAGAAAGATCTCCATACTGAGGACTCACACACATAAAAAGGCGGAAGCCGGGATGTGGCCTAATTGTCTGCACCTGGCCGTCGGTGGCACCCTTCTCATTCAGCGTGAGATAGCCGTTGATCTCACAGAGGGCGTTGAGCCGATCGAGCACCGAGGGGCTGCACAAATTTGCGTCATCGAGGAGCAACCAAGAACCCTCCTTCAGAGCCGTTACTAATGGACCATCAACCCATTCGAAGCGACCTATCACGGATGTAGTTGAAAGTACTGCCAGTTTTGAGACCAGAGTGTCATAAATCGGCAACTCCGAAGCCATGTCTTGTAGAGACAGACGTAATGTTGAAGCCGCCTCCAAAATTCGATCAAGGTAGCCGGAAGACTGAACAGCAGAGGTACTGTGCACCAGAGATCTAAAGTCAAGCGCAAGCTGAAGCTTTGAACCGTCAAGCGAGGTGGCCAGTTCATCCAAGACAACCGTGATGGAATCAAGAATGTGCATAATTCGGGAATGCACATCCACCTCCTCGAAGCTTCCCAAAAGATCGTTGGCATCGGTGGCGGAATTGATGGAGATTTCACGAACTCTTCTTCCAGCTAGCGCGGCCATTGTTCGTACGAGGGTTGATTTTCCGACACTATGAGGTCCTGTTAGAATGGTCAACCATCGGTTCGCGACGCACAGTCCAACAGATTCATCGGCTGATAGTTGAGAGTGTAGTAGTCGACCTGTGCGACGACCAGACGTTTGTCCGTGCCTTTCCATATTGAACAAGCCAACCTGAATATGGGAAGGCGAAATGGTTGGCCGCGGAATATCTCGGGGTGCAGCATCGAAATCTGCAAAGATAGCATCGAAGAGGACACAAGCTTGCCCTCTATCGGTTTCATTGCGGAAACGTTGTGAGAAGACCGTAGATAGGAATTGTCCAGGTTTAACCGAACGCGCGTTACGAAGGAGCGAGCCCCACCTGATCACGTCGCGCAGATTGAACTCCCAAGGAGAACCCTCGCGACCAAAGCTTTGCTTCACCATTGTTTCCTCGTGCAGCCTTGTAGTGAATATAATCATGGCGCGCAACAGGTCCGCTGAAAGTTCAGGGAACAGGTGCTGGCATACGATTAGGATGTCTTCATTCCTGAGCTCTTGTACATACACCTTAGTGAACCTGTTCAGGAAAGACTTTGGCAATCCCTTCCGTCCGCCACCCTGGTGTACGGGGTTCTGAGCGGCAAATATACGGAAAGACGGGTGTCTCGTGAACGATCGTCCTAGTTCTGGGATGTAGACCGTTCCTCGATGATCTAACACTGCGTTGAGGCCCTCGAGAATAGCCTGAGGCGCCAGATTCATTTCATCGAGCAGAACCCAATGTCCCTCTTGCATTGCTCGCAGGAATTCTGCATCCTTCCAAGCAAATTGTCCGGGAGCTTCTCCTTCAACCGGAAGATCTGAACCGAAGAGGTCGATAATATCCGTTTGGTCGGACAAATTGATTCGACAGAGATCATAACCACAAATATTGGCCAGGGCGGTGACCAGACTAGTCTTGCCAACACCCGGACTGCCTTCGAGTAGGATGGGTTTGGGAAGTTGACATGCCCTGATGACACGGCTGACATTGTCACGCGTAGTGGGAGCCCGAAAACTGAAAAGATCTGGCTGGCTGTCTTTGGGGCCTCTGGGTAGCGCAAAGGTTCCTAACTGGACCAGATCAGTGGTGTCAAATGTAGGATTCTGCCCCGGCGATGAATGAGCTGGTGGCACTAGCTCGTGGAGTCGAGCGATGGCCTCAGCCCTCAAGTTCTGAACGGCTGAAGGGGAGTATGAAGCTAGTTGGGGCAATGAGTCCAGCCCGTCCAAGAATGTCATGAATGCGGCATGATGCTATCGCTGTGATTAGTGAAAACTGAGCAAAATACACAACAACGAATCACTCACAAAGATATCGCTCAGAGATAAAGTAGAGTGCGAGGTAGTAGAATATACAGCGTTCGAGAAATGTACCCAGGCCTAGAAAGAGTTTAGTTGTCACACAAGCCGTCATCACAACTAAAACATACCAAGATATCTCGCAAACTAATGATAGATCGATCGGAGACCTTCGCGCTCAACCAGTCAGTGAAGTCAAGAAGAGGTTCAGTGAATGCCTTCAGGCAATCGTGTTTCCAAAGACTATTAACAATCTGCTCGAGATCTCGACGATCGGAAACTGAAGGAACCCATATTTCCGTGAACCTGTTGCGAAGAGCAGGGGATAGCTCCTTCTTCCCATAATCGCCACCAGGATTCATGGTAGCAACAAGTTTGAAATGTTCGTCTGCTTCTACGACTGGTAGGTCCGTCTCATCGTCTCCTCGTTCGGCTAGCACGACAGTGCGACTAGGCTCAAGAACGCTGTTAAGTCTTTCCAGGACTGAATCGTCGGCTAGCGAAATCTCGTCCATAAGGAAAACATCTCCCTTCCGCATAGCTTCGATTAAAGGGCCATCATACCATTGAAAGAGCGTTGACAAGCGTAGCGCCTTTGCACGAATGTCTTGGAGCTCTGAACGATGTGTCTCGTCGAGATCTTTCCTCTTGAGCAACGAGTCGAGAGTAGGAAGCAGTGTCTTGACATTGTTAATTCTATCTACTTCTCCGACATGAGGAAGTAGTACATTGAATTCTCGCAAGACCTCCGCCTCGACGATACCGCGATTCCTAACTGGCCGCAATCCACCAATTAAATCCGCAGTCTCGGTATTCTGGTGACAATTGACAGTATACAATTGCCTAGACAAGACCTGAGCATAGAGTTGGCACACCGACGTCTTGCCACAACCTGTTTCGCCAACAAGAAGTACAGGTTCGTTGAAACGAAGGGCACGAGCCACCAGTATAAAAAGTCGTTGCATAGCAGAAGTCCAGACGATGTCAGACGAAGAAGGTATTGGGCAGTCAAGATAGTCGATAGCGTTCCGCTGTGGGTTGTGTAGGTCATAGAGCCGGGCTTCGTCAATTCGAACCTTCATAATGGATTCGATAATCTCTTTGACTACGATCCTATCTTCTGTACGACGAGTACGTTCCGCCAAGAGCATGAATCCGTTGTCCGCGAGTTCCTGGTAATCGATGGCGTCTCTGCCTGCCCACCTGAACAAATCACGAAGAGTAGCAAATCCATGCTTGCTTTCGAAGATGCGACTGGTTTGTCGGCGCTTTTGAAGTTCCTCGAAGACAGCGACGATCTTCTGCCCATACGAAGGAGCGATACGGCAGCGTTGACAAAGAATAGTTTCTAATTCGACTTGTGGAACATCTTCGAAATGTACTTCCAAGAAACGATTGCGGAAGGCTCTCGAGAGGATTTTGCGACCTGCATACAAACCTGGAGGGTTCTGAGTAGCAAACAGCATAAAATGAGGGTGCGGTTTGACTACTTCCTGTGTTTCTGGTATCACCAACTCCCGATTGTCATCCAACAAGCGATTGAGTGCTTCCAAAACATCGGTCGGCGCCAAGTTCAATTCATCCAACACGATCCAGTCCCCTTGGCGGAGAGCACGAACCAAAAGGCCGTCCTTGAAGACAAGCTTGCCAGTCGTGGGATCGGAAACATAAGTGCCGATGTATTCTTGGATGTCCGTGTGTTCGTGGTTATTGATTCGAATGAACCGATGGCCAGTCCTCCTAGCCAGGTACTCGATGGAACTTGTCTTCCCACTAGATGTAGGTCCTTCGATGAGAACAGGGAACCTTCGCGTGACAATGATCCTTGCCAAATCCACTAGCTTTGTTTCAACCGACGGCGTCATGATGTAGTCTCCCATTGGATCCTCGGGTAAAGGACCACGCTCGAGATAGAACGGTCCAAACTTGATAAAGTTTTCCGGATGCTTGGGAGACGCAGGATCCCTGGCCAGGAGCGAACGGACGTTCTTCACGTTTGATAGTACGTGCTTTTGCGCGAGGGAAGTGACGATAGCGGCGCTAGGCTTGTCAAGAACCATGGTGAAAGCCATAAGACAACCCTCCCATAGTGCTCGTCTGAGAGAGTAGGCATTCGCGATATCGAATGTGAAGGTCAGAGCACGAGCCAATGTACGCATGCTAAAATGTGGCCGGTGATTCGAGCCGTCAGCGATTTCTCGTCGTTCCGCTAGCCGTCTAACGGCGGTGTAGAACTCGGCTACGTCCATGATCGCGCCCTTGTCACCGACCGCATAAGGACCAATGTAATGGCTCACGATACTGAGCAGAGTTTCTTGGTCAGCATCTGGAGGCGGGACGTCGATTTCGGAGAAACGAGAACGAATATTAGGCGTGAGATCCTTCTTGCCTACATCGGTTGCGGGGTTCATACAAGCGAACAGTCGGAAATCTGGATGCCGTTTCACTGGTTCGAGTGAGCCTTGCTCGGTGAGGGTAATGGATGCAGTTGGGCCATGCAGGAGACCTGAGATGCACTCGAGGGTCTCCGAGCTGGCGAGATTGACCTCATCGAGAAGAATCCTGCAAAAGAATGTAAGCATTCGTACGCATATAAAATCAAGCAACACACCAATGCCCCAAACGCAATGCCTTTACCAAAGGTCCCTCAACAAACCCAAAAGCGAACTTTCCATTCCCTTGGACGTGCTGTACTTCGAACGTCCGGACATCACGCTCAAACGCGTCCCAAGTGGCTTCAGAAACATTCAAGCTATTATGTTCAGTCTTCCTCCGTTTGCGCGGCGCTTCACCCTCTCTTGTCGGTGATTGCCTAAACAGAGAAGCAACGTTAAGCAAAATATTCCCCTATAAGTCCTGAGGCCATGAACTTACAACTGCTCTTCAGCAGCCCTCGCTTGAATCCTATCCTTGGCCATCTTCGCACTCTCTAACCAAAGCGCAACAGCCCTCCTCCACTTCCCTTCCTGGACAGCCTTCCTCACACCCTCCTCGAACTTAGCATTGCGCTTCCGACTGAATGTTCCACCAAATAGATCCAAGAATCTCGTTTGCAACTCTGATGCAGGTACTCTCGCATCTACAGGCTTAAACCCACCAATGATATCAGCGGACTCAGTCTGGTGGGACAAGTTGAGGGAGATAAGTGGTTTGCGAAGAAGTGATGCGAGGTGGGTAACCACACTCGTCTTTCCTGTGCCTGTTTCGCCGGTGAGAAGGATAGGTTCGTTCAATGATACCGAGGTTGCGATACGAGACATGAGAAGCACGGCGGGTTTGTGCATCGCGAAGGGTCGGTTGGCGGGGAGTGAGAGTTTGTTATGCGGGGGACTTGCTACCAGTCGCGTGCGGCCTAGACGAACGGCGGTAACTTGGCCGTCAACATCCTTTTCTACTTGGTATTCTGGGATCTTGGACTGCAAGACCCAGTCACGACGTTCCGGTGTAAGAGCCAGGTGTTCTGCCACGAGAGTTGCAATTGCATCCAAATGCGCACGAGCAGCTGCTGTGGTTGCCCCTGCGCCGAAGAACACATCTCGTGCTTCAAAATAAATGTCTTCCCGGAGAGTTGTATTCGGGAACGCCGTCGTCAACAGGAGACCTTCTTCGTCTTCCAAATCAACATCCATCAGCTGGAAACTCGCCGGAAGCAAGTTTTCCACCCTCGTGCAAAGCTTATCCAACTCTCTCAGCCCGATCTCCCTAGTTGAAGCAGCACTCCCAACATTTCTGACGGCAACCCAAAGCCTAATTAATCCCTCGTTTGCAACGCCAGCCAACCTGGGAAACCTCGCGTCGATGATCATCCTCAAATCAGCATGGGTTGGACTTTTCACCATGACATCATGCCATTTATGCGCTCCGAAGAAATGTGCCTGTGGGAACTGTCCATTTCTCAACGGCGTGACAGAGCGAGTAGCGAATAAAGCAAAGTTTTCGTGAGCTTCGACGCGCCCTTGTCCAGGTACTTCCATGACCGCACGACCGCCTATCCACTTGTCTGCACCGAGAGATTCGACGAGAGGTTTGATCATTCCGAGGACTTCGCTGGAACCTCGGTCAATGTCTTCGAAGACGACCCATTTTCCTTCTCGCATCGCACGGACGAGAACACCTGCTTTCCATTCGAAAGTGCCTGGCCGTGTTGTGGAGGATATGTGTGAGCCGAGGAGTGATCGAGGGTCAAGGGAGGTATCAGCTAGATGGATAGTGACTATCTGATTATGAACGTTGGGGTAGAGCGTGGAAGCAAGGTGGGAGAGCAAGAGAGATTTTCCGGCGGAAGGCGAGGAAGTGAGGAGGGTGGGGACGTTCATAGATATATGGATCGCGAGCATGCGAAGGGAGTCGACCGCTGTGGGTGTGTCGATGAGTCGCGAGTCGACTCTGGGGTATTTTGATGGGGAAAATATTAGTACGCCATGTATGTTGACAGTATTTTGACTATTAAAGAGATCAGTCAGTCAAGAAAGGAGGGAAAAGATGGCAGGTTGAGAGTACGCACCTCAGTTCCGCGGGATGAATAGGCTCGACTGAGTCGCTTTCTTCAGCTGAATAATAGTCCACCGGCTCGAGGTGCTTGTTCCTAGCGTTGACCACCCTCTCCACTTCAATTGCTGGCATGATCCATCCGTCCACGGCTTCTCTCTTCCCTTCCAATCCTTCTTCTTCATCAAACTTAACACTATATTCGATCGGACAGTCCACTTCAGCAACATCTCCGATCACTTCCTTCTCCATTTTCACTCTCTCGCCTTCCATCATGCCAGAATGAAGTGCATAACACCTGATAGCGAGAAAACGGACACCGGGGTCGGGGTGTGGTGTCCATATGAGTTTTGAGAGTGGTTTGAGAGGCCAGATTAGGTAGCGAGGGAGTTCGCGTGAGGCTTGGAGGATTCGATAGTATGCGAGAAGAATGCGGTGGAGTAAGGACGCGGAGATGGAAGATAGGTCTTCGATGGTGTTGATGAACCCAAGTGGTCCGTCTTCGTATTCTGGTTGTCGCAAAAATGCAGACAGAATACTACGAGGCCCTTAGTATATGATCCAAGAGAGTAAGGGTGAAAGTAACGTACGAGAAAATCTCCGGGTGTATCTCCAAAAGCAAGCACAAAGCTTCAAGCCTATCTTCCTGGCTTGGCCCATTCGTAGCATCAGTCAGCCACCTAGCACATAGATCTATCAAAAGAGGCCTAAAAGCTGTCGCCACAATCATTGTAAGGCCAGGGGTGGCGAGTAATCCTGACAGCACTTCAAGCAATTCAGCCTTGCTAGAAACATTTTGTAATCTCAAAGCATGAGATCCTGAGGGCAGTTGAGAAGTTAGAGCTCCAGTTTGTCGTTTCCAATTTATTTTCAGCGGGTCTGGTAGAGCTGGAAGCTCCATTTTTAGGTGACCCTCGTAGAGAGACCAGAAGCCAGAGGGGAAAGTGAAATGAAGCCCAAAGTCACTTGAAAGTGAAGCAGAACGCAGGTACTGGGCGGAACGGTGGATGGTTATCCAGCGCTAACGAAAATTTGGTCGATCGGTGTGAGATCTTATCTTATCTGGAAGCCTCGGATACCACTGCTGGCAAAGCATGTCAAATTGAAAGAGATGCTTCATTAGGATTGAGCATTCCTCCTACGTAGTAAATCCTTCTGAAGAACACTCAACCCTGCATAGATTAACTCCAACCTTGGCACTTGCACTCCAACTGCCCTAGCTCTTTTTAATACCCCGCCCACAATCGCTTCGACCTCCATCGGTCTTCCGGCCTCTAGATCGACTAACATGCTCGGCTTGAATACTGATTTGGGATTTTCGTGCCTAATTATGTCGAATCGGACTGAGTCGGGGAGTGTGGCTGAGGAAGAGGGGGAAAGTGAAGCATGTGCTACCGAGAGGACTTCGAGCATGATATCTGCGAGCGAAGTCCGGGCTGAGTCGACAGCAAGAACATCGCCTACCGTGGCCCGCGTAAGAGTACACAGGGTGGAGAAGGACGCGTTCCTGGTACCCGTGCATGAGCGATACGGAATGGGCTGAACGAAAAACAAAGTAGTTTACCATAGGATTTTATGCCAACGAGCGGCATCAATATCCGTGACTGGTTCTGGATTCGTGCTTCCATCCCGTAAGAGAGTGCATAGCAGATCCAATTGCTTCTTCGCGATATCTTCAGAGAACTTTCCAGTTAAATTGACGAGAGACGGGGCTGGGCGATGGTATCCGAGCACAAGTCTCTCGCTTCCAGATTGAGTCACGGTCTTGCCTTCATTGACAGCAGTGGTGTCCACCCAAGCACATCCTGAAATTACGTTGTTACCTAGGTTATGCCGATCGAGCCATTCTAAGAAATCGTCTTCAATCCCAATGCCATTTTGAAGCAGGACAATGGCAGTGGCAGGTGAGTCGCTCAGTTTCTGTAAGAGCGGCCGAAGAATATGCGTGGTCTTGATTACTTCTGGAACACATTTCATAGCGCATACAATGAACGTATAGGGTCTGTCTGCAGCTTCTGCCACTGTGCGGACGACTATCACATTTATAGCATGAGCAGTCGTATCAGAAGTAAGCAAACCATGAGGTCGTACCTCTGTGGGGCTTCCAGGATGGTATTTTCCCTAGGCGATCTGAGACAATTTCCAATCCATGCTCTAAAGCAGTTCAGTATCGGATCGAGTCATCTTCATTTTAGTCCGGCTGCACACGAACCCCGAATGGTTTCATAGTTAGATCTGAGTATAGAGGTGTCAGCATAACGCGAATTCAAGTGAATGCATTGAAGATTTCAGCTTACCTGCATACCGCAGTAACTCTCGCTTTCGATGAGCGCTCAAGAGCACATGCATAAAGTGCGCCGATGGCTGTAGCACGGGTGATGGTGAGCAACACGAGGTGTTTAGATTGGTAAACGGAAATGGTTAGAGCTAGGTACCTCCAAAGCCTACCAAGCAGATATCCAAAGACATGGCAGTAAAAATATTCACCCAGCAGGAAGCTACGTGATCGATTTTCACGTCGCGGAGAAGTGGACGGAATCAAATGAAGCAGTTGCCATTTCTGGACGTTCACGGTCACGCCACAGACGCGACCCGTTGCCTCGTGGTGAGTATGTTCGCGTTGTTTGTACGGAACAAAGTTCAAGTTGACAAGCGAGCGCCGGGAGTTGAACTGATTGTGGTTGTGCTTTCGAACCTTTCTCATCCCATTCATGCTGTAGTTTGTACTAACCATTTTGTTCGTTCGCTATGATCCCCCCGCAGCCTCCTCAAGACGCTACTGACATTTTCTCTATTACTGACCAAGTTCTCGCCGACAGGTTACATTTCATTGAAGAAGTGCGTCATTAAGCAACCATCTTCTAGTTCGGACAGCTAACAGGATGATAGATTGGCTTTGGAAATTGGGGAAGCGTTTGGCTATGTCGGCCAAAACCTGACCCCTCCTCCTCGACGGACTTGCCAAATGCCACTAACGACTCCAGGATTGCTGTCAAGCTCGTACACCGATCTAAGACTTCTACGACCGCTGCACGCGTTAGATCATTGTATGCTTGCCTATTATACTTCAGTGATGTTTGGGGCTCATCGAACGGTAGATGGAACGAAATGAAAGTCGTCAGGTCATTCAAACATGAACCGCATCCCTCTATTATTCCTTTCTATTCTTTTATCATTACACCATCATATGCTTTGATTACAATGTAAGTTTTGCATCTACACACACTGTTAGGAGTCACTAACTCGTTATCTCTAGGGCTTATCACCCCAAACTCGTCCCGGTCGAAGTCTCAGAGCACCACGCGAAAGAATGGTTCCGCTCGCTTCTCTCAGGCATCGAGTTCCTGCACAAACGTGGCGTTGTGCACAATGACATTAAGTACGAATTTACGGCTTACTCTCATTTGGGTCTGCCCTGACATATTTATTCAGGCCAGCCAACATCCTCTTATCCGCCGAGAACGTCCCTGTACTCGTTGACTTTGGTTTCGCAGAACGTTATGACATGTCTGTCTCTACAGCATTCCACAGCAATCTTTCGTACGGTACTCCAGAGGTAACATAACATTCACGCTGACTACTCGTATGACACTCCTAACTGACTTGACACACTAATTACAGTACCTTTCTCCTGAACGCGCCCGCGGCCTCCAACACGACACACGCAAATCCGACGTCTGGTCTCTGGGCGTCACCTTCTTCGAGATTCTCATTGGTCGTACACCATTTGAGTATGAAGAAGGTGAACAGTTCTCCAGCAAAGAGGACCTTGAGAAATATTGGGCCCGGACAATGAGAGGAAAATGGGTTGGAACATACAAGATGTCTAAACACATTGAGAAGTTACTCAAACGGATGATTTTACCTAATGCCGATTTGAGGTGTACTGCTACGCAGGCGATAGAGGATGCATATTGGACTAGCCCACCTCCACCGCCGCCTCGTTCTCATGCACACAGTAAGTCCCCTGTAGTCCTAATTCTTCGTTATGCTGAGTGACTGAATAATTTGTCACTGTTGCGCAGAGAAATCCGCAAGCGTCTCACAGGTCCTCTCAACCTCCCTCACAGCCAACATCAACCCAGACGTTTCCATGTTGTTGGATACAATTCCGCCATGGAATGGTCGGCCGGCCAACTCTAGTATCAACGCCAGTGACAAGGAAAACAAGCAAGATGTTCACGGTCATAAGCGTACAAAGAGCAAGATTCCGGTTATGGTCGACAAGGAGAACGGTCCTCCTGGTTTAATCATCGGACAGGGTAGGACGAAGGGTAAGGAATCCAAGAGCAAGCATGTGCGCTCACAGAGTCAGCCCAAGCTTCAGTTGGCAGACAGTAAGTTTATCTCCGTGTTGTTACCTCGTTATATGCGGGTCGCTGATTGAGAATCGGTACTAGACGTGAAGGCGACATCTAAATCTCGTAAACATATCGTTCTTCCATCCCTCCTGGCAACTCTCTCCCCTATCAAGCACTCTCCGCCGCCTTCCAACACATTCTCGTCTCCTCCTCAACCTCCCAACAACGAGAACCTCTCATCTTCTTTATCTCAAGCCGTCAATACCTCGGACATCAATTCTACTCGAAGCAAACCAAATCACTCAAGAGGTGCCTCAATGAATGTCAAACCCTCACGTAAGCCTCTTGGGCCTCGCCAACCTACACCTCCCGGTTCTCCGCGCAACACAGCGACGTCCAAAGAGAGCAAGGATGCTCTGGCGTGGCTGAACTTCAACTCTATCTCACATGCGGATTTGAGTTCTTCCCTCCGCATTGATGGCGGCAAGAATGAGGACTCTGCTGAGAAGTCTGGGACCGCTCGCTCGAGAGATAGCGCGAAAGACAAGGACAAGGAAACTGGAAGCAAGAGACGTAGAAGCAACATGTTCATGGACTTAGCAGGCTCGGCTCGCAACGTTGACTTGAGTGCACATACCCTTCCTCCTGTTCCCAAGAAGGAAAACGCTCGCAAGGAGAAGAGTGCTCGAGTCCGGGAGATCAATCTTTCCCAGGACAAGGAGAATTCCCCGAGTCCTGTGGGGGCTCATGTGTTTTCATCGAAAGCTGGCCCTAGTGCAAATGTTGCGAATTCCAATGGAGACAAGAAAGGTTCGGTTAGGGACCGAATGCGCGAATGGGAGAGGGATCGTGAGAGGCTCAGGGAGATGCAAAGATTGGAAGAAAGACTGAGAGAAGCCGAAGAGGAGAGGAATGACCAAGCTGAGAGGGAACGTCTGGAGGCGGAACAACTCCAACGTGAGATCGAAGCTATCGAACGAGAACAGCGCGAACGAGAGGAACGTGAACGGCAAGAACGAGAAGAACAGGAAGCTAGAGAAGCGGAAAGGAAGAGGAAGGAGGACGAAATGATGCAGGAGATTGAGCTTGCTCGTGCACGAGAAGCTGAGAGAGTTAGGGCTAGTATCAGTGAACGACCTTCAGGTATTCCGAGACTTGCGGTTCAAGTTAACGTCAGTGGGTTCAAGGACATCGAGTTGCCATCGGTTCCGCCTACTCCTGCACCCGAGATTGGTTATTCAGGGCCGCATACTCTCAGTCCAGTAATCGAAGGTAAATATGATTCTCATTCTGCACTAACACATGGAGCGGGGAACTAACTTGTGTGTCTCATTCAGTTACAGAATCCTTCGACAGTCGATTCCTCGACGTCTACCCTCGTTCAGGTAACGAGTCTGGGCTCAGTGTGCTCAAGAGCAGCCTCAATAATGCCTTAGGTATGTCCAAAATCATTACTGACCCTGTATCTCCTGATATGAATGTATGTGCTCTGAAATAGACAAAACCGTCCGCTTGTACAAATCCTCAACGCATGCACTCAGCCGCTCCACCAACGCACTCGATGTATCTGGGTCTGTGTTCATCGAAGCTGAAGGCAATTCAAGACAGAGCGCTAGTGCGAGCGAGAGCTTGTCTTGGGAAGGCGATGTGTCTCGTGAATGTATGTCTGAATTTCTTCACTCTAGGATGGATAGCTCTGATGCGTCTGACTTTATAGCGAGGTCATCACTACCCGTGGTACGTCAGGTCGCCAGAACCGAACAAGTAGCTGCTGAGAACCAATTGGATCGTATGACTTTGTGGATCAAGAGCGTAGAAAGTAAGTGGTCGGAACATTCCCTGTCTCTTTCATATGTTCATTTCATTCCGACTTTATCAGAGGTCGTAGAGGATGCCCGTCAGACCTTCGCCGCCTCGGCTCCTGGCAGCCACCTGCTCCCTCCCCTGCCAGTTGCACCAGTCTCTCGTAATCCTCGTCCCGATTCACAAAATCTCAACAAGTCCCAACGTTCGTCTCGTGTTCCGCGTAAGATCCTCGCGGCCAATCAGATCTTTGTCAACGAATTCGAATCTGGCGAGGTGTCTCCAAGCTTCACATCAGACTACTTCAGCTCTGCTCCTCCCTCCGCTGCACTCAATGGTACATTCGCGATCAACGAAACATTGCCCACTATTCCTTCAGAGATGAACAGTCCCGCTCCTATATGTGAAACTCCGGCGACGCCTCCAAGGACCAGGGCGAGAAGAGCTACTGTTGTTACAAAGTCCCCCGAGGTCAAAGCCAACAGACCAAGTTTGGAAATAGAGATTGGTGACTCGCCATCCAAGAGAAAGGAGAAGTCCAAATCTCAGAATGATTTGTGCCGACCCATCACCCCTATCGCCAAGTTGGAGTTCGAGATCGAGAGATGTACGTGAGACTACAGTATTGAATCTTCTAGGCTTGCTGATGTTCCTCGATAGTTGCCGCCGGTCTAAGCCAACCTGCTCCTACTCACCGCCTTTCCGCCATCGTAGATAAGAAAGTGTTCATTGCTGACAGATCAGCCACAAACCTTGGTATAACTGATTCGCCAGAACGCCCTATTAAACGCAAACATGATGACCTTACGGCTTCGCCTCTTCATGTGGACCCGTACCCTCCTCGGCCTCAGTCGACCAATCTCGACCTGGCTCTCGATACACCCGCGAAGAAGCACATCGAAGGTGTTTATGATAGGTGAGTCTCTCAGGCTTTCAACCTGCATTATGTATTCAAGCATATATGTGATATTTCAGATTCCTCATGTCAACCACTGGTGTGAAGAGGAATGGAAAGGGCTACCAATCAGACAATGTCGGTCCTGTAGGCAACATTGCTCAACCGAAATGTGCTTCACAACGGAAGAAAGAGAACTTCTTCCTTTCCACACGCAAGCCCATGCCACCTCCGGTCTCTAGCGAGGACTTACACAAGTCAACTTCCGTGGATGAATTCGGTGCATTGTCGTCTTCCGCATGTGTTACCGGTTCAAGTGGCAAAGCCGACGGGGCGCATAGTGTTAGCATCGTTCGACGTGCCCTCAGGACGATTGTCAATGGGAAACGGTGATCTTCACTGCCAGTGTCCCATCTTCTGACCTCCCTTTCTTTCTCGTTTCGTGCTCACCGTCGCTCGTTTGTCTGAATGGACTTGTCTACCCTATTACTCTCGCGTTCTCCTGGTTTTCCCCCGCATTCGTACCGTACCTTCTGCTATTCTGGTTTCATTCGTCTTCAAACATCACTTCCTTTCCCTTCGCAATTCAGTGTCTACATCATTTGCTCTCCTGTTTGCTATCTCACTTCATCCTTTGTGTTATCTCTTTGGTTTGCTGACGTCGTCATCACGATCTCGTTGAATGTTTTCATGTTCTCATTTCAAGCTCTTTCGTAGCTACTGACCATGCTGTCTTCATGCTGACGTAAAATGCAATGATCTTTTTGGTCTGTGACCAATACTATGAATTATATGACAAATACAATCTAACTATAAAGAGTCCGATGAATGCATACATAGAAATACAGATCAGTGCGAGCAGAACAAAACAAGAAGGTCGAAACTCGGTATCATGAAGGACCAGTCACTCGATCGCGACGTAAAGCTACGGGTGGTGCAGGCTTGCCTGCGCCATCAGCTGGTTTAATTCGTTTGGCTAGAGAATCGTCGGCTGCGCCGTCACCGTCCTCCCTGGCACGCTTACTGGCTCCCATGATTGACATGCTAGCGGTCGATTCAGCAGGAGACTGTGCTTCTCCTGCATGCGCGGATCCACGGATACTCAGTCCTACGGCAGGAGCATGGCTACGACCAGCTCCCCTGGCCGCTGGAGCTCCTCCGCGACCTCGAGTTGTGGGTACTGCAGTGACTGGCTTCCTTGGAAGGGTGCTCGATGGTCCGGCGACCGCAGGAGCAGGGCGAGCGGGAGGTGTAGGCTTCGCGCCAGCCGCTGTTGCTTTGGCGGGGGCCGTGGTCTTCACTGTTGGCGTTGCGGTCGATGCAGCAGGTTCCTCAGGGATGAGGCCTTGCTGGCGCCACTCCGCGACCTTGCCCTCTAGCTCCTTTAGACGATTCTGGGCCCTGACTAGCTGTGCGTCCTTGAGCTTGCTTTTTGCGGCGACTTCCATTCTTCCCCGTTCCACAGCTGCAGTAACTTCAACCTCGTGCGCTTCCTTGAGCTCCTTCTCTCGTGCAGCGACAGCAGCGTCAATGGCAGCTTTTTGTGCCTCATCGGACAAACCGGCTGGCTGTAACTGCTTTGCTGCTTCCGCAGTCTTTGCGAGTTCTTCGTGACGCTGCTTGGTCAATCTCTCCTCCAGTGCCCGCAGCTCTTCTGCATGCCGTTTGGCGGCGTCTTCTGGCTCCGTCGGAACAGTCGTCTGTATTTCCTGTTTCACTTTTTCTACAGCTTCCGCAACAGCAGCTTGCCTAGCCTGCATGGCGCGTTCACGATCGGCCGCCCTCGCTTGAGTCAGACTGTGTATTCTGGCAGAGAGATCCGCCTGCATTGACCAGCAGAATGGTCAGTCCTCTTTCGTATCAACAGAGGATTACACATACGTTAATTTTCTTGATCTTGTTGACCTCTTCCGCCTGACTTCTGGCGGCCTACAAAGATATGAGAACGCATTACAAGAGGACATGCATATGTTAATACCTGGGCCTGAGCGAGAGCTTCGTCTCGTGCTTTCACCAGCTCTGATCTCTCGGCCTCCCATTGACGCCGTATCTCCTCCGTGGAAACTGCAGGAGTAACCCAGCTTGCCTTCTCCGCTTGAAGCTTGTCGCGTTCTTCGGTGAGCTGAGCCTAGAAAAAGCATAAATATTGTGGCCTGAGATCGATGATAGGCAAACCCGACATACAATCAATTTCGACTGCTCGCCAATGGCAGAAGGAGCGACCACTTTTGCAGCGCGCTCATCAGCTAAAGCCTTTTCGAGTTCAGCCTTCTGGACCCGAAGAGTCTGAATTTGCTTGTCCAACTCCGCCTCTCGCGAAAGACGTGCAGATTCCCCAGCCGTTTGGACCTTCAAGGAATCCCGTTCAGCAGTTACAGCTTGAATCTCCCCTTCTAGTCTCTTGACGGACTGATCGAGGTCATTCTTCTCGGCCTCAACGGCTCTGAGCTTGTTTCTGAATATCTGGTTGTTTTTGTTGATCTGGCTTCCCAACTCGGATGACTAATGACAGTTGAGCGAATCAGGACAACGAATGAAGTTTCACTCTCATACCTTCTTTTCAAACTTGTCCTTCAGTTGAGTGAGTTGTTCAATCTGCTCCTTCAAGGACTGGACTTCGGCGGGATCGATACGATCATACTGATTGAGCGAGTGAGCAACGAACGATAAACTATTTTCGTCGAGGTGCACACCTTGGTCAGGAGCTGAGTATTCCGCTCTTGCCATCTCCGGCTCTCCTCTTCCAAGCGTTTGACTTGTTGATTACGAGCCTCGAGTTCTGCCTTCGTTACGCGCAATTCCTCTTTCACTGGTTCAAGCTCAGCCGAGAGCTGCTCTAGCTTAGTCTCCAATTGTCGAGCTCGTTTCGCGTTCGCTTCACAATCCGCACGGAGAGTTGCATTGCTCTCTCGCAGAATATTGAGCTGTTGGATTCGTTCCACCAACTCGGCATGTTGAGCTTCCGAAGCCGCTGCCTCCACAGCTCTCTCACGTTCCTATAAAACATGCATGAGTTTCGGATCTTAACTTGCCTATATTTTTCACTCGCACCTCGGATAGAGTCTTCTGAGTTTCCTCCAGAGTGTGTGCCAGGTGTTCAATCTGAGTCTTGAACCGGGTGTTTTCCTGCTTGCTCAACTCAAGCTGAAGCTCGACGATCTCCTTCTCCTTGCGCAAGTACGAAACAACGGACCGCAATTCCGAAAGCTTAGTGTCCGTATCTTCAGATATCTCCATTTCACCAGAAGCAGCGACATCGGAATCCGCAGCCTGTCGAATCCTGGCCGCTTGTGAGGTGACTGACTCAAGGTGTTGGTGAAGTAGATTGTTCTGAGCAGCCAGATCTTTGCATCTGTTGAAGAACTTTGGATCAGCATCAGCCGCGCATGCAAACGACATGCATACCTAGCATTCAAGTCCGCCATCTCCTTGTCAAGTGCCTCCCTCTGCTGCTTCCAGCTAGCCTCAGATGTAACAAGCTTGGCCTGAGCAGTCTCAACAGCAGACATTTTGTCTCTGGCGGAAGCCTGCGCTTTCGAAAGCTGAGACTTGAGATGCTCAACGAGTTTCATAGACTCAGCATGTGCGATAACCTCGCGCGAGTACTTCTCTTCAGCAGCCTTGGCCCTCTCTTCTTGTTGATGAATGGCGTCTTCGCGAGAAGCACGGTCACTTTCAGTGCTCCGTTCTGAGGTCGTCAAGTCAAAGATAGCCCCTTCAAGAGTCCGCTTGTCATTGGCCCAAGCATTCCTTTCAGACTCCAAGGTGCGCTGCAACTCGGAATGCTTTTCCGAAAGTTGAGCGATCTCTTGCTGGGCAGCAGCAAGCTTCTCCTCCAGAGAGTGGAACTCTGACTAAGGGTAGAAGATACATCAGTTATGGTCCATGAGGGACTTGAATCGGAACACACCTCACGCATCGCAAGCTGAGATTCAGTCGTAGCCTTGTACTCATCATACGTAGAGTTGAGAGAAGCGAGCGCAGCTTCATTGGCTTGACTGATCTCCTGGAACTGCTGTACATGGCTCCTGGCGGTGGCCAGATCGACCTCTGCCACCTTGAGCGCAGATCTGAGAAACCAGACACAACGAATGAGCTACACTCAAACGCAGAAACAAGTTCAACTCACCGCAGCTCAGCGACCTCAGCCTCAAGTTGTTGTTCACGACTGAGACCCTGGTCGGTCGGTTGGGTGACATCGGCAGCTCCGGTAGCACGACGTTCATAGACAGCTAACTTCTCTTCGTTGCCTTGCAATTGCCTTGACAATTGCTCTACCTGCTCCTCGAGATGCTTCTTGCTGGTCTCAGCACGCGCGAGGGCTTCACGAGTTTCGGAATACGCTTGAGTCTGGATACATTGGTCAGCAAACAGTTGTCGGTTATGAGCATAAACAGGAATAATTACGGTCTTGTCAAGACGAGTGCGCAACTCCTTGAGCTCGAGGTCCTTCTGAAGTGCCAAATGACGGATTGCATCGCGTTCTTGACTCAACTGCGTTCGCAAGTCTTGCCTATATTGCATGGAACAAGTCAGTCGATGATACCAAAAGGGAGAATTATTCGTACGTCTGAGTCTCGAGCATCTGAATTTGACTCTCCAACCTGCGTCTGTCATTCTCGCCAGAACGCTCAAGGTCACCATGCATACGTTGAACATTGGCCATGAGATCGGAAAGCTGAGAGCGCTCCACATTCAAGGTCCTGTTTTCCTCGACAAGACGAGCTTGTACGCTCTAAATATTGATATCAGGGATACGTTTCTCGCCAACCATGGTACAGATAGATTGCACATACCTCCCAAATACGCTTCTCAGCCCGAAGGTTAGCACACTCGTTACGGAGCTGTTCAGCGAAACTCTTAGACGAAAGGAGATCCTCAGAAACCCTGTTGCACTCGATATCAACACGAGTGTATTGATCGTAGAGTTCCTGGTTCCGTCGGCCCTGGCTCTCCAACTCGCGGGATTGCATGACGATCTGCTCTTGCAACATCCGATTGCGGTCTACAGAAATCCAAGTTAGTGTTAGGGACCTCTCGCAAGCTTGCAGCGAAATCTACCATTGAGGAACTCAATCTTTGCATTCGCTTTGGCGAGAGAAGCACCAAGTTCACCCGCTTCACGTTGGGAATTGAGGACCTCGTCCATAAGGCGACCAGCATCCTCACCCATCTCAGTCTTGTATGCATCGAATTGATTCTGGATCTCAGAGGGTTCCTCAGCCACAGCAGTTGCAGTAGGACCACGCCCGTTGACTCCATTTACGCCTCGGGGCTGACCACCCATCGACCGCTCCTTCGCTAAGGTGCTCTTGAGTGCATCGCGCTCCTTCATGTAAGTTTGGATAGTTATGTCAGCGCTCTTCTTCTGGCTTTGAAGTTGTTCTTGCAAGAGCTTAATGGCCTGATGGGCCTCCTGGATGGCCTCGCTTTGCTCCTTTTCTAGTTCCGCGCGGTACTCCTTCTCCTCAGCCTCCAACTTAGCACCAAGTTCCCGCACAATCTTGAGCAACTTCTGGTTCTGTTCCTGAAGCTCAGGGATAGATCGGAAGAGGACGAGATTGTTGGTGATAACTGCTTCGATGTTCTCCGCAGGCTGGGTCATTTGCTCGAGGATGTCGTCTGAGGGTATCGAGGGGTCTTGGGCACGTCCCAGCTCACGAAGAAGCGTTTGCACTTGTCGACCGAGGTCGCTGAGCTGCTTGTTGAGGAACTCGTTCTCACGAACACTCTTGACAAGCTTCTGCTCGGAATCACGACTTGACTTCTCCAGTGAATCGCGAGCATCGATGGCTTTCTTGAGTTCGTCTGCGAGGAAGGTCGCCTCTGATTGAATACGTTCATACTCTTCGCGTTGTTGCGCAAGGAGAGGTGCCTATAAACCATGTTATCAATTTCTGGAGAAGACGCACACTTTGTAGCACTCACCCTCTCCTCGATCTGAGCAAGAACTGCAGACAAAGTACTGTCCATGCGTTCGTACTCTATGGACTGCTTCGTGTACTCTTCCTGCAACTTCACGTAGTCTGCATAGACCTCCGTAAACGTCTTCCCGCTCTTCTGTACTCTGCTTGCAATGGCGACAGTCGGACTGAGACCAGCCATGCCAGAGCTCAAGAAGTCGGGCGTGCCATTACGCATAGGCGTCGAAGGACCACGGAAAGGCGTCCCAGGTGCACTTGCGCTGCTAGGAATAGGGAACTCTCCACGGTCCATCCGGTCGAGAACATTCTGCAGGTCGATAACTTTCCGCTCAGCAGCTTCAGCGCGTTGACGTTGTGCATCGATCTCCTCTCGAAGAACAACCTCGCGTCTCTCGGCACGCTCGCCGACAACAGCCCACTCCTTTTCAATGTTCTCGACAATCGCCTTGGCTTGTATCTCACGCTCGTCCATCGCCTTGACCAACCTGCGTAGGTTTGCCGCCTCGCTTGAGTATGTGGCCTCTTTCTCTGCCAATTCACCTCGGAGTTCCTGGATACGTGCATGAGCTTGAGCGAGTTGATGAGACTGCGACGCATGTGAAGACTGGAGCGTCTTAAGGGTATTGTCTGTAGCAGTATGAGTTTGAGCGAGGGAATCATGTGAAGCTTGAAGTTGGGAGAGCTCGGCATGTTTCTGATGGCGGTAGTTGGCATATTCTTCAGTCTTTGCGGTCAGGTCGGCGGTGAGGCGGTCGACTTCATCTCGTGCCAGTTTAAGTTGTTGCGTGAGTGATTCGAGTTTGAACTAGCAGAGGTCAGAATTAGCTACAGCTATAGGATCAGAATATTATGTACGCACTTTATTGGATGTATCCGTTGATCGCAGTTCCCTAACCTGAGCTTCTAAAGTCTGATACTCTTGTCGTGCCTGCTTCAAATTCGAGCGAAGGGTATGGATCTCCTCTGAACACGAGTTATTAGTTACGGAACGGGACGAAGGGTCACTGAACTCACCATCTCTTTGGGTACTATCTTCTTTGAGCCTGCTGACAACACCAATAAGGTCGCGTTTCTCGCGCTCGACATCCTCGACGCGATGTCTGAGCGTCTCGACCTCGGTACTCGATGCAGACTGGGATGTCGATATCGAGGCAAGCTTAGTTTGCAGTTCAGCTCGCGCAGCAGCTATGAGAAGACGTCAATATGCTCGTCTTATTACATCCGAAACAATAACGGCTTACCGAGCTCGTCTTTCTCCTGCTTCACTTGCCTCAATTCTTTCTGCGTGGACTCCAGTGTAGACTCGATATCCTTCGTCGCGGTCTCTTTGTCTTGGAGAGCCTGATCAAGTTCAACGTCCTTCCTCTCCACCTCGGCTTTCAATTCTTCGACTTCTCTTTGGGTGGCGTCTAAGTCGGCAGCCTGATTTACGACGATGCGGTAAAGAGCAGCAATATCATCGGCTGATGGTGACTCCAAATTCGCGTCAGGTAGTAGATTTGACAAGAACTCAATGTCAATGTCGTCAGGAATAGTTACTGTCATTGCAGCCACTGACTGCGAGCTAGATGGTGCAGCTGACGCAGACTCGGCCGCCGCCACAGAATCTGCGGCAGCCTTCTGCTGCTGTTTACTCTGTCGTCGAGTTTTTGTCATGAGAGGGTAGGGATCCAGGATTACCCTGGTGGTAAGAGAGAAGGGACAATGGCGCGTGTGCTGCCACACGGAAACAAGACGCGCGGAGTTACTTATGCGACTATACAAACTGGTTGTAGTTTGCTTATATAAACACTACATTGTGCTCTTGATCGCTTAGCGCTCTTCTAAACGATCTTTCACCCTTCAGACGCCAATATCTCGATTCTTACTGTTCGTATTCACCTAGCTAGTAACTCTTGGTGTTTTCGACTATGCTTATCGTTCCAAAGGTCTTGTATGTAGCGATTTGACAAAGAAACTGAACTAGGTGCTCTGTCGATGACTCGAATAGCAATACTCGCACCCATAATAAGTAACCGGCGTTTAGACGCCCAGCGCGTCGCGTCACATACAGATGTAGTCTTGTTTAGTCTGTACTCCAGCATCCACCTATAACACATGTGCTTGTTATGCTCATTACTAAATCTTCTCGCTCTCAACATGATTCTCCTAAGAAGAACCGGCTAGTTGGAGCCATCAAAGCCGGCATGAGCATCACTGAAGCAGCACGGCTTACAGGCATCCCATGCCAGACAGCATCAGACATCTGGCACAAGTACATCAAAACCGGCACCACACACAATCGCCCCCGTTCTGGTCGTCCACACAAAGTCACAGATCACATGAAGGCTCTGGTGGTGAGGAGGGCAGTGAAAGAGCGGAGGGTGACATTTGCAGAGATTGGAAACCAGGTAGACCCGAAGATCAGTGAGGGCACTGTTCGGAGCATTCTCAAGGAACGAGGATATGGTCGTCGGATTGCTCGCCAAGTGCCATTCCTTACTAAGAAGCAGAAGAAGGCTCGCATGCATTGGGCACAGAAATACAAGAGCTTTACAAGCCAGGATTGGCAAGAAGTTGCATTCTCCGATGAGTGCGATATTTACTTGGGAGACAATCGAGGCTGAATCTACATTACATGCCGTCCTGATGAAGTCTTGCCAGAGGAATGCCTAGTACCAACCTTCAAGCAGTCCTCCATCTGTGTTATGGTCTGGGCTTGCATTATTCAGGGGCGCAAGAGGCCATTAATTGTGTTGGAATACCCAGGAGGAAGAGGTGGGGGTATGAACACTGCTAGATATCGGGAACAGGTGTTGGATGGGGTTTTTTTGGATTGGTATAAAGAGATGAAGCTACAGAGGGGTCCCATTACCTTCCAACAGGACAATGCTCCATGCCACACCAGCAAATCAACCCAACAATGGTTCACTGATCATGAGATACCACTTCTCTTCCATCCCCCCAATTCCCCAGATCTCAATCCCATTGAACGTGTTTGGCATGAGCTCAAATCTGCTCTGCGTAATCTCAGGCATCCTCCGAATACCCAAGAACAGCTTCAAGCTGCTGTCCATCATGTGTGGGATGAATTACCTATAGAAGATGTGAACAAGCACATCAATTGGATGCCAGACAGAGTTGAGGCTGTCTTGGCTGTCATGGTGGACATACAAGTTTTTAAATACATAGATAGCTAGAATAGATATCTAATACATTGTATATACAGTTGTAGTGCCGTCTGTTCCATAGACAGTCGGTTGTCTCCTCCTCAAATCGATGCGAGTCACGTGACGCGACGCGCCGCGCGTCTGGCGCCGGTTACTTATTGTGGGCATGAGTAACTCCGGATTGACAAAACCATGTTGGCTATCCTCTGACTGAAGCTATTATTCGTCCTGCGACATGCTTTCAGTAGGATATACGCAAACCGTCATTGTAGTTTCAACGCTGTATACCCGTGAGGCCGTTATGCTCATCGCGGTGGTATATTCAGCATGCCTATGTTGCGGATGCTGTTCAGAACACTCATCCGCCCGACTTCTGCATACTTTTGACTTGAATATTATGCTAGATTCCTGAGATTTCGAATATGAGTGTTGCTTAATGGCATTCAGAGTGTGATTTACAACGAATTGTATCATTTCAAATATTGTTTGGCTTTGTTGTCCAAAGCCCTTGAAGCGAATCAAACACGAACAAATAGCAACAGCGTTTGAGAATATTGCCCGATTAAGGAATATGATCAATATCTTGAAATTGCTTCCACCTCAACACCTGTCTCAACCTTTGCAGGGACCGTTCTGTTTTTCTTTCGTTTTTCTCTCTCTCTTTAATCGTGTCTGCGCTGCTTGAAGTCAATTAAAGATACCCTAAATCACAATGTCGTTCTTTAATTCCATCGGGTACGTCTCAGATCAAGCTGGTCGTGAGGCATATACTGACAGCACGGCAGTCGGTCGATGCAGAGGGCCCCCAAACCACCAAAGCGGTCTACCACACCCACCTCAGCGACTTTCCCTTCAACGGATTCGCTACCACCACCCAGTCCCACCACACCTTTGCCTTCAAAGCCATTGTACCTATGCAGTCCATTCGTTGAAGCAGCACTTGTGAGAGGAAACTTCAAAACGATCGTAATGCAACCAAAGCACGTTGATGTTATGGAATGGGTCGCAGTGAACAGTGCGTCTTAGTTTATCGGACAGCCATCATGTGCGCGTTGCTAATTGAAGGATGTCTTTTGACGACCAGTGTTTGACTTCTACACGAACCTGAACCAGTTCTACGGCGTCTTGGCAGAATGCTGCACCCAACAGTCATGTCCTAGCATGAGTGCAGGGCCTCAGTAAGCTTTAAGGTTTTTGACGTGTGTTTGCAACACACTGACATTCGCCACGTTTAGGTTGAACTATACCTGGATTAACCAAGATCGGAAAAGTGTTCAGCTTCCGGCGCCCACATACATTGACTATGTTATGACGTGGGTTCAGAACCTATTGGACGATGAGAATGTGTTCCCAACTAGATCAGGTATGCTAATCACTTCCGAACCCGATACGACGCCTACTCATGGCTCTCTTCAGGACGGGAGTTTTCCCCAAACTTTCCTTCAACGATTAAACACGTCTATCGTCAACTTCTTCGAGTATTCGCCCATCTGTACCACGCGCACTACACTCAAATCCTTCACCTCCGGTCCGAGCCCCACTTCAACTCCCTCTTTGCTCATTACCTGGCATTTGGGAAAGAGTATGAGCTACTAGATATCAAAGATGTCAAGGGTCAACCTGGTGTTCCAGTAGGCATCGGTGCTTTGTGGGATAAATGGAAGGATATGGGTATCCTCGCGGCATAATCGGAAGTTCGAGTTTTCTTATCGTTGTTGTAATGCCCCTGTGCTCTGCGGGTTCGAGCTGGGTGGCCTTGGGGACGTAATGTGTGTAGTTCACCTTCGTATTCTGGATCTGGACTGTTATTTGGACTGGTACATAGTAGTACCCTGAGCTCTATCGCAAAGGCGCATGATCGGAGCGTCATTCACAATCCACCAACATTCGAGGTCGCGAGATCAGGTTGGATTCATCCGATATGTTATTCAATTGATACATCAGCATTTCTTTGCTATTGGCTGCAACTCTACAACTCGCTCATATGATAGGGGCGAAAGAAAAAGAGATCAAGGGGCACGTAGTGTTCGAGATGAAGTGATTTGGAGTATAACCTGATAACAATTACGGCCAAGTAATTCTGATAAAGACGAAAGACGATAGCGCGAAATCCGGAACAAATATGATAATGAAAGAGACAGGATTAGTGACTTCCACGAGATGCCTTGTCTAACACTGTAAAATATGGGCATGTGAGCCATTAGAGTAAAAGGGGTATCAGAAAGGGTAGACGTACCACTTTCGTATGCGACTTCACTATAGTCAGTGCCCTGAATCTCGGTCGAGATACCGACCAAGCTTCGTCGGAGGGCATCCTTCGAAGATGCAAACAACATCTTCTGCTTGATCTTAGCATCATCAGGAGCCCTATGACGCCACAAAAACCGAGACAGTGCAATGGGAATGAATACCCGCATGTCGGAACTTGCAACAGAAAGATGGACGCACCAGGTGACGAACAGCAACTTGTTCCTCTTTCCCTCTCCTGGCCTCTCGAATTCGAAATCGTAAATTGCCCATCTGCACTCTGCCTCAGGCAAATCAGCGAGGAAAGTCTCGTATGAGTTATCCGAGGAGGTCTTCGTGACAACAATCTCCGTGTTATCAGGGCTCAAACCAAAGACGATGTACTTGTGCTTCTTGCCGAGCTTCAGCTCCTGGTAGGTATCGAGAACGTTTTGGTTTACACCGACTCCGGATGCCTGTAAAACGCAAGTGTGAACTTTCCGACGGACAGGGGCGATGTATCGGATCGGTCATGCAGAAAGATAACATACCATGGTTGAAAGATGGAGGTAGACTGTTAAGAGAGTAAAGGGTTGGTTACGGTGGTAGATGAAGATTGGCTGTTCCGGACTGGTATAAGTATATCGGATGACGGCGATCGCCGGGGCGGTTACGCGACTGGACGCGTCGACTCGCGTCCGCAGGCGGAAACCTCAGTACACACGCCGCACAATTGGAATGTTGGCTTGGAGGACAGCAGTACATATACAACCAGCTACTAAATGGTATAAAGCTACGTGACACAAGTCTAAGCGAATACGTCGTCTATCCAGGCTTCGTAGTCGAATCCGGGCTCTCCTTCTCCATTCTCAATCAGGGGCATCGCCTCACGTAAGTAGTCGATCGCATTTTGAGGTAAATGTGCCACGCGCAAGTCCAATTCCGTGACGAAGGGCTGGCAATGTAGACCAGAAGATGAGTGGCGGATAATATGCGAAAAGGCCTGTCGCCCCTTACCTTGTCTGCTGCAATACCCCTGAAAGACTCACGAAGCTGCGCCGGAGATGTCTGATCCTCCATGATGTCCACCTTTGGATGACGCTCAGCGCCGAGAATATACAAATACTGAAAAGGCGGTACTCACCAAGAGATTGATGAAAGCTTCAAATACAACTGCGCCGTAGTCTTGTACCAGCTGGTCGTAGATAATATCCATGTCCTCGTCCTAGAGTAATGAAGGTGAGGGAAATGGAGGAGTGCTGCGACTGTACGACGTTGACATACCGAGTAGACGATACCAAGACTAGCCAGCGCCGCAGTCATTTCCGATTGCTCAAGCGTATTGGACTCGTCCTTGTCGAAGTAGCGGAAAGTGCTTTCGAATTGCTCGAGTTGTGCCGGCGTCAGGTTCGTCATATTGCGCGAAACGATCTACACACTCTCAGCACTTGCATCCTCTTTAATCCCCGGTGAGTGGATGAACATACCTGATTATCGATGAAAGCAATCTTCTTCGAAATACTCTGTACAACTAACTCCAACTCAAATGCCAAGTCCTGCACAGTAAACACAGTGTAATCGTTCTCTTCCACATTGGCAGCCTGACATTCCTCGTCGATCGCTTCCACAACTCGGAGCATATCGGTCATCTCTGGTATTGAAGTGCGAACTTGCTTGACTTGGTCTTGTTGTTCCTCCAGTGGGCCTTCAATTGCTGCGAGTTCCGATGAAATGACTCGAAGCCGTCTTTCGAAGTCGTTCGCAACGTTTGCGAACTTCTTTCGCAAGTCCTCTTTGATCCTGTGTAGAAGGTGAACAAGCTCACTCTATGGTAAAGGGCAAAGTGCTTACTCCCGGATTTGTGCATTAATTGCCCTAAATCGTCGAGCCTCCGACTCCAGCAAGGCGTTCCATGCAGCATCCAAATCCTACAACACACGACTATCAGTTATTTTTCACTTGTGCATAGAAAGAGCCTACAGCCAACGCAAGCCCAAGAGGAGGAACGTACTCCCTCAATCCGTACGTCCTCAATTTTGTTTGTACATTGCCAAAAAGCGTAGTAACGTCTTGCTTCTCCGTCACCCAATTTCTTTTCGTAGTCTGTTTGTACTTTTGGAAATTGGCGGCATGTTCTTTTGCATCAGAGTATGTACCGGTGAACTTGATGGCGCTCCAGAGTGCTTGAATTTCCAGGACTGATGATAGGAGCTATAGTTACAAGAAGATAAAGATGAATGTTAGAGCGGCTATGGAATGGGTAAGAGCGACGAGAGCGACGAACAGCTCGAACACGTCGTTCGTAATCGTTCTTGCTGAGCCACACTGATTGCATGAGTTCAGCGAACTTCTCAACTCGTCGAGAAACAGTCTCAGCCTGGTCTGTAAATTCAAATCAGCCAGAATGCATTATCGAAGGACAAGTTGGGAACTTACCCATAGAAGAAAATGCATGGAAAAAACTGGCAATATAAGTCATGACACTACGTTCATCTGGGCGCGCAGAGTCGCAGAGATCCGCCACTTCTAGAAGTTGCTAATGTGAACGTTGGTAGCCGAAAGCTAGACAATGAATGAGACAACGCACAGGAATTCCGAGATGCTCGGCGGCGACGTCAAAAGCCAACTGCGTGTTCCGATAGCGGTCTGACTGAAAACAGAGATTAATCAATGAATGTCATATTCTCGTATGTGAAAAGTATACCTTGTCAAGCTTGTCATAGTCGATGAGATCCGGACGATGACAATGTATCAGTGCACATCTAGTCAAAGGTCTCAGCCATGTCCATAGTCCAGAGAAGACTCATAGTTACGAACAGCGCAAGACCATCGGACCAACTTGTCGAAAAGTCCTGAACATTGACCTCCTTGTACGGTTGCGTTTTGCGTTGACACCACAGAAGCAAACCTTCTTTCGCAGAAAGTCCTTCTTCACTTTCAGATCACTCAGCATTTCAAGAAGACCGACAGAGTCGTACACGGCAGAAGAGGTGCTGAGCTACGGACCTGATATCTGCAATAGTGAACCGAAGAATTAGAGTCCAGATCATGCCCAGAATGAGCTTCAGGTTTCCGTCGATAATGTCTGATAGTGTTCAGTTTTTGATGTCAGATCCTGCAAATTGCTCACACACCTTCTGGGCCAATATTGGTTAAACGTACGCCTCGAGATTGGATGAAATCAAGAGCCTTGGTAACATTCTCGGCCTTCTGTACTCGCATTCGGGGGTTCTTGTTATAGCGACCGAGAGAAGTGTCCCCTTGGGCATGTTCAGCTCAAGAGACTATGCAGAGTAATATAATAATACCCATGATTTCCTGCCCACAAGCGAAGAAGCATTACTACCTTCGGAAACTACATGTTCACCTGCGGCTCACCATGAGTTGAATTAACCGGACACCATCTGAAAGATCCTTAACAAGAGAAGTCATCTGAGGGTATCCAGCAGACTCCAGTCGGGTATTAAGCCTAATTATCGTTGTCAGGACGTGAATCTCGAGTGGCATGTCTGGTACCGATGGTTATGTACCATTTGCAGAATGTACGTTCCTGGACATCTCGAGAGCGGGCCTCGAGGGAGTCCATCATCCCAAATGAAAATATCTATTTAATAATGCGTCTCAATTAGCAGGAAAGCGTGTGTGCACTGAATCAAACGAGGTGACCAGGAGGAGAACGAAGAGAACGAAGTCGGGAGGCGCGACCCCCGCGTCTCACGCGCCGCACACGTGAACATTCACACTCCGCAACGCGTCTCGATTGCTCAGGCAAACCGCGCTCGGAGGCTTTGGGCACTTGTTCCTCGACCACCACCACCTCTCGTCGTTATTATGTCCAACCAATTCGATTATATATACCACGGGCTATCTCCAGAAGTAGGAAGTGAGTTATTTGAAAGTGCATAATATTCAAAAGTCATTAATGAGTCAATACCGTTCCAGAGGTCCGAATTGCTACTAGTGGTATTGCATGGAAAGGCGAAGACAGCGATGCAATCGTTGGCCTTCCTGCAGCAGATATCAAATGGGCGCAATGGGTGCGGGTTGCACGCAACTACCAACTCCGGATAGGCACCAAAGACAGGAAAAGGGAGAACTTTGATGGTTTCTCGCGAGAGGTATGTCCGCTATTTGTAAGCTGTTAATATGGCTGCTGAAGTATTGCTCTTTCATAGGACCATGAGAAAATTGCTCAGCTGTTCAAACAATTCTTCAGTGTCACATTGGAAACGAAGGAGGTGTCCTTGAAGGGATGGAATTGGGGAGTAACGGATTTCCAAGGTGCGTAGCGCGTTCTTTACTCTAAAACAGAGCATTTACAATCGTTGTTCTGCACTTAGGCCAAGACCTTGCCTTCCTCGTATCAAACAAAACTGCATTCGAGCTTCCACTAACGAATGTAGCGAACTCGAACATCGCTGGCCGAACTGAAGTTTCCCTCGAGTTCGCCACACCCACGAATAAGAAACCCTCAAAAGGGGCACCAGATGAAATGGTTGAAATCCGGTTCTACGTACCAGGAACACATACCAGAAGTACAAAAGGGTCGGAAGCTGGCTCGCAACACTCTGAAGACGAGGGCGAGGAAATCAGTGCGGCGCAAGCGTTCCACGATACAGTCAAGGACAAGGCCGAGATTGGTCAAGTTGCTGGCGATGTCATCTTGAGCTTCGAGGAAGTCCTTGTCCTTACTCCTCGTGGTCGATACGATGTCGACATGTTCCCCGAGTTCCTACGACTGCGTGGCAAGACCTATGATTACAAGATCATGTATAACAGCATCTCAAAACTTTTCCTTCTACCAAAGGACGACCAGCATGTTCTCTTCATTGTAAGTATATGTCTCCATGCCTTGGCAGGAATTGCTCAAATCTGACACAACGTTCTTGTCAGCTTGGTCTCAGCAATCCGATCCGACAAGGTCAAACCAGATATCAGTACTTGGTTATGCAATTCAGCCGGGAAGAAGAAATTACGGCCGAGCTGAACATGTCAGAGTAAGTCAACACAGTGTTTCGCTATTTGACATCTTCTTACCGTCAATATCAGAGAGGAGATTGAAAAGTATGATCGACTGAAGAAGTCATACGAAGCTCCCACTTTCGAGGTTGTCTCGGGTGTATTCCGCGCACTCTCAGGGAAGAAGATCATTGGTGCTGGCAGCTTCCAGAGGTACGTCAAAATGCTTTTATAAATCCACAGAGTCCATCTTATAATTGAATCATTCTACAGTCGAGATGGACATCCAGGTATCAAAGCCAACCTAAAGGCCGTTCAAGGCGATCTCTTCATGCTCGAAAAATACATATTCTTCGTCTCAAAACAACCCACGCTCATCGACCTTTCCGACATTTACCAAGTTGTTTTCTCACGTCTCGGGGCAGGACTCGGAGCCACTGCCGCACGTACTTTCGACCTCAAGATCGTCACCAAATCTGGCCCTGAGTACACCTTCACTTCGGTCAACAAGGAGGAGTATGAGGTCACAGAAAAGTACTTGAAGGAGAAGAAGGTGAAAGTCAAGAATGAGATGATGGAGGGAGAGTTGATCATGGCCGCCGTGGATGATGAAGATGAGGAGATGCAGAGTGTGGCGAGCAGTGGCGAGGAGGCGCCCAAGCCCAGATTAGGTGGAGATGAAGATGACAGTGAAGAGGGTAAGAATTCCCGACACTTTTATTCTCGATGTTATACTCACTCTGTTTTCTCATTTTCAGACGAGGACTTCCAGGCATCTTCATCAGATGAGGGATCACCCTCAGAGACGTCTTCAGAAGAGGAAGGAGGCATGACCGCGTCAGACGCGAGTGGAGATCGGGAGCTCACCAAATCTGTCAAGGGTAAAGCGAAGGTACCCAAGAAGAAAGCGCCAGCGAAGAAGGCCAAAGCAGGTAGCGATCACGAGGATGAAGGGGAGAAGCCCAAGAAGGCTGCGCCGAAACCAAAGCCCAAGACGAAGAAGAAAGATGCGGATGGTGATGCTATGGACGTGGATGAGGCTCGTCCAAGACCAAAGCCTAAGCCCAAGGCAAAGCCAAAAGCGAAGGAAGGAGAGGAAGAAGGTCCAGCAAAAAAGAAACTGAAGAAGTCAGAGGACTGATAAATTGTTTCTCCCTTCACTTCCTTTAGTTTAGCGTTCCATTCAGTATTGTTTTCGTCTAGCTCTGGTATCTTCTGCAGTAATAGTATGTGTATTATGACGTCTTTCCTTGCTACAATTCTATTCAAATTCTACATAAATCCCTAATGTTTGACTAGCCGTTTTAGCGATAGTGGGTGAAGTACATTTCAGTTATACACATAAAGGAAGTGCGATACAAATTAGCAATGTGGAAAACGAAGGTGAATGACATGTGAAGCTTGAAAGGAATGGGATAAATATCAATCAATGAAATAGAACAAAGAATGTGGTAGGATAGTCTAAACAGAAATGGAATGGAAAGGGAGATGCAAGGAATGGAATGGAGAGAACAATGAATTACGTGCGTCTTGAAAGCAAGGATCCGGGTTCGAACATGGCAGGAACCGGAGGCGTGTCACCTATCGCAGGAGCACCGTTGAAGTTCAAAAGAGGCTGAGCTGGACGTTGTCCTTTCCGCGTGCCTGCTCTTGATAGTGCGGCGCCCGCACCGCCGGCAGAGGCCGAGGTATTGGTAAGAACGTTGCGTTCTTGATAGAGCACGTAGGACTGAACACAAGTTCAGCACGCTGTAAGGGACTCAAGAATGATATAGAACTTACTCGAGCCAGAAGGATCTTCTCAATCAGAGCCTGCCCGTCCTTTTTCTCGCATGCAAATGTATGCATATAGTCAGCGGTGTTTTCGAAGAATGACAGGTTGTCTGTGGACTTGACAGCGAACACGAATGACTTCGGCGCTTTGCCCGGCCGTGTCACAAAGTAGGCATCGAAGTTCGCCAATGAGCAGAGGAAAGTCTGATCCTTGCCCTGTAATAGAAGCGTTAGTGAGGACCAATAGAACATAGAGAGAACAGACGTACACTATCCTTCTTGGACAACCATAGACTATGTTCTCGAAGCTCGATTCGGCGTTTCTGCCACTTTCCACGCTTGTACTCCCACTGCACAGTGCCGAAATGGACAGGAGAGCTCGAAGGAACGGCCTGATAGGTATGGGTCAGTTATAACCACATGAGCATTACCAATGGCGTTAAGCTTACCGAACTGCTGAGCATCGCAGCCAAATCTGTCTGCCGGACAAGGAACACATTTACTGTTTTCTCCGCATTCCAGGAGGCAGAAACGTCAGAAAGCAGCTCATAGCTTCGGATAGGCCGCTCTGAGAGTCAAAACATCAGCGTCATAATGGTAAGAATACGCATAAATAGACTTACCCATGCCGAAGTCTTGACAGACTTCCCACATCATCCAGTTTGTCCCACCGCCAGGCAATGCCTTCTGACTTTCCATGATACGCAGAACGTCTCTAGCTGTAGTGCCCGCATGAACTTCCACTTGACAATAAGACTGAAGGGTGTTCACAAAGATACGTTGCTGCCACATTTGGATAGGTTTCGGTGGAGGCGGCGGCGTTGAGGGGAAAGTCGAAACTACTTCAGCCGAAGGCAAAGGCGGCATGGGAGGTCGACTTGGTGCTCGACGTCCATCTTCTTCGACGCTTGGTCGGCGAGAATGTGACTTCACAGACCTTGCTCGATCGAGTGTGGCACCATGACCGTCATCCCTATTCTCAACACTAGGCCGTCTTGAACGAGTCGACCTCGACCTATCCAAAGGTGTAGTGGGCGGCAACACGTCCTTGTCAACGCTAGGTCGACGTGAGTGTGATCGCAATGACTTGCCCCTGTCTAATCCTCCGTCTCTCATGACGAAGGGACTGACAGGTGGAGTTGAAAACTGATACGTGTCGGGTGTGCGCTTCGTTACTGAGGTAACACTTCGGCCAAGACGACCATTGTGCTCCAATGGTAATGGTGGGGGAACATAAGACTCTTCTCCAGTTGTGCGTGGACGGTGGAATGAGCGTGTGGGTCTAAGCATCCTGGGGCGAGCAGCACCGGCAGAGGGATCGGTAACTGGAACCGGAGTGGAAAGGAATTCAGGTTGTGGTGGTACACGCGATTGGCTTGGTCCAGCCTGCACGTCAACTGAAGGATCTCTTGAAGAACGTCTAGGGACCTCTTCAGAGAGTCGATGTGGTATCTGCCCAGTTTGTACACTGAGCAACTTGTTGGTGAGTTCACCAACTGAGAAGGGATTCATGCTGTTACTCGGAAGCGTTTTCGTGCGTGCTCGCGTGAAAGGTTTCCACGGTTGGGATGCAGGTTCTCGAGCACTGATTGACCTTTGCTCCAAGGTGGCTACAGGACTGTTCCGATCTTGTTTGGCGGCGGCGACGGCTTTCTTCTCCAACCTGCGTCTCCCGAGCTCATCTCGAACTTGACGACGAATAGTCTTCTGAGCTTTGAGAGCGGTAGGTATCTGTTGAGCGAGAGGAACATCGTCGTCGTCGGAACTGGTAGGACTTTCCTCTGGCCGAGCAGATCGAAGGGCACTTGCTGATCGTCCATACTCATCCGTCTCATCCTCGTCCGTTTCGGAATCGGTTTCCTCAGGTGCCGTCGATCGAGCGGCCGGGCGTCGATTCCACTGTTCATCATCGTCCTGCCCCTTTCGTCCACCCGAACCGCCCGATCCTCCCAGTCCGCCGGACCCACGAAAACTTGCTGAGCTGCCCAATCGACCACTGTCACCAAACCCTGTCCCACTAGCGCTAGAATGCAGAGTTCCACTCCTCTGTCGGTTGCCCCGATAACCCTCATTAGCATCTACGACCTCGCTGGAGGCACTGCGAATGGACGTATTGCGTGAGAGCATTTCGAGAATTTGACTGGAAGACGCCGGTTCGGGGTGAATGGATTCTGTTACCTCCGCCTTTCCAGTGGAGGACGGAATCCGAAATAACTGCCTCAGGGAGTTTTGGATGGAACTTGATGTAGAGAGCTTGCGTTTCGCGCTACGTTCTGAGGTTGAGCGAGAGATGTTAGGTGAACTGTGTTTCGAGCTTGGACGAGAGATGACTTGAGATTCTTCAGGAATGGTGTCGTCTGCCTGGAAGGTGATATCTTCCACGTCAGGACTGGCAACGAATTCTTTTGACATATCCTCAGCGCCGATCACTTCGATAGAATTTACCACAGCCTTCCCATCTTCCTCTCCAACATCAAGATCGTCCTCAAACGTCGGAGGCGTCTGCATCTGAGACACAGGAACCGAAAGACTCTCTGCCGCGCTCCCGTAAACACTCTTCCCCTCATCCTCCTCCTCGCTTGAGAAGCTCAAGAAAGAATCCGTAGCATACCCGTCGGTCTCCCCCTCCTCGTGCGCGTGACCATACTCGCTAGACGCCGTACTAGAAGGTTCGTATGACAGCATGCCATCCGAACTCGAAGTAGTCGTTGTAGTGCTGGTACTTGAAGGAGACATGGGTAACCCAAGACCCGTCAACGAGGTGGAAGTCCATTCGAGCGTCTGGCCGAGACTATGATTAGAACCATTGCTGCCTTCCCTCCGGTGGCCGGTGTGCAGGTGTGAACTGCTGAAGGACAAACGACGAATCGTGTCTGCAGAAGTCCCCGGCTGAATTTCATCTTGAATGCCCCCGTGCTGGGAGGGTGAGTATCCTAGGCTCGCGTCAAGTCCGTGCGTGGGCGAGGGACCTAATCGGGTTACCATTTCGGCGTAATCGTACTCCAGAGTTGATGCAAGGTCATCATAGATCGATCGCCGGGGAAATGGTGTAGTATATGCAGGTAGATTGAGGTGGGAAGAGTAAGGTGAACCGTAGGTGGAGTCACAAGAGAAGTCTTCTTTAGGACATGAAACGAGGGTGGAGCAGGACGTAGAAAATAGTGTATGCGCTTCAACTGAAGATGGTGGAGAATCATGGATGTCTTCATGGCCATCACAAGTTGATGTTGATGTCGTCGAGCACTGTGACGGCGACGGTGAAAGCGAAGGTGCGGTGTATAAATGAACGGAAGAAGGAGAGGTTGAAGATTCGGGTTCAGAATGCGATCTCATAAGTGATAAGGCCGATGGCAAATTCTCTTGAGCAGGGCGAGGGAGTGCACCATCGCTCGGAGACGTCGTCATAGGAATTATTTCCGTAGGCGAAGTAGTGAACACCATACCGTAATCACCGGCTTCAGCCTCAGCATTGATCAACCGCGAGTCCCGAATCGTTGTCAAGCCTGAAGGTCGTCGCGTATGACTGGGACGAACTCCTCTTGTAGGCTCCATAGGCTCGGGTTCCGTCGCGTTTTCAGGCACGCTATTCGAGGGAATGAGTGAGCTCCCCTGAACTTGGTCGCGGTTGGTGTCAGATATAAATCCAGCATCCAGCAAAGTCTGAGCATCGATGATCTCCCTAACATCTTCAGAAGTCAAAGACTCCTGAGAACTAAAACCATCCACAGATGCATCCTGTGGTATCAACCGCGAGTCTCTGATAGTCGAAAGGCCCGAGGGTCGTCTCGAATGACTGGGCTTCGGCGGGGTTTGTGGTTGAACCCCAGGGAAAGCCTGTTCAGGATATGGAGACCGGGCACGGAGGGCCGGTGCAGACATGCATCTCGAAAGTGCCATATCTGCGGCCTCAGACTCACTCTGCTCGCTGGTAGAAATATCGGAAGATTGCGACTCCCATGGTTCGACAGGAAGTTTGGCACCAACACGACCACGGCGAACCTAGAATATGAGCATGAATATCTCCGTGTGTTTCGGGTGCCTTACAGAAAAAGGGCGCCAAGGGAACTCACCTTAGGAGCGACGACCACCTGAGCTTGAGCAAGAGTACGCAGCGAAGGTAGTGACGGACGCGGTCTAAATGCAGGTCTCGTGTATGCGGGCTTTACTCGATCCTGAGCAGCCGACCATAACGCTGATCCCCCAGACTGTCTCACCCCCAACCGGGGAGTTGAAGGAGGTGTAGAGGGAAGACTATTCTCCGCGCCCGTGAATAGTGTTCCAGTAGCCCGACTCAATGACCGTGTCCCATCCGCATATAGCAACGCGCTTTGAGCAAGAGGGGATCGAGGGGATGGGGAAGCGACAGGGTGCACTTCGCGCCCAGCATCAAGAGATGTTCTAAGTCTGGGCAATGAGGCTGATCGCGAGCGGCCGTGAGGCGTCGCGTCTGATGCTAAAAAAGTGATGACAGAAGGACCGGGCGACAAATTTGCAAACGGATCGTCATCCAGCAAGTCGGGCGGGGGAGAGTTGCGTGGGGTAACAAGAGGTATCGACGAGGATGTATTACGCGTACTTTTGTCATCTGAAGCGATAGGTATCGCTGGGGGAATATCCAAATGTGATGAATCTGTGACGTTCAGAGCAAGAGGGGACGGTGCAGCGGAATGTGACCGTTGACGCGTGGTTTGAGAGGGGGACGCGTTTGCGGGTGAGGACGGTCGAAGGAATGGTGGTACGAATAGTGGTTGAAGTGAGCGGCGGTTCTTGACACCCATATTGGGCTCTATGGTATGTTCGCTTCTTAGAGGTTGGTATTGATGAGGTGGCGGATCGTCGCACCCCGAGGGAAGGAATGGAAGCGACTTGGTCAAGACAAGCGGGGAAGGAGGCTGCGAGGAGGCAGGAGAGAAGGCAGCAGTATCAGGCGAGTCAATGAGCTAAAAGACAATCGCGAGGTGAGTCTATGCTGTACATCCAGAACGGGATATCGGGAAGTCCTACTCAAGGACAAGCAAAGGAGCGAAAGAGTACGAAGACAAAAAAGTCCGCCTAAACAGCGCAACGTGCTCGAGCACATACGGCAGATTATGTACGTATTACGCTAATGGCGCATCTTATAGATTTCCGGGATAGGAGACCTTGCGAAGAGCGGGAACGTAAAAGAAGGGAGAATGAGCGTGTAACGGGACTCACAGGGCAATCGCATCCATAAGGCAGCCGGGCCCACGCTTTTGATGCAGGCTCAAGCCTCTCAATAACCTCGATTGGAACACCCCTGAGTGGATTGGAAATGACCTCCTCTTCTGGGAGATAGCAATCGACTATGGTAACTGCTGGGTACTCCGTATCAGTCGCGGGTTTGAAATGCGAACGTTCGCGCGAGAAAATGCCGTTGTGCAGAAGACCAGTCTGACGGTGCGACGAGTAAAGTAAAAGACAAGGAGCATGTCCCGTGTGGGCGTTGAGGGTAGGCATGTATACGGTGTGCTATAGACAGAGCAGTCCAGACTCTGCAGCTACTGGGGGTATATGTTCAAAAGACGATTTTTCTCCGCTGCCGTTTTCGAGGGCACAGTTCAGCAACCAGCCGACGCCCAGCCAATCACATCTGCAGTACGTAACAAACGGAATACCGAAAATATCCTTTTCACCGACGGACAGCGTCACTTTTATAGTCTCTCGCAGCGACCAGGTCGGTATTGATTTTTGACAGGCAGGTAACACTCTCATGCAGTCAATATTACACTTGTTCATCTCTCCAACTCTGTTTCTATACTTGTGACGGTTTCTGAGATTTTTTTCAGTTTAGGTTGCAACAACTATCGATCGTAGCATGTAGTTTTCTCACGAGCCCAAAGTCGCAGGCAACATCGAATTTCCGAGCCATCACCACCCCAAATTCCACTGCCCGAGCCACGGCGGACCCAGAACAAACGCGGGGTCGTGCACGTATTCACCGTCTGCTAGTACGCTGGAGTGCGACGTTATAGTGCATAAGCAAAAATTAAAAGCCCCCAAGGTCACTACGGCGCCCAGTGTCATGGAGCCAACCGCTGACAAGAGGTTTCAAGTCATATCAGAAGTCGCAGACATGTCTCTTCGTACAGAAGTTGACAAGACAACCACTGACCAATGTTCAGGCTCGAGAGGATATCCCCGCCAAATAACGTCCAAATAGCAACTGCGCACACGACAACAAACGAAAGCGTCTCCAAGAGATGCTCCGTCCAATGGCAACTGCCAGCTATGTCACAAGAAACGCACGGCGATCAGGAGGACCTCCGACATCCCTCTTCGCTACTATTCGGCCAGAAGGCAAAGCAGACGCGGACGCGCACCAGAGGAAGCTGCATGTATAGACTTCCGCCAAAGCCTGACGCCTAGGAAGTCGACTTGTGACGTTTTGTAGTTCTTAATATGTTGCCGGATTATTCGAACAGGCAATAACGGGACACGCCACAGGAGGACATAGTATTCATTCAAGACAAACCCTATTCTGTGGGCAAAGGACGATCCACGTTCTACCACCGGAGGCAATCGTTTGCATACAGGGGGTTCAAAGCAAAGTTTTGGGGAATGGACAACAGTAGGTTTCGCCATCTATCGAAGTGTAAGGAAATAATGCGAGTTGCCCCCTTACCTTGGGGGACCGGGAATCGCGGATGATTAGAATATGATGCCAACTTTCATATTCTATAATGCAGAATGGAGTTAGTAATGTTAAGCATCATTGTAACATCATTAGAAAGTGCCCATGAATACACCCACGGTCCAATACAGTCCAGACGGCCTTTTGAACTCCTTCAAGAAGAGAATAATCTGCTTCCAGCGAAGTATGCCCTGGGCAATACAAGCACGGAGAGGTCACGCCTTCTTGAGACGCGTATCAGTCGGATTCTTGACGTGTGAACCTGTCCACAAATGCAGAAAATAAGTAGGAATGCGGATCTATTACATTCTTACCTCGAATTCAATGAGTTTATTAGGCAGTTCCCCAACCCCCAACGAGAGAACGGGAAGGCTCACTTGGCAAAAGTCACAAGATAGTTGTCTAGAGGCCGTGGCATTTCCGTCATACTTTCGCAAGAAAGTTACCTCTAGTTCCAAAACAAGTCTCGCCCCTTCGTAGCTTTATCGTCACCTACTTCTCAACGAAAAATGGTGTGGACAAGCTAGGAATGGATGAGACTGGTCGGACCTTATGCGCACTCAAAGTATGAGTTGATGCATCAATAATTTTGATGACCAAATAGGTTCACACGACATGAACAAGATGTACGGCCGAAGTTGACTGTCAGTGTTAAGGGGTATCAGTTGCAGCGGAGATTCCGAGGTTCTACACGCAGGCAAGAAGTTCCCCACCTAAAGTTATACCTAAACTTTATAACAAGCCTCCGGGTGTCAAGGATTTGTCAGATTGCGTGAAACGGTGGCATAACCATTGGGAATTCACCCACCCAAACCGATCGTAAAGCGGTTTAAGCCGGTCCAATTTCAATGACGGTTGCCCTGAAAACAACGAATGTGAGAGCTTCGAGCACTTCAGGCACAACTTTCAGTATGCGAAGATTGCTCGGCTATGATGGAGGAGGGACTGAACAATATTTCGAAAAAGGTCAACATGGTCGTCGCAAACAAAGGAAATGTGGGTGCCGACGACACAAAAGATTCAATGAAAGCGCCTGGCGGACCGCTTGACTCCGGTGAACTTGGAGTTTCGAAAGTTGAAACCTTCAACCTTTCAAGGATCCATCGTTGAATATTGACGCTTAACATTCAGCTCGAATACTAAAGTTCACGAAGTTTATAGCGTCCCAGTCCAGCCATACAATCTTAACGAGCTCAAGATTGACCATCCATTTACCGACGCATTCTCTCGATGGATCGTCCCGCGAAACCAACCAAAGTCGTCCTGCACCCACCTCCGCCAGCTGTACGCAGAGCCAGTCCAAAACAACTTATTATCTTGAATGCTTTATATGCGCGTGCTACGCGACCTGCAGGTCAGAGCATCTCGGATGCTTCCAAGGAAACTGGGCTGTGAGTTTCCCTCATCCATCCGTACCATACGATGGAAATTAATATCTGAGCTCACAGCCCAGAAAGCTGGATCAGAAATTGGCTAATACGAGCCCGAAGTAGTAGCAAAAGACGCACCGTCGGACAATCCAGGTCTGGAGCTATGCCTGAATCCACGCCTTCCTCTACACACTCGACACAATCCGAACCTACCAGGAAACCCTCAAGCAACAATGTCTCTCAAAGCAATGACGTCTCTCTCTCGGTGACAAATTCACATATGCTCCGTGGTATCGCTGGAACTCCAATACCCATGGACCCACCATCTCACATGTCAACCGTTTACTCTCAACCTCGTGCCTTCGCTGCTACTGAATATTCTCGTCCGCTTTCGGCTCCCACTCTTTCTACTGCCCCACCCTCGTCTGTCACATCTAGTGTCTCTACCGGCTCCGCTGATTTTACAACTTCAAATGAGTATATGCGCGCATATACTCAGTCTCCTTCACTCGGATACATACCCATGGCTTTTCCCTTCGATTCCAGAACCAGCACTACCTTGAGACAAGATGTTTCTATCTCCTCGGCTCCGCCTTTGTCCTCCGCCCGGTTTCCAAATAAATCCGTACATCACGATGCCGTTGGAAATAACTTGTCGGCTCCGGCTGTCCCCTTTATTCAAAGCAAAGCTCCGTCTATCCCGAATTTGAATCTGTCCTCTGTAAGAGATAGATCCTCTTCCTCTCGTTCTTCCACATCTCTGCCTCAAGAATCTTCTGACCACTCAAGAATTCGGCATTCCAAATCAGACTCGCTGTATGATCTGTTGTACGACATGACAGACCTCTCCTCACCTGAACCTCTTCACCGCTTCCCTCAACCTTTCTCACAACCTTCGCAATCTGTGCAAACTGTTCAAACTGGATTATCACTCCCACTTTACTCTAGCATGTCTTTCGATCCCTCTTTTCAAACTCACTCGACGTCCGTTGGTCCTCTCGCTCCAGGAACTTCCCAGATTTCACGAACTACTATCGCCCACTCTTCGGCTGTTCACTCACACGTGCTTGCATACCCTCCGCCTCAAACCACAACTGTCGCGTACAAAATCAACATGTATGACTTGGTTGCTCTTACAAAGAGAGTACGGGCTACGTCTGCGTCTCGACTTGGTGATTCTCGTTTTCTCCTTCATCGTACGTCCATCCCCAAGGAATCTGCTCACTGCTTTCATTTACAGACCCCGAGACCTTTCCCTCGCCTACTCCCTCTCTCACAAATGAACAATATACGGCCGCTAAACTTGCCGCCTCCGACTATCCTTTCTCCGTGGCTCAAACAGCAGCAGAAGGCGCCCTGGCTGACGAAATCCTCAACTTCGACGCCGATGGCGAAGAAACAGAAGACGAATCTGTGGAAGCAATTACGCCGCATGTCCCGAGTGATGGATTGGAAGTATCGGCTGATATGTCTTTGGTCAGCGAGAAAGTCGGCGGGTTGTTACAGACAGAAAGAGTTGTCCGTGGTGTGCGGGAAGAGGACGATTGATATGTTGTTCCCTCGTGATCCATGGCTGAAGTATTATCGATTTTTGTTGCACGTAACCTATACGATGTCGAATGCAAAGTGGGACGTCGCGAACCATAATAATCAATAAAAAAGTGTCTTGAGCCGCATAAGCTCCGATAGGACGTCCATCGAATATAATACCGTCAACAAATATTCCGATCTCGACGCTAGTGAGTGAAATGCAGCAATGCCATAGATACCTCCCAAACGTAATAAAATACGCGATGACACTAGAACCCTCATTTCTCACTATCATCTCGTTTCCGTGTTGAGCTTGGTGTGCCAAGCGCGATAATCTGTCCCAACAACGAAGGTCTCCTCTTCTTCGCATATGTCGGTCTAGGAATAGAACCCTGCTGAGAACATGAGCACACAAACATTCCGATCAGTCACCACTGTCAGACTCAGTTGATACGTCAACTCACCTTGCTTTGATTCTGGCTGTGGCTTCGAGTTCTTTCAAGTCCAGCAACTGCTCGGGGAGGATCAACGTCAAGCATCACAGGGTACCCGGAACCAGGCGGGCTCTGTGGGAATGGCAGTGGCGTTCTAATATCTATCGATGCTTTACGACCTCGAGACCTCTGGGCTTGCATCTGTGGTGACTGTGTGGGTGGCAACTGCAGAGGAGAAGGTAGGGGTATCGCTCTGTGAAGCATGGATTGATCTGAAGAGGTCGTTGTTCGATTTGACGAAGGTTGTTTTGTGGAAGAAGAGGGGGATGAAGGTGAGTCGTCGTATGTCTGCCGCGCTTGAGCTTCAACCCAACGTGCAGTCCGCTCCAGGTTCGATGAGGGCACGTCGTCGAAGGGACCAAATTCGTGGCTCATGATGGGCAATGTGTATGTTATAGAAGGGAATGAGCTCGCAGTGAGGTACGAGAGAAGGTGAAAGAGTGAGGTGAAAGGACAAGGCGTGTAAGCGATGCGGACCAATTGAGTTTGGTCGCTTTGTATCTTTTATTTGTTCTTGGCCAGTCGGAGACAAAGAAGGAAATCTTCTCTTCTTCTCAGAACCACGGCATCACCACCACACGGCACTAGTACAGACATATCACGCTCCCCTACACTGCAGAAGAACATATCCGTGCCTCTGATATCCGTGCCTCCGCGATTAAAAAAGTTTAGATGGCCGTGGACCTGATTCATACCCGCGTGACGTCCAGCTTTGAAGGCCGCAATGAGACCGACAAGGCAATTTGAAGGCAAACGTGATTATTCGTTCCAAATGAAGCTCCCGTGCGTGGAGTGATGCGTGTCTGGATGGCGCTCGGAATGGGAATACAAGGAGTACCCTAGATGGGGATCAAACGTAAGAAACAAATCACAAATACGATCACATAAGGTGATAGAAGTACCGATGCTATACATCATCCTGAGGGTACATTGGACAGCACCTCAGCAAAGCAATCCTCCTCAGTCGATCGGTGTTTGCCGGATGGAAGTCGCGCATGATCCTCGGGTTGGCCAACTTGGGCGTATACAGCTTTGTGCCATCCGCTTCACCTACGAGCGAAGGTATATGGGGCGGTATAATGTGCCTTGTGTTCGCGTGATAGTGAGAAACGAGTACTTCAAAGGAAAGCCGTCTTGATTACAAGCTTCTTGCATGGTATCCTTACTGTTGACGAATATAGTTCCGTTCCACGTCCTCCCGGTAAAGAAAGGCGGCTGATCATGAGTGGACTTCAGAATAGTGGCCGCTTCCCAATCCTATATCTATACAATGCTTTTCCGCTAGCGACCCACACGCACAAGCCACGATCTTCACCACTGCCACCGTCCGTGACCTGCATTGCAGGAATTTCAGCGGGGAAAGGCTCTTCCAGTAGTCTGGGGCATCTCTTTGGCAGAGGAACAAGAGCCAGTAGAGAGGAATCAGGAGATTGTTTGGGATCGACGGAAGGAATGATTGGGTTTCCTGTACGCAGGGACCATGCATTGACGCGGCGTTCATCGCTTGCTGCGAACAAGAGATCATGGGCTGGTGATACAGCTAGCCCCTGGAGCCGCAGTGCCATGATATAAATAACATGATATACTAGACGTAGTCAAACTCACCAGTTTCTCTGTGTAGCGATTAGAGTGACCCTGGAACTGCATGATGGGACCGGGGTTCCCTGCAAAACGAAGATCATACATCTCCAGCTTGATATACAGCCGGTAAGCCTTTGTGCTGTTTGGCAAATTTGGAAACTTACACTGCCACCTATGGTGCTAACCAGCAGTTGCCATTCGTTGACCACACTAAGGTGAGTAATGGAACTGTTAGTCCCTTTAAACCTCTGGTTGAATAGCTCTTGACCCTTGTGTACAGTTTCCACTCGTCTGTCGAAGCATTGTATAGAACCATTTCGACAGCCGGTATAGCACAATTGCTAACAAGAGTGTCAGTAGGTCTCCAATGTTTAGCATTGGCATACAATTGACGCACTCCGAGTTGGTAAACAGATAATACATCACTTTTAGTTGGTAGGAAACGAAAGTGGGTCGAAGCAACAATATCTGGCATTAATATCCCGCGGCCTGCAGCGCCTTCAAAGGGAGGTCGTGAGTCTGAGGTTCAGAAAACCAAAAGATCTACATACCCAATAACAAAGAGTGATCCAAAAGATGCGCATCTCGAACATCATGACAGCTCTTGTCCAGGATACGCAGTATTGTCCACATGCTAACGCTGCACACCATTGTCAGTCTGCCAGGATATGCAAAAGCAGGTTAGACTTACTCAGGAGAGGTAAGGTTTTGGATGACAACCTCACACGCGGCTCCGAATGGTATTGCCCTATATAAGGAGGTGAGTGACAAGATCCATCTTCACTGAGCGATAGAAGTTGGTCACTTACACACGTATGTCTTGTGTACAACACACTGTGTTTACCTGTCGATTCTGCTATTCATCCATGATCCTTATATAACGACGGAAATCAATACGGTACCTGCGATCCAAGAAACACTTCCCTGGTAGGTACATTGGGCACGGCACTATATTGGGTGTACACCCAACCCAATTGGTCACCGACCGTAGTTGTATACGAGCCGTCAGCTTGTTCTGTCGCCTAAATCATGATTCAAGTACTCGATGGAGTCGAGAGGAACGAACCTAGACTCACGACAAACGAGAGGACGTTACTGTCCGAAACACTGTTCACCTCAACACGACAAGGTCTGGCTATGCTCTGAAGTTCTAGTTCGCTATTGTCAAGTAAGAAGAAAGCACGAAGACCCCAATTTATAGAGAACATACTGAACATATCTTCCGGTCGCCGTGTATGTTCCACCAGTTCTCATCCTGTCGACCAGAGACCACACATTCTGCGGTTGTGGTTCTTGCTGAAACTCGACTTTCCGGCGTTTTAGAGGGCCCTCGTTTCGATATCGTGTACGCTGCTGGCCAGAGATATCGGATGACAATGAAGCGTTGGATGGGAGGGTTGTTGGGCTGCCAGGAGGTCTGGATGAAAGCGGGAAGTAACGTTCCTTGGTTTCATCCCAGTAAAATCCTGGAAGCTCCCGCGGAGGCATAATATACTACAATCAATCGCAGGGAGCAAAATTTGACTCAGGGTAATGAATTGAAATCTCCTGCGCAAGATGTTTAGGTTGTGAAGTGCATGTAGAGACTTGTGTAGAGAGAACGTCATGGTCGACAAGCGCCCGTCTAGCTTGGATAATATTGGGCTATGAATAAGTATCGTTGGTCAAGATTCAAGACTACAAACTGGCAACACCACTGATTCGTTCATAGTATGATAGGTAAAGTGTGATACAAAGTTCGTTGCGTAATCCAAATACTTAGTAAATACTTCATACAGGTGTCGCTAACGACTCATATATCCACTGTCCTCTGCTCGGGATGAAGAACGTACGGTGACTGTCACTGGCAAGGCGCCATGGTCGATGACAAAGTTGTCTTCTAATCCTCGCTCCCACTCATCAGCATCCCAACCATCGACAAATCGGAAACTCAGGTTCTGCAGAACATGACACAGGACGGTGCGCATTTCTGTCAACGCAAGGTTCTTTCCAACGCAGTTGTATGAACCAAATGAGAACGGAATGAAGGCATCAAAGTTGTGCCGGAAGTCATCCGGCGCAGGCATATCGCCTTGTGCGATCAGCCACCTCTCCGGCCAGAAAGTATCAGATTTAGGAAAGAAGTTGCGAGGATCCCTTTGGATGGACCAGAAGTGGATACGAGCCTGGGTGCCTTCAGGAAGATAGCTGCAAGATACATGCCATCAGATTCAGTCTGTAAGAGCCAGCAATGGTTTCCTCACTATGGACCGATAAATTTGCCACCAGAACCGCGAACAGCCGCTCGTTGACTGCCACTTGGGACCACGGGGAACAAGCGTAAGGTCTCATTGCTGTAGGAATTAAACATGAATTGACAGCATCCAAAGTTTGAAATGGAACACACATGACGGCATCTAAGTACGACATGTCCTGATGGTGCTCCGGGTCTGTTGCATCAGATCCCTGGGGGTACCACTGGTCGACTTCGGCTTGCAGCTTCTTGTAGACACCGGGATTGCGCAAAAGACTGAAAAATATGTTCGACAGAGTAGTTGATGTAGTGTCGGATCCAGCAATGATCGCGAGGTTAGCGTCGGCAAGAAGTTGCGCGATGGGTGGCTGTTGAGGTTCTGCACCGTCTTCGTTATGCTGTCAGGTAATGAGTTTCAGTAGACCAAGGAATTGAGCGCTTCGCATACTATGTAATAGAACAAATCCTTCCTCTTTACGTCGGAATGCATCCTATCCTGCATCCTCGCGAGATTGAATTTACGCATGTGCTTCATTCCTTCGCCCGCGTTAGGTATCATAAGAATGAATTGCGCCAACCAAGGGATTGGCTCCAAGAACGACATTGTTCTACAATGCCGCCGCTCAGCTATTGATGCACCGAAACATAGCCGAAGAACGTGAATACATACTTTAGGGCGCCCTTCAGGATCTGCCAAAGTTGATCCTTGTCCCCTTCATCAAGCATCTCTGACCAATGACCGAATCTGCAAAACTGGTCAGCATGTATGTAGCTACTGACTGAATGCATGACATACGCCATATCCCCCATGAAGTCGTATCTGCAAGACAGACCTTAAGTGATCACAGATAATGAGTCAAGAACCAGGGTACGTACGTGAAGTACGAGATCCATTGTGAAAGATCGATCTCTTTAGAACTTGACTGTTGTTCGAGCCTATCAACCAACTGTTTCACGCGCTTCGCTATGAGCGGCTGAAACTCCTTGACGGACGCAGTGTTCAAAGCACGAGTCCATGGTCGTCTTCGACGGTTGTGCAACGCTGGATCTCGAATAGCGATGAGCGAGGCCGTAGGGTTGTTCAGCGTACGACCCGTCCAATCTAGTTAACGATTAGACATATGCATGAGTAGTGGACTGCTCCCTTCATACGTACTTGGTCCTTTCGGCCAACCATTTGCGCCCATCAATGGTGTGATTGCGGACGGATCTCGAATGGACACTTCATTCGGACCTGCGAATATATAATATGAGCCATGCTATGTCATGAGTGAATATTGAAGCCCAACTAACCGATCCTCACAATGTCTCCATATTTGTCATGCAACTGCTTGATGTACACATGGCGCTTCTTCTGCAAACCGATCCAGAGCATCCACAACATAGAAATCTTGTTGGGAATAGGACCGGGAATATTTGAAAGTGGATGGAAGGGTGACAGACGGTAAACCACGATAGACAAGGCGAGAGTTGCATAGTAGGTAAGAAACGCAAACGCCAATGCTTTGAAGATGGCAAGGTGAACTAGAAAAAGTATTGAAAGCAACGACGGCACCAATCCTAGAAGACATGCCAGAACCGACAGATTTGCCGGTTCAAAGCGATTGAAGATGAGATGGGCGAACTATGAGTAACGGTAAACCCATCTGTGTTTGAATATAAAGATGAGATACTGACAAGGCCCAAAGTAACCGCTGCAAGAACAGCATCATATAGTTCAACATCAGGCATAACGGAAAGATCGAAGATATACGTGCTCGAATCCTTGCGAGAGCAGTTGCCGATCGTCATCTCTGACACCTTTTATCATCTCATTAAAGGGGCTAAGCATGTATGACCCACAGTTTTGTCGTTGTTTCGGCTCTAGGGTCCACTTGTTTTAGACTTCCCGAAATCGTACACTTCGGCTAACGGGATACGGACTTGCCTCCGCCCCCCTGGCGGGTTATATGTCGTTCTTGACACCTGAGGTCATGAAGTGCCAAGCCGAACAGACATAACACCTGAGGTAATTTCCTTCTCAAATTAGCAGCCTAAGCAATATGACTGCAAGTAATGTCCACTAGTGTACCACACTTCAGAGAAGCCATCCCATGACAATAACACATGTCATGAGTGCGGATAGCTTTCTCGTACCCTACTGTATTTCTCGATTGCGGATGGTTCGGCCAAATGGGGACCTCCGCCTCAGCTGTGCAAGTGTGATGTCATAATCTGTTAAACCGAAGAGATTAATCAGCAGCTTACTTGGCCTTGAGAGTTATCATTCGGGTTAGAACTAGCAGACCGAGTTGATGAGTTGAAACGAGTTTGAAACTGAAACCAAATGTTTCCTTATCGAGCCTGGCATATCCCTATATGGCAAAGCCTTCCACAAGCGCCTAACTGCACAGAAAAATATCTTCCTTTGCGCACCAGACAGCGGATACAACATGCAGAGGAGATCCTAGACAGAGCTATACAGAAAACAAGCATGGAACTAAAATACCTTGAATATACCCACTTTTCTTTGAGGGATCCAACGAATTCGACCTGCAAGTATTAGGTAGTCAAGCTTTGACTTTACAGAGTATCCATCGTCCCTCAACACCTTCCTTGGGTCTAATTTCTTCAGCAGCTCGCTTCTCCTGTAGCCACTTGTCGATAAGAAACACAACAGTGTCATCGTCCACATACTCTGGCGAAACAGACGGCAAAGCTAGTGATCGACAAAGCCAATGACAAGTAGGGGACACAGTGCCAGTTGTGCCTTTGGATGATATATCGCAATGAAGCTCCCGATATGCACTGCGAAGGACAAGCGACGTCGTGTTTCTTGCCTTCGATCGTAGGTTGTCGATTAATGTGAATAGAGCGTCACGAGCCAGATGTCGTGGTCCGTTAGAAGAATTGTCCTGGCTCAGCGTATGCGTCACTTCAGATTTGGGAGGACAGTCCGGGAGAGACTGAGGCAGCAAGGTGACTAGTGTCTTGTTTTCGGTCAGATTATAGAGCCTAGTGTAGTTGCGAGTCCGGAGGCTGCAAGCGAGCGCCGCTATCCAACGACCCTGCTCTGATTTCTTCGGCACGAAAGCATCCGGTAATGTAGCCATATGTTCAAAGAATCGACTTTGTGATGGGTAGCCAGATACAAGGCAATGCAGGAGGGAAAGGAGGGCGGTAGATCGGGTGGTCGAGGGCAGTTCTGTAAAAGACGAATACAAATGGGGTAGTAGATGGGTGATGATGGAGGTTGTTTGACCGGGGGAATTGAAGAGAATTGACAGATGTAGTGATGTCTCGTAGACTAATGAAGTATACGTTATTTCATGCTAAGCTGCTGCGGCATGAAAAATGGACTAATCATACGCACCTTCTAAGGCGAATGTATCGGTCCTCTTCGTTGATAGTAAGCCTTCTCGCAATTTACCTTGATGTATCTCCATAAGTCAATCGAAACTGACTGATCCGGGCCTACTCACGGAATAATATGAGAAGGTTCCCCTCAACGTCTTCCCGCTGCTTCTTGCTCGCCACCTTGTTCGCATCATCGCGATACTGTTTCCAGTAGTCCTGGAGCTACACAAATGACGGAATGACGGGATCTAAATATCTATTACGCTCCCGCCAGTACTCGGAAGATGGGCTCTACCTTGTCTTCGATGAACGCACGGTACTCTTCTTGTACTTTAAAGTCCCTCAGCCTGCCCTTCTTGGCAACCAGTCAGCGTAGAAGCCTCAAGCAATTTAGCTGTGTACTCACGCATCGCCATCTTTTTCCAGACCACTGCTTCGACTAACAGACGCGATGAGTTCCATGTGTCGTTTGCCCGCATGGTACACCTTGTGGGCTCGACTAGCATGGTTGGGCCTCGACATGGCAATTTTCTAACGCGCAGGAGACAGGATATAAAAGTAGTTTGTTGCTTAGTTCCCGGAGACCTTCGTTATCTTCCTTGTCTTCGTCAGCGTTGTGGTCGTGGTTCAAGAGAGACTTAGAGATCAGGTTAAGGTTCATTAACCGCTTGTACATCGTGGCAGACAGCGCTGAAGGCGTTCCCGTCCCTCTTCTAGATGATATTTTGTGACGCTGACTCCCGCTGCTTTGTTACTTCCCTGGACGATATAGACGACTCGAATATGGCTATCGATAACTTTGCTGCTGCCTCTAGCTCTGACACCGACCGACCTGTAGCTAGCTCTGCTGAGGTACCACTTCGCACAGGTCCGCCAACGAGAGAGGAACTTCTGGTACACTATCCGGCAAAGTTCACATGGGAACAATTGAAGACGTTTGTCAACTCTGGGTATGAGACTCTCGTACACCTTGGCTGTGTCTCCGAGGCTCAAAACGTAGTGAAGTGACCTTGGACTGCTGAAGCGTGACAAGAAGCTTCAAATCCGATACGATGAGTGGGCCAAAGGGATGAGGGAGCGTTATGGCTCTATTGGTGAGTAACAAGATAACGACGGCTCACTGATGTCCTGAAGGTCGGTATCACAGTCAATTACCTATGGGACCATAGGCTTCAATGGGGAAATCCCGATACTCTATCTCTGTTACCATCTCGTCTAAGTAATTGTGCACCTGAAAGCACGCCTGAGTCAACGCAGGTCTCATCAGACTGGTCAAGCAAAGACAGTCAACCCCAGAGGCCAACTGTACCTCCGGATGCCCCCTCGTATTTTACAGCTGACACACCTCCAGAATACATCAGTATCATAATGAACGACTGGCCATATTCAGGTAAGCGTTCTATCGCTCCCTATACTAACAGCATTTATATCTTATTCGTTGCACAGTGCCTCCAGAAGTTGAACATACCCTAATCTGGACGCGTATCCCCATCATTCCACCAGACCTCCCGCCCTCAATAGCACCCCGTATAGCACAGGACGGCCTATGGGGTTTCACAGGATCAGATTCACCACCACCTTCACCAAGTTTACTCCCATCATACTTACCTGCGTTGTCGGAATGGGGTGTCACTATGGACAAGCTCGTACGATCACCCAAGGGAACTGATGAGGAGGAGGCATTGGTCAAGAAGGATGGAGATGAGATCGCTAAATTCATCAAGCGGAGGTGGTCTGAGGATGAGTGGGAGACAGCGTGGTTTGTCAATCCGCCGGTACGTCTTGTACTTAATCCTGCATGCCAAAACGAGAAGTATTGAAGTAGGATTTCTCGCAGCGATTGCAAAGCGTTCCTGGCTTGGCTCACATCCACGTATTCGCTAGATACAAAGGCCCGGACTCACAGACATAAAATGGACTAGTATTTCTGACATCGGACAGCGTTACTTACATACAGCATTTTATTAGACCTATTTACACACATTTGATTGGATGGGTATACCAGAATGATGATTTCTACAATTTAGATGAAGATGCGTGCATCCTACAGATTGTCTATTAAAGCCAACGCCAAAACCCCAGGATTACCATACCCTAATGAAGGGCGACCTTGCTCAATAATTCTGCTAGGTCTTCCTCTATTGTCTTGTCTGCCTCCATCGATTTCCTCCTCTCCGGTGTGACAATCACTTGACCTGGCTGAGCTGCCGCCTCTGCTTCGGCTTCTAGCTCGGCAGCTTCCAAGGCCTCCTCCTCAGCTGCTTCTTCAGCTTCTAGCTCTTCTTCCTCTTCCTCCTCATCGTTGACAATGACCTTGCCACCTCTCCTCTGCAACAGTCCAACAAGACTCTGTATAACCTCGTCTTCCTCCTCGAAATCGTTCCATTGAATCTCTAAATGTTTGAGTACGGGCAAAAACTCGGGAATCGCTTCGGCGAGCAACTCGAATGTTCGAGTCTCCAAGTTGTTGTTTTCAAGTTTCAGGAAATTGAGCTTTGGATTTGATCCTGCTGCAAGCGGCGAAAAGATCGGGGAGACATCACCATCTTCCTCGGCAATGTGACAGTCGGACACGTTGAGTGTGAGGAGTTCTGGCCATGACTTGAGCGCATCTGCCATCGCCTTCGCGCCCTTCTCCGAGAACGTGTTATCCTGAAGATCGAGGTGTTGCAATCCGGGGTTTGCAGAGATACCGCGAACGAGTTCAACGATACCATCCATCCGGATACCGTTCTGCGGCATCTTGATCTCAACGAGTCCACCATGTTCCCTGAAAGCAGCAGCCCACGAACCCGCTGCTCCGTCCTCCAACCGGTTCCTTCCACAGATAACTGTCCTCAAACTCGACTTCTTGCCCTCCTTCTTGGATAGTTGAGCTGAGAGTAGTAGTGCATCTGCAATGACCGCACCTCCGGCAGGACCGAGACCATTGTTGTTGAGTTTGAGGATTTGGAAGGAGCGGTTCTTCGTTAGGAACGGGACGATGGGCTCAACGGAACGACCACCGAAGGCATTGTCGCTGAGATTAAGCTCAATGAGCGTGTCGCGTGGGATGAGGGCGTCGCAAAGGTTCTGAAGGGCTTGTGGGATCTCACTGATCAGACGACCGGTGAAGATATCAGCAAAATCGGCAACCTGAGAAAGAAGAGAATCGGGGCGTAGGTACAGGGAGAAGAAGGTAAAAGCATGATCGACACGTACCTTCAAAGCAGTTGTCTTTCCAAGAAACTCCGCAAGAGCTTCAGAAGCCTCGATACCAAGTGTGTTACCACCGAGGTGAATTTCCTCAATCAGAGCGGGATCGAACCCAGTTAAGTAGGGCTCGATATCTGCCTTGGTGTCGAGTCGAAGGCCACGACCGTGAAGAGAGAAAACTTTGGGGTCAATTACGGCAGCCATGATGTCGTGAAGGATGGAAAATGAATGAGAGTAGAAAGGGTATGTGGAAGAGATGGAAGTTACGTGAAAGGTTACGGACGCGAACGTTTGGACAAAAGTAAAGAGATAATATGTGGCTGTGCCGAATATGGACTCTTATCTCATCACTTCTAGCAAGTCCTCGGTTGTTCCTCTGAAGCTTTAGAGTGTTCACTCCATTCGTACAGCGTAATCTACTCTCTATTAAACACGCTATGACTTCTTACGAGGGGGACTCTGACACCGAAATCTCAAGTGCTGAAACCCAGTTCGTTCCACGCTCCGATGACGAACTTTGGGACGCTATCGAAATCCTAGGAGAGAACAAGTCCAAATACAGGATACGGTGGGCTGGTACAGATCCCAAAACTCGAAAGTCATACAAACCCACATGGGAATTCAAACATGATTGTACGCCCGACCTCGTGAAGGCTTGGAAGCAGAAGCAGGCCTTGAAAAAGGCCCAACCTAAACGAAAGCGTGCCGGGGTAGCCCCGAAAACACTTACTTCAAGGAAGAACCAGGCTCGAAAGTTGACTAGGGTTAGTACGACGCGTCAACCAGAGGAGGACGAAGAGGAGAAGGGAGAAGGAGCGGCACTGCCCAAGGGACGAAAGGCGCGGGTTACATTCCAGAGCAAAGGGAAACAGAAGGCGGGAGCCGCAGATATAGAGGAAACTGAAGCGGAAGGGGAGGAGGAGCCAGAGGAGAAATCAAGTCCAGAGGAGAAATCAAGTCCAGAGGCGAAACCAGGAAGACAAAGACGCGAAGTAGATTCCGAAGAAGATTCTCCCGAGCCTCTCGTCAAGATCGGGCCTCCTAGACCTCAGAAGCGGAGGAGGACCAGCGAGGTGAAACCCAACACTCCCCCGCGCAAGAGGAGACGGCTGCCGAGCCTTGCCCAGGAAGAGGAGGAAAGCAGTCCTGACATTGTCCGTGAGCGGACTGTGGCGGAACCTTCGAGTCCATCATTGTCGGATGAGGAGGAGGTTCCCGTTAAGCCTGCTTGGACGCGTCGACCTAAGGTGCGTTCATCCTCTCCACCGGAGGATCTGTCTACGGCTGCTCCTTCACAAGATGAGGAGCAAGGACTTGATCAGATATCTCGAGAAGAGATGTTGATCGAGCAAATGGAGGAGTCTCTCTTTGATCTTGAACCGCGCTTCTCTCCCCATCCACTGCGTGTCAGTCAGCAGGAAGTTATAGAGGAAACGGTGGGTGCGGTGTGCAGTTCGGTTGATTTCAAAGGCATTGATGTGAGGTCAGATTTATCCTCAAGAGAATTCAATACCCACCATGCCTTCGACTGCTTCTACACAACGAGCCATGGTCGATAGCCAGTCACAGGTATGTTTTAGTCACCTCTATTACATGATTGGCAAATTGACATGTCTTGTTCATAGCCACACACACTCACAAAAACTCAGGCCTCGCAAAAGGCCGCCGAAACCAGCAAGTCTTCCAGTATTGTCCACCATGTCACCTTTAGCCGCAGTATCCAGACGTCCCCGGTGTTTGTACCACCAGACTTCACTAAACTCCAGGTTGAGCATACAACGCTGACGGATAAATACGAGGATCTCGCTGAAAGCTTGGGCGCATCAGAAGATCGGGTTGCTCAGCTGGAAGAAATGCTCGGGCGCATTCGCAGTGAAGGCCTTGCAACAATCCAACAACTTCATGAGTCTAGGGAACAAGTACTGCAGGGCGAACTCGCCAAGGCCAAGGACTTGAACCACGTCCTAACTCTTAAAGACCAACGTACAAACGACGATGTTCGCAGGCGCGCCGCCTGTGAACCGGAGCTGCGGGCTCGTAACGTGGAACTGGAGAAGATGGTAACGCATTCGGAAGAGGAACTCACATGGCTCCATGATGAAGTCCGGAATTTGGAGGACGAGAATGCAAAGTTGCAAGCGCAGGTTCTCGGTTCTCAGATCGAGATGGAAAACGTTCGGGAAGAACGCGACGTTGCAACACACTCATTGGAGACCGTTCGCATTGAGCTATCGAAACTACAGTCGGACGCAGCAGAACTTCAGGAAGGAAAGGAAGACGCCGAACGAATGCTCAAAACTTTACGCGAGGAGAATGAACGCCTGGAATCCGAGATTCAGCGGAGCCAATCCCAGGTCTCCGACCTTCAAGAACAACTTCAAACCTCACAACGTCGATTATCATCTCCTGTCTCCACCAAAGGTGTACTAGCTTGGCATGTCAACAGACACCCTATCTTGAGTCTAGAACCGGTCAGCGATAACGAGGTTATCCCTGAACACCCCTACACCCCGTGTCAAGTAATTGTAAATGGCCAACGGTGTGCGAAACGGTTCATGAGTAGCGATGTGAGTGGCAAGTCTTCGTATACTCGTGATATTTTAAGTAACTTTGTCACTCATAGGCTGTAGTGCGACATGCGTTCGCTGAACACTACAAGATGACGATCGACGGCATTCTCTCATGATCTGTACGACATGTCACTCCATCCCGTCATTGTCAGATATATACCCTGTATTGTAAGTTCGTAACGTGGAGTCCCGAGTGGTTGCTGCTTTTGCTGTTCTACCTCAACTTTGCCATAGTAACTGCTGACGTTGAGATAAAAGACAGGCATGTACGTTCTTTTGTTCTCGTATCTGCTGTCCATTTCTAGGATGCTACCGTGAACCATATCGTTGTCCGGCGTCATCCTCTTGAAGCGGCTTTTGTTCTAAGAGTTGACTTGCATGCAACACATGCTCCGGGTACGTTATCTGTGTCCTCTATTTAACTGACGGAAGAAGCTTGCCTCGTGTTAGATTTAAATGCATGTGACGACGAAGATGGGCAGCTGAACCCTTGCTAACAGCGCCGAAATAGTGGCCAGCCACCCCACAAAGGCTTCCTTAGCATCTCTCAGCACCGTTTCGCGACTATGGTTGGCCGATATCCCGGTTACCTGTTTGCTGTGCCGAAGTGAGGTTGTTCGTCTACGTGCTATGACTCGATATGTCTGGTGAGTGTTATTTGTGTCATGTTGAAGCACCTTTCGAAAATGGTTGCCTAGCAACCACTGGAAGTGCGACGGATTCGACTTCCACATACAGCTGGCTGCTGTGGCGTAGTTGAATCGACATGCACTGCATTTCTTGCAGGTGCAGACGTATAAAGAGGCAGTATTGTTGAACCGTCGTCAACAAATCGTCAACGAACCCATATTTCACTGCGGCATGCGAAGAATAGCGCAATGGGTGACTCGAGGTCATTCTCCTCCTTATACTCGACTTCAAGACGAAGATCCCGAGGGTGCCCCACCAGCCCCTCAACTCTTTGGATGTCATGAGGCAAGAACCGATACCTGAGGCACCAGCTCCGCATGCCCAGTCTCATCCCTATCCCTTTCGCCTTGCTCACGAGGAGCAGGATTGGAAAGTGCAACTAGTGTTCATGGTTACGGACTGTAGTGAGGGTGGTCTCTGGTTCATCGACATCTTTGAAGGGTCGTCTCCGCCCACACGATTTGTGCGACTTGCACCCTCCAAGCTCCAGAATGGCAATTTCTATTATCATGGCCCACTGAACCTTGACGTTAACTTGAGTGTTCCCAGGCAGAAGATCTACAACACAGACCTCGGCGATTTCACTTTCGCAGAGGGTTATATATGGGAGGAGTGTGCTGAAGACACTGCAAACGGCGCATTTGTGAACTCTGAGCGCTGGGTACTGGCGGTTCTAGATATGGCAGTCAAGCGAGGGCTCCTTATGGCGGCGAAGAAAAAAGACAGCCTTAGATGCATAGCCAAGGCACGTCCTCCAGTAAGTGCGTGTATTTGATTTATTGATTCTCAACTACATCTGAACTAGGCATTGCTATAGCTTCTATGCATATCGCGCCCGCCGTGTGGTAATGCAATAGCAATATAGGTAGGCAATGTCGGGTTGACACAGTTTCATTTATTCAAATGTCTAAATACGATCATGAGGTGTTCTATGCAATATGACGGGTTATCCTGAACGAGTATGCAGTAACATATATAACCTCTTGCCTGCCGGATGATACTTCCAAAGTTGGTGACGAGCGAGATCTTCCCTACGGATTGCACCCCTCAGCGTCGAGGGACGTTGTTCAGCCAACATTATTGCCCCAATGCCGCACTGTCGTTGGACGCAACCACGACGGGGGACGTAGTAATGTACTGCCACGTAGTTTGTCTCTAGTTTGTCCAGCGGCACTTGAATGATCGATCGAAGAATTACCACGTTTCCTGAAAGTTCATCTCGGCTTTCACTGTTTCTTCATCACATGTACTTGACCCGTCTTATCCTCTAGTTCATTCGTTTCTTCCTGGCTTTTGAACACGGGATGGATGGCATCCCGCATGAACTAGCAAGAAGACGCAAAGTAATGACAGATAACTTACTAGAAAAGTTGATGTCGACCGTGACGGGTTTCGTTGTGAAAGATCCTGCATTTGCTCATTCCGTGTAGTCACTGAAATATATGCTGACATTTTACGCGTTGATAGCAGTACTAGTCTGAAAAATTTTTACAACCAAGCTCCCATGAGAGTGTCTAAGATAATGCACACAACCAGCGAGACTTCGATCGAAATTTTAAAGTCTCCCTTGCCCTTCCGTCGTAAAGCTCTCTCCCAAGTACAAAGCCTACTTCTACGCGCAATCGTTGTAGTTGACACTGCATAGCAATGACAATATTATATGCAGCGATTGGTATGTGGTATAATGCACATTACATCTCGAGCTTGGCCCGACAGCTGCTTCTTGTGCTTATTTATGCTTTCTTCTGCAGGGACTTCCCCAGATATCAATAGAGTGCTCTCATGGGAGCATCGATTATCGTCCGTATACTTTAGTGTTCTAACGACCAGAGCGTTGGCTGAAACCTTTGCCAGACACAGTTGCGAATGCCCATGTCCCTAGCGTTTGCTCCAGTCTGTACGTCTGACAATAAGCTGAGCATATTGAGCTTGTTTAACGAAGATTAAATGCTAGACTACCCTTCAACGGAGTGAAAATGTCCATACCGGCCAACGACATCACTAAAGAACGTTGTAGTATGTAGCTTCAAGTTCTCTCAATTGGGGATGAGTAAATTGTTTCAGGACAACTCTGTTTCTTGATCCGTTTGATTGAACATTTTATCTTCGCAGACATTGGTTTCTCAGGCTGTTGGAGTCCTTCAGAGTCTGCATGCCTGACTGCGGAAAGCACATCGTTTGGAATACGACCGGAGTGAGGTGTCCTACGGTCGGGGACACCTCGCGTCATGCAGAGTTCCCGATGAAAGTGGCCGCTATCATCTAATAATCTTCTAGTTTCACTCCACCAAATGTCGGGGGTTAGGCACCCCAATATCCTGCAAAGGGAATAAAATACGACAAAGGAAAGGAAAAGAAAATAATAAAGAGACGATAGAGGAAGGCAAGTTTTTTCGAATGTTGTTTTATAGCTAGTTTCATGGCGAGGCTATCCGGTGGCGTGCCAGCTAACACAGATCGCGAGTTTCAGGTATGCCCGTGCGCAGGTCCCCCTTCGTTGGGCAATGCCAATTCGTCATCTGAAATATTTAAGTTTTGAGTTGGAGTCGTTGGCCCTCTCAATTCTGTAGAGATCTCGCCTCACTGTTCTCTCGCTTTCAAGAACTCCGATTCTTTGACCATAATACCGTGATGGCAACGTGGTTTACATGCGCAACCAGTTGCCACTCAACTGTATGACCTTTGACACCACTTTATCCTTTTATGTAAGGTGCGTAAAGCTTCTTCCTTTGTGCATTGTCCTACAACATCCTTTGACCTCGGCTAAAAATGCCACTGATACTGATATATAGACCGGTTCGCCCATTTCAACTTTCTCCAGTGCCTCCCCACTCTCTACCCCACTTCACTCACTTCATTCTCGTTCAACTCAAAGTCCCATATCATGACTCAGACCATCTCGAAGCCGGACTTTGACACTGACTGCGCCATCCCTAAAGGCTTGAGGCCAGCGACATTCTCCATGGACGGCCGAATCATCTATGTCAGCGGAGACGTACAAGACATGAACACTGATCAGGGTTACTTGCCTTGCTGGAAAGACGAGAATCTTCCCTTTGCTGAGCTACAACTGAAACGCATTGACCCGAAGTTAAAACACGACGATAAAAACCCACGGGACAAGAATCTTTACGGCGACGAGAAGGGACTATATTACATCTCCTGGCATGGTCACTCGTTCTGTTCTCGCCAACTGCGGCTATCTTTGGGCAAGGAAGGGGAGTACGTCTATCAGGGGGCTATTACTCAAAGAAGAGACCCGCCTGGATCCTACTGGGTGGAAAACCTTGGGAGCTACTCTCTAGCTGACCGCAAAGTTTGGGAAAAGGCCGCAAGCCAGACTGACGTGAAGGAGGGCACCACTTCGCTGACTTGGGTCCTTAGTGTTATGGAGAACGCCATCGAAGATAAGGTGTTCACTGAAGATGGGAAGGCTAAGGCCTTGAAGAAGATGGACGAGGACGCGGAATGGAGAGGTTTGTCGTTTTGTTGACTTCAATATGTTACCGGCGCTGATTTTGTTACTTCTCTAGCCGCAATGAGTTCAATGGACTCAATGGGCTGCAAGCTCTGATCAAGGATTCAACTGGTTTGATGTCCTTGACAATGAGCACACTGCGAATGACTACTTAGTTACTTACATGTCGCTATGACTGAGCCAACCTAAACCCAATATAATAGAAAATGTCCGCACGAGAAATGAGGATGTAGTGGAATCATCCCTATGATACAAAACTAAGAGTGTCAATAATGATACAAATACACAAGATACGATCACATATACACATCCATTCATACTGAAAACACTCCGCACCTGTACAATCTTACCATCGACCAGCGATCCTGCCACCAGCCCAAACTAACCCTCCTCCACCTACAGGTACCAATAATACCCAAACACCAATATCCCAAACGATACGTCTAGTCAGTCGACGTCTTTGCAAGGTACGTTCCTTTCGTTGAAGGAGTTCGTCGTCTCGCGACGCACTGACCGGGCTAGATGCTTCCCGAGCGGGGTTGGGAGTGACAGGTGCACTTGGCGGGATGACGATGGAAAGTGGGCTCCGGAAGTTATGCATAATGATGTGAATAAATGCTAAGAGCGATTTAGTTTCCTTGTGAAAAGACGATATGCAGAAGAAAGACATACCTGGAAGAAAGTATGTATTGAAGAACGCGGATACCAGTACGATGTCGCTCAAGATATGTGCCAATCGTGGTGGGACCATTGCCAACGCAATCGCAACAATAAAGAACAGAATTTTTGATACAGGCAACTCCGTCCGTCTCAGGACCATCGGTAATGGTACACTCGGTGCCGTTATTACAACAAGCGGGATCGTCAAAGCAAGTGTTGTAGCATTCAATAACGCTACAAGGGCTTTGAACGGGGTTGACGCAGAGGTCTGTACATCACGCTGGAGAATTGGAATCGGGTAAGCACACCATAGAGGGAAGGGGGAAGTGCTTACGGGTGAATCCGTTGCTTCGAAAAATGTAAGAGGAATAATGAGAAGGATGGCAAGTCCTACAGATAGCACGGAGAGGAGCTTGAAGGAGTTGGCTCGCTTAGATTTTGGTACGCCCGGTTGGACTGACCCTCGAAGAGCAGCGTAGAGTGGGAGAGTGAAGGAGGTGGTGAAAGCAAAAGCAATGACGCCTGAAAAAGGAGCAGCTTCAGTGTCTCCGTACGTATGCATACAGCTCGCTGAGACTCACTGATGCCTTGCCACAGCGGACCCAAAGAGTCTCCAGCGGGGTTCGTCGTCAATATACCCTTAGCATGGGCATATGCCGTACAAGCCATCCATGCTACAAACGTAGCGATAGATAGCCAGGTAGCATAAAGCACGCTGGCGGTAGCGATCGACCGGGCAAAACATAGAGGAGAGATGACGAGTGCAACCACAACGGTAAGAGGGTAGCGGGAAGGGACAATGAGCTTCTCGGGGAGCAATGGTAACAGAACATCGACAGATGCTACAAGTGTACGACAGTTTAGACTTTGTATGGTGAGAAGCACCTGGAACTCACATCGTAGGTATACCACAGTCAGAAGGACTCGGAATGCACCCGTACAGAACCGTACAGCAGTCCGTATTATCCTCCTCTTGCGTTCATCTCCCCTCCTTCTGGCAAACGCCTGCAGAAGTATCTCCTCCATGTCTGCTCTTCGCACATATTTGGCCAGCATAAACCATATCTGCCTTGTGAATGCACAAAGCACAGCGAAAATGACCAAGGCCGGGATGGCCCACTTCAACGGTAGCGTACCGCTTTCGTCGACAGTCAAAATGGCTCCCAGTTTCAACAGAGGAGCAAAGAGGTATAGAAATACAGCAGAAGAGGTTAACGGCGGTATGGATGACGTCCGTAGGCGATCGAACTGGTCGTCGTCTTCCTCGTCTTCATCGTCACTAGAGAAGTCGAACGACACAGAGAGCTCTTGATCGAACTGTTCCTCCTCTGGCACAAGTATAAGCGCAGCAGACGAGTCGAGGCCATTTATTGAGGATTCTGGGTCATCGTCTCCTCCTTGGAAGGAGTCGAAGCTCTCTGTTGAACGAGGGCTGCTAGGCAAAGGATTTGCCATTTGTCGCGTGGCAGTTACAAATAAAAGAGACAAGGTGGAATAGTTAGATAGCCAGGGCAGAAAAGGAGAGACTAGAGCTTGGAATTGTCTATGAGCGTGGACAGACGCAGAGTTCCTGCCCCTGCCTGCGGACCTTACGGGGAGGCGGATAGAGAGAATGGACCAGTAAAAGCACCTATTTTCGCTGACGCGCTCATGCTTACGACGGAGAAATAAGACCGCTCGAGGGTCATTCTCGCCTCAAATGTCGTATTTCATTCTCACTACCGTTTGACATATCAATTCACGATCAAGCGAGCTAACGACGCGACAATCAAAGCACTGGGTTAACATTGGACAAGTAACGACAACGCAATGTTACAACAAGGATATGCGTTGTTCACTGTAACGATCATTGGTCCTTCGCGGCTTGCTTGGGAACTTGTCCGGACTGGAAGCACAATCTTTAGCTTCAGCTTTACAGATGAAGTCTTCATATAAGTTGACATACCTTAGCTCTGGAGCGAGCCTCGCCCAAGTCCGCTCCGCCAGCATTTTCTTCACCTTGGAGAGTACCAGGGTGGTCTTGGGTAGGAGGCTTCTCCTTCACTTCCGCAGATGAAGTTTCGGGGCTTTCACCAGTAGGGACACCAGCTCCGGTCTTATGGGACTTTGCCTGGTCTTCTTCAGCCTTCTGGGCATCAGCAGGGGAATCTTCCGTCTGCATGGCCAGTAGTTAGCTTCTATGAGTATGTATCCAGTTTTTCAACTTACGAAGGCTTGAACGATAGATGCATCCACTTCAGAAGCAGAAACGGTTGTTCCCTCGGAATCGGTGATGGATCCAGAATCGCCCGAAGTCTAAGTTCAAGGGTTAACGTCAACCATTAGGACGCCCCTTGGGGAACACGAACCTTCTCCTCAGTGGTCGAGACATTCTTAACATACGAATTCACATTTAGTACTACGTAAGAGTAGCCTGCATGAATGCCATTACCTCTGCTGCTGGCACCTTCACGGGCTCAGGCTTATGTTCATGTGCGGCCCTCTTGTGATCAGCACTGGCATGTGCGGCCTTTTCCTTGCCTGTCGGAGAGAGCAAGTAGACTAGCTGTTACGGTGACGAGCGGGGTCAGGCGGAAATGCCTCAGATGAAAAGCACCCTAGACACTTACAGCAGGACCGAAGATCAAGGCGGAACCAATCTAAGCGAGGAGCAAAGACATCTAATGTTTCATTCATTGTATTCATTCGTGGACTCCTAGAGAGCGCACCTGCCATGGCAAATCGCTCTTCGACTTGTATGAGTGCTCCGCACTACTGCTCATCATCCTCCTACCCACATTCCGACCCGCCACTGGGACATTCGAGCGAGAGAGGTTAAGAAAAGCGCGTCGTCCAAGGCTTGAAGCCATTATTTTAAACAAACCAACGAAGGAATGAGTCTGAAGACAGAGAGATTCTGTGACGTTCACCTTGCGCGAGACACTTCGGCTCCCCTGGGCCGACCCGATGACGTCCAACATATTCGGGGTTAATAAATGTGTCGTAGTTAAAATAGTAAAGCAACATACAGGCCCGCCTAGCTCAATCGGATAGAGCGTCAGACTTTTATCTATAGGCGGATTGGCATCTGAAGGCTGCGAGTTCGACCCTCGCGGTGGGCTAGTTGTTTTATATCTTTTATTCGCATTGAACAATTTATGCTTTTTAGACTTTACGGAGGAACAGCACATATCTGTCTTGTGGTATCAAAGCCCTTGATGAAGTACATACAATGTCAGAGGTCCAGAATCCACGTCGTTGACCAGGATATCTCGTAGACTGAGACCCTAGGCGGACTGATGCGCAATTTACGCTAGCTCTTCGTAAACCCTTGTGCTTAAAGTTCTCCTCAGTACAGAAGAATGGTGTGCATTGTACAGTGGCGTTCAAGCTGCTCATGAAATACAATACATACAGCCCTATGATAATCCACTTGCAATATACTCATCTAATATTGAGTCGTGCTCTCAACGCTACCGGCACCAACTCCGGCGGACGTACTTGCAAGACCTGCGGAAGAATCAGTGTCAGAGAAAGAGGATCTGATGAAAAAATACGACAAACCTTGCGCATAGAGTCTTCTCCACCAACTTCCCACCCACTCTCCGCAACAGGCAGCATCACGTCCGCCACCAGCGTCGTGACCAATTGCCCGAGACCGTACATCTCCCCTGCATACTTTCGCCAACGAAGTATGTTATCCATTAATTTATACCGCCTTGAGAGGAATCGACGTCGAGCTGGTATAGCTTCTGGATCGAAGCGCGGTTGATTGAGTTGGAGATATTTTGTTACCGTAGTTTGGCTCGAAGTGACAGCCGTCTGAAATGTGATAAACGCGGATTTGAGAAGCAACTAAAGGATGTCGACATGATTATCAAACACAAGTTCAATGACTTTTCGAATCGTACCTCGAACTTCAGGTGCTCTTTTGGCACAGAGACCTCGATTTCTTCGCACAGGTCAATCAACCTACGAACATCCTTGGCAGAGTAGGGATCCAGTCCACCCTTTTCCAAGATCTTGCATATCCGCGGGATGACCGCCGTTGAGATCATCGCTGAGACGAGATCACCATCCGGTCCTAATTCGGCTTCCGATTCCATATCGTCTTCCTCTCGCCCAGGTCTAGAATAGTCGTGCAGCGATTGGTACCAGGTGAATGTATCCAAGGTCCTGGTAGTCTGTACGCAACATAGTATGAATCAATAAGTGTGTACTCGACGATTGAAAAAAAATGAGTTACGGACCTCCATTGGGTTCCATTCCAAGATCTCCAACCTCGTCCAAAATTCCCAAGCACCGACCATACCAAGCCCGCCAAAAGCACTCGTATAAATGTCACCAAACTTCGACCTCCAATCGTCGAACCATTTGCCCAGACCCAACCTTGGATCCAGAAAATCCTTTGCTTCAACATCAGACACGATCTCATTCGCTTTACCCAACAACTTTTCGACCGCAAGGGCATAGTCCGCTGCATCTGAAGGCGGAAGAGTAGCGTCGGTCGAATATCCCTCTTCTTCTTGACTATGGACACCTTTCGCTCGACGATATATTCGACGTGCCTCTCTTGCTGATATACGCTCCTTCCGAGCCACGGTTGGGCTGGTTTGCGGCACAACACGGCCTAGGTCATCTGTCTGGTCTTGCTGAGCAGGAGGGGTTGGAAGCGTTCCAAGGAAGAGGGAGAGATCATCTTCATCATCTGCTTGTCGTCGCTGGTTGACCATATCATAACGCTCTTGCAAAAGAGACAGTTGCTCGTCTTCCAGCTCTTGTAGCAAAGGGAATTTCTCGTCCAGGAATGTAGCCACGCTCTCCACCCATTCTCTGAATGCGACAAACCAACTTCGCTTTTCCTCGGCCTTAGCGATCATGTCTCGCATCTCTTTTTCACGCGTCTCCAGTTGTGTTTGTTCTTCACCAAGTGAGGCCATGGACGTCGTATGTTGAGCATGGGAGGAGGTGAGATTGGATAATGATTGGGTGAGTCGTGCGATTGCTGGACCGAGAGTCGGGATAGGTGTTGGTTGAGGAACTGCGACATAATGATTAAGCAACGAGAACTGGAACAGAAGGGCAGAGACATACCAGCAGCTGCTTTATAAATCGCTTTCTGCGCTTTCGGTTCTAGTTCCTCGAACGCGTGACCTCCTCGGCGTAGTTGTGCTTGTTCCCATTCAATAGTCTCTTCATCTTCCTCTTCTCTGTGCAATGCATCAGAATGTCAACAATATGTTACCCAAACCAAATTGAACTCACGCATCAACGATCAACTCATTCATCTCCTCTCGCTTTTTCTTTGCTTCCAGTTTCCGAGACTTCTTACCCAGAGCTATGCGCTCCTGCGCACTAGTGTACTCGGCAAATTCTAGACCACAGAATCAATTGTTATTATTCTTGAGCGAAAGTAGGAATGGCTCACCATCTTCAGCTTCACCTATTTCGTCTTCTTCTCTCATCAGCCGGCTCATAGGATGAGGCCCTTGTGACTCTCTCTTCGTGATAGATAACGAAATGAAGTCTTCGCTCACCCCCGTCTTCCTCATGTGCTCCCGTTTCTGTTTAACGGCTTCAATCGAGGAAGTTGACGGGATGATAGTTTCCTTTTCCTCCACTGAAAATGAGATTAGCTAAACATGAATGTCCTTTGTATAATTGTACTCACTTGTCAAATCCACTATACTTGAAATGGAGGAGGAAGCGACGAAGGTATCGACTTCCGACATAGATACATCGGCATCATACGAGATGCTTTCATCCTCGGGAAGCACGGGTCTGGCAGACGGTGTTGCGGCTTTTAGCTCAGAAAGATAGGCAGCACTATACGTCGGACCTCCACTAGAAGGTGTTGAGATAGTTGGTGCATACGGGGCGGCTGGTATGTGACTAAACACAGATAGTGAGTTTCTTACAAGGGGAAACGAATTCAGCATACATGCCTCGACACATGAGTAACCCTCTTGCTTAGCTTTGATTTCTTGATCTTAAACTCCTCTACATCTCCTTCCTGCCGAAACTTACTAAGTAAACGCTCGCTTGCAGCAGATCTACTTCTCACCTCCTCAGGCCCGCCAAAGCTCAATCTCGATTGGGGCTTAGTACGTGTTTTCAACTTGTTCTTGAGTTTAGTTGCAAGGACGCTAGGCGAGTCCTCCCCAGTGTCTGCTGCTGGTTCGGAAGTAGGATCAGCCTCCAAATCCCGAGCACGTTGTGCTCTTTTCGCCTTTGTCTTCTTGAACGTAACAGGAGGGTCCGACATATTGAGTCGGTCAAGCTGTTGTCGATGCTGAGGATGGCGGCGTGCTCACTGTGCTTCATGCTAAACTCAATATTGCTGAGCTCAATGGGCGTTCATTGTCACGGTCACGGTCACGTGGGATAACATCCACACGCGCCCGTAAAGTTCCCACGATCGCTGCTTGCCTAAAGACCGCGATGTCGACACGACCGCGACCTCGTCCCAAACCACGAGCACGTGTGGCTTCAACTGCCCCGCCGTCGTCCCCCGGCGCACCCACAAATGCAATTTCAACACCGCCACCAACATCTACTGCTTTGATCAACGACGATGAGGATGCGTTCTTCGTCCGGAATCGTAATAGAACTGTTGAAAGTTGGAAGCAGTTGGAACGAATAGCGGAGGGTATGGAATGACGCTCGTGTTTCACCTCGGAGATCTTAACACCTTTCTATTAGGAAATTCTAAGTCGAAGACTGTGGTGATAGACAGTTCAGACGATGAGCATAACTCGTCTTCTCCCCCGCGGAAGGCAGGGGGTAAGATTAAGCCTAAGAAAAAGTCCAACAAAGGCACCAGCAGGCCTTCGTGGACTAGGTCTGCAGACGCTATACTGTGAGCTTTTATCTTTCATTCGGCCGCTTTACTGTAGCATACATTGCATATATTCTCATAAAGTTCACACCGAATACTCCTTCAGAATTTCTTCATCTGATGACGACGACGATATTATTCTGGGACGTGTTAACAAGTCTGCTGCTGGTACTAAGCGTGCCAGCCGTGAGCCAGACCGACGAGAACGGAAGCGACAGAGGAGTCGATCAAAGTCAATCACACCTCCACCAGAGCTGCCAGAGGAGACACTCCAGAATGCTCGCGAACGTGTTCGGTATGTTTTGCAGCTTTTAGGTAATAAATTTACTGTTGATGTTGACGCATATATGTAGGCGTATGCTCAACCAAGGCCGCGCACAGTCACCGACATACGTTGCAGACGAATCTGTCGACAACCTCGACCTGGATCCTGAGCTTGCTAAAATTGCTGCGCAAGTAAAGCATGATGCAGAACGTCAGCGTTCTGTCGACCCAATACACAGCAGAGGCGTCACTCCTGCTATGGAGGGCGGTCCGGAAACTGTGACCATCAAAGTTAAATGGAAATACCACCCACTGAATCAAGCCGATCAACCGCAAATATGGGGCTTCAAGATGAAGAGGGTATGCGGTTATCTACTTGTGTATATGCGTATAGTTGACCTGTTGGCCCGTTGACCCGTTTACCAGCATGACTCGTTTAAACTGCTTTTTGATGAGGTAGCGGATATGGCCGAAGTCCTCGTTGAGCATATTATCGTTAGCTACAACGGCAAACGTGTCTTTCCCTCTGCATCACCGCATGGTATTGGTGTATGGATGGAAGCTGAACTCGGTATGTTACGTCCCTTCGCTCATCTCACTTGTAGCTGATGATTATACGTTCTTCAGAGGCATGCGAAAAGACAACATACGAGTATATTAAATCGCAACGCCGTCGATCACCTTCAGTCATTCCTCAAGATGGTCCACATCACCCACTTTCACCCACGTTCGAAGAGCCCGAAGAAACAGAAAAGTCTGAGGCCGAGGCAAATGACAACGATGACAAGTTCAAGCTGACTCTTCGTGGCAAGGACGTTAAGAATGTCACTCTTACCGTCCGACCTACGACCAAATGTAGCGCCATCATCAAAGCCTTTCTCAAGTCTGCAGGGCTTTCTGACAAGTATCCTGCTACTGCTCCGACTGGCCGAGGAAAGAAATCCGTTCCTATGCCACAACTCATGGTCGATGGAGACAAGTTGAATCCCAATTGGGAGATCGGGAAGGCCGATTTGGAAGACGGAGATTTGGTTGAGGTTGTTGGACTTTAGTTTTACCTGGGTGAGATACTGGACTTCTTCCCTGCTATGTTTGTGACGATTTGCTATACCATTACCTTAAAGCGGTGAATTTCGAGTTTGGTCTCGTGTCTACTTATGTGTATCATTCAGGTCCCCTATTTCGTCCTGCTAGTATCATACCCTATCCCTGTCAATGTTATTACCCCATCTGGATTTTGCTACAGATGAACAACGTCAATGGCTCCCAACCGTGTCGCCTTGATTTCAATTATACATTGCACAGATTGGTGAGCTTGTACCTTGGCTTGTACCTTGAAAATTGTTCAGCTCGACACAGGTTTGTGCGTTCATTCTAGACAGCCTATTACACTGATGACAGCATTTGTATGAGCAGTAGCTCCAGGACAGCGGTCATATAGCAAGACAAGGAGAGGATAGCAATGCACGACATACTAAGTCGTTGTGCTTCAAGGTTTGTTCAAGGTAAACCGTGTTCGAAAGGTAGTTTATGGACGCTTTCGGACACCTTGTGGTCACCGGAAACTACAAATATTGAAACTGAAGGTTTTTTTCTGATGCCTTCCTGTGTCTCCTCCAACTGATGACGAAATTGTTTGGCCCCTTTGCAACCGGTGGCATTGAAATCGACATTGCACGCAATGGGTTTGGCCCTCAACTCTGGAGATAATTTTGCAGCGATCAATTAGTGTACATTCTGCAACGTCCTCTGTCGCCCATCAATGAAGCATCAATAAACTGGTAGGTGTCTCCCGTTTTTGGGCAACAACTCTGGCAAGTGCGTTGATTTGAGTGGCTACTCTTTAGGTGTGATCCTTGTGGACAAGTGGCTGGGGGTGCTTCACGACGATACCAATCTAACTACGCTAAAGCAACCAACCTTTCCAACTTCGTCGAAGCAGCAGTTGCTGTAAGGCGATCCTCAGCTCTTATTCGCATACACATGGAGACCACATGCCACAGGTCGTCAGACATACTGTCTGCACCGGCGTTGAATAATGGCCGAGCAGGCTGTTTCTCCTTGATGATTTGGCCGATGATATCATGCGGCCCCAAATTAGCAAATGGCGGCCGTCCTGTGTATAGCTAGACATTTCCTCCTCAACGGCGAACTGTTATAGCTTGAGAGCTTCTCACCTCAAAACATACACATGCGAATGCGTACATATCGCCGGCTTTGGTAGGCTGTGTTGAAGGTGGCAAACCGAAATGAGTAGGTATCAGGAGTTCTGGTGCAAGCCAATGGGGTTGCTGTGAGTCGATCGTTGTCATCTTGAAATAATCGTCTGATAAAGTCGCTAATCCGAAGTCTGCAACGCGCATATGGAGTTCATCGTCAACAAGTACATTAGCCTATATCATGTGGCATGAGTAGAAGCTTTGACCACTAGTGGTACCTTGTAGCGCTCACTGCCCGTAAATCACCGTGAGCTATCTCTTCTTGATGAAGGTACTCGAGTCCGAGTGCTATTTCGCAGATCTAAGCTTCGTCAGAAACAGCTTTCTATGGATTACATGTTGCATAATATACCCAGCTATCAACCATGGAACGGTCTTGAGGATGTTGACGGACGTAATCACAGACGTTGCCGTGCTCCATCCAGGGCGATACCATACACATTCCACTTCGGAAGATTGTAGTATTGAGGCCTAGAAATGGGAGCACATGCGGATGGCGGCAATGTGCCCAAAGGATTGCTTCACGGTAAAAATTCTGTATGCCAACGCAACATGACAGGCCGGCAAAATGATAATGACAGCGTCAGCTTACCCTCCTTAATTTGGCTTTGCCAACATCACTAGTAGTCAAGAAAATTCGCAACCGCTTCAATGCCACCTTTCGATCTTTTTGGGACCGTCCTACGTATATGTCCGCAAAACTGCCGCCGTTCACAGGTCCGCCGTTCTCGCATTGGGCCTCGATGTACAACTGCTCTGGAAACAGGTCGTATGCAACACATAACCTCGTGAGAAGCCTCAAAAATTTCATCTTAGAACCAGGATCAGTGCCATAGCCACTGCGAAGTTTCTAAAACCAACTATATTCATCAATAATAGACGAATTGAACTGTCAACTCACCTCGTGAATGGCGTCAATGGCCATTTGCGCTTCGTCTATATCAAGCCCACCTGGTAATCCTAGAGACTGTTTCTGGCTGTTTTTCCCTTGTAGGATAGCCTCTTCCACCTTCCTCCTGGCTTCTTCCACTTTCCTTCTTGCATGCTCTTCGTCGTCCCGCGCTTGAGCTAATTCACGACGGGCATTCTCCAGCTCTTCGCTATGAGCACCAGAGTCCAAAGATCCAGGTGCCGATTGTGCGCCAGTACTCATGTGCCTCGAAATAGCGTCGCGGGCATTGAAGGGCTGGTCAGATAAAGCATAAGGGAGTTCCTTCAATGCCTCTACTGATGGGCGGCTATGTTCCACATCCGGTCCAGAATGAGAAACATTTTCAGTAGACCATTCATCCGAGACAGGTAGCCGAACAGCCTCGCCGTCTCTGTTATCGTTCGTCTTGAAGGTGTCATGCGCATAATGGGAGCTTCTGACGGTGGTATCCATGGCAATCGCGACGGGTCCTGTATCGTCAAAATCTTCTCCCTTGATAGTTGCATCTGAAGCGTTAGAAACTGCGTCGGTGCCACGAAGGTAGCTGACAGGAGAATCACTTCCGCGCGATCCTGAAAGGGTAGTCGAATGAGGGGCCGTGGTCCATTCTGGATGATGATCATTGGCATCCTGATTGGAAGATAATTCGCCAGACATTTGAGGCCGAGGGCTCTGATGTTGTGGTAAGAACTTCTGCAACGCCTGTCTGAATCGTCCAGGGGCCTTGCGCGTTACATCTAATATCGTTTCTGGTCTATTCTGCTTAGCTGAAGCAGAACCAGATGGATCAGTGTGATAGCCGGAGTCGTCGGAAAGCTAGGTTTGATTGTTCGGAAACATTCAAAGACTGTTAGTCGTTGAGACGGGAGAGTGGGGAACATGACCTACACCTTGCACCTGACGTCCAATGGGATATCGAGAAGTATCTTGAGATGCATCAACGCGATTTTGTGTTTCCGGAGGGGCGTGAACATTGGAGATGCCAGGGCCTGGCCAAAAGCTTCTGGTCCCTGCGAAGTCTTGGGAATATATTGACGGGAGTCGACTGGAGGGATCCGTGAGAAGGGTAGACTCTGTACCACGAAAAGGTTGCTGAGAAGCACTTCGTCTGTGTATACCAGACGGATGATCAAACCGCGCCAATGAAGCACTCCGCCCGCGAACATCAGACGGGCGGTGACCAACATAGTCGACCTCATTGGATTGAGTCTCGATTCCGGTACTATGCTCAGGAACACTACGATATGGTTCCGTCTCCAACCATCGGAGACCCGCCCGAGTTTCTTGTCGTTCATTGGTATCCGTCGAACGATAATTGGGCAGGTCATGTGGCATGTTCTGCTTCACGGCCCATTTAGTCTCGACGTCATCAGGAACGACCTTTTCGGAGGAAAAGACGTCCTGAGAATAGCCTTGCGGCCTTGACAGTACAGAGGCTTTGCCACTGGACACAAACGTTGGAACTTTAGTACGATACTATTCATGATCGTTCAAAAGCCGTACCTGGGGTTGCCGGTTATCACAGGTGATAGCGCTAATGGTCTTCCGCGATGAGAAATAGGTATTGGCAGACGAGCACGAATAGGAGGAGGTGGAGGCGGCGCGGGAGGCGCAGGCGGAGGATTGAAACGAGAGACAAGGTCGGGAGAGACTAGAGGGGCGGAAGAAGAATGGGAAACATTTAGGGCGACAGATGAGGTTGACTCGGGAGGGGAAGCACGGTGACTGTCAGAAGGTGGAGAAGTGCTCGATGTGTTGTTAGAGCGATTATATGCGCTCATATCTGGAATGAATGGTACAGGGATGAAGACTTAGAATGGAGAGAAGGAGGGAAGAAGCTAGAACAGGTTGAGAATTGCAGACAGGCCTGAGCGAATGATATGTTGTGGATATGTGGGAACTTATACAAGCGCGTCTGTCCTTGAACCTAACTAAAGTGCTTCCTGTCAAATTCGTGGTGAATTTGCACTCAAACCCGGAAGACAGTGTGAAAGGCACAGCCCGCTCTAGGTTATACATAGGCATCTGACCGACCAAACAGTGGGCAAACCTGTTCCAAGCTCTGCCCTAGCCGCGCGGATAGATATCACACCGCTGCTGGTAACGCCAGCCTGTTTGATTTCGGACAAACCTTGCGCTTCCCTCTGAGATAAGATGATTGTTTGACAGCGTAGATCGCAACTTGGATTGAAAATAAGAAATACACAATGTGTATGGCGCTCAATACGCCGAGAACCCATGGGGAGCCCGGGACGATGGGACTATTCATGATTCTGCTTGTGAGAGCGTGACATTCAGGCTGGCTGCGGCATCTGCGGCCGTTGGTCGATTTATGCTGTCCGTAGATATGCAGCATAAGACTAGCTGCCATAGACTGTCGGACATCGCTTGACGTCCATAACATAAAGGCTTCTCAGGTCTGTCACCATTCGTTACATGAGTTATCACTTGGAACAGTGGCAATCCTGCAAATGGAGGCTGGCCAGTGTACAACTTGCAGAAATCAAGCTTAAGATTACAGACTGGACAAACAACGAGTAAATTTCCAAACGTACCTCTACGCACACACAACCGAATGCGAATACGTCGCCTGCTTTGGTGGGTTTGCATGACGTCATACCGAACTTCGTAGGGTCCAGAAGTTCAGGAGCAAGCCAGTTTGGTGTGCGCTCAAGGGTTGTCGCTTGTGTTCCAATATCGTCCGAGAGTTGAGCTAGACCGAAGTCTGCAACACGTACATGAAGATCAGGGTCCAGAAGAATATTCGCCTGCAACCGTGTCAGTTACAGCTGACGAGAAAGAGGAAGCGAAAGTACAGCTCGTAGGTCGCCATGTATAATTCCTTCATGGTGAAGTGATGCCAAGCCCAGTATAATCTGAGAAATCTAGTACACACCACTAGTTTATCACTTTGTCGACAGTTTAGCATCAATGCAAATACTTACCCAGGAGTTAATCTGGGAAGGCTCGAAGACGTCGCCTCTATCTTGACATTGCTTGATGTAATCGCAAATCCTACCATTTGCCATCCACGGCAAGACCATGCACATGCTCTGATGGAAATGCACCTTACTGATGCCTAGGAATGGCAAGACATAAGGCTGTATATGCGAATGCGCCCAAAGTAGTGCCTCGCGGCAGAAGTTCCGTTGAAACATAGACATAGTCGAATGCATAGGTTGAAAGAATGCAAGGAGGCACGCACCCTCTTCAGCTTGGCTCTCCCAGCTGCATCTGTGATTTGATATATACGCAGAAGCTTCAAAGCAACCTTCTGACCATTAAGAGTCCCTTGGTAGATGTCGGCAAAGCTGCCACCACAAACCGGACCTACAGCTTTGTCGCATTCCACTTCCACAAACATGCCGGTGGGAACTCTGTCATAGGTTGCGCACAACCCTTGTAAAATGCTGAATAGACGTTGTCGTAGTATTGGGGTACTGCAACCGTTTCTGGCCACAACGAGTTTCTACGTGTTGAGCGTGAATAAAAGAAGGGCAAGAGACTGGTTCACTTCGCACCCTATGAATGTCGTCAATTGTCCATTGTGCTTCATCATTCTCCATCGAGTCTTCCATCCCGTCGCGAATCTTCGATGTCTTGATATCAAGTGTCCTTTGCGCTTGCCGGAGTTCATCCTCTTTGCGATTCACGGCCTCCTCTCTAATCTTGAGTGATGCTTCTCGGGATCGCAGCTCCTCTTCACACCGGTAGATGTCTTCTTGCATTGCAACGAGCTCTTGCTTTAAGCGATTGGACTCCTTAAGTCCGCCACCCTCAAACCTCGTCTTCAGTTTTCTCCAAGTCCCGGTCGACAATGTGAGGGGTTCCTGCTCATCTTCCGAGTCCTCTTCCTCGAAACAATCCGAGTCTACCCCACGAGTCTCTGCATAAGATCTCTCTCATTAATCTCTCCGTAGCCTGAGCAAGTGAACCCGAGCGCTCGCCCGATGTACGTCTAGTGCGTCCTGATAAATGTGGCTCTTCATTCGACGACCGTCTTGAGCTCCGAGGTAGCGGACCAACTGTATTGCGATTTGCACCAACTTCGAACGTGCTCGTGACATCCGTCATAGAGGAAGGCAACACGCGATGAACCCTCGTGAACGGTCTTCGACCAGCAAGACTGGTATTGACCGATGCAGATCGCGCGGACAGGGAAGGTGTGCCCAATGGTTGTCTCTCGGATTTATGCACACGTGCGCGATGAACTTCGAGCAATTGGCGGAATGCGATCACTGGATTGACTTCAGCCTCCGAGAGAGAGAAACCAAGATCACTTCCAGAAGATCGTTGTCGAGTCGTTATGGGAGAGTATTGGCCGCTCGATGGAGTCCTTGGCAAGTCGCTGGCATGTGATGAAGCGGAGCTACGTCGCGTAGAAACATCCCGTTGTTGATAAGGCTCGGGTTCGACGTAGTCGTAGAGAGGTGTGAGATATGATAGAGTCGTACGACGAGTTGGAGGGCTGGACGGTGATATAGTAGTGTAGTGCGGTGTCTCTGAGAATAGAAATGAGCTACTATTTGATATTTATTGCTAGGCAATGAACTACGAACCTGAGATGGTCGCCGGTCTTGCAGTGAAGGGAATGGCGTTTCGCCGTCGAGAGTTCATCCCTGTGGAAGAGAGGGGAGGAGGAGTAGGAACGGGTCATAGTAAGCTACAGTGTCCGATATAATGTACTCTGATTACGGGCTAGTCTTGTGATACTGATGTATGTGAACGCGGGAGGGATGCTCATCGGATACGACCAGGCAGTGAAAGCTGTCAATTACGGCTGTTAGCCATTACGTCCGGAATCAAGACTACCTGGTCACACGATACTCTCTGCACCGACCGCCCTTTGTCAGAATGTAACCTTTTGATACTGGCCAAAGCAAACTGCTCACCTGTGACCACCTATGCTGACATAGATCCTAGGATGGGCGGTTATTGTGCATATCATAGCCAAAGTGTCGGCCTTATGAAGGCACATATAACTTAATGAATACTTATGCTGTTTCAGCGCTGTATGTTTTCATAGCTCACACCAAGGCTCACACGCATGCATTTGGGATCTGCGCAGCAAGATAGTCAGTACGATGACCAACTTCCATACATCCGGGGGACAAGTAGGTATATATGGAAGCAGATAAAGACATCAGTCGGTCAAAATGAACAAGTGGACCTGTCGGAGTATAATGGTCAGGTGGTCGTTGTAGCCAGAACACTGCCGATGTCGAGAGTTAATTGGAATAAAAGAATATATTAAAAATAAATCGAAACTTGTCCATCGGTGCGATGGCCGAGCGGTCCAAGGCGTGTGACTCAAGCGAAAGCTTACCTGCTCTGCGGGTTTCTCATCTGGGTATCCAGGCGTGGGTTCAAATCCCACTCGCACCATTATTTTCAACTTTTTTTCTCCACGCGGTAATGTTCAGTTCTCTTAAGCTGCCTTGCTTCAATTGACTTATTGCTTTGCACGGTGAAGAATGGAGACACCTTCTGCTCCCTCATCCTCTGACTCTTCTGCGTCAAAGAGGCCTGTATATGAAACACATACTACAGGGAGCTATTGGGGAGACGTAAAGGAGGCATTCAAGGTACGTCTCATGTGCTTCCCTCCGTTGGACCATCATACTCATTGACGTTACCGTACTTTTGGCATAAGACAGAGACTCTCCCTGGATGACTTGCAGAAAATCGGCGAGATCCCATGTGCGCGAAATAGCTTGTTGAGTGGGATCGCTAGCGGGGTCGGGGTCGGGGCCGTCCGCGCGATGAATACAAGTACGTCCATATATTCGTAGGAAATGGATCGCGATTGACTCAAGCGTATTTCGTTAGGTGCATTTGCTGCATCTAACTGGGCTTTTGGAACGTTTGTTGTGATCTCGTTGGGAACATGGTGTGTCTTAGTGCGCATTTCGCATTGGCATGTAGTTTGACATTGTTCTTGTGTAGGCAAATATGTCAGAAGTCGCTCATGCAAGAACGCCTGCGAGTACAGCAAGTTGTTGAGCAAATGCCAAAACGATTCGTGAAGGGTACTGAAGAGTCTTCCACTTCGGATACCAAGTGACCTGCAGCATCTGGCAAACTTCGCTATTTATTCCCGAAGCGTGTTGTGAAGGGGATTCTTAAGGTACACATGTACATGGTATTACCCACAACACGCCGCCAGCATTTATCGCAGCGCATCTAGATCTATGGATACAATGGTAATAGTAATAAAGCTAGATCATCCTTCACACTTATCGCTTGCATCAAGCAAGTGAATGGATATCTGTATAAACATATGCTCCCCCTGAGGTCTCAAAATGCCCATTCTGAGGCCCAGACTTCCTGGTCCCAATTCTCGACGAGATCGGGGTCGTCCTTGAATTTCGCCTGGAAGTCTTGGAAGCCACCTCGCAGAATACATACTTCGTGAACACTACCTTCGCCTGCTGAAGTGTGGAGAATATGACGCGTTTGTGCGTATATCTATATTGAACGGGGTGATAATGTAAATTCATCTATTGCTTGAGACGCCACAAGCGAAACATACCCTTGCGGCTTTTGGTCCACTAAAATCACATTTCAGGATTCTCGAAAGGTACAACAGCAGACCGCACGTACCGAACTTGTGAAAGCGTGCAGTGAAACACCACTAAAGGGACGTTCTTCGTTCGCTCGACGAGAGCATCGACTTTGCTTAAGAAATCATATGACGGAGCATTATGCGCTCCTTTGATATTGCCACCCCTCCAATCATCGTCTCGGACGTCCACGATGAAATAGTCCTTTAGAGGGACCTTGTCACTTTTGATAATAGTGGCAAGTTCCTGCAGGCACACAATTTCGATCATTAAGCAATTGCAACCGAGAGACCTAACGGTAAGTAAGGGAAATCCAAGACGACGAGATCGGTCTGGCGCACATCGGGAGTAATGTACTTGGTCATTATGTTCGCTCGTACACTTCCGTGAGCAAGTGTGGATAAGGCTGGACCGGAAATCTTGCTGAATTGACGGGATGGCTGAGTGCAGAGGGACCTGAGTAACATGGACTTGAAGACCGGAGGGGCCGGAAGCATCGAGAAAGATGTATTATGTCATCCAAAGCCTTCCATCTTTGGCCAGTCGCGAACCATTCGATGAATTTTACGCCAAGGTGACTGTGAAGAATCGTGAAGAATACTCGAAGAATGAGACAGATATCGAGGTACCACTGGTGCTCGTGGCGTCGAAAGGTAAATGCGTAAATATAATTTGAAGGCCGAATTTATCGCTCGATGAGCAATAGAGCGAATGCGATTGGCAATGACATGTCGGAACTCCGAACGCGCATCGAGACACGTTCGATCGCGTAGGATGCTTTTGCTCAATTCAAGCGTTGGTAAATACCAAGTATATTTCATTCGCCGTTGTCGACGCGTCCTTCAGGCTTGCGCAACCAGTGAAATAAAGCAAGCTAAGTTTGAGGAAGACGTCGCGGAGGATCCGAACCTCGACGTCGCTGCCGTTGGGGATGCGCACGCCACCAACGTGCGGTTATACGCGTTCCGGCAAGCTCCGGTCCCCATAAATGGCGCCAGCACCTGCATCTGCAAGTTCAACGTCACGACTTTTCACCAACCATGTCTCTCCCTCAGCCTGTTCCCCCGTCCTGGAAGGTACACTTTCGTATTTTATTTCGTCCAAAGTTAGCAATTTTCTAAGTTAAAGCGTGTCTTAGGATCTCGGTAAATCCTCCAACGACCTCTTGGGTAAGGATTTCCCCATCAACGGAACCCAGCTCGAGGTCAAGACCTTGACCCCTTCCAATGTCGCGTTCAAGGTTGCGGGTAACCAGGACCCCAAGTTGAACGTCATCAACGCCGACATTGAGGCTAAGTACACCGACAAGGCTCACGGCCTCGTCATCACTCAAGGATGGACTACCGCCAACTTACTCCGAACCCAAGTTGAGGCCGAGAACCACCTTGCCAAGGGTCTTAAATTCGACCTTTCCACGTCTCTCCTGCCCGACAGTGGAAAGAAGACTGCTCTCTTCAACACCGCCTACAAGCAGCCAGGTCTCCACACCCGCGCTTTCCTTGATCTCTTCAAGGTGGGTTCTGAGACGCGCGATTGCTTGGCGCGTCTCGTTGACTGAAGTACCGGATTTAGGGCCCCACCTTCACCGCTGACACTGTCATCGGTCGTGATGGTTTCCTGCTCGGTGCTGAGGCGTCTTACAACGTCACTGAGGGCAAGATCACTCGTTATGCTACCGCTGTCGGCTTCAGCGCGCCTGAATACGCTGTTACTGTCCACGGTCTCGGCAACTTGAGCACTTTCGCTGCGAGCTACTATCACCGTGTTAGCCCCGATGTCGAGGCCGGTGCGAAGGCTATTTATGACACCAAGGCCACCACTCAGGGCGTCAGCCTTGAGGTCGGTACCAAGGTGTAAGTCCGCTCTGGTGTGCATTAATTGAACGTTTAGCTGATGAATTTGCGGCCAGCTACCTTGATGCTGCTGCCTTCGTCAAGGCCAAGATCAACAACGCTGGTGTCCTTGCTGTTGGTGAGTGCATCATGACACGTCGTTCGCGTTCATTGGATGCTGATCGGAGTTTTGTTAAGGTTACACCCAGGCGCTCCGTCCCGGTGTCAAGGCTTCCTTCGGTGTTGCCATTGATACTCAACGGTTGAACGAGGTTACCCCTACTGGCCCTGCACACAAGGTTTGTCCTTCGTATTATCATCTGACGAATGGATACCTGTATTAACAGTATTTCATGCAGGTTGGTGCCAGCTTCACCTTCGAGGGATGAAAAATGTATTGTATAATTGGCATTGCTTTGAACGTTTTCGTGTTAGCATAGTACGTAGCTCTAAAACTCTAAATGCGCCTGCTATACTACATTTTCGTGAATTGAAGTTGACTGTTCAAACATCCGGTTACTATCATTGCGTCTACATGGAAATATGACGTCATTTCGCACGGAACGGAAATTGCGAGCGCTCCTGCAGCATTACTCGGTATCAATAACTCAAGCTGGTCCAGGCGAGAGCTGAAGCTGGAATGCCAAGTCACCTACGTTATAAACAGGCATACTTACTGTGCTTCTACATCTGCTTGAGTCTTGTGATTATGGGGATGATGAAGTTTCCCTTATCTATCTTCATTGTTCTCACTGCATGAACGGCTGTGCGGTCTCGCACTAGCCGAGAGTGGCCAAGAACAAAGACTCGCGAGGCATAAGATTGCATTCCCGCCTTTGTTGATTCCCCCATCTCACCTACCAAACAACTTGTTCTCCACACACAGCACAACTTATTCTTGCACTTATGGCAACATTCTACGACTCTGCTATGGGCATCCGTGTGGGCATGGAACCTCCCCTCGATCTCAGCGAAGAGCCTGGTTTCGCAGACACAGACTGTGGCGAGGTCCAAATCTGTCTAATGGTCCTTAACGTCAATGACCCTACCGTCTGTCCACAACACAGACCTTGGTTCCTCTACTGGACTGTTGGACATCCTCCCGTGGCGTGTCGTGTCCTGCGAATTGTCAAAGAACCAGGTTTCGAGCATTACACTAACTGGGGACCTGTCACCATTCCCGATCTCTTGGAAGACGGAGACAGCGACTCTGTTAGGGTTGTCCCTATTGGGAGATTCAATTTACGACAGAGGTTGCAGTGGGAACGCGTCGCGAATGAAACTACGGTGCCGATGTTCGATTTTGAGGGGAAGTATGATGGACAAGCTTGGATTGTCGATGTTTTTAATAGGGCAATCAAGTGTGGTCTCATGACTCCCATGGATGCACAGAGATATCTTCAGAAAGCGCGGGAGTGTTGACCAAGGTGTGTTCTATTTTCCACTTGTGCTATAAGCATGAATAGGAAAGCTGACGACCTGAGCGTGCCTACAGTAATTCTTGTCTCTGTTTGATATGTTTCTTCTGGATCCTTCTGCTATTTGCATCGATGTACCATACCACTGCACTTTATTCTCGCCTAGTCTATGTATCGACGAACGAAATCATCTGGATTATCTCATTCTCGAACTTTTGAACCTACCAATTTTGGCCGTATGGCTAAGCGCTTAACACCCACGTTTGTGCCACAGGCGTCTAAACAGGCTGTAGTTTGGCCACCGATACCTTGGCAGTTGTGTGGATGGTGTATCCGAAAGTGTTGCACAGGTGAACAGCTGCTTTCTCAACAATTTCCCTGATTGAGCTTAGAACTATAGACAGGACAGAGGTCGTAACGTGTTACCCACTCAAAGCGGGAACTTCAGTTAGATCACCCCAGCGTCATGTCGCAAAGGTCTAGATCTGAACGTGAAAATGTGTCACGCTGAGTAGACTATATAGACATGACGGCGCAATCTTATTGAAAGTTCTTACAAGGATCGTTATGACGCAATTGTCTCTGACGCTATGCCGCATTCATATCTAACCAAAGCGAGCGGGTTCTAATGTGTATCACTAGTGCACTACGACATGAGATACTAGTAGGTCTTCATACTCAGAATAGTCCATTTTGAACTTCAGGTAAGCAATCACTCCACAATATCAAATTTGTCTTAATTTTTGGGAGTTACGAATGTCGCCAGGCCAATCATCCACACTCAAAGCTCTTTCAACCACGATGAGGTACCTCGAGGCCCGGGGGCTGCATTGCAGACCTTGACCCTTCATACTATCTCGGTCGCTGCCATATGGAAAATCCTGTTGAGTCTCGCCTTACTCTTATTAACCCACAGAGTCGGGATAATGAAGATCCGACCTCCGGGGTTGATTTGAAACCTTCTGCCTGCCACTATCCCTGCGGACCACAGGTAGTGGTGGCCCTCTGGCTATTTCCGGAGGTCGCTTTGGCTGTCTTTGAATCTTCTGTGGCATTCATCGCCAGATCAGGTTTCGACTTTTCATATCCGTTCCGGCTCAGTGTGGTCTCTAGAGGGGGTGTATAAGTGGTATATAACGACACCCTCCCTAGATCCCCATACTTGTCTGCATTCTATCATCCATTACTCAAGCTTCCGAACTCTGCAACCACAGTCATATCGTTGCGGTTTCTTACGGATGGCCGAGATATTGATTATCACAACGATGATGGTATCCCCGTTGGACCCCCTGCCACAGACGTCAGTCATGAATTCCAAGACCCCAACGATCTCCGATGCGTCAGTATCGTCATCAACGACCTGTATCGAGGGTTTCATTCCCCTTGGGCCATAGATGAAGGAAAGCCGCAGCACCGCATACTACGAGTTGACACTAAGCTGGATCGCTGTCAGTGTTTTAACCACTCTGTATATGCTTGTCATGGGCACCTGTGCAGAGATAGGCATCTCCTTTCTGCACCTTATTTTCGAGTGAGCAAAACTTCGGTACCGCCGAGGTATACTGGAGGAGATGGTTTAAGAGTCGTCGACCACTATCAAGACTGCGTAGGCTCGGAGAGAAGCCCAAATTTGAGGTAATATCGTGATTCCTTAATCCCAATCAAACGAACCTGCGGTAATGAAAACACCAATCTTCGGAAAACAGGTGTAATTCCGAAGATAGCTTACATCAAGCTGAGGTCGCGAAACCGAATATGGCGTCAAAGATGAAACTCTGTGTGGGCCTGTGGACAGCCGATAATCCAAGCTTTTGTACCATTCCCTCTATGTACTTCAGTCAGGGAGCAATCTGTTCCTGAAAGGTACGAAGATGTACTCGGATTTTAACATGGGATGTCTCTGCTTGGAACCATGCTGTGTGGTCAAAGGCCATAGCGTCCCCATTGTCCCTAATTTTCCGCCGCTTTTGTGACTTCATTACCTAAAGTAAGGTACTGGCCACTTGAATCTTCTTTGTCCTTGTCTCAGTTCCCATCACTTGGGGCCATAGACACACAAAGGTCACTGCGGCACCCAAAAATCGATATAAACCCGCTGCCACACGGACACTTGACAGCATGTTTTGATTTCCGTCTCCCCTTTTGCTACTACGATGTCGATCCCATCTGACCATACCACGCACTCAGACTCCCCTCCACCGGCAAACCCTGAACCACCGCCTGACGATGAAGGAACTCCCTACAAATTCACGTTACAAGGCTGGATACAATGGTGCAATAAATACATCTACTACGACGACCTGCGAGAAATGCTCATTGAAGAGATGACTGGCCTTTTCGTTGGGCCCATGCCCCCACACAATTTCATCGACGCCCTCATGAGGCTGAAGAAGAAACTGAAGGCCGCGCCAAAAGTCGATTTCTCCGAAGTGCCTTTCACGGGAGTCGAAAAGGATATGTACGAACCCTTAGTATGTCCCTTCTTGTCTATAACGGTTCCTTTGGCATCACTGACATTGGGCCATCTAAGTGCAACGCTATCAACGATTCTCTCGTCTGCCCTGGCTTCAAGTTGGTCGACGTTTCGAGCTCAGTAGACAAGAATGGTATTCGACTGCGCCCGGATCTTGTACTTGTACCCACCGACGCTAAAGACATGATGGACTATACGATCATGGAGTTTTTCGTCGAGGTCAAGGTCGCAAAACCCGCAGACCCTTTTTACGACATCAATAGCAAGGCCTTGAAAGAAACCATCGAGAAAATGAAGGGAGACAGCGCGGAGACTCGTGGGCAGATCACAAGCTATGCAGCTGCATTATTGTCTCGTCAGCATAGAACGTTCGCATTCTCTATCACCATCTGTGGCCAATATGTTCGCTTCTTCCGTTGGGACCGCGCTGGATGTATTGTCAGTGATACGTTTAACTTCCTCGAAGACTCACATCTTTTGGCCGAATTTTTCTGGTGCTATGCCCATATGACACGCGAACAACGTGGCTTCGACCCTACTGTGGTACCTGCTTCTGCAGCCCAGGCCAAACTGCTCTCTGACGCTCTGTCGCAATACATCAAGGAGTCCAGGCCCCGCAACGTCAGCTATCTGCAACCCAAACCCGATTCTACCTATCCGATCTCCAAGATGCAGGTTCCAACGACGAATGGAATTCGCGAGTTGATCGTTGGCAAACCTTTCCAGGATAGTAACTCTCCTTGTGGACGAGCGACAAGGGCCTACGCTGCATATGACCTGGTGGAGAAGAAGGTCGTCTTTGCCAAGGATTACTGGCGTGACGAGGGTAAAGGGCTGCTTTCAGAAGCTGAGTTCTATGACATACTCAAGCAGAGCAATGTACCCTTTCTGCCTGAAGTCATTGCAGCTGGGGACTTGTATGTGAAGCCAAAGCAGAGGAATGCGTGTCAGAAGACATATACTCAAAAGTATTCCCCTAGTAGGGCCAATCGCCCGAAGTGGTGCCAGCCATGTGCGGAGCTGCGGACCCTGGTTCATTGTAGGGTCGTTCAAAAACTCACCTTTCCTCTCCCGTCTGCGCTCTCATCGAAGGAGGCCGTTCAAACTATTCGCGATGCGATTGAAGGTGCGTGATGTCATGCGTGGATCGCGCATTGATTCTCATACTCTTTCTTGTTCATCACAGCTCTCAAGGTCGCGTATCACCACGGCAAGGTCTTTCATCGCGACATTAGTACTGGAAACATCATGATCGATGAATCTGGTCGCGGGATCCTCAATGACTGGGATCACGCACAGAAAGTGGGTTTCAAGAACATAACTCAAACATATCAGACAGTCAGTAGTTTTATTATCCCCATGACGTGTTACGCTGACGGTTTCTTAGGGTGTTTGGCAATTTAGGTCTATCTTATTGTTGCGACATCCCAAGAAAGGCCACGACATTCATGATGACCTGGAATCCTCATTCTGGGTTCTGCTTTATATTTCTCTCCATTATTTCGAACACAACCAAGGAATCATTCTCGACTTCAGCTTCTTCGACGAATACAAGAAGCATGTTGGACTCAAGAAGCAAGAAGAAGATGTCCGGGACAACTGTTATTCAATGAAAAGTTCCTCTAGGAAGAGCTTCCTGACTGACGGACTGGCCGACGTCCAATGGAAGTGCGCTCCATTGAACAAACTCATCCACGGGCTTAGAATTTTCTTTGAGGATTATTTATTCTATCATTCGAGGCAAGATGATGACAAACACATGGCTTCCTTCAAGGACATACAGGAGAAGACGGTTCAAGTCGATGTCATCCTCAATTTATTCGACAGTGCTTTAGCATCTAACGATTGGCCGGAGAACGACGCTCTATCTGACCAATACCCGCCCATGACCGACAAGCAGACGGCTCAACTGCTTCATGATTTGGAGTCACGGGCTATTGCTTCTGCTGCTCGGAAGAAGAAGAAGTCTACTGCTCTCGCTGTTGGACGGCGTGCATCCGTCCCTTCGACTGCTCTAGGTTGCATGCGAATTCGGTCGTGTATTCCTGGAATACGTTCCAGCAAACGATTAGCCCAACCGAAGAACGGACAGCAAGCTCCTGCACCGGAGGCAGAGCCCTCACAACTCCCTATGAGTTCTCACGGTACAGTGAAGAGAAGACTCAATGAAGACCCTGCAAAGTTATCGAGTTTCCGCTCGAAGCGGGCAAAGATTGCAAAGTGAAGGCCTTCAAACGCGCACCGCCGCCCGAGCGATCAGCAAAGGCGCATCGGTTTCCTACACGTTTTGAGTTGAGAAGCTGAACAGTGCCAGTAAGAGTGGTTCGCCCAACAAGTTATAGCAGGAAGACGTCGAAATGCATCATGACCGATGCCAAAATCCCAGTCGTTCGAAGACGAACGAGACACTGTCATTGTCAGACAAAGGAAGGGAAACAGACATCGCGAGGGTAATAAAAGGCGGGTTCTTCAAGTCAACCGAAGTTAACGGTAGTCTACCTCAGTTGAAGTCGAGTACACGTAGATGTTGATGATTGTACGACTTTGCATTATACATATAACTTATAAGTACCCCTTCAAGGGAAGTCTGTTGCAGCGCTCTGAATCTGGACCCAGGAATTCTGATAGTCACAGGGCACGTGAATGTGACGCTTGGGGACGCGTGACGTGTCGTCTACAAACTCAGTGAGACCTTGTTCTTTGTGTACTCCATAGTTGGCCAAATATCCTCTCCCTCTCTACCCGTTGATCTCTTCCCATTTCATATATCGTTAGCACTTATCTTACTTTACTCAACGTCCCTCCTGTTGAGCTTACATGTCAGTCAAAAGATTGTTTCCCTCTCCCCGAAGGCTAATAAGACATTATGGTCCTTGATAGTCTGACCTTTGTATTAGTCAATACATTCCCGTCGATTCCCCCTTTTTCTTCCTCTCTCTCTCAGTTCTCAGCTTTTGGAGCATACCGAACTGTGTGGCTACCTGAGTCCGTGTCATATCTTCGCATAGGTGCGTCCATGATTCCACTATGTCGCGCAATGCGCTATGTTCCTTTCCTGTTAGAATGCGACAATTTGATAACCCCAAACTGTGCTTTCATTAGCCTCTTTAGACGTTTAGTTACTCCGCGCCTTTGCAGCGAAAGGCTTCGTCAAGCAGTATATACCTCTTCTGCAACCACCTGCAACACCTTTTCATTTACAAAATGACAGGCCTATTTGTTGGGCCCGTACCGCCACGTGATTTCCTCCTTGACTTCCTGAAGCTGAAGTCACTACAGAAGCCGAAGGCGCGGCTAAAAGTCGATTTCTCCCAAGTGCCATCCGTGGGAGTCGAAAGGGATACATACGAGCCTATAGTACGTATCTCCCATCCATAATGGTTGTTGGTACTTTGCTGATGTTGCGCCATCCAAGTGCAATGCCATCAACAATTCTGACGTCTGCCCTGGCTTCAGGTTGATCGACATTTCGAGCTCAATGGACGACAATAATGTTCGACTGCGCCCGGACCTCGTACTCGTACCAACTGACGCTGAAGACCTGATGGACTATACCATTACGGAATTCTTCGTCGAGGCAAAGTTCAGCGATTTCATGGACCCCTTCTACGACGTCCAGGACACAGCCCTGGACGATACCGAGGAGAAACCGACGGTAGACAACGCGGACGCTCTCGAACAGATCACAAGCTATGCGGCCACATTGTTAGCCCGGCAGCACAGAACATTTGCGTTCTCTATCGCCATCTACGGCCAGTATGTTCGCTTCTTCCGGTGGGACCGCGCTGGGTGCATTGTCAGCGATAAATTTAGCTTTCTCGAAGACTCGGACCTCTTGGCCGACTTTCTCTGGTGCTATGCCCATATGACACGCGAACAACGTGGCTTCGACCCTACTGTGGTGCCTGCTTCTGCTGCAGAATCCAAACTGCTCTCTGATGCTCTGTCGCGTTACATTGAGGAGTCCAAACCCCGCGATGTCAGCTATCTCCAACCCAAACCTGACTCAACCTATCCGATCTCCAAGATGCAGATTCCAATGACGAAGGGCGTTCGCGATCTGATTGTTGGCAAACCGTTCTGGGACGCTGACTCTCCTGATCGGACGACGAGCGCATACGCAGCGTACGATATGGTGGACAAGAAAATCGTGTTTGCGAAGGACTCTTGGCGTGATGAGGATGAAGGCATGCTTTCGGAGGCTGAGATCTATGATATACTCAAGAAGAACAATGTGCCCTTTCTCCCCGAAGTCATCGCGGCTGGGAACGTTTATGTGAAGACCAAGAAGAAGAAGGTGTATCAGAGGACACTTATTGAAAAATGGTACACTTCTAACAGCAGATCATTACTGTGGTGCCTACCATCTACGGATCTACGAACCCTGGTGCATTGCAGGGTCGTTCAAGAACTCGCCTATCCTCTCACGTCTGCGCTCTCATCGAAGGAGGCCGTTCAAGCCATTCGCGATGCGATCGAAGGTACGTGATGCCAACTGTGCGGCCTGCGTTTGATCTTCATATTCCTTTCAGCTATCAAAGTTGCGTACCATGATGCTAAAATCTTCCACCGCGACATCAGCACTGGGAACATCATGATCAGTAAATCGGGTCGCGGAATCCTCAATGACTGGGATCACGCACTAAAAGTCATTCTCAGGGACACACCCCAAGGGTATCGGGTAGTCAGTAATTGTATTCTCTGCTTCATAGTGATACTAACAGCTTCCCAGGGCACCTGGCAATTTATATCCGTCCCGTTACTGCGGCGTCCCAAGAAAGGCCATGAGGTGCACGATGACCTGGAATCGTCATTCTGGGTGTTACTTTACATTTCTCTTCATTATTTCAAACACACCAAACTTTTCGACGTCGACTTCTTCAATGAATACAACGAGTACAGCCGAAAGGACAGTTCAACTCGCCACGCGTATGGAGGTTTAGCAAAGAAGGATTTCCTGTCCGGGACACTACGAGATGTGAAATGGACGTGTGCACCTTTGACCAAACTTTTACACAAGTTCGGCGATCTGTTCGACCAATATCAATTCTATTATGGGAGGCGGGATCGTGAGGAACACGCAGCCTCCTTCACGGACATCCAGAATCAGCTCGACCAGGTGGATAGTGTTTTGGATCTTTTTGACACTGCTCTGGCATCGGATGAATGGCCGGAGAACGATGTGCTGCCTGATCAGTATAGCCGGAACGACGAGAAGAAAGAGACCGAGGAACATCATCATTTGAAGTCACAGGCAGTTGCTCCTGCTCGAGAGAGGAATCCTGTTCCCGTCGCTGGCATTGCTTCTCCAGTTTCGATACCAAATCGGTCTGCTATCTCCGCAGCACGTTCTAGCACTCCCTTAGTGCAACATAGCAAGGAAGAGCAACCTCCTGTACTGGAAGCTGGGCCTTTACAGCTTCCCGTGGGTTCTTGCAGTACAGGGAAGAGAACAATCGATGAAGTGCCTGCAGAGGTGTCAGTGTCCAAGCGGGCGAAGACCGCGGCGCGAAGGCCATTGAAACGTGCACCCAGACCCCCGCCTCCCGAGCGACCAGTGGTGGAACATCGATATCCTACGCGTTTCAAGTTGAACGCTTCCCGTCAAGCCGGTGCTCTGAGCAACCATGCAGACATCGAAATGCAGGATACTCGACGCCGGAATCCCTCTCGGTCAAGTGCAAAGTCGAAGTTGCACGAGACGCGTCGCCAACAGGTTGCTCCTAGTATCCAGAAGCCGACAAAGGAGAAGAAACAGACAGGTCGAAAGGTTAAAAAGCCGACAAAGTCAACGGAAGCTGGTGGTAGTCGATCTCAAGCGAGGACAAGTACTCGTCGGCGACGTGGTTGATTGTTCGCCTGCATTTTAGAATCTTTCCTGGCGGCAACACTACGTATCGTATTCACTATGGTCCCTGGCGTCTTCGGAATTAGCCAGGCTTCGCGTTTGTATTATCTACTCGCTTGGAGTGGATATTGGGCCAAATCAATTCACTATTTCTGGGCAACTAGTCGTCGATCATCTTGTGGATGGTTCAAGATCACATGAAACGTGACTGCGATGCTGATGCGTTGTTTGTCCAGTATCGATACTTCCCCCCTAATTATAAGAGACAATTAAGTACTCAAATGGATAAAAGTATCGAAGCATGGAAGCAAGTCAACTGGGATATACTAACTATCTACACCGTGGCGAGACTGAGCAACAGGTAAGTGAGATACAGAGGATGCCCATGAAGCTCGTTCGAGGAATGTGAAACAGATGGGAAAGACCTTGGTCGAATGAAATGGGCAAAGATATCCAGCCTGCACTTTACGCGTTCTTGGTGATGTTGGCTGTTCGTATCTCGACTCCTACTACTACAAAGGGGAACGGCGTACCCTCCAATTCAAGCTCCTAGTCCTACCGCTGTCTCCTGTAGAGTGGTGAACGTGCAATAGTTGCGCTGGACGCAGAAAATACCGGAGCTCTGAAAGGCGCAGCCAAGTTCAGAACTCTGGCCATAGTCACATTGGCACATGACTGTGACGTCTGGCGAAGCGTGACATCTCGCGTGATAAGAGACTTCTTTGTCCCCAATCTTGATCTGTTTCTGTCCACTACGCATATCGTCTGCACTTCTTTTTCTTTACTCCAGATATCTTTTATTAAACCTGTCAATCAGTCAAGAAGTAGTTTCCTCTAGTTTGGTTTCGAGCTAGTCATGATATTTCCATTGTTAGGCTCTTCTTTGCTATTCTCGATTTCGTGGTGAACACGTTCAGGTCCAAAAATACACCAAAGACACTATTCTGCGAGATACAGTATGTTCTATTTTCCACCCATGCTGTGAAATATGACGTCCTAATCCGACCAAGCCATCCTCTTAGTATCCCCCTCCAAACCGCCTTTTTGAGTTCCTCATTACCGCCGCAGTGTTGAGAGATCCCCTGCACATTTACAACAAAGGGCTTTATCGAGTGGCGCAACCGATATGTTTATTTACTACGACGACCTGTGAGACTTTCTCATTCACGAGATGGCCGGCCTATTCGTTGGAACCATGCCTCCACGTGGTTGCCTCGTCGACTTCCTAAGAATAAAGTCACTGGAGAAGCTGAAGACATCGCCGAAAGTCGACCTCTCCGGCGTGCCTTTCAAAAAGGTCGAAAAGGATATGTATGAACCCTTAGTACGTCCCTCCCCGCCTATAATAGTCAACGGAATGTCACTGACATTGGGCCACTCAAGTGCAATGCTATCAACGATTCTGGTATCTGTGATGGATTCAAGTTGGTCGAAGTTTCAAGCTCAGTAGAGAGGGATGACATTCGACTACGCCCGGATCTCGCTTTCGTATCCTCCAGCGCTGAAGACCCGATGGACTACACCATTATGGAATTTTTCGTCGACGCTAAGCTTAGTGATCTTGCGGATCCCTTCTACGACAAGGACAAGTGCCTGGACGATACCACCGAGAATATGACAGAAGAAAGTGCGGAGACTCGCGGACAGATCATAGCCTATACAACCGCGTTACTGTCTCGCCAGCACAGACGATTCACATTCTCCATTGTCATTTGTGGCCAGTATGCTCGGTTCCTCCGATGGGACCGTGCTGGATGCATCGTCAGCGATATCTTCGATTATCTCGAAGAGCCGGACATCTTGCTTGACTTTTTCTGGTACTATGCGCGACTGACACGCGAAGAACGTGGCTTTGACCCAACTGTGGTGCCTGCTTCTGCTGCTGAGGCCATACTCTTCTCTGATGCCCTGTCGCGATACATTGAGGAATCGAAACCACGGGACGTCAGCTATCTGCAACCGAAACCCGATTCTACCTATTCAATCTCCAAGATGCCGATTCCAATGGCGAAGGGCAATCGGGAGCTGATTGTTGGCAAACCGTCCTGGGATGCTGACTCTCCTGATGGGACGACAAGGGCCTACGCTGCATATGACATGGTGGGACACTCGAACTCTCGCTATATCAAGTGGGGTCCCCAAACTAAGGCCCAGCATCTCGAACACGCTAGGATTTTCCCACTTGGTGAATTCTCTCTGGAACAGCGCCGTCAGTTCGAACAATATGCTAGGACAGCTAAAGTAGCTGTCCACCGTTACCGCCTCAATGCCTCTCAGATCTATGTTGAAGACATCCTCCTTCTCGCGGCTGCGGGGGGGGGGGTCTCCTTACTGATGCGGTCGTCCGGGGGGTTCTTCAAGCAACTGGGTGGTACAACAGACCCTAACCTTTGAAAGGATGGCCTATATTAAATACAAGGGAGTTCGAAAAATATTGGGCGATTGCCTAGCTAGTCTCGCAACGTTGTCAGATTTCTCCACCACTATGCACTGTCTTGAATGCTACCATACCGCTCATTCATGTTTCATTCATGTTAACCACTACCTATCATGTAATTTTGTCATTTAAACACCTCCATACCTCATTTCGAGTACTGAACACTGCATCTCGTTTCTATGTTTGCAATGTTTGTAATAGCATCATGCATTATGAAAGACGACCGTCGTGACCTCGTACAATTCGTGAAACTAAAGTGGAAAATCAAGAGTAATTCCATCTAGACAGGAGAGTCGGTTCCAGCAATGGGTTTCTGTCGTTCAGCAGGAGCCGCACGATGACGTGCCATTCTAGCCTTCTTATTCCTGTGAATAGCAGTTAGCACTCTTGCTATACGGTCAATAGAAGAATGGAGAGACTACTCACGGTTTGTTAAGAATACTTTCTGAACCGGTGAAGAACAGGAGATCGTATATGAATGTGCCGACTGCAAATATAATGAGATAAGAATCATGCGAGAGATGAACGTTACTTACCTATTGCACCGAGGATAGGTGCGATAACAGGACACCAGAGCCAGTAGTGACTAGAGCATCCATGACGCATGAGAGATAAGAAGTGCCCCAAACGCAGCTAAACTTACTTTCTAAAAGTGTACACTACACAAATCGGCGGTCAGCAAATAAGCTTCGAAGCCTAACAATTTGCACCCTCTTACCTTCCTTTCCATAACCGACCATGGAAGTCAGTAGTCTAGGTCCAAGGTCACGAGCAGGATTGATCGCATAGCCTAAGAATATGGTGAGTCAGTGAGAATGTTCAGACCTATGGAAGTAACGCGGTTCCCTTACCCGTTTGCATTCCGAGCGCAGCTCCAATACCAAGGACTGCAATAAATAGGACGAGAGGTACTAATCCAGCAGGTGGAGGGCCATTTCTCGCATCGGTGACTGCACACACAACGAGTAATAGGACCACGGTGCCGATGAACTGCAAAGCGCCAGGTCAGATACATGTTTCTGATGTCAACTTGGTAGACACTCACTTCATCGAAAAAACATGAAACTGAGGTCATGTAATCGAGCTGGGACGAATAGAAGTCAAGCTTCCCAGCCCAAAGATGAGAAGAAAGGCACCAACAGCATATGTTGAGAATAGACCCGCGGTGCCGGGTACAGTACGAATGTTTCGTCCACCTTCGACAATATCGATGGCATGAATGTAGTTTGCATAAATAATACCTGCCCCGCAAAGTCCGCCCATGACTTGAGCAAAGACGTATGCAGGCACTTTGCGCCACGGGAAGTCACGGCAGCATGCAAAGGCGATAGTGACTGCCGGATTAATGTGACCGCCAGAAATTCCACTTGAAACCCATACTCCGAGAGCGGTACCTGTAAGGTCCAGAAGAAACATGTCAAGACCAGACGTTTCCATGAATGTTCGGATGTCGTACCGACAGCCCATCCGAAGCTGAGTGAAAGGTAATCCTGGAAGCACGTTTCATCAGCATAGATGCTTAAATGAATGGAGAAGGATTATTGCATACGCCTTTGGGTGTCGCTGCGACGTTAGCATTAGAGCCCAATACCGTTTGACAGTCTACACCGTTGCCGAATATGATCAAAATCATTACACCGAAGAACTCGGCAGCAGGCTCCCTGATCCATTCTCTGAGAGTCAACGAGGGGAACTTATGAGAAAAACGACCACCGACTAATAAAGTACGTTACTTACCGGACTTTTGACCAACGGTTTGGATATCGTGTATAGTGTTCCATGGATTCATTAGAGTCATCGACGTCATGAACTTCGGATTGTAGTTCGCTGATGTGCTCTACGGATCCTTTTCGTTCGTGGTCATCATGAGGCTGTTTGCGAGAATGTATGGAATCGGGTGTGGATGAGCCGGCGAAAGACATGTCGCAGGAGGGAGAAAGAGATATAAGGTACAAGACAGCGGGGAAAGCTGACCAATGAGACAGGCTTCGTAACTCAGCTTATATAGAGTGAAAGGTCCAGGCTGGACAGTTTCAAGCCCTAAACGTGCAAGAGTAGCCGAGACCGACAGTCGACGAGAATATGAGATAACCAAAGGGAAGGCAATCACGTACGGCAGGGAAGAGTTTGGAAGTCAAGCTGTTATACGCGCTCAGGACGGAGGGCCGGCGAGACCAATCCTGAGCGCATATTGTTGGAGTTTTGAGATGGACCTGGTCTCATGACCGTGAACCCTGTGGAACAGAGTGTCATCGTTGAGAAACCGCTCTTTGCGCGCTCAAAGAGACATTACGCATGAAGGATCTTACGGGGAAGGGAAGCATTTCTGTTTCTTTCACTCATTTCCGTCAAGCCCAAACATCGGGAACCACTCACCAGAATGTAAATTACACTTACATTGTTTGTAACAGCCGACCTACGTTATTTGATTTGAGTATCATCCGACGCCAGACTACTCCAAAGCCTCTGAATCGATTATGTACTCAAAAGTACAGGGACCTTCTGCCTTCAACACTATTCTTAGGGCTTATGGGAAAGCCATGGCCGTAGGACAGCTTCGCATGATGACAATGCTATCTTGGCTCATCTCTTGTACATTCCAATTCTGATTCAGAGTATCAAGAAAGTGCAGATGGCTTGTCACAAGGGCTTTTTACTGTTTGGCCAATCTGATCCAGTCTAGAAAGGCCTTTTGACATGGTTTTTGCAGGCGGAGGAGAACTGATGACCACTCGGAGCTGTGGGGAACCATCACGACAGCTACCTTTCGAGGAAAGGCCATCAATCGAAGTGATCGGTTGTAACTTGATTCGGTCCGGAATGGCTGGAAAGCAACGAAGCCTACGCAGACTGGTCGAAAGACATACCAAAGAATCTGTCTTATCGAGGTCAAAGTGAAACCCAGGAAAGCGAAGCCCAGACGAATAGACAGTGAAACTCACTAAGGAGGAGACCAGTATGTGTGAATCATGAAATGGGGTTTGACGTGTAATGGTTGGAAATGTCAAAAGCACCTGGTTTGAATGTCATGGTATTTCATTTATGTCTGTTGTATGTATCACCGTTAACTCGTTAACGAAAACATGGCTGAAGACTCAATAGCAGTAGGGACACGCATATTCCTATTGTGCTCAAGTTCCCCGGCATCGGATTTGAAATCTGACATTGCATATCTTCGCAATGGAACTTGACTATCCAGCCGTAGAGAAAGATTTCCCAGCTGCCAACTCTATAACTGAGCAGTAGAAACAGGCAGTGCCTATAATTCATGCATGAGCGATTGAAGCAAGGAGGTAACCCTAACCACAACTTGCCATGAACCATCATACCGTTAGCGCCAAGCTGGTGGCACTGCCGCCCAAGTGTCAAGCTCGAGAAGTACTTACGACTACCTACTATACCCTTTGACCGACTCTCGTTATTCTATTCCCTTATAACGTTCACGATGTCTATGCTCGACAAGTTCAAGAAGGGTGCTCAGAAAGCGGGTATCCAAGCAACCGCTTTCGTGAAGGACGGCTCAAACAAGATCGCTACTGGCTCTAGGGACTTCGCTCAGGGATTCAGCTTGCCGGGTGAAGCGGAGAAGGCTGCAAATATTCTCGCAAGTTTCTTGGGTACGAGAAGTATGATTTCGGTTATTTTGAGAGACTGATGTTGACTCCGCATTCCAAGCCGACCCTGAACACGCTGAATCAGCTCTGAATTCCATACCTAAAGCTGTCCTGCAACGTGCAAGAGGTGCGTTACATCCAAGCGAAATAACCAGCCTCATGTAGACTCATACATACCTCCACAACTCCTAGGCCTCGCCATTTTCTCAGTCTTGAAGGCAGGATTCATGTTCTCCGGCAAAGCCGGCTCAGGTCTCGTAATCGCTCGCCTTCCAGACGGTTCCTGGTCTGCTCCATCATGCATCGCGACTGGAGGTGTAGGATGGGGGCTTCAGATCGGTGCAGATATTACAGATTTCGTCATTGTGCTTAATAGCGAGGATGCTGTACTAGCGTTTTCAATGGGAGGCAATGTCACTATTGGAGGCAACATTAGCGCTGCTGCTGGACCGATTGGTACTGGTGGAAGCGTTCAAGCATCGTTGGCTCATCCCGCACCTATGTTCTCATACTCGAAGTCTAAGGGCACGTGTCATTATTTTGGATGTACTAGCTTGGTAGCTGACCGTATTTTTTCAATGATCAGGACTGTTTGCCGGCCTTTCGTTGGAAGGCACTGTCCTTATTGAACGCAAAGATGCCAACCGCGAGTTCTACGGCTCACCTGTTCCCGCTCGGGATATCCTAAGCGGCCGAGTCCCTCCACCGGAGGTTGCATCGAAGTTGTATGAAGTGATTGAAGCCGCAGAGGGTATCGACGAGTCGGGGCTTCCGGAGGCTGCTTATGTTCCTACCGCGACGGGAGACCATGCGGAGGTTCGGCCGGGAAACATGGTATTCGACGCAGAGGGTCACCATTGAAGCGTTGGGAAGGTAGATCAGGGTTGCAGTTGGGTTGGAGTGAGGAGGATACCATACTACATATGAATTACGATAGCTGTTGATTACTTCAGGATTTCTCTCTTGTACTTGTACAGTAGTCCTATACACACTTTCGCTCTGCTTTGATGTCAATCCATCTTTATGAGATATCGAGAAGTCCAAAATGTATTATGCCAAGTAGATGCAGTCTAGTGGTACAGTAAGCAATCCGAAATCCACAATCGTAACAGTTGTCGTAATAGGAACACAGCTCTATCTAGTCTAGAAATATTTGTCCCAAAAACCCTTCGTTCCATTTGTCGAAGCGGCATTCTTCTCAATCCCAAGAAGCCTCATCATCAAGTTGTAGATTTCGACGTTCCGGAAGGTATCCATTACATAGGTATTGTCTGAAGTCGAATGCCAACCTTGGCTGGGCTTGTATAGTCGTCGCGCGAAGATATTTGCCTCAGAACGGGCTTGATGAACAGACTTCACCAAAGATGGAAATGATCCATGAGCAACGAACATGGCATGCATAGCGGGATGGTCATTGTCGTAGCCATGGTTCTGCAGGCAGGTCCACCTCATCAGAATCAGCGAGGGGGAGATGATTGATCGTCACGTACCCCTTTGCTCATTCCTGAGCCGTTCTCATCCCGGTTCGTAAGCGCATACCCGACTCTCGGAATAATGTATATCGGAGCGATGCGGTCATTGTGAGCAAAGTGATACCTCTGAGGCATAGTCTCATGAGTGTAGACGTCAAACTTTCCTCCGCTTGCCTTGGCAGCTTTACGAAGGACTTCAAGGTAGTGAGTAGCGTTGACCTTAGGAGAGAATCGAAGTCCCATTGACGGCCAGCCTATCAGGCATGTCAATACATACGATTCAGAATAAACCCGATTTGGACACACCATCCTCATGTTCAATCAGGCCATAGCCGTCACCTAGAATATCATCGATATAGATCCACTCTGGACTACTTGTGTCAGTCATCCCATGATCGCTCACGAAGACAATATCCACGATGTCCGTGAGGTTCCGTGCTTCAAGAGAATCATGTATGTCCTTCGCAAATTGGTCTACTTGACGTAGAACGCGCTAGACAACTGAAGTAAGTAATACAAGCATGGTGCTCAGGATAGAGATCCGTACGTTTACGAGGGGAGACTTCGGTCCAGCAAGGTGTCCTGCCTGATCTAGAGAAGGTTCGTATGCTAGGACAGAAAGAATGTGAGTTGGTATTGCAGGGGTTATTACCGAAGCAAACAAACCCATTATCAGCTGAGGACGCTCCTCTAACGGCAAGTCGATCCATGCCATGATCTGGTCATGTTTCTCCTTCAAAGGAACACGGTCCTGCAATAGTACATCAGATAGATGCGTGACAGATCGGAGAACATATGCACTCACTCTCCAGGGAATGAAGTATGTTGGCGATGTACCTGAGGATGTAGTCGGAGGACCCGGCCTACAAGACTCAGGTTCAGTATCTGTAGGACGGTCAGCATATGTCGGCCGTATCCTTACCACATGAGGTTTGCAGTAATGAGGCCGGATCGTTCTGCTGTCTCCCACATCTGTCATACGTCGATGAGCACCTGAGAGTGTGTGGTGTCTGCCAAAGACATACCGGTTCACCGGTCCACCAGGATGCATTCCATGAACAATCAATCCTATTGTAATGGAACTCCTGGTTGGTATGAGGATCCCAGAAATTCTGATCGCAAGTTGTCAGATAGGAAGTAGCTGCCAGCACAAGGAAATACCGACATTCGCTACGATGCCGTGTGACTCGGCATAGAGACCGGTCCTGAGACACGTCAGAGTTGATACCAGGTCAATGAACTGCGAACTTACATCAGTGCCCAGTGGTTACTGTTGTAACATATTGTCAGCTAATACTGGTGGATAAAGTTTCAAATATTCTCAACTCACGGGAAAGTTAGGGTCTTCGCTCATTTGGACAGAGAATTTAGCATCACACGCTACCTTCAGCGGAGAGGCAAACACTTACGGGAAAGACGGGCTTCATAGCTTTAGCACGAAGTCCCTCTTTACTTATAGCTAGCAGATGAGGAGTAAGGCCTCGATCTAGGTAGCTTGCGCTGGAGTTACGTAAGCGCAACGTAACACCAATCGTTGAATAACCTTGGGCGTACCGCAGGCCGTCGATAGAGACAATGAGCGCAGTCTTCTTGAAGTGATGGGTCCCATTACTACGAAGACGTTGGTTGTCAAAATCTTCATGTGGTTTCGACCGAGGAACAACAGCGGCATATAGCGCTGGCCCGAAAGCAACACCAAGCAGTAGTACGATGATGACCACGGCGGCTGCAGTTAATGTCTTGCGTCTGGTATTATTCTGGGGAGGAATGAATTCAACCCGCTCGGCATCGTCTCCGGATAGCAAGCCCCTACGCTCCTCATCAGCATCATCATGAACTACCTTTCCTGGCAGATTTGGTGGGGAGGCAGCCTTAGTATGCTTCATAGCAACCAGAAGCTAGACAATTAACGCTTTTATGCGTACGCAACTGGCTGCCCACAGACCCAGTGTGCTGAAGCGTTGAAGCAAGAGACAACAGTGACCTGGGCGCCAATACTTTCGGCTCGTGTGTGGATGCAAGTACACTACTATAAAAGGAAGGCTTTGTGTTCGCTGGCGCCCGGGGCGAATCAAGTTCTCCTTGGCCCCAGCAGCCTCTGACCGATGGTCAACCTAGGGCTCTGCCAATACATCGCCGTTTAGGCGTGGCATTTTTTTTCAATGGAACATCCTGCATAGGATACGAGCTACCAGAAATCCAGCTCACAAGCACTACATACAGGAACACATCCACTGAGCACGACTCCCTATGATATACAACCTATGTAAACGGTGATGCGATAGGGCACAGCCAAAACACGTCTCGTTTGCATGTCTTCTATCCGATGGTATATCGCTTCTCTGTTATGGATGTCAAGCAACCTCCAGGCCATTACTCCCAGCTGCCTTCCATGCCATCTGTGTACGATTTCCTAGGTACCGCCGGCGGGACTACAGGGATAACTGAACTGTCACCACGAAAGCAATGAGAAAAAAATGGATGGGATACAAGAAAAGTTCAAAATACCGCTCTGGAATTAATTCGCCAGTCAGCGAACCAAACGTCTGAGATGGTACATCCCCTCTCTAGCAACTGCTACTGTGTCATACACCACACGTTCGGGGGCCGATTCTGAACGCGACCGTAACCTCCAGCGTAAAAGGGTGGTATCCACGCTAGAAATAATATTATGCAACATAAGTATAGCGTCTTCGGCTGTTGGTCTCCGTTCAGGTTGTATGTGCATCATTGCTGTTACCAGCGGTTCCAAAAACTCCAGCCCAGAATATTTCTAGTTAACTTGCATCAATGTCAAAATACAGAACGTGGCAGCACTCACGTCGATGAATTCTTCCTGGTAGACATGCCCTAGAATGTAGATATCCAGCATAAAGGGGTTATATGGCGTATGATCAGATAACTCTGGAGGATCTTTGTCTCTCCCCTTAGTGCCCAAAACGTAGGGTGGATCTCTTTCGCCAAAAACGGAAGATATACCGAAGTCGATGAAGTAATATTTAACGGGATGGTCTAGTCGCGAGAGATGCGGCGCCTCATGAAGGAAGTCCGGGGTACGATTGATTTCTACTGGATGGTGGCCCTGAGGATATAGAGGTCTGCCATCCATCATGATGTTTGCAGCTGCACAGTCCCTATTTCGACATTGGTATTGTTGTTTAACCTTGAAGACAACATGTTAGACAAACCTATGTGCGACTCGAATACTGTGCATAAAATGCAAACCCTACGTCGGATGTATCACATCTTCTCAACGGCAAGCCGTTGCTCTGGAACTTACCTCAAGAGTTTGCTTCACAAATTCCACAGCTTCCCCGATCGCATTAAAAGGTGGGTCGTTGAACGGCCTCAAGTATGGCATTACCATGAGGGCCTTGTCGGGGAATACGGGATCAGGTAGAATGTCGAGGACTGAGACGCAGTGATTGGCAGGATTTCGTACGACCTGAGGAGATGACACCAAACGAGCAATTTTTACTTCGTTGCTAGCGTCTTTAACTACCTTGATAGACACTAAAAGATTGTCTTTCCGGCGAGTAGCATCGATCACATGATCATGCTGCACGGAGAGCATTTAAGCGGGTAAAACCGAGTATAAGGCGTACTACGCACCCGAGATATAATGGAATCTTCACATGAGAAAGGGTCTCGGTTATGACCTAGCCAAGAGGGTCTCCAGCCTGTCCTGTAGCGTTGTCGAAGGATATACCCGCGCTCTTCAAGGAGAGATTGACGATCGGACCAAGCACGTTCTGAGGGAAGAAGATCCCAATCGCCCTCCTTGGTCCATTGCGCGTACATTTGGGCATCCTCTGGGCTGCAAGTAGCCTGGATGGGTATGTTCAACAACCAACCGCTCATAATCTAGTGAGATCCTGTACACATGGGTATAGCCCACGAAAACGCGGCAAGAGAACTGCGTATACGGTGACATGTCGCGCGCAGAACTTGATCGGCTCGTTCCGTACTTACCATTTGTGGATGTTTTCCACCAAGATCGACCAAGATGATCATTTCCCAAGCCGGTAGTAATTCTGTTCGAAAGTTCATGCAGGCTGTTGCAAGTTTTACGTGATATTCCTTCTAGTACTCGGCATTCCTATGTTGAAGGCATACTCACGCGCAAGGCCTGGTCACAGTGCTGCAAGATGGTTGTTGTAATCCACCGGGGTTCCATGATGCCACTCTTCAGCTTTCCCTGGTATCCGCTTGCCAATTCTACCCATCTTTTGCACAGCCCAGTCCCAACACGTTCCATTTGCATGTTGAAGAATGTCTGATGAGAAGCTGCAAGCTCTCACATAACCTTTGAAGCAACCGTGCAGATGGTTGCTTCATTTACTCCTGACACTCACTGACATCTTACTCCTAGTCGATGGCTTCCGCGTACGACATCCTAGGTGCTGTTCTTGGTGTCCTGGGGACAATCGGCACCATCCAACTCATCTACTCTCTCGTACATTTTAATCTTCCCTCTCAGCGATTGAAGGATCTGGATGACACTTTGAATGGTACCATCCACTTCCTCTACACTGCGATAGAAGACGGTCTCCTCCCGGATGTAGTCTTTGTGCAAACCACCCAGCGCAGGCTCTCATTGTATACTGCCTTCATCTGTTCCTTTAACAGGGTTTGACATCCCCCACAGGTACCGGAATCTTACGGAACGGCTGCGGACACGAGTGCACTGCGCCACAAACTTCCGTCAGCAATGCTCTGCAATGGCAAATGGCCTATCGAGCCGCATCAACTCTCTTTGCGGAAGGGTGAAGGCTATTCGTGCAGACATCTCAGTAAGTCGATGTGGCGCATTGGCGGCCACGACGTCTGACCTCCCGAATCAGTCAGTCAGCGAGAACACACGAAGACTGTTGGAAGGCGAAAATCATTGCAATGATGATAATAGCTCGATCGGAACTATTCAGCAAAGCTCTGTGGCTATTACGACCTTTGGTGAGAACGTTCGCTTAGCAGATGTTCATTTTAGGCTCTTCCATCTCATTTTGCGCATGCAGGGAAATCAGGTATTCATCCTCCACTTACAGGTCGGCTACAAATCCTAGAGGATGAACCTGTTCCCGGGATTCACATCGCACCTCGTACGTTCTGCAGATCGTTGTTTCCTATAGAGAGACTCAAGTAGAATCTTAGCTCCTCCCGTTTACACCCGATCTGTCAGGCAGCACTGTCATTCCCCACCTGCAAACCATACAGTCCTGAACCTTGCTCCAGCTGCCCTGAATGCCGCATTTATGGACTCATATTTTCATACTCCAAATGACACCGATCGGCTGCTAGACCTTCCCATCACTACCCGGAGTATCGATCGTGGGCAACTTGACTCGGATAAATTCGAACCTACTAAACAGGATACCGAAACCTCTCTTCCATCCGTTATTTCTGAAGTTGACTTGGATCGAATCTCCAATGTTCTGGCTACTGCGCTCACTGCCGTACGAGAACTTCAAGAACTGAAGCAGAGGCATGAGTCGATGAGCGAGACAACAATGACTGTTCATCGTAAGTTAACGCTGGCTTGGTTTACAGGCCACTTACATGATATTTTTCTCCGCAGTTAATGCAGTCAAGTGGTAGAAATTCTGGTTGATACTGTATCGCAAGTCAGTGACGTTTTCGGCCATGTCGAACCTTTTCATCTATGCTCCTCGCAGGTCTTGTGCTGTCATTCTCACACTCCGTTATCGACATGCCTACTATGCTAGGCTACTTGCTTTGCTTTGCTTTATTTTCATCTGCTTTCCCGGCTCGTTACGTCGTCTGTGCTTTCTCGCTTTCGTATGCATGTCTTATAAAATACTATCTTCTGGCACGGCGCGTCATTGCAGCTAGGCTTGTTTGTGGTCGACTTCGCGTACATCGGAACTTGTCTTCATTTGACCGCCTTTCCATTTTTTAATTTATCCACTTTTCTGCTATCGTCGTACTGTTTTCCTTTGTTTTTGTTTGCTTTCTTCATCGTTTTCGTCGTCTATGTTAATACCTCAGTCTCAGTTCTGGGCATCGTTACTTACTGAACGTATGGAGTTTCTTCAGGCCGATTATTGGAACCTTTCCACATTTTTGTATGCCAAGTTTTCTCACAAAGGAGCTAATGCTGTATTCATCAAACACATTAGAATTTAGTGACATGATTGAATGTGAAAGGAGGAAACTGTCCATATACTCAACGCGTAACCTGGGTCGTTGCCATCTGAGTTCGACCCGCTGGGGGTTCAATTCACCCTCAGCGCATGCCATGAAAATTTGAATGCAACTGTCACTTCCTTTTCATTAATTCGATCGTTGTGCGTATGATTCAGGCTTTCAAGATTCAATATCATTCAATGCGAAGTTACTGGGTAACTACAAGTCCTAGCAAGAGCCAAAGGCATGTTCATTTTTTATAGCACCAACTGCACATTCGCGGTCTGCAAACTATCTTTAGCTATGTTGCGAATCGTATTAACCTCAGTCTCTGGAAGCATCACGTTTGGGTCATCGCCAAGTATCGTTCTCAGTGAAGCTGCCGCTAGCAGGCGTGTTGATCTGTCTATTAGGATCTGACTCCCAAGTAACTTGGCCGTTGAATTTGCGAATGAACTTGTATTGAACGCTGGTGCTAGCCGGAAGGTTGACGGTGGCTACGATCGAGCGAGTCGTCAACAGAAAGTAAGCAAGCCATATGAGTATGTAACACGTACTGCTCCAAGTTGGGTAGTTCGCCGCCGACAAGAGGAGCGCGGTGTCAGGGGACCAATTCTGCAAAGCGTCAACTGAACCAGTGAGATAGATGTTCTCTGCAGAATGTGCGTCAATGACTGAGAGATGAACGTCAAACTTAGCTAGCTACCCCCAAAGACCGTAGTAGCTTGAACGTTGAACGTAACAGGGACAGTATCGCCACCTCCTCCACCGCTGTTAGAGGAGCAACTAGCAGGGACAATCAACCCGGCAGCACCCCACCCGGGGCTCGCCTTACCAGCCCTCGCGTCAAAGGCCGTCAACGCAGAAGCGTAACTCCAAGTCAAGTCAACGGCGCTGACCGGGGCTCCGGTGTTCCTACTGTATTGCTCAGCCAGTGCCCCATCAGAAGGAGTGAAATTGGCGTTGACAGCAATGAATCCATCGGCAAAGCGTTTGACAGCGCTGGTGAGGGTTGTGAACGTGGCGCTAGAGGAGTCGTAGGTACCGACAGCAACAGAAGGGGAGAATTGTTGGAAGAAGGCGAGGGAGGTGGAAGTGACGTTGAGTGAACCTTGGGCGTCCCAGACGATGAGGGCGTCGTAAAGCTGTTCAGCGACGGCGAAGGTAGCGAGATACCAAGGCTGTTAAATGTAAGATTATTAGGACCGAAGTACTATGTTATTTATTTAAATTACTCACGTTACCACCCATGTAAGAATCCTCAGGATAACGACCAGTGGCGGCGGCGGCATTCGCAGCAATGCCACTGTTGATAGTGTAGATAGAACGGAACCCGTCGACATAGACTTTGAGGTTAGACAGCGCCTTGTCAGAGCAAGGTTGGAAAGTGACAACGTCGCAACCAGCAGAGGGGTCAAAGGTGTGGATAGACGTCAGCACGGTATTGGCGTCTTTGCCAGACCGGCCACCACCAGTGTTGGCGGTGACGTATGCGCCGGTGGGGTTCCAATATGACTATGAAGTGCGGACAATTAACACTGTGACGATACGTTGAGCAAAGATGACGATATTTACTTGCAAGAAGCAAAGAAGGTTGTCGGCCTGGGTATCATAGTTGCTAGCCACGGAAGTTTGACCAATGGCCGTAGTGAGCGCCGCTCCCTCTCGCAAAGCGCGGTGTTGGACAGCCGTGGTAAAGAAAGAAGCAGAACTGATTTCTTCCCAGAGATCGAAGCTGAGACGAATACTCAATATTCGTAGCGCAAGAACTCTTAAGAAACGTACGTAGACTGGTTCCAGTTAGAAGCAACGTAGTCGAGGTCAAGCTTTATGATGGGCCAGAGGGTGTTGGCTACGAAGCTACTATTGCCGTTAGCACGAAGCCAATTAGCATAGCTAATGATGGCGGTAGAACGCAGGGCAGGGCCATCTGGATGACATGTCAGCATGAAATATGAAACAGGCAATACTAGGTTTTACCTCGTTGAGGGCGACCCCAGGCTCCGGTGAACGCTGTCTCGTCGATATTGAATTTTGGCTCGCCAAGGCCGCCAGAACTGACCGTTCCACTAGGGTTGGAGACTTGCTGAAGAGTCGCCTCGGAAATGACGAAATTGTCAATGTGGACTCGGAGGGACGTATCTTCGCCCGATGTGAACTGATCGATCAAGGCTTTGAAGACGAGGGACGAGTCGCGAGTCCAGGTGAACAAATAGTCCGGGTCACTGGTGCTCGGACTAGCGATGACGACGCCAGGCTACACAGACACGAGAATGACCTTTCAGAAATGCGTCTGAGTGGACGAAATGTTAAAGTGTGCACCTTGGCACCTTGAGATTTGGCACCATTTGGACCGATGTTCGCAAGAACGCCAGCCTTGGCAATAGGCGATTCAGAGGCTACATATGAATCAATGGTCCCAGACTGTGCAAAGGCAGAGCCAATGAGTGTCAGTGCCCAAAAGACTGACGAACGCATTTTTAGAGACAAAGAGGACAATGATGGATCCTGACCTTGAGGACAACTTGGTGTACCTCTTCTATACTGAAATAGGCGTACCACTCATCGACAGTCAGCAGACCAGCCGCGTCAAGTTTCTGACATTGCAAACTGTGACCGCCATATGCATTCTGGTCATGCTGTCGGTCGCAAGCGTGGACGCAAAGCAACGCAATAAGATGGCAAAGAACTACGATCCACACGGTCAACATCGTCCTCGCTACCCGGCGGTAAGTTTTAAGCAGGCGCGCAAAGCTTTTATATGCCGGCACCACGTGGATATTATGCTTTTCGGCTCATGACCTGACACTGAAATCACTTGAACGGACATGGTCCATGAGGTTATTGTGTAGCCGTCACTGAAGTGGAGACGATCTCCTATATTTATGTTCTAAATCGACACACGTTGATTGATGCGATATACTCAACCCATCCCATGATATACAAGTTCGGTGGAACCGGTAATCCTTTCTCCAAACTTAATCTCCACGATTCCTCAGAGTAGGTACCCGTTACAGTACTTCGTCTTACAACTGACAGACAAGTTACGCTTTTCAGCGCTTGGCGATATTTTGTTGAGGCCTGTGAACCACGAGACTTTCCTATCCTGGAAAAACCACATGGATTTTCGTCGATCCATGCTCAGTTTTCTTGAGACATTGTGCACGCTGCGGATACGCTCGGTAAATGCTTGGGATCAACAAGCGCAGCGGTCACGAGAATGCCTAGACCCATCTTACTGTTCCGCTGAGAGAGAAACGAGCATGGACGAGCAAATCGAGCAAATGCTTTGTGACGCAAAACCCCTCCCATCATCAATTAGGATGAACCCGTAATACAGAAGTGTACTGATATAAGACTAAATATGAATAAAATACGTTCTGTTCGATGATTATGGTAACTTTTGCACGATCTATGATCGTTTTGTCCGACTCCGGCTCGACCAACATGCGTGTATGAGCGCACCACCTAGTGCCCAAGATACAATCACAAGCGCTACGACTCCGCATACGTATCCGTAACCAATCGAACTGGATGAGGGTGTTGATGTTCCAGTAACGGGGAGGTTTCGGGTGACGCAGGCTTGAGTTCAATCATGATAAAATCCTGAGAAACACCAGGATAAACCAGGCTGATCTCTCGATAAATCGCAAAGAATACACATACCTTCAACACCAAGGGACCACTGTTGAATCCGCCGACAGTAACATCACCGTTACACTTCAATTCGCCTTCCCAGTCTAACGCCTGCTCGGCATATGACTCTGCACCAGGACACGCGTGATACTGTGCTTGGACCGGGTACATTTTGCCCTCTCCTAGGACGATGTTGCGCCAAGACTTCGTACCGTTCACCTTCACCAAGATTTGACGCAAGAGATAAACCCGAACAGTGGGCTTGCCCCTCGAGGTGTCCACATACCAAGGTAAGGAAGGATCGGGTTTGAGGGGAGACGGAGGGGGCTCTGGGAGTAATGGGTTTGAGGAAGCACGTGTAATGAAAGGCAAGGAGACCGCAAAAGAAGACAGATGTGATTCTGCTGGTGACTCATACGACACAGAGAGCGTCTTCGCGCGACGAAGAGCAGCATTTCGCGCTTGAGGCGAGGATTCCGGGCTGAAGAGGAAGGCGTTAAGGGACGCTTGGGATCCTTGGAGTTGTAAGTGGAAAGGTATCGTGTCAGAGATCGCGTAAATCTGAACTGCCGGGATGAACAGCTAGAGGGAAACACGAGATACGTTTCAGACAGGAGGTATCCGGTCAGAAGAGGAGGTGAAACGTACATGAGCTTCGATCGATCCTATTGTCGCGCCACTACGGGGTTTGATCGTGGATGACACTTGGTGCCAATCCCCAGGGGCGCACTTCACGGTAGACAAGAATGGATGGAGTCCGCAGCCTATTGGTAAGTAAGGGCGCGAACGAGGATGATAATTGATGGGCACAATCATGCTGGAAAAAGATTCAGTGAGTCAATATGTTCGGCGTCGAGAGTTCGGATACGTACCGTTTGTGCTTCTTGAATCCGCCTAGGCGGGGTTTCGTCACCGTAACTGTTAGAGTGTATTCGCAACGGATGGAAACGCCAGGGACCGACGGGGATTCCGCGGTGAACGTTGGCGGAAGGGGACGAGTCTCTTTACCCTCACGGTACGTGTTAGGGAAAGGGATGTCGAACGGTAATATTGCAGGCGAGAGTGAACAATATGGATGTTCTGACTTCGACCACAATGTAATGGACTCAGTGAATAGATGGGTGTTGGAGGATCCGCTCTCAGAAGAAGACACGAACTGTCGGCCATCGAGCTGTATATAGTGATGAATAAAGAAAGACAAGGCACTGCGGACGTCCATGACGAACCTTTAGAGAAACTGATTGAATGCGTTCGTCCTCTAATAGGATGTCGCCTTTCACAGAGGCATGGCGTGTGTAGGTTGGAATGGAGGTACCACTCTCTTGTTCCGTCAACACAAGGGTGATACCCTTAGCAGCCTTGAGAAAGGTGCCATCAGGAGCAACGCGTCGATGGCTGCGTGCAGAGAAGTCAAGACAACGTTCGTCATACGATGGCTCCGCGTGGTAAGAGGGAACTGAAGAGGACGGTGAGTATGCAGGTAGAGTGTCCATGGAGAGTAGGGATGTTGCTGCGGCGATGGTAGCGGAGACCAAACGCGAAATGGAAGTGGAAGGTAGGACAGGAGGCGCAGGTGAATGAGCCGAGCCTATATATGAACTTTGAATCCGACAAGGCGGCAGCATATAATAAAGGGGTTCGAGGCACAGCTTGACATCTCCATGGCCAGACAAATAAGAAGCCAAGGGTATTGTTGATGTAACGGCCGTTTCCTGTGCTCTGACCAAACGGATGTCCCAAACAGAATCATAACATCAGGATGAGATCCCCATAAGCCTATCCGTTGTACGACAGTTGCGGTAAAAGAAGGTTCGAATAACGCGCATAGGCTGTTCAGATCACCGAGAGGCTTCCACGAGTCAGATTATTGAATATTGCAGGCCAATAGCGCAGCCGCCAACCTAGTCATCCAAAGTCATCACAGTCGTCTAAGTTATTAGCGTTCACTGTAAACGCCCGGTGCCACCCACGCTAGCCTTCGGTGCCACTTAGCTAAGCAAGGGTCAAGAAAATACTGCGAGTTGGTCTCCAAGCTCACAGTGTACTTGGCCTAGCATTTCGTTTGCAGAGCAGTAGTCAGCCAGTGGCGACACGATGGCGAGCGGGTAGGTATGACGAGTATCTCTTGGATAGTCCATTTGTGGCGAAGCGGAAGGTGGAATATAGTATGTCGGAATCTATCCCGACAGGTGTAGAAGGAAGGCCTGGTCCGACAACAGAGCAACCGGAGGAAGGCAAAAGATTCGCGTCCAGCGATTGACTCGTTGCACCGGCATCAAAGTTCATCCAATCTCATCTAACCGTATAAGATCGGGATCTTAGTAAAAAAGTCATGTTCAAGGAATGACAATATAACGAGCAATATTTACGAAAGCGAACTGAAAGTATATATGAGCTGACAAACGTGAAGATCTTGGTGTCCTAATAATTGTTCCCTGGCTCGACCAATGTCGTGACCAACGTCTACCAGACCTGTAATTAAATGAAGGTGAGTCGGCCGAACGAAGACAACACGAGGAAGAGCTAGTAATATCACAGAGATCGAAAATGTCAGCATCCATACAGAGCTTGTGTACAACAGAACGTTCGCGCGAAGAAAAGCAGAGCAAATTATACAAGCATACAAAGGTCCGTCCCTTAGTGCAGTCAAATCAATGAGACCATCTGTCCGTAGCCCCCAATCCTGGAGGTCACCGACGACTTGAGGTTGAAGTTGGTTCAGATTCGCGACCTTCCTCAAGTCGTGCCAACGTCTCCTCCAACTGAATCGCCCTATGTGCATCCACTCTCTCCTCCCAGGCTGAATCATGACTCCGGTAACTGACAGGCCGATCGCTCCTCCGACTAAGGCCGCTCAACCAGCTTCCTCGCACAGTACCCTGAGATTCCCTCACGCGTTCTCGCGTTCTCTGCGCGCGCAAGTTCTCTCCGATGAACCCAGAGAGAAGAAGCGTACTTCCCCGCGTGTTTCCATACGCAGGAGGTGGAGGGACTGCGATGATATTGTCTTCCACATCCCCAGTCCCATGACCGCTCTGTGCAAGCGCTGCAGCATAGTTTGGAAGCGGCGGCCGACTCCATGGGGCTATCCCAAGTGTCATTCCACCAGGGTTACCCAATCGGTTTCGTGATGATGGGAGGATACCTCCAGGGTGCTTATGAGCGTATCGCTCAGCACGTACCCGGAAGATACTTCGCTCGAGGAAGACGATTTGCAGCAGCGTTATAATGGCGAAAGCAATATGAACGAAGATAAGCGTGGAATTGATACCCAGAGGTCCTGAGCTATTATTAGGCATACGCTTTGCAACGACAGCCCAACCAGCAACTGTCCCGCCTATCGCTGAGAGTTGCAGCAACAGTATCCCGAGGGAAGCCAGGCGTACACCGCCCACTTTTGGTAGGTTTGAGAACGAAATGAGACTATGCTTGCCCATGGAATTCATGGAGGAGCCGTCGGACGATGCATCACTAGCACGAGAAGAGGGTGCCTGTGGTGCACTCGCATCTGGAGGATGGTCTGCAGGATGTCGACCAGGTAACAAGGTAGTGGAAGTCGATGGTGTTTGACTTTGAGACTGGTGGTCTTCCCGATAGCCAATCTCTCCACGTTTGAAGGGCAACGGACCAGCTTGAGCCCTCACTGTTTCAGTCGATGTCCTGTTTCTACTACCACTCCCACTTGCACTCCCACTTGCCTCTCCACTACCAATAGTTTCCTCTGAACCCAAATCTCCCTCTCCCCCCGACAAAGCAGATGCGTTCGACGCCATCTGTCCCGCTGTATGTCGGACACGTCCAGTGGATGAGTTGAAATGAGCGACAACTTTATGCTTGCACCTGGCACAGCGGAATCAAGGACATGTAACACCAGTACTGTCGGGAAAGAAAGAATCCTGTGAGGAAGGAAAGGGGTATAAAAAGAGGGAGGCTATCTGCTGTACAACAGCGATAGCGAACTGTTAAGGGGGTTTCTTGGGGGTTCCTGTCCATCTGTCACGGCGAGCGAATGAACTGCTACGCATGGGTGATCGGGGCTTGCCGGCTGTTGTTAGGTTTCATAGCGAACGGCGCCGACATGGTCAATCCATAGAGAATCCATGCCGTACGACGTGTAGAGGTCTTTCTTCACCCACCTAGGTGCCTGTATGCTCTGAAGAAAAGAAAGCTTCAATCATCGTGAACGCAACGTGCGATAACACGCACGCGCGAGAATTTGGAATATCACCGTCGTACATGTTCCTTCTCGACCGCCACTAGATACCGCCGCGACGCGATAGTTTCTCAGATTGCACTTTGTTCGACAAGATCCTCCATAGATCCTCGAAACTGAGGCAATTATATCCTTACACTGCGCGTTCCAAATTTCTCGACGCTGCTGTCTCTGCGCTACACTAATTCAGATTCGAATCATTCCTGACAAGTACCTGTCGCGAAGGACGCACCGTCACTTATTCAATCTTGACTGCCTACTATGCCTCCTGGGGTGGAATACTATTGCCCATGTCTGTCATCAACTCCTCATCCTCCGCCATCCTCCCTAGCATCCTCCTTGTACAGCTTCCACCCACTGCATAGTCTGTTCTTCTGCGAAGAATGTGACGCTGTTAGATGTAATCGCTGTGTAATGGTGGAAGTCAGTGGGTACTATTGCCCTAACTGTCTATTCGAGGTGCCTAGTGCAAGCGTTCGCGCAGAGAAAAACCGGTGAGCAGGTACTCTGTACGCGTATTATTGCTCATACTTACGACGCGAAGATGCGCGCGGAATTGCTTCATGTGTCCCAATTGCCAGAACACGCTTACAGTTGTAGCCTCAGACCCGCCGGACAATGGTGAAACTCGAACGTCACCTATCGTACTCAGTGCAGTGGGAGAACCACCGTTCTTTCTCTATTGCAATCACTGTCGATGGGACTCTGCCGAAGTGGACATGACGTTTGAGAAACCTACCGGGTTGGCTGGTGAGCATGATCCTCTTCTCGCTCTCTAGTATTGTCATTGATTAGTTTCAGCTCAACTACAAAAGTTCGAAGATTCTGCCCCAGAAGCCCTTGAATTCGAGCGTCTGAAAGAACATTTTGAGCCATTCTTACGTGCATCCCCGTCCTCCTCTACCCTCCCGTCTAGCTCACATCATCATCTAAATCCTATCACAGCTGCAGCTTCTTCCGCCCTGGCGCGTGACATTCCCGGAGTGGTCAAGTATAACCCTTTGACTCGAAGCCGCTCTGGTCGAGATCGAGCGGCCGCCAAAAGCGAAATTCCTGATTACCGAGCGCGAGTTGAGGCAGGGTCCAGCCATGGTTTGGCGTCGGGGAGTGGAGGCGAAGTGGATGTGGATTTCATGAAACATTTGGAGACCGCGGGTGAGGTTGCTTCACTTGAACAGCGTTGGGTGAATAGTTGGACAACGTCGTTACATGCAAAGTACGTCTTGTTTGTTATGTCGATCTTTCACATTCCGCTCAAATTAAACTGTTTTAGTGACCTGAAACCACTACGCATCCCTCTTCATTCCAAGAAATCCAAACGTTGTCCAAGTTGTCGCCATATCCTCATCAAACCCGAACAGAAAGCCCAGTCCGTCCGTTTCAAGATCAAATTAGTCGCAGCCAACTACCTCCCCGCAATCACAGTCAGCCTTCCTCACGCTCGCGCCGCAATGGAAATGATCAAACGTTCTTCAGCGCTGAACAAGTCCACTTCAACCGCAGTCGCAGAGGAGCACGCTGCTGCTGCGTCCGGAGCGATGATTGCCGGGAAGACGTATCCTTTCCATTTGGCATTTACGAACCCACTATACGATCCCATCCAAGTGCGCCTTCATGTCCAACGTACACTTACACCCTCTTCGGCCGATGGAAAGCAGAAAGCGCCGTTCGCGGTCACATTGCCGTCGTCTGCATTTCCCATTGCTGCGTTTGCGGAAGCTTGGGAATATGAAGATGACGAAGATATGTTCGGTGATGAAGGTGATTATGACGGTGCCAGAGGAACTAAGGACCGAGATGGACGTGCGAGACCGAGGACTGTTGGGGTACTCGAGCGGAGAGCTAATGTGACTGTGGTTGGTGGTGAGGTCGTTCTCGGGAAAGAAGCTCGAGGTAATATCAAGGTACGTAAGGTCTTAGTCTCATTTGACTTGGGGTTGTTACTGAAATTTCTGCGTAGTTCAATATGCTGGTAACGTATACTTACCGGTCGGACGACCCTGAACCCGAGAATGATGACCCTACTGCGACACCTTCCAAGAGGGGAACGCAGGACAAACAACCTCAGATGAAGACGTTCTCGTTTTATACAGTGGTCGAGCTGGGAAATATCATACGTAGGGAAGAGTCGAAGGTGGACATGGATCCATGATATGTTCGTACTCACTGCGTTTGAGTTATTGGCAATTTCCCTCTGGCGTTGTGCTGTTTATCCTTGTGTCCTCTTAACACGATGCTTTGTGAAGCATTGTCTTGAACCCCGGCTAATTGTGACTTCATAAACATCTCCCTTCCTAGTGACGTCAGCTTTCGAAATCACATATCAACGGCTGTCTTACCCTGCATATTCCTATCTATCTCTGGTTCCTTGTACCTCAATCCACTGCGAACCATTGCCTGCACCTGCGACGTCTGCTTACGTCTTCCTTTTCTGGCTCATTATCTCTTTATGCATGGTCGGCTTGTTGTCTCGGCTGCGCTTCTCCAAGAATATAGTCAGCCGTATAGGTTGATCTTGCTTAGCTCCCGCGCTTCAGGCGGACAGAACGCAAGAGACAAGTTTGTATACTTTCAGCATCCGATCTTGGCTAGCGCAGCAGTATCATGCGAAAAAGTAGATTATCCTTCGAATTACAGGGCTAACTCGAATAGCAACGCTGCCCTAGGAAAGCCCTATCACGTCTGCGTTTATGTTTTGCTACTTGTGGAACTTTGACATTCCTCGACATCCAGAGCACTCTAACAGTCGATAGAAATCTACCCCGCAGCAGGCTCCATAATACGATATACGCTATAGATTGTGTGTGCAACCTTCCTCCCATCTGCAGATTCTTGCACGGACAAGTTTTATTTATCTAGATCTGAGTTCGGGGCGTTCGATGTGCCAATATCTGTAAGTGCGTTGCGTCCCGATCGTCTAGACTCTACACAAACGATTTACTGGCCAAAGGAATAGAATACAAGTTGCAACTAGTATGCCACGGTATCGGTCGAGACGTTTATAGTCCTTGTCACGGGATGCAAGAAACCTTCTGTGGTCGGTGCAGATGCAATGCAGAGTGAGGAACATTTTGGCACCATGCCATCTTATTGTCTGTCCCCCAGGCAGATTTTTGATGGAAGCTTACGTTTCCGGACGCTGATTGGTCAACCCGCCCTGCAGAGTTTAAGTCTGTCGTCCGAACAGGCCCATTGACATCCTGTCTGCATGGACTCTTCCTAGAAGGCAGACACGCTCATGTTTGCCGTGTGTAAATTACAAGGACAGGAACGCTGTTGGTATGAACCCGGACTGATCGAGGATCACTAATCTAATCAGTAAAACAACGCCTTCGGCTTGTTCATCGACGCTCCCATGACAGAGCCACTTTCCAATCAGCTGGACATTGTCAAGCAACCGGAGCGCACTGCAATATGGTCCATATATACTCACATGGCTCCAGGGCCTCCTTTTCTCCCTTTTCTTACAGGTTAATCTTCCCCTTTTGTGGCGCAGAGAAGTCTGGTGCGTGCTGGCTATTCAAATACCACAAATTGCAAACTTGTTCTGATTCCCACAATGGCGTCAAATAGTTTGGACTATTCAGTTATCGATCCATAGTATCATCCCTAAGGCCTACGGACTTTGCTAAGCAACGTCACGATGGCCCTGGCGGGATGGCATCGAGGAGAACGCGCTATCCAACAGAAGCTTGGATTTGATGGACCCATGAGCACCGCATACACTTGGATCGAGGGCGCTATGCCCTATGAGCATCAGCTCTTTCATTCCACACGTCTACCCTTTGTTTCGGTAACCGCTGTTGATGACCTGGGTCGCCCGTGGTCCTCAATATTTGCAGGTTCTAATGGTCAATCTGGATTCATCAGAAGTCCGACGTATGATAAGCTGATCATGGACGTTCACTTGTGGGAAGGGGATCCCTTCATTGAGAATGCGAAACTATTTGGATCAAAGAGAATGCTTGCTGCCGGAATCGGAATTGAGTTTTCGACACGGAGACGCAATAAGTTTGCGGGGCACATCTCGAAACTGGATGATAAGGGCGATACTATCTTTCATCTCGAATTTGAGGTAAATCAAGCTATTGGGTATGTTTCTGGAAGGAATGCTCCCTCTATTTACTGATTAATTCTCGGCGTACATAGGAACTGCCCGAAGTACATCAACGCTCGTGACTTGATCCCACATCCAGATACCCACCCCACGGTCGTTCACCGACATACGCGACTAAACGCAGACGATCGTCTTCCGCCTGAACTCATTGAGTTTATTCATACTTCGGATACTGTATTCCTAGGGTCGCATTATCACGCAACAAAGGAAGACGAGCTGTGGTTTCCGTCACATGTAGGCCAAAACCAGCGCGGCGGGCGGCAAGGCTACATTCGAGTCCGACCAAGCGACAATAGGACCATCGTCCTCCCAGACTACTCTGGTGCGTTCTATCATTTTCTTTTCATGTTGTCCTATCTAATTCCATAAACAACGCCGTTGTAAAAGGCAACCGTCTGATGACGTCTCTCGGAAATATCGAAGCTACACCTGTTGCATCCCTCACTTTCGTCTCATTTACAACCGGAGACATTCTCTACATTACGGGAGAAGCCCATACTCTCATAGGGACTCCGGCCCTGAAATTGATGCCACGCCAGGATGTGCTCACGACCATCTATGTGACTGGATATATTTTTGTCCGAGACGCACTTCCTGTCCGACAACGTCCAGGCTCTGAAGTGCAACAGAGCCCTTATAGCCCTCCCATCCGCTTACTCGCTGAGGAAATGACTTCTAATAATAGGCCAAAGTTCTCCGATGACATTTCTGTGACTCTCACTTCTATTGACCTTCACAGTAACGATGTCGCTACCTTCACATGGGAAGCATCTAAACCGCTGTCGATCATCCCAGGGCAAGCAGCCATTTTAGACTTCACAGACCTGGTTGGTGCACGGGAGTACCAACACATGGCTCCTTTTAAACCGTCTTCAGTCAACGACGATCGGATTCGTACCTGGACTATCTCCAGTGCCCAATCGTTCCATACGCAAGCTATCCAAAGTCGAATAGAAGGGACAAAGACGTTCTCATTGACGATGCGTGAAAAGCCTGGTGGTGCCGTTACAGGCGCCCTGTTTACCATCTCGCGGAAGCTCAAAGCTGCAAAGCCAGAGTTTTTGAAAGACGCAAGCCCCCTTGGGTTGAAAGTCAAGTTAATTGGGATCAGTGGGGATTTCATCTTGAAGGCGCCACAAGTTCCTTCAACTGTGCTAGTGGAGCGCTCGACCATGCAGTTGCTCTGGATCGCAGGTGGCATCGGTATAACGCCTTTCCTTAGCATGCTCAGTGCTATTGTCGGTGGTTCGACGGATGAGTCGTCTACGGAATATGATATAATATTTCTCCTTGCGACTCGCGAACCTGAAGTCCTCCTTCCTCTTATCTCCCGTGTCCTCAACCTCTCTTCAATTTCAGCCAACACCCCCACCGCATCTCGTATCCACCTCAAGCTAGACGTGTTTTCACACAATCCCATCCCTTCGTTCGACTCGCCACCAAACCCGGATGAAGTCAGGATGGAGTTTAGCCCTCGTAAGGGTCGTCTCGACAGTAAATTCTTCAATGAGCTGCGGGGCACGGATATTGTGAGTAGAAGTGCGTACCTGTGTGGACCTGAAGAGTTTGAGAAGAAGATTTTGGAAATGTTGGAGGAGGTCAGTGTGGATAGGACGAAAGTGAGGAGAGAGGGGTTCGAGTATTGACTGAGCACCGAAGAAGCTGGTACGCAAATCCAATACATGGATTTTATTCAAACCGCCGCATTACTTACTGCCCTTTTATTTCCTTGTTAAATTAGGTTTATATTGGATTTGTCTTGAAGCGACATCCACGGCGGTGAATTTGCCGAATGCATTCCACGAATACTTCACCTTCCTGTTCGAGGGGTCACATGGTGACACAGATTATGAGTTGGTCGATCGGGATCGGTCGAGATCGAAACCTTTGACAACCTGGTCAGGGGAGGATAAGCAGTGCTTCAAGTTGGCTTCAAGACTACGTTCTGAACACAAGGAACAGGTTTTTGTTCCTGGGTGTATGGTACACTCTCCTCTCACCAACCTCTCCGCGGACCACATTATACATACATACATCGGTTCTTGCAGCAATCCGGTGGAATGACCTTTCTACCGTGTGGTACAATATAAATATATATGTTCCACGGACCTGCCATACACATGCGCGCATACTGCAACAACACTCGTAAGGATCGAGATAAGTTATATGTTTGGGGGTGTAGAATGGGCAAGTCGTAACGACAGCGAGAAATGTCCGTCCGACAATTCACCTGTGCCCTCATTCGTACATCTCAGTCCTTGATTTACATACTTTGACATACCCAGTCTGATATACTCTGATAGCAGTGAGTCAAAGTCATGATCATATGCATTCAGCGTACGTACAAAGGCACAATCGAAGCGGCTCAAATACCTTACGCTACACGGTTAAACCACGGGTAGTAACTGTTAATAGTGACAGCTTAATATAACATAGTAGAGTTACCGCCTGAATAACGTTTGGTAACTTCGGAGAAGGGAAGGTAAAAGGGGGCAATGAGGAATGGAAAACGAGGTCGGGAGGACAAAAGGAGAAGGAGAACTGGGTTTGCCCGCGCAGGAACTTCGGAGAGGGATGTCATCGCTGACGACTCAAACAGGATTTATGGGATGTAGGCGGAAAGGCAGCATGTACATAGAAGGGCAACAAGATGACATAGGTATGTGAGAGTCGACTATGAATGTCTCTAGTTGAATGAACTTTCACAAGGCGTCACAGATGATTCGACAAGTTCAATACAAATGTTATGAAAAGTGTGGGGAAGAGACTTCCCCGTGGGGAATACATCATAGGTATTAGTAAAACCCACCTACGTAGTAAGTACTGAATCGATTGTGTATATTTGATCGGATACTTGCGAGATTAATACTGAGATGCAAATTGCCATGCTCTAGTAAGTAGATAAGTAGACTTTAAGCTACAAGCACTACAGACACCGAACGGACCGTCTGATGTGCTCAGAATATGTGAGTTCGTGACCTACGTGAGATTGGGAAGGTTCTATACAGACATTCGATTTCGCATGCCATGTCGCACGTTCCCGCATGACGACGTTGCTTATACCGGAAGGTCGGAGACATGCGAAGATGGTGAGTGTGAAGACAAGGGGTACCGGTGAGGTCCTTAACGCCTTGAGGGTATTACTGATCCTGATGCTCTGGTACGAGGCTATTAGGAGCCAGAGTACGTCGCGTTGGGGATACGGGAATGAACATGAACATGAAAAGATGATCCTGTAAGCATCAGACATATTCTTATTGTACGACGGGGACCTGAAACCCCCTCTAGAGCGGGTATCTCGATGAGGAACCACAAAAGCGATATTTGGAAATTCGAAAAGCCAATGGTGATTTACAAACTTGGTTTATAGGCGACGATGATACGATGATACGATGATACCCGGAGGAGATTACACAAGAACTGCATCCAGACCCATGTTTCCTTGGTTCTGCAGGCTCGAAGGGTCATCGCCAGACCCAGAATATGCAACGGCAGGGGCCTAGAGAGTGCAAGGTACGAGGGGAAAGAGGAACGGGGAAGTAAGTGGAGCGCAGGTAACGTACGAAGGGATCCAGGTGTATCGATGTGTCCAAGCAAGTTCACACACAGAGATCATCCAGCTGCGCGGGAAGAAGTAAGCGGGAGAATCAGAAGAGCTTGCTCTTGCTCTTGTCTCTAGGGTATGATGCCATCCTCGACCGTTCGAGTCCCTGAAAAAGTTGTCACTGTTAGGGGCGATACTATTGAGGAAGTGACCCTGGAAATGAAGAAGGACGAGAAAGGGAATCGAAGAAGAGGAAGGTCCTGATGCACATACATATCGTTGATGTGCCTCGAATGTACATTCTTGGTGCGAGACTCGGAATAGCACATGCGTCTAGAGAGGGTTTCGGTGATGAGCGAGGCACCTATCTATATACTAATAGAAGTTTGTATCCCGTATAGGGATGACCTGGGGCTGAAAATAAACTTCAAATACTACGCTTTTCAACAACCGAGGGTAACTCCCTTCAACGTGCGGCCTCGAGCAAGCTTTGACTGACCTTTCTCCGACCGGAACCTTCTTGGTGAGGCTTGGCCAGTGATACAATGTTATAATCCATCGTGCCGAACAAAGCCCCCGCGTTCAGCTGCTGGAGCTACTTGCTGCCTATATTCTGTGGTGCGAACGGACGGATGATGACAATCACCTTGTCAGTTGATGTTTGGGTTTGATAGCTCGAACAGGTTCGGTAGATGTGTAGCTTAATACTACATATGGTCTTTGTCACCGTCTCCGTTAAAGTTCGAATTCACTCCGGACAGTCACCCAGACATAGAGCTCCGCCGATGAGAGACGCTAGATAAGGCATCACCTGTAGGAAGGTGAGCTTTTCTGCGTTTCGGCGGAGGGCTGGGAAGTGAGGCCTAAGAATTGAGGAGCCCTTTACATACCTGAAGGAAATCCAACAGGCACACTGAACCTGAATCGCGGACGAGAAAAAAAGCCAAATGAGCCAACTGCGCGATCATGCAAGGTACACCGATCTATTCTCGACTCGGTCGTCGAGGATTTTCCGGGTATTGACAAGGGACAGTGACCGGTGTCCACGGATATGTCTAAAATCAGTTGCCTGATATACCAGACAATCGGAACAGACGCGACGGGGTAGACGGACTAGGCCGTCCACTTCAGGCCCGGTGGTCGGAGCCAAGTGAAGTTTCATTCCCGGTCTCTTTCCATCTCGATTCCTAAGTTTCTTGTAAGGAGCTTTATGTGCGGTTCTAGTGTTGGAAGTGTCTCAGCATTCAATAACAAGTAATGAAGTACTATGGCGTGTCATTACGGTATGGCGTCAAGATAAGGTCAAATCCTCGCATGCAAAACGGTGACCTGCATAGAATCCGCCTTGTCGGAGGAATAAGGGAAGAACACTCCGGTCACTCATCGTCATAGACATTCTTAGGGAAGTCGTTTCGTAAGGGGGTGGAAGAGGAGATAAACCAGATTAGAGCAGATAGAGAGAAAGGGCACCTGAGGTATTCTCGGAAATGAAACGCCCCGATTGTCTGGACTTCTTCCAAGAAAGACGGGAGGGGGGTAATGGAGGTATAGTTGACTCTTGATAGGGTGATATAGGGATAGACCTATTATGGTCAGACACAGCGGGTTGAAGTGACTGTTTGCAGCACTGAGCTCACGGAAAGCGGAAGTTTGGTAGGTGGAGGCGTAGCGCCAAACATACCAACATGTGTTTCTGAACATGTTTACACCGTTCTAGAACATGACCACTTCGAGCCTGTGGAAAAGGATTTCATGTGAATGTTTTGGACGTTACCGCGAGTACTGCCACAAGTCCCCGAACCCCACAAAGAGATAAGATTTGGGCAAAGGGAAGGATCAGAGATGGTGATAGCGCAAGCAGATCCGCGTCCTCGCCAAGGCTGCAAATTGTACGTGGATTGTCGGACCGCCATATTGTGCAGTACTGGCATGATAAGGGCACTGATAGACGGCTCGCTAGTGAGCCTATGTCTCTGGAGACAAGTTGGAAGTTGGAGAGGGTTAGGGTCTTGGATATTCAGTTGGGCGTCGAAGATCCTCGAGGCCCAGTGTCGATCATGGTTGCCGGCGGCAGGTGAGGAGATTCCGGCACGTGCCGAGGCCGGGGACAGGGATGGGGCGAGGGGGACGGAGCATGACGGAGCATGAGAATGATTGGAAACCCAAGACGGCGAAAAAAACACGAGCCCCTGGTTGACCCCTGGGGAAAAATGCCCAAGGAATTGCCCCAGTCGGACCCCACACGGGCGGACCCCTCGGGGGAGAAGAGAAAGTTAACAGCATGGAAGTGAACAGGACCTCGCTTGTCCGACGCTTTATCCTGCTATCCGTCGCAATCATGAAGTCATCTTGATGGCAGATTAGTCTTTCCTCTCTTATCCTCGTCAGAAATACCCTCGACACGTTTGTTCTTGCTCAGCACGTTCTGCGCCTTTGCGTGAACGCCCACCATCTCTTCATCATAACCCAACGACAGCTTTTTTGTTCCCAACAACCCTACAGCTGTCATCCTAGGACACAGCACATTGCAGATCATAGATTTTCTCCGCATCCCACGTTCGAGCGTTCTTCCTCCCCGCACGTTCACTTGGTCCCACATTTACCTCTAACAAGGTGCTGGTACTCGGTGAAATAGCGGGCCGTCACGCTCACCTAGACAACTTCTTGGTAACATTCCTTGTCTTCTACCATCAGGAAGGAAGCTTATCCGTACGACTTCTCTGTGACATCCTCACTCCGGACTTCTGCAGTGAATTAGACCTCCTGCTTGCAAACGCCTGTCCATCGCGTAACGTGGTCTGCACCTAGTCCCAGTCAACACTAGGCCAGGCCCGCCCAATACACTCCTGCTTCGAACAGTTACTTACGCGAACTTGGGGTCCTTCCCATTGTTTTCCCGTGAGTCTGAATCTTCTGCATCATTTCGCTTTCCCCGCCCCTTCCTACTTATACCCCCTTGCCCTATTCGCCGTTCTGAACCTTCCCCTCTAACATGGATATGTTTTATAAATCCAGATTAAACATGGAGTCCGTCGCTGCACCCCCGCCGCCGCCGCCTCCACCTCACCAGGAAAAGGTTATCGCCAGACCGTACAAATGTCCTTATCCTCTGTGTGGCCGTGCGTTCAGTCGGTTAGAACACCAGGCGCGTCCTTCTACATCGTCTACCGTGGCTTATGAACTTATCTATTAATTATATTTAGACTCGTCACATTCGCACCCACACCGGAGAGAAACCTTTCTTGTGCTCACATCCGGGCTGTGAGAAGCGATTCTCCCGTTCGGACGAGCTCACAAGGCACGCTCGCATTCACAACAACAGTCATGACCATCATGGGTCAGCATCAAAGTCCAAGACTAAGGGAAAGACCGACCATCATCACGACGATGATATGGAAGGCCACTCACATGGCGATCATTCCAGACGACGCAGTGAGGATACCTTAGATGGTCTCCGAGGAGTAAGAGCAAAGAAGAAGGCCAGAAGTCGGGCAAACAGTGACGACGAGGTGCGCTTATACACTTGCACTTGCTTTCATCCCGAGATCATTTATTTATTTATTTGATAGGACGAGTCGTATGCTAGGACGACGGTATATTCTTCCGAATCATCTCCCCTGGGCCACGGTCATAGAGCACCCCACATCGTAGACCCTCGCGTTTCCCATGTCCCCAACCCGTCCGCATTCTCCGCACTCTCCAGCGCGGCAGTCGAAGAACTCCTTGCACTAGAACGAGAGGAAGCAGTCCGCAGAGCCGAGTATGAGATTCGACATGAAGAAGCAATGCGACGAGCCGAGTATGAAGCCCGGTGTGCTGAGATCTTGTCGTCGCATGGAAGACTTAGTAAGAGCGCTGTTACATCGCCTCAATTATTCAACGGACACACGGTGGAGGATTCCAGTTACTTTGGACTCTCGAGGGAACGCGAATTCGAGCGTCATTCTAGTAGTCGGGTGTATGAGGACATTCCTGGGCTCCATCACGGGAGACATTTCAGCACGTCTTCGATACGGAGGGATAACCTTCCCATTCATCCTCATTCTTCTGGACATGTCGTCGATATTCCTGGAAATCCTGGAAGACATCATGCTCATGCCCACGGTGCCTGGTCTCATCCATACCACCATCCCCCACCTTCTCATAGACACCACACTTACGAAGAACCATCGCCTCCTTCTCCTGTCAGTTCCGATGGGGAATCTATCATTCACTGCAAGTCCCCACGACGCATGTCAGCTACACATGTCCCCTATAGCGACCATCCCCAATCTATACATGGCACGAAGGCGGACTTTACATTCACACCCTCAACAAGCCCTTTTCTCGGCGGCTTGCGCACACTAAACATCCACTCTAGCGGTCCTTCCCGCGCCCCATCCCCATTCCGACTTTCACCTCCGTCTCTTGATAGCCCAATAGACGAATACACCAGGTCCAGGGTATCTAGTAGCGTTGTTGGTAGCCCCCCTCGAGGCCTCGGTGGACATGACCAGATCCTCGGGTCGAGAAAACGAGGAAGTACGGGTGATTTAGTGTCGTACGGGAAGCAATATGGACATACGTATTCCTCCAACGAACGGGCATCGCATTCACCGAGTGGCGTTGGGTATAGTATTCCGCCGTACGTCCATGAACCGGGTCTGACCGCACTTCCCACCCCGCAACTTTCTAGCGGGCCGAGTAGTAGTGGGAGCAGTCCTGGAAGTCATCATCATACACTTTCGACATACACGGGTGGGAGTGGGAGTGGGAGTGCGGGGAGTCTGAGTGCTTCCAGTTCTAGGCCGGCTTCACCGCCTCTTTGGGGCCAAAAATCGTCGAACAATGCGCATCATGGACAGGGACAACGAGAACATCCGCATCATCATCACCTTGCGCATTCTGTTCGAGTTGCGTTTGGTATGACTCCGATACACCCTCGACCTTCACGGAACCCGCCTGGGCAGTCTGAACGACCGTTATCAGACGCGCCTACGAACGTCCATTTTAACATGAACGCAGATCACCCCCATTCTCATTCACATTCCCACTCTCATTCTTATTCTGGTATGCCTCATGGAGGGTGTCATCAGTCGTCTCAACCTGAGCCTCATGCAGACCACACACCGTCATCGACATCATCTTCAGTCCCTGTTTCTCGGGCTTCGTCACCGCCGATAAAGCTCCCTCCGCTTAAGTTGCCGTCTTCTCCTTCATCGCCTAGTCATCGACCACACGCGTTGTTGAGCGTTAGGGATCTGCTTAATCCAGATTCGTCGAGTGCGGGTGGGGTGGATACTATGAGCATTGAGGGAATGCCCGAGAGTGGACCGTCGTCGAAGCTTACTGGGGAAGGTGAAGAGAGAGTTGCTTTACCTGGTTTTAGCGAAGTTGACGCGGCTACTGGGTATCGTCGACGATGAGGTTGGTTGACGTGCTGATTTTTTGGCCTCGCGTTACGTGCTTCGTGTTGTTCATATGAGCTTGCACTTTTTTTTCCCGACACGCACGGTATTCTGATGTGTGCTGTTGTTGGATCCACCACTCGAATTATTTACCCTTGCTTTCATTTCATCCCATGTTTTCGTTCCTTTCCGGTGTTCATAGTTCTGTTCATTTCTTGTCACGACGAGTATTCTTTATTGCTTGATCACAATGTCGCATACTTCTTCACGTTTGTTTTACTTTAGACTTGACCTTTTTCTCCACTCCTCGGACATTATCATACACACATAGATTTTCCGTACGCTGTAACCTGACCACTCCTCTATTTATAATACTCAGCGGCAACATCTTTTTCATTTCGTTCGACTCATGATTCCTCATCTCCTTTTTTTTTCCCTACCACAGACTTTATCCTATCTATTCGCATTGGTATCTTGTTTGTATCGCTCACCCCTCATATTATGTCCCTAGATGACGTCGTATACCCCACTCTTAGACTTGACAATTATGAACCACCGACCACTCTGCCTACTAGTGACTACTATGTGCCTGAGTTTTCTTCCGTGACGCTTGAGACTTGCGCAGCAGTAATAATGTCAGACCATGGCATTGTCAAGCCGGACTCTGATCTTGACTGACAACGGAGATTAGACGCCTGTGTTTCAGCATTTACATCCGCACCTCGACGATCGACGCGACTCACTGACCATTACACTCTAGCTCATCCGCGAGCAATTCCATTCTCTTTCATCCTTGTCGCTCTTTTTTTTTTTAGTTTGCTTGCTTTCTAGCCTGAACCCGGATGTGCTATCTCTTCTGCTACTCTTTCCTCTCTTTCCTGCTCTTCGGTCTTGATGCTTTCGCCAACGCAGCCATTCTCAATTTCACCGTCCGAACACCTTCTTTAGGCGACTCCAATTCTCACCACCTCTACTCTCGACAATCCACCACCACCAATGTCACTGCTCCTGGTGTCATTTCCATACATAATACTCGTAATGCTGAATACATTAGCAACATCACTCTAGGAGGGAGGGAGATCCCCGTTCTTCTGGATACTGGAAGGTGATCACACGATTTTGGAATTGAAAGGTTCTCCTGTTCGTTGGCTGAAGTTGTTTGTTCCGTTGCTCTTCCTTTTTACTTGTAGCTCTGACCTGTGGGTTACTGGAGATGTCCCTGGTACGAAAGACTTGGGCAAAGCTATCTCTTTGTCGTATGCTGTTGGTACTGCGTCTGGTATGGCTTCCTTGGCATCTCTACTTGGCGAATTCTTGACTTGTCTTGTAACTGTCAGGCGATATTAATACGGCAGACCTGACCTTTGATGGGTTCACCGTGAAAGACCAAGTAAGCTTAGCCTTAGACTTTAGGGTATTCAACATTCATATAACCTTCTGAATTTAGGCATACCGTACGTTACACGTTACTGCAATTACATCTAACCATATCGATCGCTAAGGTAACTTCAACAGTACTCGTGAAGGACACCTCGTCCTTCTCGCTTGATATCAAAGCCCAAGGTTTCGAAGGTCTCATCGGATTGGGGCCTAACACTGGATCAACTATTCGCGATGAAATCGACAACAATTCAGGCGATAGCGTCCTCAGTCGTATCTTCTCACAGAATGCCACCAGCCACAACTACCTCACTATGCTCCTTGACCGTCAGGGCGACACTTCCGACCCTTTCACCGGCCAACTCTCCATCTCCGAACTCATACCCGGTTTCGAAAACGTCACTGACATGCCTAAACTTACCGTCGACAAGGTCCACAGGCTCACTGATGCAGACCAGCATTGGCAAACATTCACTGACATCAATGGTGTGATTGGTCCGGACGGCCAACCCATCAAAATCAACTCTATCGTTCCGAAAGCTGACGATGGGGAACTCGTCGTCATCTTTGACTCTGGATACACGTTACCACAGGTCCCTCGTGCCATGTCTGACGCTATATATGGCCGAGTTCAGGGTGCCGCTTATAATGAGCAAGGAGGATATTGGACCGTCCCTTGCGATCAACTCATCAACCTGAGCTTCAAGTTTGGCGGGATCGAGTACCCGGTACATCCGTTGGATGTGTCTAGTAGTGACTTTAACATTCTTGATGCAACCGGTAACCCTGTTTGCGTTGGTACGGTGAGTACTGTTAAAGTCGACAGCTTGAGGTTTGGCATGTAACGTTGACGTTGAGCGGTCCAGTTCCAACCTATCACGTCAGCTTTCAGCTTGCTTGGTGAATACGACATCATTCTTGGAATGGGCTTCAGTCAGTCAAACATGTTTACATCTTTCTCAAGCTTTACGGTTTTGACATGCCTATTCTGCAGTGCGCAATGTTTACGCACTGATGGAATATGGCAACTGGGTCAAAAACTCGAAGAATGACCGAAACGATCCGTACATCCAGCTTCTGCCTCTAACAGACAAGCAAGCCGCGCATGATGATTTCGTGAAGGTTCGCATGGGCGGCATTGACAACACTGGTGATTCCGCACACGCTCTTCTCCCCGCCGACCAAATGAAGCATTCACCTATATCTTCTGCTGAAAAGAAGAAACAGTAAGCAATTTCATGAGAACTCCTACCCAACCTTGTATACGATGTTAATCATTGCACTTCACAGCTACGAAGAGAAAGTCCTCAGTCGATGGCCCTACATCTTCGTCGGGTGTTTCGCTTTCGTCCTCATCGTCATTGGTCTCATCATCTGGCGCTGCTGTGTTGCCCGTAAACGTCGTAATGCCAAGAAAGCCTCCGCTATGGGTATCAACACAGCTGGACAACACCCGCAAACGTCCTACGCGAACTTGAACAATCCAACGTCTGCTACGCCGATGAAGGATATGGGTTCAGGCCAGAAGTACAACTTCGAGGAGGATCCCTATGGGTATAGTCCACATAAGAATGTCTGAAGAGATAGATACCAGGATATGGTTATGGATTAGGCGAGTTGGTAAAGTAGGGAGGGAGATTTGGACCCTGAGAGAGAGATACTTATGGACTTGTTATTGTATACTTTCGAGGAGTTGTGTCATAGTAGTTTTGGCTGTAGCGGGTCTGCATATCATTTTCCTGCCTGAACCCACGCAGGAGAATGCATCTGATGCACGGTTTCAAATTTCAGGCCTTCGGGGTTGACGTACGTACATTGACTTTAGGTAAATGCATTTGAACTTGAAAGTTGAAAGGCGCTCGGTATGCCAGTTAAAAACCTGAATCGACTTTCTTTTCATGCGCCGAGGGGGAATTGAACCCCCGGCGGGTCGATATTGCATAAATGGCAACGACCCAGGTTACCACTACCCCATCGGCGCGCAAGAAAGCTCTCGCATCTTCTTTATTCAACAATAGAACTATATAATTAAATCGACCATAAGTTATTTAAGTAAACGCTTTAGATGATATATCCCCTCCTTTGCTACAGCAAGCGTATCATACACGACTCGCTCTGGAGCAGACTCGAAACGCGAACGAAGTCTCCAGCGTAGAATTGAATCATTTAGACTCAATCGAATTTTTTGAAAGGCCATGTTTGCAGCTTCCGCAGTTGGTCTCCCTTCCGGCTGATCTTGTAACATCGAGGAGACTAAAGGTTGTAGAAATTCAAGTCCGTGATATTTCTAATGGGGTCGACAAGTTGCGTTGAGTAAGATTTGATATTGACCCCATATATTGATACTCACATCCAAGAATTCCTTTTGGTATACGTTACCGAGGACATACATATCTAACATGAATGCATTGTAGGGAGTGTGCAGTGAAAGTTCAGGGGGATCCTTGTCGCGGCCCTCCGTACCGAGTACATATGGAGCTTCTCCATCGCGGAACCTCGACGAGATACCGAAATCGATAAAGTAATATTTCACGGGGTTGTCTATGCGGGATAGAGGATGCACATCGTGAATAGCATCTGGAGCATAGTCCAACCTAACTGGATGGTGTCCATGGGGATAAAGAGGCCGCCCGTCCATCATTATATTGCCAGCAGCGCAGTCTCTGCACAAAAAGGAATGAGACTCGGTGCAGTGCATCGTGCAGGATGCAGATACCGATGTGCTACGCCATGCGAATGCATAAAGAATAATCCCTAAAACGGATACATGTGAGTTGATCCGTGATAATGGTGAGGATGAGCGTTGCGAACCTCCAAAGTTTGCTTTAGAAAATCTACAACTTCTCCTATAGTACCAAACTCAGGATCATCAAAAGGGCGAAGGTAGGGCATGACCATGAGCGTCTGAGAACTGTTCAGAGGGTCGAGGAAAAAGTCCATGATAGGCACGCAATGATTGGCAGGGTTTCGGACAAGCTCCGGCGACGAAAGGTAGCGCGCAGTTTCAATCTCATCACCTCCATTGTCGACAACTTTAATGAGAACTAAACAGCCGTCACAGCTCCTAGTAGCGTCAAGAACATGGTCATACTAGGGTACTTAGTGAAACGATCACTGGTGGCGTTGGTATTACTTACGCACCATTGATAAAATTGAATCCTCGCAGAAATCAGGGTCAAGATTGGTACCTAGCCATGATGGAGACCACGATTGGTGATAGCGAGGTCTAAGCATGTATCCACGTTCCTCCAGATATACCTGTCTGTTCCTCCACTCGACTTCAGTTGGGAGAAGCGCCCAACTGCCTTTCTCAGTGCGTTCGGCATAAATCCGAGACTGCTTTGGCGAACAGAACACATATGATGGGAGAGAGCCTGTGCGGGCATTCATTGGCAGTTCGAGGCGATGTACAACATGAGGCCTAAGGACGGGATGGTGGTTCGTGGAAGACGAAGAGGTCTGGGTGGCGAACACGTGTAGCCAAAATTGGCAGGTCTTATGGTTGACGCCGATCAGATCATCCAAGATTCTGGTCCAACTCACCGAAAAAGCAACAGCTTGATCAGCCACGTTCACGCCCGCTTTGCTCTTCGAGTATCATACAGCCAGTCCGATTTCTTCTAAAGAGAACATGCTGGTGCGGCGTGGACAAAAATGATCTTGCTTCGCCCAGCTTCATAGTAACGAGGCCGGGCAATGGACAAGGAGGAGTCAGTCGCCCCTTCAACTGTCCTGTCGTTCGTTCCTCTCTAGGCTTTTCATGACCATCTACGACATCCTCGGCCTTATATTCGGTGCATTAGGAACTATAGGTGTTGTCCAACTGGCATACACCATCGTTTGCTACAACTTGCCGCAAGAGAAATTGAAGAGTCTCGATGAAGTATTGGACGCTACGCGACTTCTTTTCGACTCTGTTGTAGAAGAAGGCCTCCTTCCAGACAAGAGGTTTGTGCAGAAAGCTGCACATCGTTTACAGCAGTAAGTCTCAACTCACGCTGTCAGATCGCTTAACGTGCTACTACGCCACAGTTACCGAGAACTAACTGAAGGCCTACGCTCGGAAGTCCACTCTGCTACATCTTTCACAGAAAAATGTCACGCCATGCTCTCTGGTCTCTCCCGAAAAATAAGTACGTTGCGCAACCAAATTGAGAAACTTCGCGCCGTCATCTCTGTAAGTCTCGGTTGTCCAAATGAAAGGTAAATAAACTTATCGGCATCGTATCAGTCGACGAGTAGCAAGGCACGCAGAGAGCTTCGTGATAATAGTAGTAATTGCGCCATCTCATTGGATGCGAAATTAGAAAGAGAAGGTGATGCAGGTAAAGTAATATTTGTCGTGTACGATATGGCGATTTCATTCTTATCGACAAGATGTACCATCAATTATACCACGTCTTTCAACAGGGAATGGAATGGAGGAATACCGCAAGGGAAGAAAACAATTATATGACAACCACAATATCCGACTTCGTGAGTTTCTCCCTTGACAAGGTATCGTGCTACATTGAACGATTGCTACAGCACCTCCGGTGTATAGTCAAATCGGGACGCATTGCCACTCCGTTCCTGGATATTGCCAGACCATATATGTACCTGAATTCACTTCCCATCTCGTATCATCTGGCATACCGGCAAGGACGTCTGGCATTCCATCGTTTGCCACGATGGTGTTGGAGAATAATTGCCGAAACCCTGCATCAGTACCGCTGGATGATTGCGAACCCTTAGTCAATGCTTCACGACCTGGGAAGCGTTGCATCTGCAGTCATCTATCTGAAGCAGATGTTCATGCTCTCGAGCATGTTCTGCGACAAATGCTTGTAGCATTGGCAGACGTACGAGGACAACAGGCGGAGCATTGAATGATGCTCACCTGTACCACACCGCCACACTTTCGATATATGTTCGTCTTTTTTCCTTGCCTTTGCTTTTTGCTCTATCGTTGTTCCTTTGCTTTGATCGCTTTTCGTAGCTCCATGTCCTCAGTTTTCAGGGTCTACTATTTATCGATATCGGACATACAGCTTGACGTCATGTTCTTTATGCTATTTGCTCGAACAAATTTTGTTCTCTCTCACTCTTGTGATAGTGCCTCCTGCACGTCGTTGGGGGAGACGCTAAAAGCAATCATGAGTCTTCAAGTGATGAGGGATAATCGCATGCTGACACGACGTCAGAAGAAGAAGAAAACAGGAGTATGATAGCGATCAACGAGCAAGCGTAACGGCGCGGATTCAAAGGTAGAGTTACTGAAGTACTTTTGTGTGCATCTTGGCGGCAACATCAGAGGTATTGAGTCAGAATCAGCTTCAAATGGAAAGGATCTGGACGCATTTCATAAGAAACATTTCACGCATATAGCGAGATTGTTAGAGATAAACGTACAGCGACTTACAGAGACAGCTGCGTAGCGCCCAATTGAACTCTTTACACAGTAGAAAGCCCGTCGGATACCGTCTTAAGACACCAAGGGACGCCACAAATTATCTTCAAGACATTCAGCCGTATTGTAGAATATACTGGAAACTTCCAGTGCTGCAAGATCGGATAGAGGAACTACCCAGGCATCGGTGATCATCGATCATGCTTTGCGAAGTACTGAGAAGACCTGCTGCATATGTTTCCTCTCGAAGATGAAGCTGAATCAAACAGTCGAGTGAGTCTCAGCTTCATTCATACGTGAGATATACTAGACGTACCAGGCCGTTAGACAACCGGCCAAACATGCAACGCCAACAGCAATGTGGTTTATCTGGCCGCGAATGCTCAAAGGATAATTATGGTACATTGACTCGCTCCATCGGGTTGTAATCGCACTGAGCACGAAAGAAACCAGGACAGGTAGAGGCGGAACGGCCTTTGTCCACGATACAATCTGTCCGGCTTCCCTCTGTAAGAAGAACCTCTTGACAAACGTCCAGGCGTAAATGGCTCGCAAGGTCAAGTTCGCGATATTGGCCCAAACGAGACCCGCATCGCCAAGCTCCAGGAATTGCGAGAGTACGACGGCAGCTATAACAAATCCTATGGAGAAGACTAACATCCATCTGCTCTGAGCACGTAGATCGGCAGACGTGGCTGTGGACGCAAAGAATGCTTCGAGGATACCGTTGAAAGCCATCATTGGGATGTAGTAGACATATGTCTGCAGGATTTTTGGAGCCGACGTGGTGAGGTACCGAGGAGGAAGAAGCATGGAGACTGCAAGACGCAAGTACGGTGGCGCGAAAGTGACAAGCAAGAGCAAAAGGTGCGTGAATAGCAGGAGAAGCGTAAGAAGGATGTTAGAGGCCATCTGGAAAGCTTCAGGAGGAGGGGTGGAAGAGACTGAGAGTGTCTTCGAGAAAAACACACGAGATGTCTCTTCAATAGGTTGAAAGACAATTCGGGCAACGAGTGATCCTGCGTGTAATCATCTCAGCCACGGAAAGAATACGTAGGTATTCACTTGACAGGCATACCATAGTTTGAGGCGATCGCATATCCGCCCTGATCTGCAAGCGGACTAAGTCTCGAGACCAGAAATTTATCTCCTTCCGTTAGGAAATGCTTTACGACAGATTGGCCGGTCATAGCAGCGGAGAGATGCAGAAGTTCATCGTCAAAGTACTGCGTCTTGGTACTGCTTAGACATTAACACGAGATAAATTCATGCTGCTGATATAATACGCACTTATCATGCACTGTAATCTGAGCCTTCTTTGGCCAAAAGCGTGCAGTGCGTCCATACACACGTAAGAACGACAGCAGTAACGCGAGGCCGTAGACGGCCTGGCCCACTGCAAAAGCCACAAGTGCCCAGTCCGATGATAATGTCACCAACATGATGAAAGCAGTAAACGTCTTCAGAGCAACTGCTGTCCCTTCAGCGCGGACTCGGATATCGAAGCGTAGCTCATTCTGGGCCCGAATGTAAAGCGGCTCGGATAACAATTCAAAGAAAGCTGCGAGCGCGTATATCACAACGCTTAGTCGGAAGTGAGGTTGAGATGAAGTGGATGAAGAGCTCGTATTGAGGTATAATGATGCACTGGCAACTGTGATCGGGATACCTAGCAGAACAGGTAGAAGCGATATATTCGATACTAGGATATCCTTTCCTACGTCTTTTTGTGACGTAGACGTATCCTGCTGGTTTGTAGAGCTACGTAGGAGTGCATTGCGAACGCCCTCACGAGAAAGAAATAGAATGGTCGAGAGCAAGAGCTCAAACTGGATCGCGGCTGTTCCGAGTATTTGTGGTGAGACGAGTCGAACGAGAGCCTGGTTGAGAACGAATGTGAAGACACGGGAGAATAGCTGAAGAAGAACCAGAGACGATGCCGAGGCCAACGATGCAGACAGGAGTGAACGTGGTTGAGGTGAAGCCATGAAATCGTTCAAAGCGCGCTGTCGCGTCAATGCCAAGATCAGGTTGCTCGATATGGTGAAGTCACTTTCCGACATATCCGTTGAGTTAATAATAAGATAATGAAAGAGTATGAGAACGTGATATACAAGCGTTATGGCTACAGCTCTAGTCATGAATCATTGTGTTACATGATATGTGTTATCGAATTGAAGTCCAGCCACATATTGAAGTACAGTCATCCTAGTTCCAATCTCGACACTCATACCTGCTCCTGATAATCAGAGAAGTGAGAACCTGCATGAGACTCTTCCGGCGTGGAAGGAGTGGAATACTCCGTTTGCAGGAAAGGTGCTCCAGTATTATCACTGCTCCATGGATCTGTGGTCAACCGGATAGGTACCACGCACCGTAACTCAGAGAAAGGCGATTTCGTAGGATCAGGAGGGATCATGGACAACACGATGCAATCCTGGATTTAGAACCACGCTAAGTATTCGAACTGGAACGATAGCAACCGTGACACTAACTTTGATGAACAGACCACCTGCTTTGAATCCGCCTATTCTTGTATTTGGGTTGACGGCAATCTCACCCACGAATGACATGAATTCTTGCCCATCGCACTAAGTGCAGAGGATAGCTTCAACTATGAGGTAAACATGATAATGCAAGCCAACTTACGGCATGTCGGAAGGAACCCTCTCCAATTGAGAGTACTCTCCATATATCTGTCTTCGTTCCGGCAATCGTCGTATTTCTACATATGAATCCGGCAGAAAGTCAGTCCAACGTGACAAGAAGGCGGAAGAAAGACGTACCGAACATCAACAGAAGACTGCCTGAGCACCTGAATACGGGTAAGCCTTCTAGCTCCCATATAGCTAGAAGGCGCAGGTACATATGGAAGGAAGGCTGCTAATGACACAGCCGAGGATGCGAACGTCAGGTGAAATGGAATGGGCTCTGACAGGCAGAACACTCGTGAAGCCGGGATGTATAGCTGAAGCATGTGCGTTCAGTAAGAACCTAGGGTGGTGCGAACTTGTGTCAATAATACCCACCTTAGCTACGATATCTTTAACACCACGCGATTTCGCCGCCATGACGGTATCAAAGCATGTCCAGTCGGCTGATTCGAGAACTCCTGGATAAACTGTCGTGATGGTCATGGGTCCGGGAAGTCCGAGGGCTGGACGAGACCGAGGATAGTACACGAACGGCGTGCTTACTGTATTACTACAACGACATGCTCAGTATGACGACTTCCGAATACAACGGCCAACTTACTTCTGTTTAACGGGCAAGAGTGCCGCAGCTTTACCCTTATAGACATAAGCCGAGATGGCGTAATCGATTGTGGCTCGGAACCCGGGTACTCCAGATAGATGTACCTCATGTGTAGGAGGTAGAGGCTGCACAACGCTGCTTCTGAGATCAGCTTTCAGAGGAAATTGGAAGATGCGACACACGTAAGTATCTTTGCCATCTGTGAACGTTGCTGGAAGACCAAGACTAAAACGGAGAGATGTAGGACAGGGCACTGACGCTCGATCTGCATCCCATAATGAAGCTCTGGAAGAGCACAGTTTATGGGTAACGGTGCCGCCTTCAGCAATCTCTTTGAGGCGGAGAGTGCCTTCGATCTAAGCACAGCGAGACTTGAACCAATTTCCGTATGGATTCAGACGCAAATCTAAAGAGCTTCGCACCTTGACCTCGACAGCTGCTACACCGTCTGTTCGTGGCAATTCCACCGTTCCTTCGATGGAAGATCCACAACCATACACAGGCAACGAAACATTATTTTCCTGGGCAGTCAGTCGAATGCTCACGCCGCCACCCTTTGACTGTTTCACGAATTCACCAGAGGGCCGCAGCCGGGACCTATTCACAGCAAGTCGTCGTTCATATGCGCTCGGTTCAGCAGAATAAGTGGGAATTCGAGAGTGGTCAAGAGCTCTGTAACTGGGCAAACTAGAGGTGGACATATTGAGCAGAGAATTACAGAGGAAATGCTAGCCGAAGACGATCACGTAGGAGAGAAGGAGAGAGAGCAGGACGGCAACAGAGCCTCCTTTTACAACAGCGTCCAAATGAATAGACGGGTGTCTTCCCGCAGCATATGGCATATGGAGCTGGCAGCCAAGGACGGATTTACAGCCATCCGAAGTCCGGAGGAGGGTACCATATGGTACTCACTCGCCCGAAGCGTCAACATCATCTCACTGACAAATCCATCTTCCCTTCGTTCCCTCGAGGAGAACGTTTCATAACCGTGTGGGCGCATCCACGAGCACCAGTTAACCTTGCTCTGTCGAATCGGCTTGAAGACGGACACGCAGCATAGACGGCTGTTCCTGGTGGAGGCCATGCATCGCGAGGGTGCACCAAATGATTTCTATTCACTTGTTTTGCATCAACGCATGTCTTGAAAAGATGGATGTAATCGGAGTGAAAACAAGAACGGCAGGTGAACGGAACGGAGTGCGAACACATTATGTAGTTACAAATTATATCGGAGTCCTAACAGGCGGCTCTGCCGGTAGAATAATTACTCCAACATAGTAGAGATAAAATATGAATACAGCTCTGCAGTCCAACAGACTATAATACATAGCTAGAACGCAGCCAATAAACAGAAAGTCCATGACGTCCAGGATTAAGTTACAAACGAATCAAGGGAAGAACCCTGCATACCTCCGAATCATATGGAAGCGCGGAATCTCGAAGCCCTCATCATGACATCCAGGAATCCCATTCGCTGGCGTGACACCGTAGAAGAACCCTGGATGATTATCGAGGTGGTACTCCCCACACCTCCGCAGTTGCACGCGTGTGCGACCACGCGTTCTATTCATACATCTTCTGTGAGAGCGCTGGCTCTATAGGTGTTAAGTCCCGACGACACTGGACGCTTACTCCCAGTCGGACACACTGACTGTGGCAGAAGGACAATCATACGACTCGGTAGTGAGCCGTATGGGTACACTTTCGCTGAACGGCATAAATCGCGAACGTGCACTATCAGGTGGCACGATGGTGAGCACGATGGCGTCCTGTTTGAATCAATGGGAAGACCATGCTAATCAGTTATACATCTACAAATAGAATGATTGAGATTGCATCGGAATTGGTGCCCTTGTCCGAGGCTACCATCTCCTATCCAATACCAATAGTTGAAATGGTCTGCTCACCGTCACTTTCACGCCGCTCGTGGTGAATCCCCCTGTCGTAATGGAGGGAGGGATTGCAAATGAACCTGACCATGTCATAGAGTTTGGGCCCCGACTTGATTTATGGATCACACCTTGCCCTAAGGGTCTGGTGAAGGCCATATGTCCCTTTTCTTCCGCGATCATCATCCCGGCAGCTAAGGCATCGACGGCTGTTCGCCTTGATAGTTGAACACGAATCGGCGGAGGCAGCAGATTTGGCTGTATTCGAGCATTGAATCGCGTTTGAATTGAGCTCGTAATGGAATGATTATGGGAAAGTGGATGGAATGATGACGGAGAAGGTTGATATGTGGAGAATGGCGCTAGGGAATCTTCGTCTCCGAATAGGGTGACAGAGAAAGGAATTGGCTCCTTGAGTGTGCAAACTCGTGAACAAGGCAAGAATAGCTAGCAAAATTGACGTGAGAAATCCACTGGACGAATACTGGAGCACAACTCACATGCACTTCAACATCATTGTAATTGCGCCTACGTGTGCGCAACGAGAATGCAAAGACTGTCTTTGGAATGCTCGGCGTTTTGGTCATTGATAACGGGAATGGACCAGCCCGTACAGGTCGAGTAAGCTCCTTGTAACGAAATGGAATCCGAAGCCTTAGAAAAATGGTCAACTTTGTCTTCCATTCAGCAGCATCAAAAGACTTACCTCTTCCCTTTACGCCACCAGTCAGACCTATCTCGTGTACGTGTGAGGTACACGTAGATTCCATAGGATATGTTCACATCAAACCCCGGTATACCCGGAAGATAGGCCTCGAAGCTAGGAGGCAATCTTGACTTCTCCCCTGTTAATCCATTCGTGTAATGGGTCGGTAATGTGTATCGGAAGTTGACCTTGGACGGAAACGTGGCATCGTGTTCCGAATCCCATATGAAAAGTGTTTCGTTGATTATTTCTCCATCAAACGCACCACCTCCCGCTACTTCCTTGAGCTTGATATGTCCTTCGACCTAAGAATTCACAATTGAGTATATGAAATTGGAGATCGCATAATCGGACTCACCTTCACTTCTAATGTTAAGAGGCCGGAAGGCTTAGGTATAGCTAGAATACCGATGATTGTGGCACCATTCGAATATACCGGTTCCGACGCATTCTCCTTTTGACCACTCAAGAGAACTGTGATCTTGCTCGAGTGTTTCACAAAATGTCCTGGGGAAGCTTTTCCAGACGATGGCGGTGCAATCGCTTCACTGCCAACTTTTCCAGATGGTTGTGTATCTATGGAGATAGCAGACGGTTTCCTTCGAGGCAATGAAAATGGGATCCGAGGTGTGGCTCTGGTCAATGAAGCACTGCGTGCCCGCCTCACAGGCTCAGAATTAGGTGCAGCGGAAAACGGGTGCTGTAATCGAGGAGCTGGCGTAATAACTCGTCGATTCTCTCCTCGACGGCTCGGCACCCGTTGTTCCTGAGAAGACTCCAACGATTCTGAAGATAGAGAGCTGCGAAAGTACTGAACGCTGGCAAATGGATGTCGCATCGGTCTCGCCTACGGATGACAGAGGTACACTGGGGAGCAGTTGGGTTCAGGGCGGCAGGCCACCCAAGGACAAGGATCCCATCCAAGCAAAGTTGCGATCAAACAGGATGATCAATGTGAATGAGGCTATGTATGAGGCAGACAGATTGATGGACCAAAGTGTGCAAATGTACCCCGTGCTATCTGTAACATCAACCCGTGCATAACCGGATCGACAGCGGTGATGAGGCCTCAGAGGTGTATCCTATAAGAATGAACTCAAAATCTTAGCCGCGGTATTGTCTGCGCTACGGTAATCGGACTGACCTGTTCAAGGAATCTATTGTGCTAATTTCCAAGTATAAAAATACGCACAACGGGAGAAGAGAAGGACGTACTAGAGCCAAAAGGGCCAAAAGGGGCAGCGAATCAGTCATGCCTTGTGAATTCAAGAAACCGGCGGCAGGGCCGCGGATTCGCACGACATGACAGATGCATGCGTCCACATGTGCTCCGTCAAAGCCCTGAGAAAAGGCGTTAACTGGCTTCCTAGAGCTCCATCCGTTCAGCAGGATACAAATCGCCCGTGACAGAAATAAAGGCCAGATATATAGTTGACAGTGGGGCAGAGCGCAGGATAGGCACCTCACTTGTTGTTCGGTTCTGGGGATTTGCCATTCCATAGTCATTTAATAAATTAGCCTTTCATATCCAGATACGATCATTAATCCGTTCATTTTATGTACGGCTTAGCAAACTTTTGAATGAGGAACTCAACACATGGAAAGCGTCATAAAAGGCTGGCAAACTGTGTTGCAATCTTGTAGCTTTATATCTCAATAAAACTGAGCTATTCAGTAAAGCCTTACGTCTATATGAAAACACTACAGTACCACAGGTGTCCCCATAGGTTTCAGCATATCCACTGGCACGCATACCATCAATCACACAGATATTCATATGATCCTAGGCTTGAACTTTTGCCCTATGCACTGCAAATTATGCGTAAGACTAATAGATGTCTGTTGCAGGGCTCTGACAGATACTGTAAGAATCATGCCTCCCTGTAAAGTTTAACGTTTAAGCTTTGAAGTGATAGCATACTGAAACGGCACTTGCAAAGCCTTCAGGCCGTCGCCGGCTTATATAAGCCGATCGACGTGAACGAAACGGGCAACCGAGTCAAGTTTAACAAGTTCAATGCTAGAAATCTTGTGGCACTCTACAACTCTCATATCGACTCTTGTAGAACCTTGCAATTCCTTCCTTCCTCCGCGTTCGGTTCTTTCTGAGAACTTACTCTAAATCATACTATAATCTAGACTGTTCTCGTATTTTTCGGCCCCCTGGTATTGGAGGAATGACGGTGGCATTCACGGAACAGAGTAAGGGGCTCGGTGCACACGACGCACAGGAATATCGACCACCGCCGGATAATGATGAAAATCCTGTTGTAAAGAGCGCAGAATATGCTATCGAAGTGATTTCCTTTCGTATTCTTCACGAAACACAATGCATCCTGATTCTCCTATGCAGGCAACAGATGTTGTCGGGATCAATGAGCCAGGAGTGAAAGCGGCAGCAAAATATGTCGGTACACCTCGTACCCTTCCTTTATCTGTGCTGATCATTTCCAGATCGATAGCAAACTCCATGAGGAGTCCTACAATCCAAGGTCATGGCGGACACATCCACTTCATGTCTGCCCTCCAGAACCGTACTCTCCTTACGACTCAAGGACTGGAGATTTCATGAACTGGATGTTTCTCATCTCATCCCTGAACTTCAGTTTCTGGTCAGAAAGAGAAGGCCGGCCTGACCGTTTTGGAATCGAATGGAGAGAAGGTTGGCAATCGGACAAACGAAAAGTGCATACAGGCTATTGGTCTCTAGTGGCAGCCATAGATAGAGGTAATGAGTTGTTGAATCGTGCTTACAAAAGTTTATATCCCTCATGCAATATTTTATGTAGCTCTAGAGGAAGGTATTCCATTTTCCGATCCAACGTTCTTCGCATCAGAAGAGCGATGTCCAGACTCGCTCGTCGAACATATTTTCCGACCTTCACGACAATCTAATGAAAAAATATCCTTGCTGAAGGAGCGAATCGCAATCCTTCGCCAAGTAGGTTCAATACTTACAACAGTACGTGTTTTGGTACCCTTCTACGTCATTCACTGACACGAGTCGTTGTAGAAATTTGCTGGATCGTTCCAACATTTCTTTGAAGACTTTCAATCTCGTCACGATGGTCAAGGAACGGCTCTGCAACTCGTGAAAACAGTTGTGACTACCTTCCCTTCTTTCCGCGACGAGACTAACTACGAAGGTCGAAGAGGTACGCATTGATTTTTTTTCAAGAGTACATGATACTAATTATCTTCGATCTATACGCCAGTGTTCATTTGGAAACGCGCACAAATACTAGTGGCAGAGCTTTGGGCTGCGTTCTACCCACCGTCTCCATCAATGCCTCATCCTCTCTTTCCCGCTGGCGCAGCCATTCATCAGCTAACAATGTTCGCAGACTACCGTGTTCCCCAGATTCTCCATCATCTTTGCATCCTCACGTATCCACCGTCGCTCATCAAAGCTCTTCGCAGTCATGCATCTTTCGAGACAGGCTGCAGGGAAGAACTCAGTATTCGAGCAGCAAGTATTGTAGCCGTCGAGCGTGTCCGTGAGGAAATGGTCAAACTCGCTGAGGCTCGTTATGGAGAAGGAAACTTTGACGGGGAAGATATTAGCAGTGTGATGATTGATTTTTATTTGTGGGACTTGGCAAAGAAGCTGGAGAATGGCGAAGAGAACGTAGAGGGTATAGACACGGCAGAAGTACTACCCTCGCATCGAACCAGAAGTATATGGTACTGAGTGGTCGTTCACGCATCATGTACTGTGCTCATTCGATAAATTGGCATGATACCCTGGATCCATATTGCAAGGATGCAAGAATATCATTTTGTAGAGTGAAAACTAGCCACCATTAAGTATAAAGCAGGTAGTCTGACATATACGAGTAATTAAGGAATATTACTTGCCTCACAAAGCTCATTAGGATATTCCTGGACTATGCTATGCTGAAGAATGATGTGAAGCTCCTCGGTTGACTTCGCAATGTCGCCGTTAGTCCTATGCGACTTCTTGCTCTTGCTGTAGCTTAGCTTCTCGTTCACTCCCCACGTCCGAATTCGAACAGACCGCCGAAGTAAAGAGGCCGGCCCAGCGTGGACGCTTCGGCTGTCTTTTTGGATCCGCGCTTTGGCGTCTGCGCTTCTGGCTCATCACCTGTGGCTTTGGGCGGTCGACCCTGCCTTTTTGGATGCCGTTTCCATGCTTTATCCGAGATATTGGCAAAATTCCGCTTCTCGGGGGGTACCCATGGCATACCAATTTCTTTCAAGATGGTATCCTCGTCCTCCGCCTCGACAAGCTCCCAATGCCCAACACTCACGTCCTTCACGGGAAAGACAGGTCTGGGCGATTCATCATCGCTTGGTTCGGGGTCTGTGTATATCCAACGCCATAAGCCGTATTCGTTGAGGAATATGCCCAACTTCCGCGCATGGTCGCTGATGTAGTGATAATAGTCGACGTCCCCAGTTTGGGTAAGGTAGGCGGCTCCGCGTGACTTCTTTCCAACCACGCTGAATGAATACCAGATGTCAGTTAGAACCTCGTATCTATCTACCACGTAGATGAGAACGTACGTTAAGCGCATCATACGGTATTCTCCTGTGAGATTCTCGATTCCTTCTCTCCTGGAGATGACGCTCTCCATCGCGCCAGACTCCTTATACTCGGGCAAACGAACCCAGCCTTCCCATTGCCACCCACCACGCAGATTTTTTGCGACACAGCCAGCAAGAAGACCACGATCAACGAGATCCTCAATGACCGCTTCTGTTTCGGGAGGAATTTTGGGTGTAATAAGGAAGCTCTTCGTTCGCCAGAGTGGTGGGTCTATTTGACTAATCCCAGGATGCACAATCAAGATGTCAATCTCGTCGAGAGCGTCAAACATACGACGGCTAATACAAATGAGATTTTGCAGAATAAAGCAATAAAATAACTTACTAACTTCCGACAAGCATGACCTCACAATCAGGTAACATTTGCCCGACGAATTCCTAGGACAAAATTAGGTATTATTCAGTCATTTGCAAGGAGGTAAACTCACAGCAACTTTCTCCGCCGCGTCCCGTGTAGCTTTCTTATCCCAGTGATCCGAGAAATTCAAGTCCACTTGAACAGGTACGGGCAACGTTTTCAAGAAGCGAGGCTCCTTTATTTGCTCCACGGTCCTGCAACCTGCGGCAAATAACCTCTTAGATAACCCCTTCCTGTGCAGACTGTCTGAGGTCGAACCGTGAAAAAAGGATGAAACGTGGCTTACCCAATACCTCTTATACCTTCCAAGGTTTTTATAGCCTCCTTCCGTTGGTGTTCATGCAGAGACATTCTTGTATCTAGCTCGGGCTGGTAACGAGAAACGTAAGCACGACTGAAGGATAGGATACGAGTGGATACATTCAAACGAACATCAGTAGAGTCACCATTTAGATATGATGCAATTCTAGATTTTATTCCAGGCCCAACCCCGCGTAACTAATAGACGTCAATGATGGCAAAACCTGGACCAGGAAACGAGCTGACATCTGCGGTATCTCCAATAGACGTAATACGTTTGTCCATAGCCTTAATTTGGCTGATAGCTTTCGTGAACACAGCAACTTTGAACGAGTTTCGTGTTGGACTGTCATTCTCGGCCTGTTTATCTGTATTCCACCTTGAGTCCACAAATTGGGTAGGAACAAGCAATGAGACACACGTTTCTCCAACATATCTATTAAGCCCTGATTAGGGGAGGCCACCTGTTTGCTATACGTCCTCGAAGCCGAAAGAGGTGTTTGCAGAGAGCGGATAGCACGTCTTGTAATCAAAAACATCTTGACTACAGCGTGCAGAAAATTAAGCAAAGCAAGGCGGACGAGTCAGGTGCGGTATGGAGGGAAGCACGCGTTGTGATAACCAGATCCACTGGAAAGTGAAATAACAGTGATTCGAGGAAATATTATAAGTGCAACCTTAAGCAGAGAGTAAGAAGACCAGACAGACAGACAAGTTGTGCGCGTTTGGGTTTGCGTTGAATGGTCACTGCTACCGGCGCTTTACGTCGGATAACCTTTGAAACCTACTGTACCTTTTCGAACTTGAACTTCATCCACTTCGTAACTTTGAACTCAAGGCTGTCGTTTGACGGCCTTGACAGGGCTATGAATCGTCTGGAACTGTGACGTATCAGATGTCGCTTTGAATATCTGAGGCTCATTACTGGCTGGGAAAAAATGGTTATCTGAATCTTTTGGTACCCCAGCATGCGTTTCTCATGGTCGCCAACTTATTTTCTGCTTGATTCCCAACCGCCATGTTACTTTCCTTATCTTTGGGCTTTCTGGGCCTGATAACCGCTGCGAAGGGCGCTGCCCAGCACCGATTTAAGACTACTTCCAGCCCCAATGTTCCGGCTATACCCACTGTGTTCGAAAGCTACGATGCTGGATTATTCACTCCGTTGGAGGATTTGGATTTACTCTCTGCGGAGGTATATACTACATTGAGGCATCCTGTATTTCCCAAACATAGTGTCAGGATCAAGAAATCGACAGAGTTCTGTGACGGCACTGTCAAGTGCGTTCTGTCGTCTAACAGCATTTGGAGATGATATTGATGAACATGAAATTTCCAGTGCGTACACTGGATATATTGACATACTGGCCAGACACATCTTTTTCTACTTCTTCGAGAGTAGAAGCAACCCTGATAAGGATGATGTTATCTTCTGGACTAATGGCGGTCCTGGTTGCTCATCGGCACTGGGCCTTTTCATGGAGCTGGGTTAGTGTGGCAAAGGCTGTGTACGTCGTATCTGATGGGCAAATTGTTTTTGCGACTAGGTCCATGTCGCGTGCAGAAAGCAAATGCTACGACGTTCAATCCGCATGCCTGGAATGAGAACGCCAATATATTCTTCGTCGATCAGCCGATTGGCGTAGGCTTCTCATACGCCGACTACGGAGAGACTGTTGTAAGTGACTGTTTAAATATCTCCATGTTAATTCTCGTGACACATGACCTAAGGGCACAACGGAAGAAGCGGCTAAAGACCTTGCTGCCTTTGTCGCTATATTTTTTGAACATTTCACCAAGTTTAAGGGACGGAGTTTCCACATGGCTGGCGAGTCATATGGGGTATGTGGTCTATTTGAATCTTCTTCAGTGGTATTGATTCGTTTTTGTGCTAGGGTCGCTACATCCCCGTATTCGCATCTGAGGTATATGATCAGAACACGTACCTTGTTGAAGCTGGCATGACCCCCATCAATCTAACATCGGTTATGATAGGTATTTGTTTTGCGCCACTTGTATTGCTGGAGCTCATTGGTGCATTCAAGGGAATGGATGCACTGACGAGGGCACTATGTATCGCTCATACTACGATATGCAATGCTCGCCCGCCTCTGTCCAACCTGTGAACAGCATCACGTATGAACCTCGATTTTCCATCTCCGTTTACTTGTACTAAAATATATATAGCTCGTGCGTGTTGATGCGCCAGATGGTGTGCATTCTTTCAAGCGTCTCCATACGTAAACCCTATTGACTGGTTCTCTCAGGTTCCACGTTGTGAGAAAATGTTCAAAGAGTCTTGCTCTGAGACAATGGATGCAATCAATTGCCTTAATGCTATAAACTTCTGTTATGACGCTGTATTTACCCCATTCATGGCTACGGGTGGGCATAAAACTCCCGATTGTGAAGCAGGAATCGGTCTAACGTCGTATGGCAGGTATCAATCCATATGATCTTGGCAAGACCTGGTTAGTTCTGTTTGCACTGTCCTTTGATGATGATGCTGACGTGTTTTATGCAGCGAAGGCGAGGTAGCGGATAATCTGTGTTATCCCATTACGAAGTGAAGCTCTAGTTTGAAAACTACGCAGGACACTGACAAATATGCCCCCAGAGAGATATCTGCATTCCTGGACCGCGCTGACATCCGGAAGACTTTGGGTGTTGATTCCTCGGTTGGAAATTTCTCGTCCTGCAGCGACCATGTTAGCGCGAGGTTTAGCGCCAATCTCGACTTCGTGTTCCCCACACAATACTATATCGCCGCACTACTGGAGCGAGGGGTGAAGGCTTTGATATACGTTGGCATAAATGACTGGATCTGCAACTGGGTATGCATTCATCGACCTCAATTCGACTTCAGGGTTAACTTGTAACCATTGACTTTGCAGGTCGGAAATGATCGCATGACGCTAGCGTTAGAGTGGGCAGGCAAGGAGGCGTTCAATGCCCAGCATTTACGTGAATGGCAATTCAATGGTACCTCCGCTGGGCTCACTCGCAAGGCTGGACCGCTTACATTTGCGACTATCTATGACGCTGGGCATATGGTCAGTTTTGCTCCAGGTTTCCTCATAGAATTCATCTGATTCTATACTATGCTTTTACAGGCACCATATGACAAGCCGGAGGCCTCGTTAGAGTTGGTACAGAGATGGTTGGCCGGTGATGAATTGTGACCACCGCAGAAGGAACCTATAGCCTCGTTGTAGGTCTTCTACCAGATCTCACTGCTTTCGTTACAGGTGTATATCAGACCTGCAAGGTATATCTAATCTCAGAGTTTGTATTTCAGTGTACGAAACCGAATATTTGTGCATGAAGGCGCGACATGGTCGAACGGCAATTCAGAAAACATGAACGAAGTCTTCTCTGCCCGCGAAATTGGTAATACTGACTAGCATTCAAATCTCTCGTCAAATGCAACGATGTTAATGGAAAACAGGGTCTAGGTCTCTTGCAAGCCGGACGCCTATGATATCCCAGTCATTGCCTAGGTATCTGCGCCGGACCCGATGATCTCTGCCGGTCAGACTTGGACGCCTCATCACATATAAATATGACCGCGCCTGCGCTCCATCTAATTCCTGACATCATGCTACTCCTCCTGTCCCTCCGTTTGTTCGTTCTCCTATACACAGTGAATGGTGATATCCAGCACGCGTTCAAAACTCATGGGTCTAAGACCCATCTCACTACCTTCTCCAGTGCCTTCGAAAACTACGACACCGGTCTCTTTACCGCAATCGGGGACTTGAATCTGCTTTCTACAGAAACATCTACGACATTGAAACATCCTCTCTTCCCGACATACAGCGTCAGAGTGAAGAAGTCAACAGACTTCTGTGATGGTACCGTCAAGTGAGCTTTATGAGATGATAGACGTTACTTCGTGCAAATACTGAATTAGATTCTTTGTATAGTGCATATACGGGTTATATTGATATAGAAGCCAGGCACATATTCTTCTATTTCTTTGAAAGTAGAAACGAACCGGACAAGGACGATGTGATCTTTTGGACCAACGGTGGGCCTGCATGTTCATCATCTATGGGTCTCTTCATGGAACTGGGTAAGCGAGGATATCCATGTCTACTGTTTAACCCGAATCAAGACACCTTATCTCAACAGGTCCATGTCGTGTGCAAGACGTGAACACGACAAAGTTCAACCCGTACGCCTGGAACGAGAAGGCGAATGTATTCTTCGTTGATCAACCTGTCGGTGCAGGATTCTCGTACGCGGATCACGGAGAAACCGTGGTACGTGACACTCAATAAACCAAGCGCACGTCCTTTTCATGGTACTCATCTAGAGTACGACTGAGGAAGCTGCAGAGGATATTGCGGCCTTCGTCGCTATCTTCTTCCAACACTTCATCAAGTTCGCAGGGCGAGGTTTGCATTTGGCTGGTGAATCATACGGAGTAACGCAGGTTTCGTGTATCACAACTCTGCAAATCAGCTGAGATTATTTCTCTGACAGGGTCGTTTCATTCCTGTTTTCGCCTCCAAAATCTATGACCAAAACTCTCACCTCGTCGAAGCTGGTTTCACAGCAATCAACCTTACGTCGATCATGATAGGTGAAAACCGTTCCTTTGTCACGCGCGATACTGAATTGACGATAGTTCAGGCAACGGTTGTGTAGATCAGAGCACACTTTTCAGAGCATACTACGAAATTCAGTGCACAAATGCCTCTATTTCACCTATCAATAGTATTTCGTATGATCTCTGTGCTTTTTCCGTTCCCATCTATACTGAATACTTCATAGGAATTGTGTACAAATGCGTCAACTGGTGAATTGCCTTCTGTTCTCACCACGAGAAGCACTGCTGAACTTCAAGGACCAGGTACCCCGCTGCGAAAAGTGGTACAAAGAGTCTTGTTATGACATGATGGACGCTATTGCCTGTCGAGCTGCCTTTTCGTACTGTTATGATACCCTTGAAACATTCTTTGCAACAACCAGTGAGTTTTCGTATTTCATTTAGGGATGCCGCCGTGTTCAGCTTGCTTCGTAGGAAGAAACCCATACGATATCAGCAAATATTGGTATGTCGTTTAGTGTGTCGTTTACACGACTGATTGAATTGTTAACAGTGAGGGCGAACATGATGATACATTATGCTATCCAATAACGAAGTAAGAACGATATTCTCATTCCGGTGTCTTTTCCCTCATCGCGCCTCTACCTTAGAGAAATCACCGCTTTCCTCAATCGTCTTGACATTCGCGAGACGTTGGGCGTCGACTCTTTAGTGGGCAACTTCACTCCATGTAACATGCACGTCGTAGCAAGGTTCGGAGCAAATCTCGACCAACTCTTCCCAACCCAATACTACATCGCAGCCCTCCTAGAACGCGGCGTGAGAGCTTTGGTATACGTTGGTGCCAATGACTTAGTCTGTAGCTGGGTAACTCACCCTCTGATTCCGTCGACATGATCACTCGCTCACTCAAGCACGTATGATTTTAGGTGGGTAATAATCGCATGACACTGGAAATGGATTGGACAGGCAAAAACATTTTCAATGCCCAAGACTTGCGCGAATGGAGGTTTAATGGTGCTGCCGTTGGACTGACTCGCCGTGCGGGGCCATTGACATTCGCAACAATATATGGCGCTGGGCACATGGTTAGAGATCTGTTTAGCTTCTTTCACACAGTGCACCAGTGGCTAAGCATTGTATTCCACAGGTGCCCTACGATAAGCCAGAAGCATCGCTGGAGTTGGTTAAAAGATGGCTGGCAGGCGATGACTTGTAAATCAGCCTGTCAGAGTCCTGCATAAGCCCGATTATCTGAGTGACATCCGACCGACAGTGACGCAGAGTTCTGACAGAGGTCAGGAGTCCAGTAATCCAAAAGACTTGGGATGAACAAGGACAATCCGAGAGATAGCAAAGTCAGACGAGCGAGATCATAGTATTTGGCCAAGAGTCCAGTGAAGGTTGGACATGAATGCTGGGCACTGTCCCTTGACCGGAAATCGCGCAAGTCGACAGAACATCTGGCGGTCTAATCCGCCCAGGTGATCTTTCCATGTTCGCCATGGTGAAGGGCACACGGTCAATGACCGTTCTTCTCGAGCCGCCTATTGATTCATTTGAACGTACCTTTCTATAGGTACCAATGACAAGCCAAATCCAAAGTTTCACTGAAGATGGTGAACAGATCGGTTCGCAGCCGAAAATCTAGAATAGAGTGATTAATCTATACCGTAGACGATTACACTGGTAATCCGTGGCCAGAATCGAGTAGGATACCGAGTACATACATATATGCGTCACGAACGAACTAGCAAGGTAAATCTGAAGGAAAATGACACAGTGAAACTATCTCCTTCGCCTGGCAGTCGCTTGGGACTGGAATTTTGAAGTCTCTCTCCGGAGACGACTGTGACAAAGTGCATAAGTAGGGTCCAATATGCTAAACCAAGATGAATCACGTACCGACTCGCACGTTCTCTCTCAACCTCCCTCCTCTCCACCTCCTCTGCAGACAAGACTTCAAACCTCGTCCTGAACTCCTCTGCCTCTGGCCAATCCTTCCACACACTCCTCAACGCTTTCGGACCCCGACCTTCCTTCGGTGTCCTACCCCATCCAAGACCCAACCCAGTCTTATCCTTCAACAAGCTCAAACCGCTCTTATCACGAGGTTTGTCTGTTGGCTCTTCAGCAGTCTCGGCACCGATGACACCCCATTCGATAGCATCGCGTTTATGCTTGATGAGTTCTTCGTGGATGGCGTGGGCGATGAGTGGAATGGCTTCACCGGCAAGGCCGAGATCTGAGCAGAGGGTCATTGCGAAGCCTTCAGGTGTAAGGGGTGAAAGTAGGTCCCATTCGATGTGGTCCACTAGATGATATGTGCCGATTTGCACGTCGATCTATTAAAAAAGGCATGTTCAGGTTCGACGTTCAGATCTATAAGAACGAGGGAGCATACACTGAGTACGACACGACACTCTGGTACCTCCTCTACGCCTTGCCCCTCTTGATTATCCATCATCAAGTAGTAATCTGCGCCTAGATCCACGCTTGCAACACCTTCATGGTCCTCTAGTTGGGCACGGATTTGATTCGCTATTGTGTCCGCCCAGGGGTTTAACGGTAGGTCGAGGTCCATGCAGAATGCTCGGGCAAAGGTTTCAGGGCGGATGAGACCTTCATGCAGATTCCAAACGAAGCAGTCGCGTATTCGATGTGTGTCTGTCTCGAACTCAACACGTATAGGGACAAGGGAGGAAGGTTTACGAGCTTGGTTCTCCATAGCATCTTGTGGGCTGTTAAAATAGTTAGTCCGAATAAGTACATCAGGATGAAAAGACGCATACAAATAGTCGTGTCGAGTTGGTGCCATAGGTTTTGCAGTGATAAAATGCGCCGGGGGGATTTGCCCCAGGTAACTCTTATCCAGTTCATCCTTCCTTGGGCTTTCGGGTTTTGGCTGAGCGTGTACTTGAATCGTAGGGGTTGAGCTCCCTGCTCGGAATACACCAGCACCAATAGGTGCACGACTCGACAACCTAGCTGTGCGCAGAGCTGTCCTAGTCCCACCACTTGCTACGAAATCTGAATCATCCGACTCAATAGCACCAGCATCAGGGAACTCGTCTCCAGAGCCAGGATCCACGTAATTCACAACTCCTCCACGACGAGATGACCGCGTAGTCACGGCAGCAGTTGAAGGTGCATTGAAGATAGGTTGCATCAAGAGAGTAGTCCCTGTACGCAGACGAGATGCGTATGTAGAATACATAGCCTGAGGTTGGGTCGGAAGAGGAGTTTGAGCAGGCGGGCCATATTGTGGTAGGGGCGGTGGAGCTACAGGAGGTCGTACAGGGGTCTGAGGTGCAGCAGGAGCAATGATCGGTTGTACATAAGTAGAGGTACTGGCTTGAGGTTGGGGCGTGGGGGCTAGGGAGCTTCCTCTAGGTGGGCGCGTTCGTCGGGGATTTGTGCGTCCATTCATTGGTGGAGGCGTGACAGATGTCGACCACTGTCTAATGTTATTGAAATACGCTGCGAGGACAAGTCAATATGCTGAATAACATGGGGAGAGATCACGAAGTGTTACCTGGGTGGGCGTTTGGCCGGGCTGCGGCAGACGAGAGTTGGGTCATGGCGGTCTTCAGTTGTGCATCAGACATGTTTTCGAAAGGATTTGGATCGCTCATGTAGGTGATTTTCTACGAGGCTACAGGACGTGATGTCCTTCACATAAGAAGCGAGCGGACAAAGCAATGAGCTTTGGACGCGTTTGAGCCTCCGCAGAACCTCGTCGTGGTGAGATTTGCAGTGTAGAGTTAAAACAGTCGAAGATGCTGGCTAGTCCTCAAGTACCGACGTGGGTTGCGAAGATGTTGGCAGTCTGAGTGTGTGCGCTTGAAGCTCGAGCTTGAGGTTGCGGATTCGAATTTCGAGTAACTCAGTAAATTCGGCGTTTCGATTAAGATTACAAAGAGTAATTATTTAAATTAAAATGAATATTATCAGCGCCGATGGGGTAGTGGTAACCTGGGTCGTTGCCATTGGCGAAAATCGACCCGCCGGGGGTTCAATTCCCCCTCGGCGCACTACAGATGCATAGGACTGAAGTCCTTTTTGTTAATCGTTTTGGTATATGGTATGGAATCCAGGTTATTCGCCGATTGCGCGGTCTCCTATATATTTACAAAGTGAGACGGAACATGAAAATGAATGTACTGCATCTCTCCTCTTATTGTTCAATTGTTTTCAGTCCAATTGACACTATGCATTATGCTAAGAGATGGAGCTAGGGAGGTGCATAACATGAATAACAACCTGTCTTCCAACGTTGGGTGGACAACATGATAGCTAATGTATGAAAGTAATCAACGAGATAACAATCACAAATGTAGGTTCTTAGCCTGGCGGCCAAATAAAAGAGTCAATTCAAGCCACGTAAGTGCCGGATAAGCCTTTGTTGCAAGTCAGAGAAGAAAAGAAAAAAGTGAAGCACGGATCTTTTCGACAGACCCAGGCGGGGGTATCCAGGAGATTTCAGGTTCTAAAGTGTTCTCTAGGGAATCTCAGAAACAAGAACACCCGTTGTCGAAGAGACTGGATGAAGAAGAGGTATGATTCTATAGTTCCCATTGTCGATGGCTTCTTCGGACCGTGAGATTTTTCGATATAGCTCTCCCGTAAGCTAGTTGAGTGAGCCCGTACTACGCACAAGGAGAACAACCATAATCTCCGGGTGCTAGAGAGTAGGCGTCTTCAGACTGTGCCGAATTGCAGCCACGTAGCGTAGTACTCCAAGTTTTTGTATTTCAACCCGCAGGATGGTGGCATATCCGTCTTCATAGTAGACAAGGTCCGCCGCATGCATCCAGCAACATACTCGCGCAGGAGTGATAGGTCTGCTTGGGGGAGAGTTAAATACTAAGTGCGTTGGGGCACTAGTACGACATAGTGCACAGCGAGAGTAAATCCACGGAGACACACCTAGAGCGATAGTCGCGCAACCAAAGCACGACGGGATTACCGGATGAGAACACCCAAGCCACGGTTGATTAACAGACATGAGAACATCAGCCCGCAGAGAGGTCGAAAGACATCATGGTACCCAACAAACAAGATAGAGCAAAGAACGCTTACGTTGCTTATGACGGAGCACTGAGTACTGAGTGATGGTCGATGATAGGCTGGTTCCATCTTGACCCTGACATGCAACTGGACTAATTCAATCAAGGTTGTCCGTCCTGTTGGCTTGCCCTACGGAATGCTTTGACTTCAGGGTCATGGTGCTAGCTTTGGTCTTGCAGAGGACCAGGTTGAAACAGGCACCTAAGGATCTAGACAGAAGAGACTATGGCATGTAGGAATGAGTACATTAGTGAGTCATTACAAACTTTCAAACCGTACGTTGAACGGCGAGGCAATGCCTAGGGTGCGAAACAGGGTCATGACGTCATAGATGTCTCTGCATACTTATGGCGAAGCAAGCCACTGCGCACGAGAGCTTCCTTCCTCTCATTCCACATCATCTCAAATCCAAGAGTACTATCAGGTCTATAAATTGGCCAATTTACCACCGTTTATACCCTCACCTCCTACCAACATGTCCATTTCCCAAGAAACTTCAGCTCGTTCCGAAGCTCCTCGTTCCGTACGTCCGATTCTCCTACTTCCTCCCTTGCATTCAGCCAAGATTCTAACACTTTGCTTTTACCTTCATAGAGCCCGGTCATTGACGCACAGTCATACCAATACCAGCAGGAGCCTCAACTTCCATCAGAGACGGTTCAGCCTGGACAAGTAGATGTAGCCCCTCAACAAGGTACGTAAACGATCCATTGCAATGACGTCATTTACATGAGACGATAATCAATATCGTTACATTACGCAGGTGCTACTCAACCTGGCTCAGGTACTGAAGCTCCGGTGAAAGTCCTTCCCGCACGTCGACTTTCTTTCAAAGAAAAGGTCGTAGGTACGTACCCCTCACTCCTTGACGTCCCATGAAGTCAAAAAGAAGTCCGTCAGCTAACACTAATATTGCTTGGAAACAGGTTACGCAAAGGCACGTAGTCGGTCCTCCTACGCACCCGTTTACCCCGTTCGTCTCGAACCATCATGAACTAAAACGCCGTCCCTACTACAGGAGATCCGTGGAGCGGCTTTGCACAAGGTACGTTCTTTCTCCGCGCATTCATATAGCGTAGGATATGATTTACTGAACGGGAACATGAAGCCGGAAACAAAGGAACAAGGGGAACGAATCTTACAAGGGCAGGAGCACTTCGAGCCGAAGAAAGTCGGTCCTGGAGCCCACAGGGACAGGTCACGGTCGAAGTCGCCTACTACTAAGTCAGATAAGCCGGCCCCGTCGTCGCCTTGAAACAAACCATGGAGGTCGGAGTGGCGTTGATTCTGTCTTTTTCGGAGGACTTGTAGTGCCGGATGTACTTTCTACCTACCGCTTCTGGTTGTATGTAATAATACCGTATATTCCTGAACTTTCATGCGGATTTTCCAGAAATGCAAGGAAGTTCGATGATGTAATTGACCATAAGAGGTATGTGCATTGCCTAAAGTAGAACTCCTTACCTATTTTGGAGCGGTACAATTAGTCAGTCTTCAATAGAGAACTTACGCCTCCTGCGTTTCATCAATATCGAGTGCACACGGGAAAATACACAGTATAATTATACAAGTAATTTATGTGACATTGCGTGGGGGCGTCCATCCAAGTGCGAGACAACAGCGATGGTATATAGGATGAGTTGGTCGTGAATTCGTGACTCGTGACAGGGGAGTGGGGTGGGGGAAGGTGCGCAAGTTAACCCACAAGAAACAAAATATGGCGAAGCCGAAGAGCACCAAGCGTCTGATGTGCCCGAAGTGTCAAGAATTTCGAGGGAACGGCACCAACCTGCAGTGCTCCAAATTCCAGACATCAACTCTGCCTGCGGATAGACTATGGAGAGGATGCTGAGGAATGAAGAAGTGGTGTACGTTCCGTTGGTGTCGCCAGCGACGCAGGTAACGATATAGGTGAAGGTGCAACGGGTGAAGAGCCGAGAGACGAAGATGCCGAAGAAGATGGCGGGGGCGGGGGCAGAAGCGTCGACGCACTAACTGGGGTAATGTGTTGATGAGGAAGGCGGGATTGAGGTTGAGTAACATCCGCTTTGCACACAGGACACTGTTCTCGGAATGAATCATTGAGTTGTTGAGTTCTAGTCAGGAAAAGGGATCAAAACGTACCAGTTTCTTCCGATTGATTAACCACTCGTCTACTTCATCCAAATGGAACATATGTCCGCAAGGTAGAACCCGTACACGCTCACCCTTCGCAAACATCTCCAAGCAAATCGCACACTCAGACTGGTGCTCCATCCACTCCGGTTCCTCTTCCTCTTCAAGCTCTTGCTCTCGACGTATCCGCAACTCTTCTTCCTCCACCACTTCTCCCCGTTCCAAATCCCTACGACTCGAGTCCGCAGAGCTAGCGCGAGCGTGACCTGGTGTATGCAATGTGGGTAAGAAGGAATGAGGATGAGGAGGGGGATGTTCGATAATAGGGTCGTGTTTCTCCCATCCTGTGCCTGTCCAAACGCGCCATGGAAGTCTGTGGACAAACTCTTCGGGTGCTCGGTCTCGTTGGGCGGCTCGTGCGGCTCGTATGCGATGGATTAGAAGAGTGAGGAAAGTGAGTAGGGTTGGGAGGAGGAGGATCACGATGAATGTGATGATTGGAGAGTACCATTCCCATGCGGAATATTCTGTGGTGATCAGGAGTGAGAGCGTGCGAAGACCGTTATGCGAAGTATTGGAAGAAGCGATGAGAGAAGATAATTGAAGATAGTCCCAATATTTTATGTAAGTTGCAGCAATTTTGACGTCTGATGCATCTGCTATAGAGCGATCATTCGTTAACATTGACCAAGACAGAGAGTGTCTGACAGATGCTTACTTTCGCTATACATATTCAGCAATGCGTCAGGATTCTCCCTATCGCCACCAACGACGACTGCCGATGCACCCAATTTCTGAGCCATCCTCGCTTTGTCAACAAATGGACATCCACCCCTCTGGACGAGAGCAATCCACTTCTCATCTTGATCAGGTACATTGGGCCCGCTTATACAGAGTTCGGGACAGCCCAATACGGGGTCAGGCTCGTACTTTCTTCCAAATCTGAATGAAACAGGCGTCCTCGACCAAAAAGAGGTGGACGAAGTGTCATTGGAACGAGGACAAGGCGCCGTGAATGAAGATAACGGTATGACATAACCCAGCAAGGGGTCGAGAAGCTCTAAGCCAAACGAAGCCGGTCTTGCAGGAAATGTAATCGCAGGGGTACGGTCGACAATGGACACAGTTCCATCAGCTGCCCACGCCCATTGCCAAAGCCAACCATTTGTTGGACCTTCGTGAGCTCCAGGACCGACGTCTGTTCCGGGGATATGTGCCAAGGAAAACTTGCGAAGCCATGAGACGGTGTGGGCGACGGTGGGGGTGACTAAGAGGTAGATGATGAGGAGGAAGGAGGGGAACATGTATCTTATGAGAGATGGCGAGGGCCTGGAGGGGAGAGGAGGAAAGAGGAGACGAGCTCGACGGAGGATGTCCATTATTGCGAAAGGCGGACGGTGATCGAAGGTCCTCGACTCCGAATCGACTCTTTCTTTTCGGCGACCCAGACCTTCCAGATCTGCTCTTCGGCAATGCCCGTCGCATGTGATTCCTTTCTTGGCTCTTGGCGAGGATCGTCGTTGAGATTCTTGAGAACGTTCAAATGGTCAATCTTCGAACTTGAACATTTTAAATATCAACGTTCAACGTTAACAGTCATCGAATCAATGTACGATGTTCAACATTCCCGTTCAATGCTTTGCGTGCGGAGGTGAAATCGGTTCGTGACGATTTGTGTCGGTGATTGAATTACTCAAGTTGTATGTCATCGTCAAGGGGCTAGCTCATCATGCCAATAATCACTCAGTAACTTACACCCTTCTATATTGTTCGGTACAATGTCTCTTGACGTGGCCACGGGTCAGAAACCCGTGCACATGCTCTCAAGACTGTCAATTAATCGTGGCATAGATGTTTTCATCTGGTGGCCGTACCGTCGCGCCAGTATTGCGATGGGTGAGTTACAAGGCTCGTCTGCGCCACTACGCGCTCAATTGGGTTGATATAAAATGTCAGGCTTTAATTCGCATCGTACGGGGCCTATCACGCCTTCGCGAGTATGCCGATGGATGCATATATTAGACCCACTGTACCACGACGGGCGTGCAGTTCTGCGACCCGTCCAAATTCAGAAATGCGGCGTATTACTCTATGACGCTCAAGTATCCGGTCCAGTCCTGAACGAAGACGCTTATTTGATGCCTGGTGACTACGGTTATTTTCCTGGTATTTACATTCCCGGAATTTACAGGATTATCATTGTGTGCTCATGCTGGGCTGTAGCGGAATCCAAAGAGGGACTCAATTGGCGCGTACAACCATTTCGATCCCTTCCGTCGGTTACGACCATCGAAAGAGAACGGGAACTTGCAATTAGGCTCCCAAAGTTGTTTGCTAGGCAACCGCACATTGTAAGCCCCCTATCCTCGCCCTGTAGTTCTATTCGTTGATGTGGCGTGTAGTTGGAAGTTCCTGCGGAATTTCAGGAAGTTGTTCAGCGGCGGGACTCTGGTCGATGTTTTGTCTCTGGGACTTCGCCTGAAGAGGGTGCAGAACTTGAAGTAACATGGATATTTCCCCCTGCGTCCGTCAGCAAGGTAAAAGCCATTAGGGTACTGATCAACTTACGTGCTCAGTACTTTGTTGACTTCACAGTTCGATTGGCCACGTCCTGGGCATCCTAATGCCGTAGTGGCGGATAACACTGCGGCAATGCGTAAAGACATTTTACCATCATTTCGAAGAAATGTCTTTGGGGTTGATGTGGATGTGCGTCTATTAATTTCGCTCTGACGGCTACCTGACCACCTACTAAATGAAAACGCAACTAGGACAACCGTCGCATCGTTACATTTTATGACACGGGTTCCACCCAACTCCCAACCCACCTTCCGACGTCTATCCCAGGACCCAGTGATCAATACCTCAGAATGCATCTCCGCTGGTGTCTCGTGGCGTTTACTACGGACCTCGACATCATGGAGGAAATTGACTGGCGTGACATAGTTAGGCTGGAGGAAGAACTGGGACTAACGGGCGAAGATGCGGATTGCGGAGTTGTGCCAGCGGACGATGAGAGGTGGCAGACGCCTCTTGGACGGGAGATTTGGGAAGATGTTATTAGAAGGGGGTTGTGGGACACGATGCAAAAGCAAAAGACTGAGGAGGAAGAGGACGAGGAACCCGTATCCGTCATAGATGTCAGTGCGGATGGATGGCCAGCTGATCCTTACCGTCTGACAAGGTGAAGCTTCCCGAGCGTTTTCCAGCCACTTACATGACGATCATCGGTGCCTTCAACCCGCTACTAGTAGTCGTCAAAGATTGCTATCCCGTTACTGTTGCGAATGTCATGGGGTATATTTTATCTCGGACAACTAAATGCTTTTGGCCCAACCTTCGCCTCCCCCATGTTCCTCTACCTTTGCCTCTATGCACAAACTCATGTGAATTAGGCGAACTTACAGGATGCTTGTGCTGATATTGTATCGTATCGAATCTCAGGATGTAGTTGAAGAGTTTGTATGACCATTTCGATACTTTCCATTGGTTATGACCATCGAAAAAGAACAGGAACTTGCCCACCCTCCGTTGTGAACCTGCTTTCCTCAACCCTATAGTTTCATCGTTGACGTGGAATACCGTTCAGCAGCGCGATTTGGGTCGTTTTTTTTTCTCAGCGGACTTCTTCAGGAGAACGCATAAACCGCAATAACTTAGATATTTCCCCCCCTGCCTCGGTCAGAAAGCTACCTGTCTTGAGAATCCTGATTATTGCTTGTACTACTTTTTATTTTCAACACAGATTGAATGGCTGCTTCCCAGAGAGCCCAATGGCTTAATAATTGACAACTCATAGCAGACCCCGTTTATTAAGACGATGTGCAGGTATCCGACATGTCAAATCCAGAGTCGGAAATGTGGTATTACATGATCACAGGATCTGTGCTTGCTGAAGACGTCACTTTAACACCTGGAGATTAGGGTCATTTTACTAGTGCATAATGCGGGATCAAAAAGCGTGCAAGATAGTTGTCTCATCATGGCATGAGACAGAGTCAGTGTGAGACCGATTACTAGTATTAGCACCCTCCTCGTACTGTGGCGACTACACAACGAGCAGTCGGACTGATTGTAGCCCATCGTCTTGCTGTGTGATATTTTTATTGGTGTGGAATACTGCTAGATGTACCTGTACTAGAATTCCGAGTCGACCGCTCTGTGCAACGGCGGGACTCTGGCCGGTGTCATGTCTCCGGAAGATATGCTCCACCGAAAACGCCTCTTCTCCGCTGTTTCATAACTCGTTTCTTTCCAGATTGCTATCCGGATAAAACGTCCTCGAAATGGCAAGGAAATGTACATAGACATTTGACGGCTACTCCGAGAAGACATCTTTAGCGTTAATGTTGAGTTGAGCACAGTGCTCACTTATCACCGATCGGATGCACACTTACCCTTCCATGCTAATCCGGAGGGTACCCAGGAAACATATCGTACTTTCATCTTCTTTGACCTGGGCGAAAGAATACCTTTCGCTGATCTACCCACTGATATCCCAGGAGCAAGAGACGACTTTCCTCAGAATGCATTTCTGCTTGTGTCTCACAGCATTTACAATAGGACTAGACAGCAAGAATGAGACGGAAATTTGGGTTCGCCAGAGATGATGCGAAGCGCGCAAGATTTAGCAAAATGCTATCAGAAGGGCGTTGTGGGATACGGTGACATCTAGGAAAAGGAAGAGTGCAATAGAGCAGTACGGGTGACACGGACTCTCAGTACCTCTATATACGACCCCCTGTTCTGTATCCTCTATACCCATGTGAGTGAAGCATCAGATGATATCGATGCATATATATCACCATATACCGCTATGTACCTTTGCGGAGTCTATACTGCCTGATATATACACATATGTGTGAGATCCTTAGAAGTATACGACACAACATTGCACTCTATTCAAGCACATATACTGCACACAAGAGAACACTGCAATATACTTTGCATCATACTACCTCAGATATTCGCACCAGAAACTATTTGGGCATACGAAATCCGTTTGATTGAATACCGGGAAAACAATCATCTACGATGTAGTCTATTCCTCATTGTCATCATCAGTAGGATCGCCCCCGACATTGTTCCTAATCTCAGTGTCCTCGTCTCCCTTCTCGCCTTTGTATTCCTCTTCCTCGTCTTCATATTCCTCTTCCTCGCCTTCATATTCCTCCTCATCTTCTACTTCCTCATCCTCATCTTCATACTCGGCGCCACCATCCACCACCTTCACTTCATTGGCACCGGCCTCAGATACTTCCACCTCGATAGGCTCATCCTCCGATATGTTCTCAATATCTTCGAGTTCTTCTGCCTCATCGTCTGAAGTAAGCTCATAGTCAGTATCTTCAGCCGCTTCATCCTCGGAGTTTGACACAGCCTCATGGTTAACAAAAAGTGCAACCTCTGCACGGAAGACCAATTTTGGAATCACTCCAGCACTGTTACGATCACTTTCATTTCGGATCTACGAACACACCTTTCCCTCTCGTTATTCATTTGTAACCATTTATTAAAACCTGCCCAAACACATTCATTGATCCATGCTCGAACCTGACCGATACCATAAGTATATACGAACACATTGTTACCACATGTATTTAGATAATAGTTGTATATATACACCAGACGAACTTCAGATTAACTCCAAGTTTCGAATGGTTTTACCTGCTCATTTCTAAATTGATTTGAGTCCTATCATAATTCGAAACTTGCCCCTTCGCACTCTCTCGACAGGCATTGCCTCATCCTCCACCCACTCTTCACCTCACTCAAAGTCCGTTGTACTCGACGGCAACCACCTCATTCCTCACTCTACTCTGCTTTACTCTTACTCGCTCAAGACCTCATTCGGAGGGATCTGAATTCCACATTCCTAGTTACCTTTCATATCGCACTCCATTCCTCCACCTGGGTAATCACGCAACTACACCTGTAGATTGCGACCCTTGTATTCCCTTAGTATATAAATCATTACTCTCACCTGGTAGTCCGCTCTTGAAGCAACCAGGAAGTAGGCGGTGCTGCAACCTTCTTGACAGAGGGGCCGTTGAAAAAACCTACCAGAATTTACCCTGCTCAGACCTAAATGACTGAGTGTACGGCAGGAGGTTTCGAACCTCGCTGGTATCTCTTGACTCTCTTGCACGTCGAAAGACAACTACCGCGGAGATCAACTTCTCTTTTTGCGCCTTCTAAGGCCAAACCATTTTACGTAGCCACTACATCTACCTACCTCGTGTGTCCGGATCGGCAATTGGCCGGAACACTTTGAAGGAGTACCTTTACCTCAGATCTATACTCGTCTAAGTACCAGAACAGGGTCGTGCGCCCAGTACAAGACACTATTGTTCACACATCACGTCTTCATTTGAATTCCCTGACTCCGTACCTATCTACCAATTCTACGAATGCCAATCACAACCTCCTCTCTTACCTCCATCACACTCATCTTTCACACACTCCACACCACCATCACCATTGTCAGAAATGGGTTCTACTGAAGCCAGAACTGGTGATCTTGAACAAAACCCAAACCCACCCCGACAACCACCACCAGTCCCACCACAACCAAACACAAAGGCATCTGGAGCGAAACCTTCAGACTTTGACGGATCAAAAGACAAATTCCTTTCTTTCAAAAGGCAATTGATACTATGGTTCCGAACACCCAAGAATATCGGTCTTACTGATGAACAGAAAGTCGATATGACTCTTTCGTATATGAAAGGTCCAAAGGTTGACAACTGGGTCAACAATTATTTTGACAACAATTTTGATATCGATGCAAACAGCTGGAAAATAAATTTTTGTCAACTGATACTTGACCTACACAAATCGTTCCTCGATGTAAATCGAGTCGAACAAGCAGTTATCCAAATGGATAACTTGACCCAAGGCAATGGGACGGCGCAAGAATATTTCCAGAAATTGGAAATGTACATCATGCAAGCAGGCAGGCAAAGGGAAGATAAACACACTATCGACCTTGTCCGACTAAACTGCAATGAGTCCATAGTAGATAGGGCTCTTGACAGAGATACACGACCAACCACTTATGCACAGTGAAAGGAAGCGATCATTGATATTGATTCCTCGCGAAGGCAGCGGGAAGAAGAGAAGCATTTGAAGAAGATCGGATATCGTCCATTCCGATCGAACCAGAACTATGGGCAGAAATACCCTAGTTATCAGCAGCAGACCCAAGGATCGGGTCAAACTCAGAATCAGAATCTGAAGAAGGATTACAGAGAAAAGAAAGATGGAACCGGAACAACGTTCACAGGGCGTGGACAGCCCATGGACTTGGACAGGAATTGCCTTAAGTGTAAGGCCAAGCAATCAGAGAAGGGCACTTGCAGAAGTGCATGGCATGTTCCCAATCGATCGGGACCTTTCACAAACACTCAACGTTGTCCTGCACCAAAAGTGTTTGGCACATGGACAGATCACTTCGATATTCAACACTGAATACGAAAGTCCAAGACAATGTCACACTGCAGATACGACAATAATTAGGGTATGCCAATGACAACAAGTACAATAAATGACCTCCTCAACCTCAAGTCCGACTTTAATTCAAACTGACAATGTATGCCTCAAATCTTCTACAGATGAAGAGGAAGAGTGACGAGAATGAAGAATGGAAGGTAAAGAACGTGAGGAATGTACCAATGACGATGAAGTCTGAGCCAAAGTAGTCAAAGAATCCAAGGGAGGGGCTGATGAAGATGAAGGAGTGGAAGGGACAATAACTGTCTTGAAGTGAATAGAAGACAATGAGACCATTGCAATAGGAGCTGCTGCATGATTGCGTGCACCACGAGAAATGCGTCGAGGAGCAAAGAACATACACCAAAGCCACAAGGCGACCATGATTAACATCAAAGTACCAAGGAGGACGACGACTCCAATTACTGTTGGCTTAGAGACCGTGGTATAAGCCAAAGGAGTGGGAGCAGCTGAGGAAGACTCCAGGATGATCCTAAAGAAGCGATAGGTCAGAAAAAGACATTAGACTGATACTCTGAACACGCATGCAAGGTGACACACGTTGTAGTGGCCATGAGGCAGTTTCAGAATCTGAAAGTCGAATGTGAATATGACCAAACCAGACTAGAAGGAGTAAGACTTACCTAATCTCAAGACAGGTGGATCTGAAACTCGAATCTGTCTGAAGGAGACAGCTTCTAAAGACAAGTATCATCGCCTGGCAGTGCCACGTCAGCAGTAGGCGCTTAACTGGACCTTCAACACTGGTAAAGTCTGTGTATGCTCAGAAAAGACCGGAAATGACTGCAGATCAGTCAAGACTATTGTTTATTCGCATCTTCAAGCATGTTACTTTATGGTGACATGATGATGAATAAATAATCTATAAATTGGCGAGGTGAAGATAGGCAACATAATGAATATGGATCAAAGTACATGTTTTACGATGACGGTCCTCCTCCTGAACTCCTAGAGCGATCTTCACGTTTAATAATGTACCTCATTATAAGATACACTCCACAAAGGAAGGCTACGACTCCACAGATGATACCAAAGATTTCAAGAAACACCTTCGTACTTGAAGGAGGAGGCTCCAAAGCCTTCATTTCTTCGATCTACAAGGGGATCACTCTTTAATGAGTTATGAAGAGTTTAAATGATCTGAAGATACGTACCCAGCTCATATTGTCAAAAGGGTTTTTCAACGTATTCCCAACTTCTGAGAAAATACCAACTGTTCAAAGTACCGCGCAAGCACCTAATTCGTCCACAAAAGATCCTATGGACTTAGAGATATGTCCAGAAGGTCTGAATAGGATGCTTAGCAAACTTACCAAAGTTTACGATAATACTGGCAAGTACACACTTCAGAAGAAAGAGTGCGGTGTTTGAAGAAAGAAGAGTGCGTCACTCAACTCAGCTTTCTTGAACAATAACTGATCAAACCTTCAATTTCGGCAATCTCCAAGTGATACCAGATAAGATAAGGAGTCTCAGAAAGGAAGGTGTAGTGTGCAAAGTGAAGCCACCTGGCCATACAAGCACCAACTGATCGAAAGACCTTAATATCTGATGCACGATCATCAAATCTTGATCGATCGACAACTGAGCTCTCCATTCCTTACAGAATGGACTTTTCATTCTTGAAGCACTAGGCCATTGAGTCATCAAGACTCACCATGACTCATAAAGCCCCTAATGAGTCAGAAAAGGCCATTGTGACTCATCAAAAGATCATTCTGACTCATCTTAAGTCATTCTTAGTCATCGGATGCCCCTATGAGTCATCAGACACCCCTATGAGTCAGGAAAGAATGCAGATTTGTAAGTAAAGAATCCTTTAGAAGCATCTGGAATCAGCCTGAGACTGGTTTAGACTACTCCAGGCTGAAAATAGATGACTCAAGCATGGATTCTAGTGCTAAATTCATGTTTCATTAATAAGCACCTGCATTCTCTCATCAAGTAAGCGAAGCAAGTTCTTACAAATTTAGCTTGGTCATCCATAGCACAGCCCCTTTCTAGATTGTATATAATGAGCCCCTTATTTCCTGTAGTAATGTGCCTGTGCCCCTCAAGTTCCTGTAATTTCCCTAAAGTTCTGCCCCAAATTCTATCATTTCTAAAGTCCTGCAAAGCTCAAAGTCCCCAAGCTTGACACTCTCTCTTTGTGAAGTGCAAGTGAAAAGCCTGAAGCGATCTGCCACTTCTGCTGCTTTCAAATTTTCTCAACACCTACTCTTTTCTTAAGAAAAGCTGGTCATTGTACCTTCGTGTATCTTTGACTTTGTCTTAACCTGAGATTGCTATCCTAAATCCCTTTCCTTTCTCTTGTGAACTCTAAGGCATACCTTGCTTAAGACTTCACTTACCTTAAAAACACACTCCTTTCAGTGGTATAGCCAGTCAAGTCTACTTTATTGTCAGACTACACGGTAAACCTCCCCTCACCCCAAACGAACAACAGGAAAGACCCGGTGTAACGTCTCACCCGGAAACTTTTCTGCAGAAGAGAAACCTTTGGCCTCTCATCTCTTTGAGAGTGTTTTTCTTTTTCTGACCGACATCAGTGGAGCCCACCGCGAGGGCTGGGTTTTTACTCTAATTGTTGTATGTCTGATACCTCTGACTTGGCCATATTATCGCTTTCAAGTGTGAGCAGCCAAGGTGCTTTGAGAAGTACAACACCACCATCATCACCTCTAACACCTTCACCTTCATCCTCAACACTTGCATTTCCACCTCAAAACCCTATCCCTACACACACTACCGCTACTGCAATGACTACACCTCAACACCTAGGTGTAATCGACCTACCAATCCCTGGCACGAAGAATGCTCCGAAGAAATTCAAAGGAAAGTACTCAGAGATCAAGCCTTTTGTCCAGCACTACGAAAGACTCTGTCTTCAGAAAGGAGTGACCGATGCTCAAGAGAAGATAGAGAATATTACGCAGTACTGTTCAAGGGATGCACGAGAATTTATGGAAGGACTTTCAAGCTATAAGTCAGGAAACTGGGATCAGTTTACCAGAGACCTTTTGGAGTTCTATGATGCTGAAAGAGACTCAAAGAGATACCGCCCCAAAGACCTCGTCATATATGTCAAGAACTGGAAGTCTGACCACAAGACTATTCGTAATCTTTCATCCTGGAAAGAATACAATCGAGGCTTCATCAAGATTGCTGGATGGCTTAAAAAAGAAGGAAAGATTACTGAGGACACTCAGGCAATTACCTTCTGGAAGGGAATCCCTAAACCCTTTAGACATCGACTGGAAGCAAGATTACTTGCCAAGACTCCAGATCATGATCTCAGCAATCCATTCAGCATGGAAAGCATCCACAAAGCTGCTAAAGCTCTCCTGCAGCGCAACCGCTTTGATAGAGAGGGATATCTGTCAGATGGTGAGGATGACGAAAGTGAAGATGAAGACTCTGAAGACAGTGACCGTGATTCAGAAAGTTCTGACTCAGATTCTGATAGCTCAGATGATGAGAAAATAGCACAGCATGTGAAGAAGTTGAGGAAGAAGCGGAAGGAAAAGATGAGTAGAGAGAAGCTGAAGAAGAAGAAGAAATCAGAGCAAGAAGAGAAGCCCGAGGCCAAGATCAACAAGAGTGCAAGACCAACCAGGAAGAAGGAAAAGGACAGTGAGGTTGAGGAACTTATCAACCAGCTCAACAAGATGTCACTTGAGGATCCTGCCTATGCGATATCCTACTTCAGAGCCTGTCGACTCGATCCCTTGGTTGCTGATATTGTACCAAAGCCTAATGAACGTCATCAAAGGATAAATGCTCAACCTTCTGGACAATTCTTCAATAATAGCTCTAGACCTCCAATGCAAAGGCAGATGCCTCCTCACATGGATAATGCACCTACTGGTGATAGAAGATGTTTCGGATGTGGTCAGACTGGGCATGGAACAAGGTTCTGTCCCAGAATGACTGAACTTCTATCTCAAGGCATTGTGAGTCGAGATCCTGCCGGATGCTATGTCATGGCAAATGGACAACCGATCATGAAGATTGCATTTGATGAACCTTTGGCAACTGCTGCAGTACGTTTGCATCCTACACCTCAAGCCAACTTTATAGCTGTCAATCATGCCACTATTGAAGAAGTAACAGATGAGGACTATCAAGAAGTAGGTGAAGATGGAGAACTAAGTGATGATGAAGGAGATGGAAGAAATGCCGCTTGGCCTGTGACTCGAACTCCCAAGTCTACTACTGCTGCTAGAAAGGAAAAGTTCGAAGGAGTCCTAATGCCCCCAAGAAAATTTCTAGACAAAAGGGACGAGAAAACAAGATCAGCAAAGGGAAACAAAGAGAACGTACTTCCAAGAAAGAAGAACTTTGAGTACCCATCTAATGGAAAGATACCTGAACCTGTACCTGTTGATGTGGAAAGAGATATTCCAGTTGACAATCATTCAGATATCATCATGGATGAGGAACTTGGAATGCGAGAGCCACTCGGTGAAAGGAATGCTTCAAAGAACTTGGAGAATCATTCACCTGAGAAGAGAATTCCTCGACATTCTGAGATTCAAGCTCAGGTCGATCGTCTCAATGTGCTCACTAAAGTCTTGAATACACCTGTTACCTTAGCTGTTGGAGAAGTCTTTGGAATGTCAAAGGAAATGAGCACACACCTCCTGGATGTCCTTAAGCCTAAGCCTGCCACTAAACTTCAACATGTTCCAAAAGCTACTGCGGCATTAGCAAGAACCTCTGCCAGTTTTAATTCTTCAGCAGTCTCAGCTTCCTTTATTGCACGGTCAAGAGGCACTCTCATTAAATTGAAGATGCATTGTGACAATGTACCTGTTGATGCTATCATTGACACTGGATCTCAGCTCAATATTGCACATGAACAAATCTGGAAGGACGTACTTGCAAGGCCAATGGATAAAGGACGAAAGATTAGTATGAGTGATGCCAATGGTGGAGAAGGAATGCTAAGTGGACTTGTGCCCAATGTACCTCTCAACTGTGGTGGAGTACTCACTCATGCAAATATCTATGTCGGAACTCAAGTTCCATTCAAGCTTCTATTAGGACGACCCTGGCAACGTGGTAATTATGTGTCCATTGATGAACGAGAGGATGGTACATACCTTCTTTTCAAGGACAAGCACTTGAATGTGCGACATGAATTACTGGTCAATCCTGAACCTACCAATCCTAGCCTGAATGAGATCTCTGACTACCTCACATATTCTTCCCCTGCAAGAGTAGGTCTTGTGCAAGCTGATGAAGGACTGACAATTGAACCCGACATTCCAGAAAAGCTTCTTGAAGAAGAGATAGTAGATGAACGAGAACCACGACCATTTCAACATGCATTTGATGTCAAGACTCAAATGTGGATGCATAGGTTCTTCTTCTCCCCATCTCAATATGATCGACCCATGCTAGTCACCATGCTGCTACCTTTTCACCATAGCAATCCTACTCCAGGCATCCTTGACAGATATGCGATTGAAGGAAGAGAAGGTATTGGGAAAGTCTCCTTCTCAGCTTTACATGAGAAGATTGATTCTCTTCATAGACTCAAGAAGGCTCCAAAATTCCGTTTAAATCTAGGAACTTTCAATGCATTTCCTCTGCAATCAGATTCTACTGAACCTGCCAGGCATCAAGTTGAATCGTTCCTTATAAATGATGCAACTCTCATCTATGCCAAACCCGGATCTGAGCTACCAACAGCTGTACAGTATGTGGATGCCTACCTGCAGTTCAAAGACAGTCTGGAACATGATCTGGAAAATCACGAATGGAAAGGACCTATTTTGGTTCCAGCAGAAGGTCCTCCTGACCCTACTGACAAGAGTCAAAAGCCTGAGGGACATCCGGATAGTCAAGCAGAGTCTACCAAAGGAGAAGATGATGATGCTCCAGAATTACGGCCATTTCAATTTGATACATTTAATGTCAAGACTCAAATGGACATGGACCAAATGTATTTCTCAGCATTCCAATACGATCGACCTTCATTGACCTCTATACCAGTACCCTTTGAAGATAATAACCCTACTCCTGCCCTTCTTAGGATATATGCAAGTGAAAGTACAGAGGATGTTGGACAGACTAAATCTGAAGAACTTCACTCCAAGAGTATGTCCGTAATTTGGCGTAACAAGACACCTCAATTTCGTCTAACTCTAGGGACATATGAAGCTTGTCCTGTATTAACAGAGTTTACCGAACCAACACGACGACGAGTGGATGCATTCATCATAAAAGGAGCTACTCTAATTTATGCTGAACCAGGGTCAGTTCGACCAACGGCTGTACGACATGTGGATGCATATCTCCAATTCAAGAAGAGTCCTGGATATCCTTCTGGAGACTATGAGTGGAACGGTCCTATTTTTGTCCCAGTAGAACCTGTTCCTGAGACTACCGAGGACAAGATGGAAATCATCAAACAACCTAGCGGACAGCAAGATGATCAACCTGGACTCTTTGACAGCAAGAGCAAAAATCAAGCCAAGGAAAATAGCCTGCCTGATGAATTTGATTCAGGACCCTCTAAGACTGCTTCCTTAAGTTTTGATGAGCTTGATCCTTTAGACATGACTCCACGTTTGCCAAGTGCAGATCAATATCTAAAAACTGAAATTGAGCTGAGCATTCAGCGTGATAAAGAAGAACGAGACCCATCTGAAGCACTTGCTGCACGAAATTTGGTCATACAGTTGAATTCAACCGGGGAGACCAATGATGAAGTCTTGCGAATACGTGGTGGTTGTTCCAGAAGTGATGACAGTGGAGATCTTGACTGGAACCTAAATGAAGACTATCGCCAACTTCGACAGAGCAGACATGGCCCAGAAGAGGATTTGTTGAATAAGATTTCTACTCATTCAACTGGAACTACACACCGTGAAGACCACAAGGGAAAAGAGACATACAACATCATACCCGAATTTTCTAAAGACTTAGACAGTCTTCAGAAAGATTTTAATTTGACAGTCGAAGTCAATGACAAAAATTGGGATAAAGCTAATGGAAGGCTATATGTACAGGAAACCCCATATCTGACTAACGACGCGGCTCTCTTTTGTTCACTTTTTGGACTGAACCCTTCTTCCAGTGTTCCAGGACCAACGGACGATATTCGCCATACAGAAAATCGACAGATTGACCTGCAAAACTTGGAGGAAGTCAGTACGAGTAATTTGGATGCCGAGAACGGGACAACTTACCTGACCGGAGATGCAGACAAAGGACAATACCTTGACGTCCATGTTGACGCGTCAAAGATGTCTATGATAAAAGAAAATGCAGTATTTGACCAGTCAGTACACCCCCCCTACGTACCGCACTCAAAGGAGGTCTCATTCAATAGGCATCGCGGCGGAGAAAACCTGCCATTCTTCATGCTTAATAGAGAAGACGCCGGTTGGACCAGAACAGAAGAAATTGGAAGAAACGGGAGAAACACTTACGAAGAATTTAGGCCTACGCTCGGTGAACGAGACCGTCCCTCTAATTCGGACCCGAATAGAAATCGCGTCTCGCAGACGACGAGTGGAGATCGCCTGCGAGAATCAATTTGGTCCGCGTTCTCGAATTTCGACGCAGAAACCTTAGCATATTTGTTGACGAGGGTGCGGACGCTCCTGGGCGAAGTCCCCATTGAATTAGGCCTTAAAAGAATATATGAGTATGCGAATGGGATCGGCCTGCTTACCGTCAATAACAAAGTCGAAATGGAGAACACCGTCGAGGACGCGCAAGCCCTCCACTCGAAGACAGGGGATCTACTTAGAGAAATAAAAGGATTGACGAAAGGAATAGGTCAGTGTGGCCGTCCCAGAACTGCCATCTGTCTTGAAGAACCCGAACGACAGCTCGAACGTACCTTAGTTACCCGCGCAATGGCACCAATCCCTTCCTTCGCTACTCATCCCCCTCCTCCTCGGTTTGCGGTAACCGAATACGGCCTACGTGCACTCGCTCCTTTTGCAGCACTAGCCGGTATGTCGAATCGTCCCCCTCCTATCCCGCGTGACGGACTGAATCAATCCCACCTATCTGGAACACCTCCCTTGGATTCGGAATATCCTACTTGCCAAGTGTCAATCACCTCTGGTAAAGCTCAAGCCTTACCGTCGATAGAAAGTAAAGAAGGTACGACGTACTCTTATATTTTTGATGACGCTACGCTCGTCCACGCGCCCTCCATATGGACCGGAGAGCCTGACGTCCGTCGTGTCCGCGGTATGCTAAACGTCGTGGTAGACCGAGAGACCGAGATCGCTGAACCCACTTGGGAAGGGCTCGCGCTCGCTCTGGATGAAGAACAAGATCTAAAGACGAGAGAAGTCAGGGAGGAAATAGAAGACGATGACGTACCTATGCTTAGTTTAGAGGAAGAGGAACTAGAAGAGGGAGAAATAGAGGAAGAATGGAAAAGGCAGAGGAAGGAACGTATGAAGGAACTCTATTCGATCGAAGAGAATGATCGAGACTCGTGGCCAGACCCAGAGTCCCAGATCTCCGCTGTACCTCCGATTTCTGCGGAAATCAGGCTTGATTCCGCATCCCCGAACTCCCTCAAATGCTCGGCCGACCCAAGCCTTAACCCTAGCAGACCGTCCGGCGCTACAGGCTTCATCGATTGGGACTCTAAGTCTCGATCGTACTTCGAACAGTCTCTCTATTCTCAGTCACCTCAGACGCTTCCCCCTCCTCTAGCTTTTCCACTAGGACCTCCTCGACCTCCTCCCTCGCCTGACGCCTCCGCCGGATCATGCGCATTCGTGTCCCAAGAAGACCAGACGGATGAAGATGACGAGGTAGTATTGGTAGAAAGGAATGGGGTAAACGGACCTCAGATGTTAAGGTACGTACCTCCTCATCGCCGTAAACTGACATCTAAGCTAGGTACATCCTCGGAGAATGTTTCTCTCCTCGAGGACCCAGTGGTTCGACGTAAACCCACACCATCCTACTACAGGAGCCAGGATCCACGCCGACGAAATGGACATTTGAGATCGGACCACGCAGCGGTGCGTGCAGAACTGCTGTCTCTTGCCTCCTGCTGTCCGTCAATGACCCCCTGCTCTACGCCGGAGTACTCCCCCACGATCTGGTCACTTCCCCCAGCAGCTCCTCCAGTATCGGCATTCACGGCTAACGTAAACGTACCTACACTGGAAGGCCTTCGAACCACATCCCCTTCGGACGACTTTACGCTTGATAGCTCCCTACGCCGCTTCTGGAACGAGGCAAGAAGGTCCCTATTTCAAGAAGACCTCCCCGCGTACGTCCCTCTTGACTCAACGGGCAAGAAGACTACTTACGGCGACGACGTATCGATGCATTCGACGAACACCCCCTCAATCAAATCTCATCTACCTTCTGTCACAATGACCCCCACTCTACCTGGACAACCTGTCTCCAGGCAGAAACAACGCGAGCTCGAACATGAGCTCGATAAGATTCTCGCGGTAGCCCCCAGTCCCGAAGAGACTAAGGATGGACACGACGACTCTGAAGAATCGGAATGGTCCAACACGGATCTTCAGGCCCTTCAATACACCCAACCCCTTATCGTTAACGGTAATCCTATATTCCCCATTCGATCTGGATCCCTTCCCTTCACGTACATCTCCCTTCGCTCTGAATGGCTTCTTAATCCCCTTCCGCCTCGCGACACCGTACCCTTTCTCAACAACATCTGGCATGGCCAGGACGACCTCAAGACCAGAAGGGAATTCATTCAGGACTACCATACGCTAGGCGAATGGGCCGAGCGGGACCTATGTCTACCCTTCGTCGCTAGGACCTACGCACGCGGACTCGACGACGACAGCAACAGTTGGTTGCGGGACCGATTTCGACGTATGTTTCGAATCAAGCAAGGCTTTAGAGGCAACCCCTACCTTCATGGAGAAGAAGAGGCACATCTATGGCAAATTAAGTATTTTTACTACTCTACTCGGTCCCACCAGCACTGCAGTTATTCGACTCACTTTCGCAACCATATCGATGTTATGCTTCACTTCTGCCCTTATGGAGAAGAAACCGTGGCCAACATTCACTGACGACGTATCGCTGGTGAACTTGGAGACGTGGGGCAGTCCGCCTAGTGCGACGACCTACCAATTAACGGAGGTACGTTCCCGAAATCTTTTAGGGAACGCATCCACTAATCGTCTCGTTCGACGATTAGGTCCTCAGACCGATTTTCTTTATCTCAGCTCCATTACTTCGATTTCGATTGCCGTTGACCGTTGTCAACGCATTTGCCTTCAGACGTTTTTAAAGGACTTTTCCTTTCCTTTTCCCCTTTTTCTGTTAGACACTTGTAACCTGGACTTGACTCGACAACTGCAGCTCACCCTAAGGACCCTTTTCGGATCGCGCGTAAGTACATTGCCTCACTTAGCAATGACCTTCGCGCTCACAGACCTTTTCATAGACACTTACCTCACGTGCATTCGATATTCTGGACAGACCTTACCAATAGACTTTTCCCTTCACCGCCAGTGGCAGGGAGGGCTCGTCAACGTTGACGAGTTTCTTCTCGCCGTCGTCATCTTTGACGCTGGCCATATCGACTCGCACGAACCTTCTTCGTATGTACATAGACCTGGACTCGCTCGTTTTTTCTTTAGATATTTCTTCATGTATTCTGACTCGGACTTGAATGTTTTCTTTTATATTTGTATCGGACATCTTGCATACCTCATTTTACGGACAGACACTAGCCTCGGACTTGATCATTTCTTCCTTCTTCTTCTTATTTTTTCTTACTTTGTTTTGACTCGGACATTCCTAGTGTACATGTACTCCTTGCTCGCCAGATCAGCCTTCCGACCAATAGAGTCTTTTGACTCAAACCTCTCAAAGAACACTCATAAGAACAATATCAGGAAAGGGCTCAATAAGAGCAAGAGAAACCTGAGTGAAGTAACTCGAAATAGAAAATCCAAATGCATTCAACATGCACTTAGGATTTCTATCGACAAGCTCATTCTCTCTGTCCTAAAATATCGCCGAAGACTCGCACGAAACTCGGACAAGTCCCTGAACATTTCTGACACTGCTTCAAGGATGAAAGCCTCAATACCTACCTGTCAAGTTGACTCTCCTCAAGTCCATTTCTACGCTATTGTCAGAAAATCTGATGACCTCTCAAAAAGAGACATAGCAAGTACAGATATTCGAAAGACTCATTTAAAGGAACATCAGTTTTCCTTTGGACAATCCTTCATCGGAATAAATTCTAGGATAAATTCTAATTTATTCTACCCTCAATTGGAACCTGACGATGAATGTATCTACGAGATGAGTGGAGCAGAAGTGCTTACTGCTTATAAGAGAGTCGACAAGAAAGTCAAGCCAGTCCCAGGAGTATTTCCAGAGGAATCCCGTGTCCGTCGACAATTTCCAGAAAACCCTCTCGATTCCTTGCCACCACTATCGTGCTGTCCACCCCAGTTCAAGGAAAATGGTCGGCTGACTCAAAAACGTCTAGATGGCATGAACATAAATCCAGATGGATTTCTTAGCTTGGAAGAAGAAAATCTGTTTAAGCATATCCTTCAGCTTAATCAAAACAGTCTTGTCTTTGAAGAAGAACATCGCGGGACCTTTCGAGAAGATTACTTTACTCCATACATTATTCCAACTGTGCCTCATATTCCTTGGGCTTACACCAATATTCCCATACCACCTGGTATCAGGGAAAAGGTAGTCACACTACTCAAGGAAAAGATGGCAGCAAGCGTGTATGAGCAAAGTCAATCATCTTATCGATCTCGCTGGTTCTGTGTTCTCAAGAAAAGTGGCAAACTTAGGTTAGTCCATGACCTTCAACCACTGAATGCAGTGACTATTCATGATGCAGGACTTCCTCCCATTCTGGATGCCTTTGTTGAACCCTTCGCAGGACGTCGATGTTATACGGCATTTGATCTCTATTGGGGATTTGATGCTAGAAAGATACATGAGAAGAGTCGCGATATGACAGCATTCCTATCACCTCTAGGCCTTCTTCGATTGACTTCCCTCCCTACTGGCTTTACAAATTCACCTGCCGAATTTTAAGCTTGCATGGCTTTTATTCTTCAAGACGAAATGCCTCATACTGCTGACATCTTCATAGATGACCTTCCCATCAAAGGTCCTCTGACTGAGTATCTTGATGAAAATGGAGTTCCAGAAGTGTTAAAGGAAAACCCTGGAATCCGAAGATTCATTTGGGAACATGCCTGTGATGTACATCGAATCATGCATCGTGTAGGCCATGCTGGAGGAACATTTTCACCAAGCAAAGTTCAACTTGCTCGCAGAGAAGTTGTGATTGTAGGTCACAAGTGTACACCTGAAGGAAGAATTCCAGATCCTAACAAGATTGAAAAGGTTTTAAATTGGCCCATCCTTACCACTGTCAAAGAAGTCCGTGGATTCCTAGGACTTTGTGGAACAGTGCGTATTTGGATCAAGAACTACTCAGCCATGGCTCGACCCTTGACTGAGCTTATTCGCCATGACACTGACTTTGAGTGGGATGACCGTCGACAAGAAGCCTTCGATAACCTGAAGATGTTGATTACCTCTGCACCTGCCCTAAAGCCTATTGACTACTCCTCTGATTTGCCTGTAGTTCTCTCTGTGGATTCAAGCTACATTGCTGTTGGATTCATTCTTTCACAAAGAGATGAACAAGGACACAAACGGCCAGCTCGCTATGGATCAATTCCTATGAATGAACGAGAAGCACGATACTCCCAACCTAAGTTGGAACTATATGGACTCTTTCGTGCCCTTAGAGCATATCGCCTCTACCTTGTAGGTGTCAAGAAACTGCAAGTGGAAGTTGATGCCAAGTACATCAAAGGAATGCTCAATGAACCTGACTTACAGCCCAATGCTTCTGTCAATCGCTGGATTCAAGGAATATTACTCTTCGATTTTGAGTTAATTCATATCCCAGCTGAACGTCATAAAGGACCAGATGCCCTATCACGTCGTGGACTTGGAGAAGGAGAAGAAGTGAAAGAAGAAGATGATGCTTGGTTGGATGAAATTGCTCTCTACACACTGCCACATGAAGTCACATTGGACAATGATGCATTTCAGGATTATAATCCTTTAAAGCTCATTCCTGTGTATATTTCCACAGATTCCAAACAAGACCAGACTATGCGGCAAATCCACAAGTTTCTAAGCACCTTAGAGACCCCAGAATTTCTATCACTTCAAGAACGCAAGAGGTTTATTACCAAAGCAAGTCGATTCTTTATTCGAAATGGCAATATGTATCGACGAGCTGGACAACGACCCCCTCTAAAAGTTATTTTCTCAGCTAACAAGAGACTTAGCATTCTGGAAAGTGCACATGAAGGACAAGGACATCGTGGAGAGTATGCAGTAATGCGAATGCTCAAAGAACGATTTTACTGGCCAAATATGTGGAATGATGTTCATCAACATGTTCGATCCTGTCATCAGTGTCAGCTCAGAAGCACTCGTAAAGTTGAAGTCCCTCTGACAATCTCTGCACCTGTGACACTGTTCACCAAGATATACTTGGATATCATGTTTATGCCCAAGGCAAAAGGATTCAAGTATATCATTGCAGCCAGAGATGATCTTTCTCGAGCTGCAGAAGGACGTGCCTTAAGAGATGCAACTTCACATGCCATTGCCAAGTTTCTATGGGAAGAAATCTTCTGTCGATATGGTGCCATTGGACAAGTTACCACTGACAATGGACCTGAATTCAAGAAAGCATTCAATACACTTACCAGACGGTATGGTGTACCTCAAGTTTCAATATCTGCCTACAATTCCAAGGCAAATGGTGTAGTGGAAAGAGGTCATGCGATTATTCGTGAATCCATAGTGAAAGCCTGTGATGGGAAAGTCAAAGACTGGCCAGACTATGTTCCCCATGCTTTCTTTGCAGACAAAATCACTATCAGTCGATCAACAGGATTCTCACCTTACTATTTGCTATTTGGAGTTCACCCAGTCTTACCTTTCGATCTCTTGGAAGCATCATTTCTAGTGGAAGGTTTCCACTCTGGAATGTCTACAACTGATTTGCTTGCACTGCGAATCCAGCAACTTTCAAAGAAGGATCAAGATCTGGAAAAGGCTGCAGAAGTTCTTGCAAAGACACGTTTACGCTCAAAGGCTCAATTTGAGAAGAAGTTTGAGCATAGAATTCGAGTTGAAAGTTTCAAGCCTGGAGATCTCGTACTTGTACGAAACACTGCCATTGAAAGATCCTTGAATCGCAAGACTAAACCCCGGTACTTAGGACCCTATGAAGTAGTTCGACGGACCTTCAAAGGAGCCTATATCGTGAAAGAGCTTAATGGAAACCTCTGGAAACAGGGAATAGCGGCCTTTCGATTGCTACCCTATATCTCAAGAGATGACTCAAGGCTTCAAGATCTTGCAGGAAGAATAGAAGAAATTGGAAGGCCATCGCAAAAGCATATCACTGAATTTAGTGACTTGGATTCAAGTGACTCAAGTGAAGAGTCTACTAGCAATCTTGAAGATGTCTTCTATGAGCATATATCAAATCACTAGACAACATAGTCTATGTGAAGAAGTAGTCAAGAACGTACTTGACTAGTGGCTAGAGAATATCTGAATTCTCTATCTCAAATACTTCTAGACAGAGTGGTCTAGAAAGATATTTTTGTCAAGACCACATTTCTTCAATTTGATTCTCAGAAGAAAAGATATCGTCAAGTGAAATGCCCAAAGAAGTCCAACAAAGTCATAGAAGAAGAAAAGTTTAGAGAAGAGTCAAACTGAAAAATCATTGTTGTATCAAGAAAGTGCCTGAAAAGTGTCTACCGTGTCTAAAAAGTGTCAAAGTATCATCTATTGTCTATCATCTATTGTCTATCATTTATTGTCTATTGTCTATTGTCTATCGTCTATCGTCTATCGTCTATCGTCTATCGTCTATCGTCTATCGTCTATCGTCTATCGCCTATCGCCTATCGCCTATCGCTCAATATTTACTTTTACCTGACACAGAAGATACTAGCACTAGATCCGATGAGAGTTTCTCTCTCTAAGCACTTTCAGTGAAGCTGTATTGTGAAGTTCCATTTTTTTTTCTTCTTTTCCCTGCATCCTTTGCAACTGGGGACAGTTGTCTTTTCAAGTCATCCCCACTTGTCCTGCACCAAAAGTGTTTGGCACATGGACAGATCACTTCGATATTCAACACTGAATACGAAAGTCCAAGACAATGTCACACTGCAGATACGACAATAATTAGGGTATGCCAATGACAACAAGTACAATAAATGACCTCCTCAACCTCAAGTCCGACTTTAATTCAAACTGACAACGTATGCCTCAAATCTTCTACAGATGAAGAGGAAGAGTGACGAGAATGAAGAATGGAAGGTAAAGAACGTGAGAAATGTACCAATGACGATGAAGTCTGAGCCAAAGTAGTCAAAGAATCCAAGGGAGGGGCTGATGAAGATGAAGGAGTGGAAGGGACAATAACTGTCTTGAAGTGAATAGAAGACAATGAGACCATTGCAATAGGAGCTGCTGCATGATTGCGTGCACCACGAGAAATGCGTCGAGGAGCAAAGAACATACACCAAAGCCACAAGGCGACCATGATTAACATCAAAGTACCAAGGAGGACGACGACTCCAATTACTGTTGGCTTAGAGACCGTGGTATAAGCCAAAGGAGTGGGAGCAGCTGAGGAAGACTCCAGGATGATCCTAAAGAAGCGATAGGTCAGAAAAAGACATTAGACTGATACTCTGAACACGCATGCAAGGTGACACACGTTGTAGTGGCCATGAGGCAGTTTCAGAATCTGAAAGTCGAATGTGAATATGACCAAACCAGACTAGAAGGAGTAAGACTTACCTAATCTCAAGACAGGTGGATCTGAAACTCGAATCTGTCTGAAGGAGACAGCTTCTAAAGACAAGTATCATCGCCTGGCAGTGCCACGTCAGCAGTAGGCGCTTAACTGGACCTTCAACACTGGTAAAGTCTGTGTATGCTCAGAAAAGACCGGAAATGACTGCAGATCAGTCAAGACTATTGTTTATTCGCATCTTCAAGCATGTTACTTTACGGTGACATGATGATGAATAAATAATCTATAAATTGGCGAGGTGAAGATAGGCAACATAATGAATATGGATCAAAGTACATGTTTTACGATGACGGTCCTCCTCCTGAACTCCTAGAGCGATCTTCACGTTTAATAATGTACCTCATTATAAGATACACTCCACAAAGGAAGGCTACGACTCCACAGATGATACCAAAGATTTCAAGAAACACCTTCGTACTTGAAGGAGGAGGCTCCAAAGCCTTCATTTCTTCGATCTACAAGGGGATCACTCTTTAATGAGTTATGAAGAGTTTAAATGATCTGAAGATACGTACCCAGCTCATATTGTCAAAAGGGTTTTTCAACGTATTCCCAACTTCTGAGAAAATACCAACTGTTCAAAGTACCGCGCAAGCACCTAATTCGTCCACAAAAGATCCTATGGACTTAGAGATATGTCCAGAAGGTCTGAATAGGATGCTTAGCAAACTTACCAAAGTTTACGATAATACTGGCAAGTACACACTTCAGAAGAAAGAGTGCGGTGTTTGAAGAAAGAAGAGTGCGTCACTCAACTCAGCTTTCTTGAACAATAACTGATCAAACCTTCAATTTCGGCAATCTCCAAGTGATACCAGATAAGATAAGGAGTCTCAGAAAGGAAGGTGTAGTGTGCAAAGTGAAGCCACCTGGCCATACAAGCACCAACTGATCGAAAGACCTTAATATCTGATGCACGATCATCAAATCTTGATCGATCGACAACTGAGCTCTCCATTCCTTACAGAATGGACTTTTCATTCTTGAAGCACTAGGCCATTGAGTCATCAAGACTCACCATGACTCATAAAGCCCCTAATGAGTCAGAAAAGGCCATTGTGACTCATCAAAAGATCATTCTGACTCATCTTAAGTCATTCTTAGTCATCGGATGCCCCTATGAGTCATCAGACACCCCTATGAGTCAGGAAAGAATGCAGATTTGTAAGTAAAGAATCCTTTAGAAGCATCTGGAATCAGCCTGAGACTGGTTTAGACTACTCCAGGCTGAAAATAGATGACTCAAGCATGGATTCTAGTGCTAAATTCATGTTTCATTAATAAGCACCTGCATTCTCTCATCAAGTAAGCGAAGCAAGTTCTTACAAATTTAGCTTGGTCATCCATAGCACAGCCCCTTTCTAGATTGTATATAATGAGCCCCTTATTTCCTGTAGTAATGTGCCTGTGCCCCTCAAGTTCCTGTAATTTCCCTAAAGTTCTGCCCCAAATTCTATCATTTCTAAAGTCCTGCAAAGCTCAAAGTCCCCAAGCTTGACACTCTCTCTTTGTGAAGTGCAAGTGAAAAGCCTGAAGCGATCTGCCACTTCTGCTGCTTTCAAATTTTCTCAACACCTACTCTTTTCTTAAGAAAAGCTGGTCATTGTACCTTCGTGTATCTTTGACTTTGTCTTAACCTGAGATTGCTATCCTAAATCCCTTTCCTTTCTCTTGTGAACTCTAAGGCATACCTTGCTTAAGACTTCACTTACCTTAAAAACACACTCCTTTCAGTGGTATAGCCAGTCAAGTCTACTTTATTGTCAGACTACACGGTAAACCTCCCCTCACCCCAAACGAACAACAGGAAAGACCCGGTGTAACGTCTCACCCGGAAACTTTTCTGCAGAAGAGAAACCTTTGGCCTCTCATCTCTTTGAGAGTGTTTTTCTTTTTCTGACCGACAACGTGTTCGAAAGAATGAAACAAAATCAGAGTCAAAGATCGAGGAGATCTCCGACTCAGATGATGACGACGATGACAAGATGATCGCCATGGTTCAGCAATAGATGGAGAAGAACCTGGAGAAGGCGAAGAAGCTGAATTTTGGCTCGGGCAAGGCTTAAACGCACAAAGTGACTTGCTGGATATGAACAATGACTCGGATAAACCCCTGGAGGGTTCTATGAAAACATCTTCGATACATGCCTATAGTACATCGATTGGACAGTCCCCTTTTGTAAATATTTCATCTAATGCAGAGGCGTCTTCTACCAAGAAGCGCAGCAGGGTGGAACCTGTGCTTGATTCCTCTAAACAAAATACAAAAAAATTTGAAAATAAACCGAGTGCGTCGGATAAAAGCATCACAGACATCGGACCACCATTACTCCGAGTTGTCAAAGGACTTGGAAGAGGGAAACAAATGGACCTACCGGTCACCGTGATCATCCCAGAAACAGAAAGAATTCATGATACAATAGCATTAGTTGACACCGGAAGTACCAGATTATGCATAAATTATAATTTCGTAAAAAGGCATGGAATCGAAGCCTCTAGATTTGATCAACTGATCCAAGTCTATAACACGGATAACAGCGAAAATTCTCAAGGACCGATCACAGAATACGTCCGACTCACACTTCGAATCGGCGATCACCAAGAGAAGATCATGCTTCTAGTTATCGATCTGGGGAAGTCAGACATATTCCTCAGATATGAATGGATTGAATACCATAATCCATCAATAGACTTCAAATTGCAACTTGTTGACTTTAACTGATGCCCACACACGTGCGTCACTATAAGACAACAAGAAATCGAAGAAGGAGATACCGTATATTTACTCAATACCAATGCTTGGTATAAAGAATGGGGAGAATATATTCAGTGAATGCGCGTAACAGCCATGGACATAGCAATCGAACAAAGTAAACAAAAAAAGAAAAAGACTTTTGAAGAAATGGTTCCCGAACAGTATCGTGAATTCACAGATGTATTCACTGAGGATACTTTCGACGTCCTTTCAGAAAGGAAACCATGGGACCATACAATAGAACTGCTACCAGATTCATCACCGTATGCAGGCAAAGTGTATTCCATGACTGTTGAAGAACAAAAAATCCTAGACAGTTTTCTTGAAGAAAATCTAAAGAAGGGAAGAATCCGACCATCAAAGTCTCCCTGGGGAGCACCCTTCTTCTTTGTCAAAAAGAAAGATGGCAAATTGCGACCGGTACAGGACTACCGAAAACTCAATGATATGACCAAGAAAAACAAATATCCTTTACCATTAATCTCGGAGCTTATTGATAAGCTCAAAGGTGCTAAATATTTCACGAAACTGGATATTCGCTGGGGATACAATAATATTCGCATGAAAGAAGGAGATGAAGAGAAAGCCGCATTTATCACAAATAGAGGATTATATGAACCAACTGTCATGTTCTTCGGGTTGACAAATAGTCCTGCTATGTTTCAGATGATGATGAATGACATTTTCCGTAATCTCATTCTCAAAGAAAAAGTAATCATATATCTTGACGATATACTCATATTTTCCAAATCCCTGGAGGAACATCGCCGTATTGTGAAAGAAGTCCTTAAAATATTACGAGAAAATAAGTTAACCTGCAAACCAGAAAAATGCGAGTTTGAAACTCAAGAAACAGAATATCTCGGACATATTATTTCGCAAGGAACTGTAAAGATGGATCCTGCCAAAGTCGATGGAGTTATGCAATGGCCAGCACCAAAAGCCAAAAAGGAATTACAGTCATTCCTTGGATTCGCTAATTTCTATTGACGATTCATCAAAGACTTTTCCAAAATCGCCACTCCTTTGAATAAATTAACCGGACAAGTAGAATGGACCTGAGGTCCAGAACAGCAGGAAGCTTTTGAACTTCTAAAGAAAACTATTACCACGGCACCAGTATTAGGTATTCCGAACAATGAAGACCAGTTCAAAGTCGAATGTGATGCATCGAAATATGCTATTGGAGCTGAACTTGCACAGAAGCAAGATGGGCAATGGCGAACCATTGCCTTCTTATCGAAAAGCCTTTCACCAGCTGAAAGAAACTATGAGATCTACGATCGAGAGATGCTAGCCATCATGATCTCATTAGAAGAATGGTGTCACTTCTTGATGGGAGCTGCACAGAAATTCGAAATTCATTCTGATCACAAGAACCTTGGTTATTTCAAAAAACCCCAGAAGTTGAATCATCGCCAAGCGCGATGGATCCAAGAATTACAACAATATGATTTCAATTTGACCCACAAACCTGGAAACACAATGATGAAGGGAGATCCTTTATCGCGACAGACCCATCACGATATTGGAGATAGCCATAATGAAAACATTACGTTGTTGAAACCAGAATGGTTCCGAGCCAATGAAATCCTCGGATCATCAGCTTTACAGGAGAAAATCATAAAAAACACTGATAAATATGAAAACAATGTATGACTAAAACTATTGACAAAAGATGCCGACTTCAATGAGACCGAGGACGGTCTTATCTGGAGAAGGGGGAAGATTGTTATCCCTTTTGACAAGGAACTCAGAGGAGAAATTATTCATTCGCATCATGACTCGATTAGTGCCGGTCACCCTGGACAAGCAAAAATACAAGAACTAATCTATCGATCGTACTGGTGGCCTTCGATCAAAAAAGACGTAAAAACATATGTAAAAGGCTGCGAAACTTGTCAAAAAACTAAGATTAACCACCAACCAAAGAACGCTCCATTGCATCCAAATGCAATTCTGGAACACAACTGGGAATATCAATCAGTAGATATGATTACACACTTACCAGAGTCGCAAGGGCATGACACGATCATAGTAGTTGTGGATATGAAATCAAAAGACTATATTGAAATACCAACTACGGAGCAATTGACATCAGAAGGATGGGCTAATCTCTATATCAAAAATGTATATCCATTGCACGGATTACCAAAAAAGATGACATCAGACCGTGGACCGCAATTTGTATCCAGCTTTATAAAGGATTTATACAAGAAACTAGGAATTCAGGGAAATCCTAGTACGGCATACCATCCACAGACAGATGGACAAACAGAATGAATCAATCAAGAAATCGAAAATTATCTACGAATCTTTATCAATCATCGACAGACTGATTGGCCAGAATGGTTGCCACTAGCAACATTTGCATATCGAAACAGAGTCCACTCTGCGACTGGATTTTCACCATTTTATATGAATCACAGACGAGAAGCCTATACTGGTGTAGAAACCAAAAAGGAAATTCGTAATGAAACTGCAGAGCAGTTTGTAGCACGAATGAAGAAAATCCAAGAAGAAGCATCAGCATTGTTAACGTTAGCACAGGATGTTATGAAAAGACAATACGATAAACATAAAGGCGAAGCCATAAATTATAAAGATGGAGATTTAGTGTGGCTTGAAGCTATACATATACAAACGGACAGATCAAATCGAAAATTGGATGATAAAAGATATGGACTATTTCCAATTATCAAAAAAATTGGAGCTAGTGCATACAAGCTCAAACTACCAAAATCATGGAAAGGCGTACATCCTGTATTCAATGAAACATTATTATTGCCATATCATGCACCGGAATTCCCAAATCAGAAAACACAGAAAAACATTCCAATAATTATCGATATCTTAGAAGACAAAGCTGAATCCGTATTAGACTCCAAAATGGCATGTGGAGGCCTTCAATATCTAATCAAGTGGGCTGAAAAACCACGTTCTGAAAACACATGGGAACCTCGTCATAAAATTATTAAAAATATAGACAAAAAGATTATCGACAAATTCCATAAAGATCATCCCGATGCACCGAAAGCACCCACAAGAATATTGCTAAAGGCACAAATTATGGAACAGTCATTTCCTAGAGAAGCGACACAAGAAGAATGGGATTATTGGGATCAGAAAGTACAGCGATGGGCAGAACGTCGTAAAAAAGAAAAAGCAATGATATCTGTGGACTCAGATTCAATTAAATTATTCGAAAATCGAAGGAAAGCACAAATCATATCTAATCAGCACTACCCGAATGCTGGCGAGTTATGGATCATCAATGAGCAGATGCTCAAACTGACACATGTGGCAATCACATCTGCGCCTACGAAAGTCAAACTCGAATGGCAATACCCCATTCTTTCCTTCTATCAACTCGTCGAACCAACATCAATCCCAAGTATGGATTCCCCTATCTTAGAACACTCATTCACTCAACCAATGAAAGCTCTTTGGTAGAAATGGACAAAGACGGAACCATCATCCTTAGCGTCTTTGGCGGCATAATCCTATGCACTGTTGGAGTAATACTCTGGGTTGTATGGTATAGAGAACGGGAGAGAGAAAACTCAGAAGAATGGATCATCATGGTATGATTGAACAATTCCATATCTATCATAAATTAATCGTGAGGACACGATTCTAGAGGAGGGGGTAATGTTACGATCACTTTCATTTCGGATCTACAAATACACCTTTCCCTCTCGTTATTCATTTGTAACCATTTATTAAAACCTGCCCAAACACATTCATTGATCCATGCTCGAACCTGACCGATACCATAAGTATATACGAACACATTGTTACCACATGTATTTAGATAATAGTTGTATATATACACCAGATGAACTTCAGATTAACTCCAAGTTTCGAATGGTTTTATCTGCTCATTTCTAAATTGATTTGAGTCCTATCAAGCACAGTTGTGCTGGACCTCACTGGACACGCCTGCAGCACATCTAACATCACATAAGTCAGTACACCACATAGCATCATAGCAAGAGTAATAGCTACTGTGCATCACTCAAAAGTTTTGATGTAAGCATAAAGTACAGTCCGCAATCAGCAGACTCCTTCTCCAACGCCTTAAGGTTTTGCATATGAGAATAATAAGTTGATCGCCATGTGGTCTCAGTGAATGTCGTCCCTTCGAAGAAGCCATCTTTGTACTCCTCAATACAGAACCGAATCTAGAAAACATGTTATCAGCAGTAACGAAGTATGAAAATCAGAATGACAATACCATTGTGACTACCAGGGCGATGGTGGCAGCGGGTATATTAGTCCCTAATGACATGTGGTACTGTGCACCAAGTGACCTAGAACCCTTAAACCAACACTCATTGATAAGTGCAGAGATGGCTGAGTGACGATAGCTGCCCATTCGAAGATCAACTGGTTTGCGTAGTTGAGAATGCTATATACCGTTCAGTGCATAGCCAAAGATTGGAAAAGCAGTATTGCAGATGTACCGGGTAAATGTATGCATTTTCCTTCATTAATGCGAGATAGTACTTTTGATTATGATACTTAACCTGGGCCTCGCGTTTTGAATTTGCTGGCATCTTGCGGAACTTGAAAAGTGAGGCAACGACCTGACGCCCCTCGGATTTTATGTCACTTCGCAGGTGAGATCCAAGGCGGATGATCTAATAAGTGCATCAGTAATAAGTTAATACAAACAACAGCAAAATTGTACCAGCTTGTAAAGGTCAGCACTGATAGCCACCTGAATGTCTTGCACCTCACAGGCCTCTCTCCAGACCTCCGACACCCACTCATCTTCCATTGCATGCGTCGGAAAGCTGCACACCTTGATCAGCTTCCACTTATAGAGATTGCAAGCATTATCAATAATGTCCCACGTGGCATGGTTATAGTCCAGTCGACGAGTGCACCCAGTATTCTCATTGATTTTCTGCGCTTTTGGAATAGCTGCTTCATCCTCGTCATCATGAATATCTTCAACAGTTGCCTGCCGACCTCGCTTGTTAGGTACAGGGGTTGGTAGAATGGCCACAGCCTGCAACATCTCAGAGAGTTGAGTACTACTGAAGACATCTATGTGAGTAATTGATGAGTGCAACGTGAGATACCTTAAGTTTATAATGACTCACTGTTATCTTGGGTTGTGGCATCAACAGCCATGACAACTGCAGCATGTTGAGGAGGACAGTTCTCTTTGCCGTGAGGAGTTGCGAAGGGGGCTGAGATGAAGTTAGTGATACCTCACCAATGATGAATGTTGTACTCACCTGGGTCACAACGAGGAGTTCCCACAGTCTTGAGAGTCTGAACAGCAGTTGCCAGTCGAGCAACCGTCAAACTCAGTTGAGCAGGTGTCGAATGCACTCAAACTGGCATCACTATTGGGTGTAAAGTGGCAGTCTTATTAGTACCTTTAAAAGGTACTGATGCTGTCGCCTTGGGCTTGAGAACCATTTTGGTGAGATTAACAGTTGCAGTTGTAAACTGAAAAGATGGCATGAATCTCATGCCATTCCATAAATTATTAATAGAAACTGACTGAGTCTGCAGTTGCCTTCGCGCTTTCTGTTCATGCCTTCATTTTGCGAATAGGAGCAGGGAGGATCTTTTTTACTTGCACTGTGACTTGCTCGTTATCTTTATTAAGCAGGTTAGTAGGAAAGAAAATGACTTGCATAAATTGTTTCATACTTAGCTGCTGTTGTTTTTCACTGGGACGGCGATGCCTTCTGGCTGATACAGATTGAGCTGACATGGGGCAGTAAGGATGAAACAGAGGTAGAACTTTTCGTTCTGGGAAGGAAGTGAGTTCGTTCTGGGAAGGAAGTACTCGTTCTGGGTACTAAAAAATTCTGCTAAATCTGAAGTGTCATGTCAGTTGGTTCTGTACAGTTCATGGCCGGCAAGAGGTTTATGCACAGAAAAGGTCCCAAATAGGATAGAATTAATGGGAGTCTGATCAACTCAAATGTTTCGCGACAACTTGCCTAAGTCAAATAGTGTGTCAATCACTGGCAATCTCTCACTATGGCTATCCTGGATTCCTTACCCCTGGTACACCACTGTGGCTACTGCGGAAAGCATCTCTTAACTACGATTAGTGTCAGACTGTACATCCAGAACACACTCGCCTGTAGACAACTTTGGAATGCAGAGATTGCGGTGCAGCGAAACAAGAACTTACCTGATTTACCTGTTCTGAATCCATCGGATGTACCTGAACAACAAACAAATGAACATTACTCTGCGCAACCTTTAAATTCAGTTTCCGAGGCAGAGAACGTACCTTCAATACCTTTAGACTTCCGTGCTCGAGTTGAGGATGTCCCTGATGAAAGTGATACTGACAATACAATCCATTATGTGCAAGAGTATTCTCATCATACCTCTGGCATCCTGGAGGACTCTACATTGGATCAATGCACAACATTTGAGCAGTGGCATGATGGGTTGGCTGAAGGAAAGGATCTAGCTCAAACACGATGGGCACCCTTCACCAATAAGGAAGAGTGGGAACTTGCAAGATGGTTGGGGCGCAGTGTTGGTCAGAACAAAATAGATGAGTTCCTAAAGTTGCCTATTGTAAGTACTCATTATGTCAGACAAGAGAAAATTGAAACAAATTGGTTATCAGATCCAGGGTCACAATTTGAGCATAAAGAGCAAGTACAAGTTCTTCAAGGCAGTTGATCAACTACCAACAGGGGCCAAGTGGATCTACGATGATATCTCTATCACCGGCGACTGCATTGGTGAAGATGCTGACTTGATGTCTGAACACTTGGACCTTTGGCATCGGGACCCTGTAGAGTGCATCCGAGAGCTAGTCAGAAATCCAGCTTTTCGTGAGAATATGGCATACTCACCAAAGAGACTCTTTGAAGATCTTGGAGGCACTGTAAGGGCATTCAAAGATATGTGTAGTGGCGACTGGTGGTGGGATAAACAGGTGAGTATGATAGCAATGTCTTAACATGATTATACACCCTGGATGGTACGTATTAAGCCATCTCACATGCTTGAGTGGTCCAAGTCAGCTTATCTCATTTCAGGCATTTGAGTGGCTCGCGTTCGAGCTATTTTCGCCTTACCTACTTAGTTCAGTTTATTCCCATTCCCCGTGACATATATCGAGTGGTTCACACCGTTCACATGGATGGATGCTGCAAACTGGTATGTTCATTGTTTCCCATTCTACGCGCAACCTACTGCCAAATGCCGCTGTTGTCAGTGTCACTCATATTCTGGGATTCTGTCACTTAGTAGGTAGATCCGGGGCTGCAATTGATCGTTCATGGATGTCCGACAATGTTCTTGACAAAGCAATTCATTTTTACGTTAATCCATATATCTCCCTAGATACATTTTCATCCGGTTTGTATGGTAGCCGGTCTGTATAGCCCTTACCATGAACAAGTTCAATAGAATATCTCTACCCCTGTGTACCCTAGTTGAGAGGTTGCAGACCTGTCCATATCACCCATACCATCAGGAGCCCCATGTCCATGCCATAGGCTGATCCAGGACATCTGTACCTCTAAGACCACCATGGAACAAGGGCATTGTCTCAGTACTCCGACCCTTTTTCCTGATGGAAGAGAAAGGAAATCTAGAGGGTTGGCAGAAACATGAATTTCCAATTAAGTACTCTGGGGATAGGCTCAGTTTCAGCCACTTTAGAGGAAGACAGTTATTACTCTGGGGATAGTATGATGGTAGCAACTATGTATAGTCTCAATGTCGTGAGAGAGTGGTCCAGGACCCGCCGATAATCTGGGTGGTCTTTCATACTAGTTATTAATTTGAGTGTATTCATGACAATGGATGCCTTTCTGTAGCCATCTGGAAGGCCTTTCAGATGAAAACTTAGTATAAAACAACCTTAAATGCCTGCTCGCTGAGTTGCCATGAGCATTACCACAGTGTTGAAATTGAGAGACCCCTCTTACAGACTTGCAATCTGAAAGAGGGGTCCCTCCCCCCCTTCCAGATGAAAACACGGTATAAAAGCCTTTTGTAAAGTCCGACTTCACACTCCGAGATTGATCTTTCGCATGCTCATCTCTCCACACTCCTTGCTTTCATCGCTCTCCTTCATCTCCTTGCTCATCACGCTCATCCTCTCCTTACACCAATTCTCTTGCATTACTAAATGCTATTACCTGCTACTTCTGCTGGCTTCCGATATGACTCCCTTATCTGACCCAGCATACTTCAGCCCATCTGCTTGCTCATATACTCCCATGCTGCTCTCAAGCCCAGAACTCAATGGTCTCATTTATCGTGAAGCTGCCAATGACCTTCATTGTTTTGCAGTGTTACGGACTGTAGCTTAACAGCTTTCAGCAAGTCCTCAGCAAGTCTAGCCTTTTCTCCCCTGGCCTTGTTACATTCTGGCTCTGTCTACTGCATGTGAGTAGTATGTTACCTGCAGAAATTGGATTAAACAGACTAGAAATTCAGTGCCGATATCTACTCATAATATTTTAGTACCAATTGTCAGGAGATATACCATTTAAGGACATCATTGGTGACTCTCCGCTGAGGGTTAAAAGTGCAGAGAAACATGTAGTTTTGACATCAACATCCCTTTCTAAATCACAACCATCTACAGCCTCTTATTCGAAACCACTACTTTGCAAGCTCCTTCGGCGATGTCTACTCTGAAGCCAACTTCCAATATCTGAGTCAACGCTCAGTTATCAGGAAAAACCCCCCAAGCTAATTAGCATACATTAGCATCAAATAATAGAAAATTATGCTAATTATTATAATTAGCACTAATCACATAGGTCCAGATAATTTCTGGATAATTGGAGATAATTAGCTTCAAGAGAAAGATAATATTTCTTCAGATTTTCTCAAAATTATCTTCAACTTGACATTCTAATAGAGCTTATTTAGATTTAATTTTCTCAAAATTATCTTTTATTTGACATCTTAATAGAGCCTATTTAGATTTAATTTTCTATAGATAGAAATAATATATCTAGTCAGCTAGTATAGTAAGTCAATACATCTAAGAACTATCACATAATATTAAAATAGACTCTATTATTATAGTAGAGAGTAACTAACTAGTGTAGAAGTTAAACCAGATAAGAATGAAGGCATATAAAGAAGGTAATAAAAGCAATAATATCAAGAGTACCATAAGGAGGGAACCCAGAAGCCAAGTACTAAAAGAAAGAAAGAAAGTTGCCTATGAAAGTAAAGAGTACAATATGAGTAACTTGTAATATTGAAAAATAAAAAACAATAAATAAAACACTTACTTTAAAAGACTATCTCTAATTCTCACTTTCCTCTTCACTGCCATAGTCAATCTCACCTCCAAAGATCTCCTCTTCTGCTTCCTCACCTCTAACCTCCCTCTCCTTTTCCTTCTTTTTCCTCACCTCAACCTCTATCTCCTCACTTGCCTCTTCAGAATCTTCTGGCATTCCTTGAAGATCCAAATCCTCCATCATATCTTCAGCTGAAGCCTTAAGTGCAGAGAATTTCTGTCCAGAACTACAAAGCCAGCAATGAGTACAAATAAGAGATATAATAAAATAACTCACCTGGCTAGATCATAAAGAGTTGTCATTATAAAATGATAGCCAGATGGATTTTTCTCCTGAATATTTAGGAGATTCTGAATGTGAGTAAGGTAGGTTTCAATAACCCTACCAGCATTGAAGTCTGTGTTAACATAAGATCCACTTCTCCAGTCCTTGATGGCAGCCTCAAGCTATTTATAGATAACATTAGTTGAGTAGCATTAGATAGAATCAAAGACTTACTGTAGTAGCAACCAAAGCCACCATTGACTTGAGACATTCTCTTCTGCTTTTGCCTTTCCAGTAAACCTCAAAGCGATGGGAAAAATGAGCAGCCCAAGATTGATGTCCTTTGAAGAAACAGTGTGCAAGACCATATATAATTACAGGATGTTGATTGAAGTCATCCAATCAACATCCTTCTAAAACTGATAGTTAGATATGCACAAGATTCAGATATGGCAAAAACTACTAATATATTACCAGGATAGATATAACACTTGCATGTAAGCAAAGCATTAACCTGCTCCTCACATCTAGGATCAAGTCTGTAACCAGCAGGAATCTGTGCCACCATACAGCTCTTGACACTACCGCGCAAGATGGACAACCTATTCTCATGCTATAGAAGTGTTAGCAATGAGTCAAAGTGAAGAAATAGAAAGCCTTACCACAGATGCAAGCTTACTCAAAAACTGAGTATCTTGCATTACCCGAGTAGCCAGAGAATGATCACCAATACTATATGCTGCATTAGTAAAGAGTTGCTGATAGTATTCCAACTTCTCCGGGTATTCAGGATATGCATCTTCGAAGACACAGTTCTGCTTTGCCTTTGCATTCACAGTCTTAAGGATGGCATGAACATGGGATGGTTGATCTCGAAGGTTGAACTTCCCAGCCTCACTCTTCTTCATCGTCAGGTCTTGAGGCCATGCCTGCCCAGCCAACGGATCCTCATTGCCATCTTCACCACTAGAGGCATGGTCACCCCCATCATCGTTCTACACTGGATGCTGCAAATAATAGTACTTAGTGCCATGTGAATATAGTTAGTCAGATACATACCTCTAGTTGGCGTTTGGCGGCACAACCATAGAGTTGATCAGTCGATGCCTTTGGGTACTTATTCTTGTTGCCTGATGGGGCTGGATGGTTTGAAGAACCTGCCATTGACTTGTGCACTGTAGCTGTCTACAAAAGGAACATGTCAGTACATTGGCCGTCGACACCAATTTCGTAACTTACGGTTTTGTCCTTTGGTACTTGTTTCACTGCAGGTGCACTACGAGATGATGCAGGTGTAGGTGGTTATAGTGCAGGTCGAGTGTTAATCTTCTGGCATGCTGGTGCTGTTTCTCTAGTTAGAAAACTGCATATGATGCAGATAAGGCAAGAAAAGGCTCCCTCACCAGAGCCGTTCATCTTTCCGTGTGGTTTCTGAGCCGGTGTCGGTCAGAAAAAGAAAAACACTCTCAAAGAGATGAGAGGCCAAAGGTTTCTCTTCTGCAGAAAAGTTTCCGGGTGAGACGTTACACCGGGTCTTTCCTGTTGTTCGTTTGGGGTGAGGGGAGGTTTACCGTGTAGTCTGACAATAAAGTAGACTTGACTGGCTATACCACTGAAAGGAGTGTGTTTTTAAGGTAAGTGAAGTCTTAAGCAAGGTATGCCTTAGAGTTCACAAGAGAAAGGAAAGGGATTTAGGATAGCAATCTCAGGTTAAGACAAAGTCAAAGATACACGAAGGTACAATGACCAGCTTTTCTTAAGAAAAGAGTAGGTGTTGAGAAAATTTGAAAGCAGCAGAAGTGGCAGATCGCTTCAGGCTTTTCACTTGCACTTCACAAAGAGAGAGTGTCAAGCTTGGGGACTTTGAGCTTTGCAGGACTTTAGAAATGATAGAATTTGGGGCAGAACTTTAGGGAAATTACAGGAACTTGAGGGGCACAGGCACATTACTACAGGAAATAAGGGGCTCATTATATACAATCTAGAAAGGGGCTGTGCTATGGATGACCAAGCTAAATTTGTAAGAACTTGCTTCGCTTACTTGATGAGAGAATGCAGGTGCTTATTAATGAAACATGAATTTAGCACTAGAATCCATGCTTGAGTCATCTATTTTCAGCCTGGAGTAGTCTAAACCAGTCTCAGGCTGATTCCAGATGCTTCTAAAGGATTCTTTACTTACAAATCTGCATTCTTTCCTGACTCATAGGGGTGTCTGATGACTCATAGGGGCATCCGATGACTAAGAATGACTTAAGATGAGTCAGAATGATCTTTTGATGAGTCACAATGGCCTTTTCTGACTCATTAGGGGCTTTATGAGTCATGGTGAGTCTTGATGACTCAATGGCCTAGTGCTTCAAGAATGAAAAGTCCATTCTGTAAGGAATGGAGAGCTCAGTTGTCGATCGATCAAGATTTGATGATCGTGCATCAGATATTAAGGTCTTTCGATCAGTTGGTGCTTGTATGGCCAGGTGGCTTCACTTTGCACACTACACCTTCCTTTCTGAGACTCCTTATCTTATCTGGTATCACTTGGAGATTGCCGAAATTGAAGGTTTGATCAGTTATTGTTCAAGAAAGCTGAGTTGAGTGACGCACTCTTCTTTCTTCAAACACCGCACTCTTTCTTCTGAAGTGTGTACTTGCCAGTATTATCGTAAACTTTGGTAAGTTTGCTAAGCATCCTATTCAGACCTTCTGGACATATCTCTAAGTCCATAGGATCTTTTGTGGACGAATTAGGTGCTTGCGCGGTACTTTGAACAGTTGGTATTTTCTCAGAAGTTGGGAATACGTTGAAAAACCCTTTTGACAATATGAGCTGGGTACGTATCTTCAGATCATTTAAACTCTTCATAACTCATTAAAGAGTGATCCCCTTGTAGATCGAAGAAATGAAGGCTTTGGAGCCTCCTCCTTCAAGTACGAAGGTGTTTCTTGAAATCTTTGGTATCATCTGTGGAGTCGTAGCCTTCCTTTGTGGAGTGTATCTTATAATGAGGTACATTATTAAACGTGAAGATCGCTCTAGGAGTTCAGGAGGAGGACCGTCATCGTAAAACATGTACTTTGATCCATATTCATTATGTTGCCTATCTTCACCTCGCCAATTTATAGATTATTTATTCATCATCATGTCACCGTAAAGTAACATGCTTGAAGATGCGAATAAACAATAGTCTTGACTGATCTGCAGTCATTTCCGGTCTTTTCTGAGCATACACAGACTTTACCAGTGTTGAAGGTCCAGTTAAGCGCCTACTGCTGACGTGGCACTGCCAGGCGATGATACTTGTCTTTAGAAGCTGTCTCCTTCAGACAGATTCGAGTTTCAGATCCACCTGTCTTGAGATTAGGTAAGTCTTACTCCTTCTAGTCTGGTTTGGTCATATTCACATTCGACTTTCAGATTCTGAAACTGCCTCATGGCCACTACAACGTGTGTCACCTTGCATGCGTGTTCAGAGTATCAGTCTAATGTCTTTTTCTGACCTATCGCTTCTTTAGGATCATCCTGGAGTCTTCCTCAGCTGCTCCCACTCCTTTGGCTTATACCACGGTCTCTAAGCCAACAGTAATTGGAGTCGTCGTCCTCCTTGGTACTTTGATGTTAATCATGGTCGCCTTGTGGCTTTGGTGTATGTTCTTTGCTCCTCGACGCATTTCTCGTGGTGCACGCAATCATGCAGCAGCTCCTATTGCAATGGTCTCATTGTCTTCTATTCACTTCAAGACAGTTATTGTCCCTTCCACTCCTTCATCTTCATCAGCCCCTCCCTTGGATTCTTTGACTACTTTGGCTCAGACTTCATCGTCATTGGTACATTCCTCACGTTCTTTACCTTCCATTCTTCATTCTCGTCACTCTTCCTCTTCATCTGTAGAAGATTTGAGGCATACGTTGTCAGTTTGAATTAAAGTCGGACTTGAGGTTGAGGAGGTCATTTATTGTACTTGTTGTCATTGGCATACCCTAATTATTGTCGTATCTGCAGTGTGACATTGTCTTGGACTTTCGTATTCAGTGTTGAATATCGAAGTGATCTGTCCATGTGCCAAACACTTTTGGTGCAGGACAAGTGGGGATGACTTGAAAAGACAACTGTCCCCAGTTGCAAAGGATGCAGGGAAAAGAAGAAAAAAAAATGGAACTTCACAATACAGCTTCACTGAAAGTGCTTAGAGAGAGAAACTCTCATCGGATCTAGTGCTAGTATCTTCTGTGTCAGGTAAAAGTAAATATTGAGCGATAGGCGATAGGCGATAGGCGATAGACGATAGACGATAGACGATAGACGATAGACGATAGACGATAGACGATAGACGATAGACAATAGACAATAGACAATAAATGATAGACAATAGATGATAGACAATAGATGATACTTTGACACTTTTTAGACACGGTAGACACTTTTCAGGCACTTTCTTGATACAACAATGATTTTTCAGTTTGACTCTTCTCTAAACTTTTCTTCTTCTATGACTTTGTTGGACTTCTTTGGGCATTTCACTTGACGATATCTTTTCTTCTGAGAATCAAATTGAAGAAATGTGGTCTTGACAAAAATATCTTTCTAGACCACTCTGTCTAGAAGTATTTGAGATAGAGAATTCAGATATTCTCTAGCCACTAGTCAAGTACGTTCTTGACTACTTCTTCACATAGACTATGTTGTCTAGTGATTTGATATATGCTCATAGAAGACATCTTCAAGATTGCTAGTAGACTCTTCACTTGAGTCACTTGAATCCAAGTCACTAAATTCAGTGATATGCTTTTGCGATGGCCTTCCAATTTCTTCTATTCTTCCTGCAAGATCTTGAAGCCTTGAGTCATCTCTTGAGATATAGGGTAGCAATCGAAAGGCCGCTATTCCCTGTTTCCAGAGGTTTCCATTAAGCTCTTTCACGATATAGGCTCCTTTGAAGGTCCGTCGAACTACTTCATAGGGTCCTAAGTACCGGGGTTTAGTCTTGCGATTCAAGGATCTTTCAATGGCAGTGTTTCGTACAAGTACGAGATCTCCAGGCTTGAAACTTTCAACTCGAATTCTATGCTCAAACTTCTTCTCAAATTGAGCCTTTGAGCGTAAACGTGTCTTTGCAAGAACTTCTGCAGCCTTTTCCAGATCTTGATCCTTCTTTGAAAGTTGCTGGATTCGCAGTGCAAGCAAATCAGTTGTAGACATTCCAGAGTGGAAACCTTCCACTAGAAATGATGCTTCCAAGAGATCGAAAGGTAAGACTGGGTGAACTCCAAATAGCAAATAGTAAGGTGAGAATCCTGTTGATCGACTGATAGTGATTTTGTCTGCAAAGAAAGCATGGGGAACATAGTCTGGCCAGTCTTTGACTTTCCCATCACAGGCTTTCACTATGGATTCACGAATAATCGCATGACCTCTTTCCACTACACCATTTGCCTTGGAATTGTAGGCAGATATTGAAACTTGAGGTACACCATACCGTCTGGTAAGTGTATTGAATGCTTTCTTGAATTCAGGTCCATTGTCAGTGGTAACTTGTCCAATGGCACCATATCGACAGAAGATTTCTTCCCATAGAAACTTGGCAATGGCATGTGAAGTTGCATCTCTTAAGGCACGTCCTTCTGCAGCTCGAGAAAGATCATCTCTGGCTGCAATGATATACTTGAATCCTTTTGCCTTGGGCATAAACATGATATCCAAGTATATCTTGGTGAACAGTGTCACAGGTGCAGAGATTGTCAGAGGGACTTCAACTTTACGAGTGCTTCTGAGCTGACACTGATGACAGGATCGAACATGTTGATGAACATCATTCCACATATTTGGCCAGTAAAATCGTTCTTTGAGCATTCGCATTACTGCATACTCTCCACGATGTCCTTGTCCTTCATGTGCACTTTCCAGAATGCTAAGTCTCTTGTTAGCTGAGAAAATAACTTTTAGAGGGGGTCGTTGTCCAGCTCGTCGATACATATTGCCATTTCGAATAAAGAATCGACTTGCTTTGGTAATAAACCTCTTGCGTTCTTGAAGTGATAGAAATTCTGGGGTCTCTAAGGTGCTTAGAAACTTGTGGATTTGCCGCATAGTCTGGTCTTGTTTGGAATCTGTGGAAATATACACAGGAATGAGCTTTAAAGGATTATAATCCTGAAATGCATCATTGTCCAATGTGACTTCATGTGGCAGTGTGTAGAGAGCAATTTCATCCAACCAAGCATCATCTTCTTCTTTCACTTCTTCTCCTTCTCCAAGTCCACGACGTGATAGGGCATCTGGTCCTTTATGACGTTCAGCTGGGATATGAATTAACTCAAAATCGAAGAGTAATATTCCTTGAATCCAGCGATTGACAGAAGCATTGGGCTGTAAGTCAGGTTCATTGAGCATTCCTTTGATGTACTTGGCATCAACTTCCACTTGCAGTTTCTTGACACCTACAAGGTAGAGGCGATATGCTCTAAGGGCACGAAAGAGTCCATATAGTTCCAACTTAGGTTGGGAGTATCGTGCTTCTCGTTCATTCATAGGAATTGATCCATAGCGAGCTGGCCGTTTGTGTCCTTGTTCATCTCTTTGTGAAAGAATGAATCCAACAGCAATGTAGCTTGAATCCACAGAGAGAACTACAGGCAAATCAGAGGAGTAGTCAATAGGCTTTAGGGCAGGTGCAGAGGTAATCAACATCTTCAGGTTATCGAAGGCTTCTTGTCGACGGTCATCCCACTCAAAGTCAGTGTCATGGCGAATAAGCTCAGTCAAGGGTCGAGCCATGGCTGAGTAGTTCTTGATCCAAATACGCACTGTTCCACAAAGTCCTAGGAATCCACGGACTTCTTTGACAGTGGTAAGGATGGGCCAATTTAAAACCTTTTCAATCTTGTTAGGATCTGGAATTCTTCCTTCAGATGTACACTTGTGACCTACAATCACAACTTCTCTGCGAGCAAGTTGAACTTTGCTTGGTGAAAATGTTCCTCCAGCATGGCCTACACGATGCATGATTCGATGTACATCACAGGCATGTTCCCAAATGAATCTTCGGATTCCAGGGTTTTCCTTTAACACTTCTGGAACTCCATTTTCATCAAGATACTCAGTCAGAGGACCTTTGATGGGAAGGTCATCTATGAAGATGTCAGCAGTATGAGGCATTTCGTCTTGAAGAATAAAAGCCATGCAAGCTTAAAATTCGGCAGGTGAATTTGTAAAGCCAGTAGGGAGGGAAGTCAATCGAAGAAGGCCTAGAGGTGATAGGAATGCTGTCATATCGCGACTCTTCTCATGTATCTTTCTAGCATCAAATCCCCAATAGAGATCAAATGCCGTATAACATCGACGTCCTGCGAAGGGTTCAACAAAGGCATCCAGAATGGGAGGAAGTCCTGCATCATGAATAGTCACTGCATTCAGTGGTTGAAGGTCATGGACTAACCTAAGTTTGCCACTTTTCTTGAGAACACAGAACCAGCGAGATCGATAAGATGATTGACTTTGCTCATACACGCTTGCTGCCATCTTTTCCTTGAGTAGTGTGACTACCTTTTCCCTGATACCAGGTGGTATGGGAATATTGGTGTAAGCCCAAGGAATATGAGGCACAGTTGGAATAATGTATGGAGTAAAGTAATCTTCTCGAAAGGTCCCGCGATGTTCTTCTTCAAAGACAAGACTGTTTTGATTAAGCTGAAGGATATGCTTAAACAGATTTTCTTCTTCCAAGCTAAGAAATCCATCTGGATTTATGTTCATGCCATCTAGACGTTTTTGAGTCAGCCGACCATTTTCCTTGAACTGGGGTGGACAGCACGATAGTGGTGGCAAGGAATCGAGAGGGTTTTCTGGAAATTGTCGACGGACACGGGATTCCTCTGGAAATACTCCTGGGACTGGCTTGACTTTCTTGTCGACTCTCTTATAAGCAGTAAGCACTTCTGCTCCACTCATCTCGTAGATACATTCATCGTCAGGTTCCAATTGAGGGTAGAATAAATTAGAATTTATCCTAGAATTTATTCCGATGAAGGATTGTCCAAAGGAAAACTGATGTTCCTTTAAATGAGTCTTTCGAATATCTGTACTTGCTATGTCTCTTTTTGAGAGGTCATCAGATTTTCTGACAATAGCGTAGAAATGGACTTGAGGAGAGTCAACTTGACAGGTAGGTATTGAGGCTTTCATCCTTGAAGCAGTGTCAGAAATGTTCAGGGACTTGTCCGAGTTTCGTGCGAGTCTTCGGCGATATTTTAGGACAGAGAGAATGAGCTTGTCGATAGAAATCCTAAGTGCATGTTGAATGCATTTGGATTTTCTATTTCGAGTTACTTCACTCAGGTTTCTCTTGCTCTTATTGAGCCCTTTCCTGATATTGTTCTTATGAGTGTTCTTTGAGAGGTTTGAGTCAAAAGACTCTATTGGTCGGAAGGCTGATCTGGCGAGCAAGGAGTACATGTACACTAGGAATGTCCGAGTCAAAACAAAGTAAGAAAAAATAAGAAGAAGAAGGAAGAAATGATCAAGTCCGAGGCTAGTGTCTGTCCGTAAAATGAGGTATGCAAGATGTCCGATACAAATATAAAAGAAAACATTCAAGTCCGAGTCAGAATACATGAAGAAATATCTAAAGAAAAAACGAGCGAGTCCAGGTCTATGTACGTACGAAGAAGGTTCGTGCGAGTCGATATGGCCAGCGTCAAGGATGACGACGGCGAGAAGAAACTCGTCAACGTTGATGAGCCCTCCCTGCCACTGGCGGTGAAGGGAAAAGTCTATTGGTAAGGTCTGTCCAGAATATCGAATGCACGTGAGGTAAGTGTCTATGAAAAGGTCTGTGAGCGCGAAGGTCATTGCTAAGTGAGGCAATGTACTTACGCGCGATCCAAAAAGGGTCCTTAGGGTGAGCTGCAGTTGTCGAGTCAAGTCCAGGTTACAAGTGTCTAACAGAAAAAGGGGAAAAGGAAAGGAAAAGTCCTTTAAAAACGTCTGAAGGCAAATGCGTTGACAACGGTCAACGGCAATCGAAATCGAAGTAATGGAGCTGAGATAAAGAAAATCGGTCTGAGGACCTAATCGTCGAACGAGACGATTAGTGGATGCGTTCCCTAAAAGATTTCGGGAACGTACCTCCGTTAATTGGTAGGTCGTCGCACTAGGCGGACTGCCCCACATCTCCAAGTTCACCAGCGATACGTCGTCGGTGAATGTTGGCCATGGTTTCTTCTCCATAAGGGCAGAAGTGAAGCATAACATCGATATGGTTGCGAAAGTGAGTCGAATAACTGCAGTGCTGGTGGGACCGAGTAGAGTAGTAAAAATACTTAATTTGCCATAGATGTGCCTCTTCTTCTCCATGAAGGTAGGGGTTGCCTCTAAAGCCTTGCTTGATTCGAAACATACGTCGAAATCGGTCCCGCAACCAACTGTTGCTATCGTCGTCGAGTCCGCGTGCGTAGGTCCTAGCGACGAAGGGTAGACATAGGTCCCGCTCGGCCCATTCGCCTAGCGTATGGTAGTCCTGAATGAATTCCCTTCTGGTCTTGAGGTCGTCCTGGCCATGCCAGATGTTGTTGAGAAAGGGTACGGTGTCGCGAGGCGGAAGGGGATTAAGAAGCCATTCAGAGCGAAGGGAGATGTACGTGAAGGGAAGGGATCCAGATCGAATGGGGAATATAGGATTACCGTTAACGATAAGGGGTTGGGTGTATTGAAGGGCCTGAAGATCCGTGTTGGACCATTCCGATTCTTCAGAGTCGTCGTGTCCATCCTTAGTCTCTTCGGGACTGGGGGCTACCGCGAGAATCTTATCGAGCTCATGTTCGAGCTCGCGTTGTTTCTGCCTGGAGACAGGTTGTCCAGGTAGAGTGGGGGTCATTGTGACAGAAGGTAGATGAGATTTGATTGAGGGGGTGTTCGTCGAATGCATCGATACGTCGTCGCCGTAAGTAGTCTTCTTGCCCGTTGAGTCAAGAGGGACGTACGCGGGGAGGTCTTCTTGAAATAGGGACCTTCTTGCCTCGTTCCAGAAGCGGCGTAGGGAGCTATCAAGCGTAAAGTCGTCCGAAGGGGATGTGGTTCGAAGGCCTTCCAGTGTAGGTACGTTTACGTTAGCCGTGAATGCCGATACTGGAGGAGCTGCTGGGGGAAGTGACCAGATCGTGGGGGAGTACTCCGGCGTAGAGCAGGGGGTCGTTGACGGACAGCAGGAGGCAAGAGACAGCAGTTCTGCACGCACCGCTGCGTGGTCCGATCTCAAATGTCCATTTCATCGGCGTGGATCCTGGCTCCTGTAGTAGGATGGTGTGGGTTTACGTCGAACCACTGGGTCCTCGAGGAGAGAAACATTCTCCGAGGATGTACCTAGCTTAGATGTCAGTTTACGGCGATGAGGAGGTACGTACCTTAACGTCTGAGGTCCGTTTACCCCATTCCTTTCTACCAATACTACCTCGTCATCTTCATCCGTCTGGTCTTCTTGGGACACGAATGCGCATGATCCGGCGGAGGCGTCAGGCGAGGGAGGAGGTCGAGGAGGTCCTAGTGGAAAAGCTAGAGGAGGGGGAAGCGTCTGAGGTGACTGAGAATAGAGAGACTGTTCGAAGTACGATCGAGACTTAGAGTCCCAATCGATGAAGCCTGTAGCGCCAGACGGTCTGCTAGGGTTAAGGCTTGGGTCGGCCGAGCATTTGAGGGAGTTCGGGGATGCGGAATCAAGCCTGATTTCCGCGGAAATCGGAGGTACAGCGGAGATCTGGGACTCTGGGTCTGGCCACGAGTCTCGATCATTCTCTTCGATCGAATAGAGTTCCTTCATACGTTCCTTCCTCTGCCTTTTCCATTCTTCCTCTATTTCTCCCTCTTCTAGTTCCTCTTCCTCTAAACTAAGCATAGGTACGTCATCGTCTTCTATTTCCTCCCTGACTTCTCTCGTCTTTAGATCTTGTTCTTCATCCAGAGCGAGCACGAGCCCTTCCCAAGTGGGTTCAGCGATCTCGGTCTCTCGGTCTACCACGACGTTTAGCATACCGCGGACACGACGGACGTCAGGCTCTCCGGTCCATATGGAGGGCGCGTGGACGAGCGTAGCGTCATCAAAAATATAAGAGTACGTCGTACCTTCTTTACTTTCTGTCGACGGTAAGGCTTGAGCTTTACCAGAGGTGATTGACACTTGGCAAGTAGAATATTCCGAATCCAAGGGAGGTGTTCCAGATAGGTGGGATTGATTCAGTCCGTCACGCGGGATAGGAGGGGGACGATTCGACATACCGGCTAGTGCTGCAAAAGGAGCGAGTGCACGTAGGCCGTATTCGGTTACCGCAAACCGAGGAGGAGGGGGATGAGTAGCGAAGGAAGGGATTGGTGCCATTGCGCGGGTAACTAAGGTACGTTCGAGCTGTCGTTCGGGTTCTTCAAGACAGATGGCAGTTCTGGGACGGCCACACTGACCTATTCCTTTCGTCAATCCTTTTATTTCTCTAAGTAGATCCCCTGTCTTCGAGTGGAGGGCTTGCGCGTCCTCGACGGTGTTCTCCATTTCGACTTTGTTATTGACGGTAAGCAGGCCGATCCCATTCGCATACTCATATATTCTTTTAAGGCCTAATTCAATGGGGACTTCGCCCAGGAGCGTCCGCACCCTCGTCAACAAATATGCTAAGGTTTCTGCGTCGAAATTCGAGAACGCGGACCAAATTGATTCTCGCAGGCGATCTCCACTCGTCGTCTGCGAGACGCGATTTCTATTTGGGTCCGAATTAGAGGGACGGTCTCGTTCACCGAGCGTAGGCCTAAATTCTTCGTAAGTGTTTCTCCCGTTTCTTCCGATTTCTTCTGTTCTGGTCCAACCGGCATCTTCTCTATTAAGCATGAAGAATGGCAGGTTTTCTCCGCCGCGATGCCTATTGAATGAGACCTCCTTTGAGTGCGGTACGTAGGGGGGGTGTACTGACTGGTCAAATACTGCATTTTCTTTTATCATAGACATCTTTGACGCGTCAACATGGACGTCAAGGTATTGTCCTTTGTCTGCATCTCCGGTCAGGTAAGTTGTCCCATTCTCGGCATCCAAATTACTCGTACTGACTTCCTCCAAGTTTTGCAGGTCAATCTGTCGATTTTCTGTATGGCGAATATCGTCCGTTGGTCCTGGAACACTGGAAGAAGGGTTCAGTCCAAAAAGTGAACAAAAGAGAGCCGCGTCGTTAGTCAGATATGGGGTTTCCTGTACATATAGCCT